AAACTTCGAATTTCAAATTCTAAACAATATATGGTTATATAACAAAAAAAAAAAAAAAGGGTCCAAAGAGAAAGAGACTGATTGAAATATTTCTATTTTTCCAAGGCTATGGCCAACCCTATGGGGACTTTGCAGCACATATTTTTGACCATCCGTGACAATATTGCCTTATTATTCGCCACATACACAGTAAATTAAATTAGAGAAAATTAATTAATATATGTATGCTTAATAGGGTCACATTTTTTTTTTTTTTTTTTACTTTGTGTTCTAAAGAGTTCCATTTTTATCGTCATCATGAAAGCAGCACTACAATGTATGGTCTACTTAAGCATGCATCTAAAGAAAAAGAATTGAGCAGTGAATCCTCTCTTTTTTTGTCAACAGTGAATCCGAAATTTATTCCAAGTTAATATAGATGACCATGTACATTTATGGACTCATCTGAATAAAAATGGTACTACTTAATTAATCATTGGAATGAAATACCAAAACTATATATCTTTTTCTACAAACATAATCAAACGACTAATCCATAGATAATCCATAGATAATCATAATTATATAGAAACAAAACAAAACTTAGTAGTATAAACTATAAAGTATGTGTTGATGGTGTTAGTTGTTGGAGGGAATGGCCCAAGTTCCCAAAGAGATTGATTATAGTTTTAATGAGATGAAAACGTTCGTGGGGCTCTTTTTCTGATCTCATCATGCCCAAGTAGGAGCGGTCTCCCAATCCTACCACTCACCTCCACGTGTCTTTCTCTTCTCCCCCTACGTCGCTGCCCATTACATGTAAACAAAAATAAAAATTATAGGGACATTGAAGAAAACGGAGATTTTCTAAAACTAAAAGAGTCGGAGAAATACAATTAAACCCAAAAAAAAGAGATATTTGTAAGTAAAAATTTCCGTATACACGTGATTATTCGATTCCGTTTAACGATTGTTCAAAACAATGGTATATATACACACTTTAACAAAAAAAAAACAAATGGTATATATACACACGTTATATAGATGGTACGTAGTGGTAAGTACGTTTAGATATGCGTTAATTTTATCTCTTCTTGTTTGCTTAGTCTAATGATCATGTACCATTTTCAACTGTTCTTATAGGAATTCGAACTCGCTCAGTTTATGGTAATTTTAGAGGATTAAACCATTAAGTCAGTATATTTTGTCAGGTAGAAATTAAACTTACTAAAATATCTAGACTTTTTGCTGTCAAAAAAAAAAGAAGCAAAATGAGGTCGTATTTTTTAATGCAATGTATATCTTTTGACCATCATCCTAATCTAACAAAAATATTATTTAATTTACATCTGACTACTTTTATATACTACAAATTAGGCCGTGCTCGTGGTTTTCGGTATCAATGTATTATGTATATCATGCGGCTCTCTTATCATTACTAAGTTGCCTTTTATCTTTTATTCGCCAAATCTTATGGAACTCATTTTATATAACAAAAAACATAGATTCATTTGGTTTGAAGGCTCAGCTCCACCTCTTGGGTTCTAGACTTCTAGTCAAGGCAGGAGAGGGGAAGAAAATATGATATTTTTCAGAATGAATGCTCCATATATAAAACCTCTTCCTTTTTCCTTTTAATTTTTTTCCAAAGGTAAAACCCTATACTACTCTTCACCAAGTTGGAGAACAAAAAAGCCTTCTAAATAAGTGTTACCTCAATAATCCAGAAAATACGCACTATACTAAAATATAAACGTTTAGTAGAGGTTAAATATCTTGGGATTCCTACAATCGCATGGGGCCTCGCTACATATTGGAGCCAGCTTTTCTAAACCTAAACCCACTCTTCTTCTTTTGAAATATTCCTATACCTACAAGGCTACAACTATTAGGGATCCGATGTCCATTTTTAATTTTACTTAAGTCCTCGGTAATCAAATATATCATTCGGTTAAGGTGCCCTTGATCATCAGATTCTTATACTGAGGTTTCTTATCTTATATATATCACTCTAATTTCTTTGTATGGCTTTATATATATACTATGTTTTGTTAAAGTTAGCATATATATTATCCTTCTGAATTTCGTTCAAAATGATCTATATAACCCAAGGAAAAAAATAGGAGGGTGTAAGGACATATGCATGCTTGCACAATTTAAGGATGCTTGTTAGCCTGAAATTTGACCAAACTTCTACAATGCGCCGCCCCTTTTTATTTTAAAATTAAAAAAAACTGACCAAATTCAGAATTAACCACTTTCCTTTTTGAGATAAAGTTATACATATTATAAGGTTTTTGCTTTTATAAATTCTAAGTTATCCGTTTGTCCAAAAATAAAAAAAAATAAAAAGAATTCTAAGTTATCCAGAGAATTCAGCTGATATTCTTTAGAAAATATTTACCGTATGATTCCACATTCTTTTAGATTTTTCATGAATACGTGCATGAAATTAGGCATGTATGTGTACGCATTCAATACGCGTACTTGTTTACACGTGTGCAAATGAAAAATTACATACGCACACGTACATGTAAGTATTTGTGCCCATTGCATGTGAAACAATGTGACATAAAGCTTGAGAACAAAGAGAGGAATCTGAATTCTGCAAAATGTTATTTTTTAATTGAAAGTTGCTGGTGGATAGAGAGCCATCTATCTTTACGGTGTATACGTATTTATGCTTTATGCAACTTCTATGAACTTACATTGCGAAACTAACTTCTAACACTATATTTTGGAGATAATATTCATAATTCGCATATTTCTCTCAAAATTGTACACCATTTTTGTCCAAAATAATGTTGTTTCCCAATAGTATATATGCCAATGGAGTGGAGATTTGCTTTTTAGTTGTGTATTCGAATTCAGATATAGTCAAGCATTCTTGCGGTTTGTTTATATGGACTAATGATCTCATAAATGAAATTACTTGAAGGAAAATAAAATAACTTATATTCAGAAGAAAACAAAAAAAAAATAACTGAAAGAGAAAATAAATTTGATTTCAATATATATGTTACGATTAGGACTCAGTTAATCCTCCTCATACTCACATAATTTTTTCAATGAATAGTGTCATAAATAAAATTGATTATAAAACTATATGAACAAAGAATGACAACGATATATGATAAACAATGAATAAAAACAAGAATAGTATGGTCAAAATTGGGAAATGGGGAAGACTACCTAAGATTTGATGAGAATGTGTCAGAGTCAGAAGCTTTAAGGCCTCTCCCTACTTCTATGCTCATCAACATTCTCTTACGAAATTCTCTATTATATTTTTGTAACAAATTTTAGTGGTATCCAATGGAGATTAATATGCTCAAATTTAACAGATATATGGAATTCTTTTTAATCTTTGAGTTATTAGAATGAGATTACTAGCAAAGAAAGCTATTGAATATGTAAAAAAAAAAAAAAAATGTAAATCACATTTCTTATATTTGAATCCGTTATCCCATAAAAAACGTAATCAAATTTTCATATACGAGTATAGAAATGTGGCATATTGTTATTCAATAGGAAAAAAGATATTCAGCTACACGAAGGATAACGGAATACATAGCTACACATGCCAAGTTTAGAAATGTACAACTAACTACACGAACTAAATGTATTGCATGCCCACATATACCAACTATACGACGACATGTAGTCAACATCACGAATATCTTATTCCGGTACACCAATCGTCAAAATCCGGCGTTGACCATCGTTGACCGGCATTGACCAATAAAAAAATGCAAAAAAATTATTTTTATTTATTTTAATATTAAAAACAAAACTAATACATATTAAATTCAACATAAAGATATTTTGTATATATATTTAATATATTGATTATTATAATTAGTTAGTTTTTTCAATTTAAAAACTAAAATAAAAGTGAAATAAAAATAATTAAGCGAATTACTTATTTGTACATTGTCAATAAAAAACATTAACTTCTTATTTTACAAATGATTTTGCTAAAATCAATATCATTAGATTTTCTATTTTCTCTATATTATTAAGAAACATTGCGAATTTTTTTGTTGTTTACGTGTTATTACGAGAATTTATTTTAATAATTTTAATTACAAAAATTTAACAATATATTAAATTTAGACTAAAGAGTATATAAAATTTTCTATATATCTTTTTTTATGTATTATGATTTTGATTTTAGCAAAAAACTTTATATTTTTTTACCATGCAAAATTTAGACTAAAAATTCATATACTCAATTTTTTGTAATAGAATTTTATTTATTTCGCTTTTAGTTTAGTTTTGAAATTGAAAAAATTAACTAATTATTATTATCATACAAAATATATATATTTGAAAAATATAGAATGTGTTTTTTTTTATTATTATTATACAACACCATAACCGATTCTATAGAATAATTCTTTTTAAAAACATTTAAAATAAATAAAAATATAAATTTTTGAATATTTTTGTTGGTTAATACCGGTCAACGATGGTCAATGCCGGATTTTGATGATTAGTGTACCGGAATAAAATGTTCGTGATGTTGACTACATGTCGTCATATAGTTGGTATATGTGGGCATGCAATACATTTAGTTCGTGTAGTTGGTTGTACATTTTTAAACTTGGCATGTGTAGCCATGTATTCTGTTATACTTCGTGTAGCTGACTATCTTTTTTCCTATTCAATATTACATTTTCGTTTGTCCATTTATAAACGTTTTAAATTGTAAGAATATCCAGATTTCTATTAACTTAAAAATTAATTTGCTTATGAGTTATGATGATCTTGGTTATTAGAAAAAGTAGAAATAAATAAACGTGTATAAATTAAGAGAATCGGAGTTAATTTTAAGTTTTTGAAGAAAAAAGAAGATGATAATATCCATGACATTTCTCTAATCTAAACGAGGACTACTTGCCGTTTCAATACAAACCAAACATCACGCCGTTCCCTATTGTAGAGCTAAAAACGCGCGCAGTTTTGTAGACACGATCGTTAAGTCTTAACGATACATAGATGAAGAAATCAAGAACATGGAAAGGATTCGATTTCTATTGAAAAAACACAACAAGAAGAATCAATTTTGACCAGAAATGAGAAATAATCAAAAGCCTTTAGCACCAGATTCTTTCAAAACAGCAGGTTGATCAGCCATAGATAAACAATATTTAGCAATCTCTCTGAACTTAGGAACACTTCTCAAATCCACTTTTGTTCCATCATTCAATGTGATGATGATATCTCCCCATTCTCCGATAAACCTCGGCACAACTTGAACGTCTTTAATCACTTTGTACGAGAAATCGCTCCGGTCTTCTCCGGTAAGTCCCGAAATCACCGTCACGCGGAGGTTTGTGAACCTGTAACGAAGGTTAAAGGCTCGGGATACTGCGGCTAAGGTTAGTGGGAGCCAAAGGATGGTTAGACCTAGGATGAGATTGGCTAACAGGTCTCCGTAATGAGCTCCGCCGTCGAAGTAGACTGTTTCTTTTTTCGTCGGTTTGGAATCGGAAGGAACGGTGGATGCGGAGGCGGAGGAGGAAGCTAGGAGCAATCTTTGAATGTGTCTTTGTGGTGATTTGGTGGAGGGAGGTAGTGAAGAAGCGGGGAAGGAGAAGGTGGTTGAGAGGAGGAGGGATTTGCGAACGACGGAGGTTGCGGCGGTTGACGGCGGAAGTGAGGAAGAAGCTGCCATGAGAGAATGATTTGGAGTGATAGGAAGATTTTGAGTGAAAGATGTTAATCTTTGATTCTTTTCTGTTTTTTGGATTTGATTTTTTGGCGCAAATTGTGCCACGTGGCCAGAGCTCTATCCAAATATTGAATCAATATCAACCATAGGAATCAGAAATTATATCAGAAAAATTATGCTACTAATTAAGCTGATTAAGGAATGAAATAAAGCTTAAGAGAATAAGATATAGGTAATGTAACCAACTTTGGATCAGCATTATCATGTGAGAGTATACTTTGTTTATAGATAGATTTTCTTTATAGTATTCGTTTTGATAAAATTTGAGCCAGTAACTTATTTTATGATCAGCTTTGCATCATATATATTCACAGACGAATACGGTTCTGAATCGGGTCGTTGGTCTATTCACTGCCTTGAGCCGCGGGTACCGAGATCAGATGCAGCTTTAGCAGCTCGTTCTAACGCACCAGACAGCCAAAGAGCTCCGCTGGAGAAGTAACTGCTATTGACAACACTAGTTGCAGCAGCTGCTGCGGTTCTTCCTGTAGCAAAGACGGCTGATTTAGCCGTGTCTGAAACATGGTACCTTTGGTCAGTCATTCTGACAGCTTCAAGTCCGGTAAAGATTTTGTCAGTGAGACCAATCCTCTGCTCTAATTGGGCTACTCTAGCTACAGCCGCAGCTGATACTCCGTGAGATTCATCAAAGGCTTTAGCTTTGCTTAAAGCGTCTTTGCCTAGCACGAATCCTGTGGCAAGCATTGTTTTCACCACTTCTTGAGCTTTTGTCACTGCTTCTCCAGCGTTGAACTCGCCTCGTTGAGCATAAGGCTACATGATTGAAGAATGAATAAGCTTTTAGAATTGAGACCAAGCATCAAACTTCAACATAAACACTACTGAACCAGTGACTGTTAGATTAAACTATTTAACCAAAAAAATAAAACAGAAAAATCAAAGTTGAGAGAAATGTCAAAAGAGATTCATACATGTGAGTTAGATTCATCTTCAAAACCTTGCGGAGTCGCATTCCAGAAATCGAACTCTTCGTGATGCTGTCCCCAACGAGTTATGCAAACACGCTGATCCAATATCGTTGCGCCCTGAAGATCCAAAGAAGTGAGTGATTCTCAGCACTAAAGAGACTCCCAAAAAGAAAGGAAAAGTGAATCAAATCCAAAACTAACACTTACACTGAGTAAAACAGCAGTTTCTTGAGAATAAGAATCCTTGAACATCACATAAGCAGTACACGCTTGCTCACCCGACCTAGTCTCGTTAACAACATAACAGAGTTTTATCTTTTGAATCCTAAAATATGCAAACAAACATAAAAATTTGCCAAAAAGTTAAAGACTCACCTGACAATATCAATATCTTGGATAGTACCAGAGAAGGAGAAGAAATCGATAAGATCATTCTGAGTAACAGATGGAGATAACCCAGTAACTTCAACACCATATCCATATTGATGATCCATCTCTGCTCAATAAGCTGAAAACAAAAACCCTAAAAATTTCAACATAAATCGAATTCAATAGATTGAATTATTTCCAATTCGTGAATTAAACTTCGGGAACTAGACGAAATCGTACGTCAATCTTTCCGATTTAGCTTTACGTGATTTGGAATTGAAATTTCAAGCGAAACTTGAGCAAGAACGGATTGCAAAATATATTCAGACCTAAATCGTTGATTCACACATCGTAGTACTATAGATCTAGAGAAGAGAACTTCAAGGAAATCGAAGGATTCGAAGTTACCTGTTGTTGTTGTTGACTAACAGAGACACACACACAGAGAGAAGCTTGAAAGAGAGACAAAGGTGATGATGATGTGAGTGGGAAGAAGAAGGACTACCTTTTCAGTGAATGAAGAAACAGACGCAATTTCAAAAGTTAAACCGGCGTCGTTTAATAGCTCCATATTTGGGCCTTTAGTATCTCCAGTGAGCCCATATTGTTAACGATTTTAAATATATAAACAAATGCCTGTATAAAAGGCCCAATATTAATTGTTTGATTATTTTCAAGTCTCAAACAACCCATAATCACAAATTATTTTTTGCATCATTTTTTAATAATCTACTCTTGGTTTCAAACAACCAAACTTGTTCATCTTTTTTTTCTTTTTTTTGTTCCTTACATGTTAAAACATTTAGAATAATAATTAATTGTTTGTACATTAAGAAAAAATTAACAATGCTCTCTATAGACGATTTTAACATTCTAGAACCTTCTTTTTTTTATACCTTTGTTATGGATGCATATACAAGTTGGATAAATCTTAGATTTTATCTGTCTAACCGTCCAAACTCCAAACAGGTAAAAGTTTTCTCAATGATAACTTTTTTAAATCTCTTTTAGAGACAAATTTGACATATGTGTGTGATATAATTAAATACTTATATTATTACTATTAGTACATAGATAAATTCAACGGAAAAGAAAGTTAACAAAAAAGAGAAAAAGAAAAAGACGTGTGCCTAACAAATGTTTGATGTATTGGTAAAAAAACGCAAAGAACATTATTATTATTATTCTTTGCATATGAGCCGTTGGCCAAATCAATACTTACGTCTCTCTTTCTCCATCTCTCATTGTCTCTTCCTACTTCTTTCCACGGCCACGTACGTCTGTCAAAATTAACTACTACTCCCTCCGTATTTTAATAAGTGTCGTTTTAGGATTTTCTTTTTTAAAAAATTAGATGTCGTTTTCAAATTTCAATGCAAAATTTATTACTTTTTAATGTTTTATGACATCATAAAACATTAAAAAGTAATAAATTTTGCATAGAAATTTGAAAACGACTTCCAATTCAAAAAAATAAAATTTCTAAAACGACAATTATTAAAATACGGAGGGAGTAGTTTTTAATTCAGATTCATCTTATAATAAGAATCTAATGTTCTTATGTGTGGTTCATGTTCTATCTTCTGACCATGTTGCAGTGTGTTGCTAACTTGCTATGTATTTTTCATGCAAAACAAAAAAAATCACTGTTAGAAATATGTCTTTTACATTTTTTCATAAACGTAAACGGTAAACACCAAATAGTGTAGTTTTATTTTCAATTGCCTACCAAAATTAGAACTTATATTTAACAACAACAATAAGTATATGGATTATGGAACTTCTAAAAACTACGACTATATATAAAAACATATATTTAAGAAGAAAAAACTTTATAAATGTTCTAAATTACATGAAATAGCTGAGTATTAATTGGTCCTCCAAATACAATTATCTTCATCACATATGATTATAGAATAGAATATAAAAGGTTGACGATTGACTAATGTATATATTCTGTAGCTAGGTTAGACGTTTTGATTCGGATTTGAATTTCATAGTAAATATCAAAGAAAGATTTTGATATTGAGTTGACGTCAATTCGGAGATCTACAAGACTACAACGTGTTTTTATCAAATTTCACCTAAATTTCTTAAATCATAATTTTCTTTTTGTCTTTAATTGACTCGATTTGTCGATTCAAATATCACATTCCAAGTTGATATCTCCTAAATTTCCTAATATTTATTTTATTGTTATTCTACTATTCAAATCTAGCTACTAAGCTTTTCATATGTGATTCTTAGTGTCGTCTAAGATTAGTCGATGATAATCTTGGTCATATTGTTTCAAACCTAAAACAAACTCTTTCTTCTTTTTTTGGGTAGTAAAATTCCGGAGTTCTGAACCTTTTTGTTCTACACATGCATTATTATTAGATGTTAATCACGTATTGTTTTCTCTTCGTATTAACCTGATGGCCATCATTAACCAATATTACAACTAGCAATTATGTCCCAAAACAAAACACAAAATATTTTAATACGATCCAAAAAAACTGAATTTATTAAAGATAATTATCATAATGTGTTGCTTCTACGATATACATTATTTTATATTATCCATAGACAGCAAAATTTTTGAAGACTAGAGGTAATTAGTTAGTTACATTCATATCTATAACATCTTGAGTTTACGAAGAGCACGTGTTGAAATTCGACGTTGACTTGAATGACAAGGCATTGCCAAAAGAGAAAAGAAGAAGAAGTAAAGGTATTAGGAGCCACCACGTTATCTCCTTTTACGAATTACGACGGATAATTCAAAACAATTAGCTGGTATAACAACAATACAAATATACACAAAATACTTTTTCGATATTTTTGGTAAAGAGAAGAAAATAGTGTAATGTGTCGCAATTTGCAACTTGTAATGATCAATTTTCAACCTAATATTTTTGTTGGCAATTTTGTCTTTTTCCGCAATAGTGAATACAGAAGTAGCGTGGGCTGTCACGCGTCGATCGGATGATAGCTCGTAAAGTAATGTATTCACATTAGAAGGTATGTTATGTTATTAACTAATCAAAAATAGATACAAACAAAATTTTGGTGATTCTCTTTAGCAATCTTACCCTTCTTATGTAACATAATAATCAGAATCTAAAATAACACTTTTACATATATAAATTAGGAATGTAATCATCAATTAAGACACTTAATTTAAGAGAGATTAATGTGGAAAGAAAATGAATGTGAACGCACAATACAAACAGATCACGTGGACAGCTCTTAGGACTTCACTTTCAGACACAATTCACTAAGATACGCCCAAAAAAAAACAGTCACCTATTCGATAATTTTAGAAGAAAATTCAAAAGCAAAATAAGAAAAAAACCTTCCTCCAACCAATATTCATTTTCTGTTTTGGTGGTCAAAAGTCGGAAAGTCAAAACCAATATTCATTAGAAACGGAAAGATAATAGAAAAGTTTACCATATGAATATAGAAACAATTCAGTGGGATATCAATTTGTTTTAAGGTTAAATGCAATTCTGCGAGCTAGTACATATAAATATCATTGATAAGTTACGTATTTTAAATTCATAGTTATTGACCTTTGACTCCCAAACCTTATCAAACTTGGAAATTTGGATAGAAAAATACGTCACAAACTTTATCGAAATTTTGTATTCCGAAATGATTATTATACCACTTTAATGTCTCAAAGATTAAATTTGTAATTTATAAATAATTTTATATAGTAGCACATAAAATATGGATCTTAGATCTCTTCTATACGACGTCGACTTCAACGAATCTATTTATTTGCTTTTTCATTGCTCACTGAGTTCTTTTATAAGGGTTTCATGAGCTTTCGAAATACCTTGTTTTTTTTTTTTTTTTTGAAATACCTTGTTGAAACACAAATGTTTTCATTTTTTCATTTTTAGTCAACCAAAAACCATACATTATGGCCCTTTAAGAAGATAAACAATTAACTATACAAAAAGCATAAACAATTTTAAATAAATAAGAGGAAAACCGATTTAGAAAGATATGCAAATTATTTGATTAGATTAGTCAAAAGACTCAAAACCCTTACGAGTGATAAAGCACTTTGCTAGTTGCTACCGTCCAAATAATAATGTTTAAAAGATGGCTCTCACACGTGGCAATTAATGAGTGGATTACAGCTGCCAAGATGCAACTCACAATAATAAAATTATAATAATCCTTTAGTTGCATTGCACGCTACAATCTTTCGGCGCAATTTACAAAATTCTAATCAATGCGTGAAATATGTAAGATATAAACTATGGTACGATCCTACCTTTATTAACAATAGCAACAAGTATTTACTAACCTTTTTAATATTTGTGGTCGATTATAGGATGATCGATTTATCTCATGCTTTGAAAATTTCCCTCGAGTAACGATAAAACACAAGTAGTTGAAAGAAAAAAAATGATAAAACACACGTCTAAGAAAACCAACGAATAATATAGAGATAAAAGAGCCCACCCACCACATCAGTTTATAATTTCTGGTCAACGGATCAACGCCCATCACATAAGTAATGCATTAATCTCGGTTATACTAGTAATAATAAATTAATAACAGTGGTATTAATACACTAATTTTCATGATTTATGTGCAAACATATACTTCCACGTGCGTCAACACGTGCTCCGTGACCCTAGATCACTTTGTCGACAGCTTTCTCGTATTCCTAATTTCTCTGTTCAGCTTATTCAGATAAACATACATCCTCTTTCCCGTACAGTTTTTAACTGAAATGTTATGTTCGAAAAACAGACAAAAATATTATATTCCAATAAAAAGTAGTATTATTCCTAAATAATATTTTGTGGAAATGCGTATATATATAGGTACTTTATTTGTCCTCCAATACATTTCCCACTAATGATATTCCATCGACATAATTTCAAACCAAATTCATATTGTATCTGGCCTAGCTAGGATGATTTCTTTATTCTTCAAGTTTTTAGTAGTGTATATAGTTAAATTAGTTTAAATGTTTTGTTTTTACACAATAGAACAATTAAAATCGTTCGAGAGAGTAAATATTGATATATCTTAATTATAGTACATGGTCACGTAAAATGTACATTAAGCAAAAGAAATCATACATAAATATTGAATCGGGAAAATTAGCCTATGATTCAACATAGAATTTTGTATTTTTTTTTTGATAAGGAGAATTTTGTTAGTTAATAGTACAAAACAAAATTTACAATGATTGTATATAGAAATGTTTTTTTAAAAATGTAAAGTTGATTTTTTGTGACGTACTACAATTGTATAAAAACAAAGGAAAAAAACTATGACGTACATAAAGTTTTACTACAAAATCAATTTATAACTTCCTTTGACCAGAGGAAAAAATAAACAGGTAAAGTACTGAAACTTTTTAGAACATTTATAAACTTCAAAATTCACTAGAAAACAAAACAAAAATAGAAACAGTTTTGAATTTCTTGATTTTTTAATACGTTATTTAGACTTAAAAATTTTCCTTTTATGAAAATCTTATCTGAATAATTTGGACTACGAACGTCATGTAGAAAGAAAAAACCTCTAAATAATAATTTAATTAATTAATTAAGTAGCTTTAACTCAAGAAAAAAAGAAGTAAACAAAAGAATAAAACAGAGGAAAGAGAGAGAAGTTGAATTCGACCTCCAAAGAGTTAAACTTTGAGCCCTGAGGAAACTCATTACGCTTCACTCCGATTCGCAGAGAGTTTCCAAGAGACGACAATTCTAAACTTTCTTAATCTTTTTTTTTCTTTCGTTAATCCAAATCCGTAAGTACTTTCTTCTTCTTATTATTATATAATCTCTTCTAATCCTCTTCCTTGTTAAAGATTCTCCATTTTTCTCTCCTTCTTCATCTCCATTGAAAGGAATCATATTCAGATCAGTGATTCGTTTTTTTTTTCTGGGTTTTCATTTTTGTTTTCGGGTCAAATTTGGTCTACGAATTTGGAATCTGAAGATCTGACTTTTGAAGCTAGCAATTTATTTTGGGTTTTAATGTTTCAATAAAGAGACAGTTTTTGTTGTTGTTGTTCTGAATCCATTTTTCTATCAATCGGGATTTGGATGATCTCTAATCGCAAATGAGAATGCTCTGAATCGTCTTCTGATTTGTTTCTTTTTTGGGATTTCTCAGAAATTCTCTCTCTTTTTTTATTTTCACTTTGCATTTGTGTTTGGTCTCTCGATCTGATTTCTCTAACATCGGAAATCTGTACGGAGAAGATGGTGGAAGATCGGACATATTTGATCTCGAGGGTTTTCTCAAGTTCTCGTCTTTCAGAATCAAAGTGGCCTTACATGTTTCCAGAAGCAGAAGATTCCTCAGAATCTAAGCTCAGCAATGGCAAAAGAGCATTAGATGATGTTGACGAGCTCAGGCAGAGCAAGTCTCTCAGATTAATGGGATTTTTAATTCATGGGAATGAAGCCATTGAAGAAGAACAAGACCAATCTGATTCTAACAACAATACTGATGGCGATTCACTTATCAATGATATTGGCAGGGACAATTCGATAAGCTGTTTGATCCGTTGTTCGAGGTCTGATTACGGTTCCATTGCTTCTTTAAACCGGAGTTTTCGATCTTTGGTGAAGACCGGAGAGATTTATAGACTCAGGAGGCAAAACCAGGTTGTTGAACATTGGGTTTACTTCTCTTGCCAGCTCTTGGAATGGGTTGCTTTCAATCCTGTTGAAAGAAGATGGATGAATTTGCCTACGATGCCTTCAGGTGTTACCTTCATGTGGGCTGATAAAGAATCGCTTGCTGTTGGCACTGATTTGCTTGTTTTAGGCAAAGATGATTACTCTTCTCATGTTATATATAGATACAGTCTTTTGACTAACTCTTGGTCTTCTGGTACGAGGATGAATTCTCCGAGGTGTTTGTTTGGCTCAGCGAGTCTAGGAGAGATTGCGATCTTCGCTGGTGGTTTTGATTCTCTTCGCAAGATCAGTGATTCCGCTGAGATGTATAACTCTGAGCTTCAGACTTGGACTACACTTCCGAAGATGAATAAACCGAGGAAGATGTGTTCGGGTGTTTTCATGGATGGGAAGTTTTATGTCATTGGAGGGATTGGTGGAAGTGACTCCAAAGTGCTTACTTGCGGTGAGGAGTTTGATTTAGAGACGAAGAAATGGACTGAGATCCCGGAAATGTCGCCTCCAAGGAGCCGAGAAATGCCAGCAGCAGCAGAGGCGCCACCTCTTGTTGCGGTTGTGAATAATCAGTTGTATGCCGCGGATCATGCTGATATGGAAGTGAGGAAGTATGATAAGGAGAGTAAGAAATGGTTTACTTTAGGGAGATTGCCGGAAAGAGCTGGCTCGGTTAACGGTTGGGGATTAGCGTTTAGAGCTTGCGGTGAGCGGTTAATTGTGATTGGTGGTCCTAGAAGTTCAGGTGGAGGGTACATTGAGCTGAATTCCTGGATACCATCTAGTGATCGAAGTCCGCCTCTATGGACATTGCTCGGTAGGAAACATTCATCGAATTTCGTATACAATTGCGCGGTGATGGGTTGCTGATAAAGGGTTTCAACAATAATTTTCAGATGATTTTAAAGATTCTCCTGCCGTTGGAGATGTCGAAAGTTACAGTCTTTTTCTTATTTATTTTGGTTACAAAAAGAAATTTATTTTCAATTCAATTGGATACAATCATCTTGGTGGTATTGTTAGATTCTTGGAAAGAACAGAAACAGGTTTTGTAATAAGTTTGGTGGAGAAAGTTCAGAATCTAGAGTTTTGCTGTTCTGTTGTAAGTTGTTGAATTTTGTTTTCTAAATATAATGATTTTTTTTCTTCATTTCTCGTAATGTTTATGTATATATCATTCATTTTTTCACAAAGAGAATATATAATCTGTGTTTCGTGTGTTCTCCTCTCTATTCAGAAAAAAGAAGAAGAAAAAGAGCTTTTGATCTTATAGTTGTTGTTTGCAAGATAACTTGATCTTTTGCTTGCAAGTAATACCATAAACTTTTTCAATTTGTTCCCTTTTAATTTGTTCTCTGTTTAGGGATTTTTGTTCTTTCTTCAAAAAATGGTTGCAATAAATTCTTTTTTTTTTTTTTTTTTTTTGTAAACCGGTTGCAATAAATTCTTCGAAAAGTGAAAAACAAAGATGGATGTAAACATGAAAATGGCAGTTTGAATCAGATTTTGACGTGTAGGTCTCTGTCAACCACCTAACATTGGCTAGCTATGCTAATTTCAAATCTATTTACTTTATACATATACTAAATAAAGAGATATCAAAAGGAAAATGTATAAGAATGATCCAATCAACCATCTCTATTTAAAACTTCAATGATTTCGCAATCAGATCTCAACTTAAAGGCTAAAAAGCCAACAATAAAACTTGCAAATGAAAGGTATATTGGCCAACAACGAAGGAACAATATCATTTCAAAGCTTAAACAAAAGAGTCACAAAAGATTCAGAATACTGATTGTGTCCAACTAAAAACTTAAAAAACCACCAGAGATAACGATAAGTAAAAAGTTTCAGAATGATTATAATTCCTCTTCACCGGAATGAGAAAGGACTTCAGTTCTGATACTCTTCAGTAGTGGGCTGGCAAAAAGGCACTTCCCGGCTGACGGTTAGCCAAAGGTCCATGACATGAGAGGAACTGTAAAAGAAACCAAAACATTGTTCAATTTAACAATCAAAGATGTTTCCAATGATAACAATCACTGCTTTAGAATCAAAGAGTGATAATTTAGATGCAAAATCAACAATACCTTAGCGTTGACACCATCAGGAACAACACGCTTCTCTTGCCTCAACTTGGTGAAGTCAGCTCTGTTAAACTTCGTGAAACCCCTGAAAAAACAAAAGTCACAGACTTGATGAGTTAGCTAGCTTGTTGCCATAAAACAAATCAAACAACAAAATGATTCAAGGATCAATCTTAAAACACACCATTTCCTGCTGACAATAATCTTTTGACGACCAGGGAACTTGAACTTAGCACGACGAAGAGCCTCCTGAGCATGGTGACCATGAGCATCCTTGCAACGAACAGACAAAAGAACCTGTCCAATAGCAACACGAGCACAAGTACCCAAAGCTTTACCAAAAGCACCTCTCATACCAGTCTGAAGCCTATCAGCTCCAGCACACGAAAGCATCTTGTTAATCCTGAGAACATGGAAAGGATGAACCCTAATCCTCAAATGAAAAGCATCTTTCCCTGCAGATTTCACCATATACTTGTTGCAAGCAATACGTGCAGCTTCAAGTGCTTCACTTGACACATTCTCCTTCTCCCATGATACCAAATGGACACAGAATGGGAATTCATCAACACCTTTCCTCTTCATTCCAACATCGTAGATCCTGATTTTTGGATCTGGCACACCACGACAGTAGCGAGATTTTGGGTATGGCTTACCCTTGATCTGACGGTAACACCTCGCAGGTCCTACAACAAGATCCAGATTTTAGCTCTAAGACCAAACTCATATAGCTCAAAATCATTCACAGAACAAAAATCAATCGATTCGTATCTAAAGAGAGCTATAAACCTAATTGTTCATCCGATGAATAGAAAAATGAAACGCAGAATCTCAAAATCGCAACACAGAGGGAGCATTTGGTAAACTAAATCCATGGAGGAATTGGAAGAATACAGAAACCCTAACAGAGAATCCATAAGAGATCGAGATAAACTTACTTCTTCCCATGGCGTCTCTCTTCTTCCTTCCTCAGCCAAAAAGCGCGGCTGCTCGACGAAAAAACAGATAACCTAGAAAATGACTTCAATTTATAGATCCGAAATTTTCTAGGTCAACAAATAGCTGTGGGTTTTAATTGATGGGCCTTAAATAAAGCCCATTTACATATTAAAGAGTTTTATTAACGCCCATCGACTCGTATAGGGTTACGCTTTTTTTTGTCTTGAATTAGTACAAAGAGAACAAAATCTCCTTTGAGACAGAGAAATAATGGAATTGCTTCCCCACGACACCGTAGAGAAAATTCTCGAGAGAGTTCCGGTGAAATCTCTGCTCAGATTCAAGTATGTTTGCAAACAATGGAAGTTGACAATCGAATCTCAATATTTCCAGGCGAAACAGTTGATCTTCTGTGGCGGGAAAGATCTAAATCTTGTATTGCTGTCTAAAGAAGTAAGGACGTTGGTGTTTCCCCATCATGTTACTTCTGCTTCTCCTCCACTTAAAACTAACTTGTTGTTTAAGTTATCATCGTTATCAGCAGAAGGATATATGTACTCACTTGGCCAAAATATCTGTGACGGTCTTGTTTGCTTGAATGATTACCAACGGTTAAACATTGTTTTTAATCCCGCCACTCGATGGCATCGACGTTTCCCTGTGTCCAAGTTGCAACAACTCTGTCGAGAGAAGGGTACCGCACGCGTTAACTTTGGATTTGGCAAAGACAAAATCAGTGGCACATACAAACCGGTTAGGTTATGTAACTCTTCCGAACTTGGCCTAGAAAACGCTACTACATGTGAAGTTTTTGATTTTAGCACCAACACTTGGAGGTATATTACTCCTTCTTCTCCTTATCGGATTAATGCTTCCTCGACTCGGTGGCATGCTATGTATTTAGATGGATCGCTTTATTGGTTAACCGAGGGGAAAGAAATACAAGTTTTATCTTTAGATCTTCACACCGAAACATTTCAAGTCATCTCTAAAGCTCCTTTTGCGGAAGCAGCTCCTAGAAACATCATCACATGCATCCTGAATAACCATTTGTGCGTATCGGTTTATAATGCTCCCCAACAAGCGATATGGTCGTTCAATTCAGAGAACAAGACTTGGGAACAAATATATTCACTAGTGAATCGTAGTATTGGGCAATCACTACCACTTGCAATTTTGGAGAAGAATAAGCTTTTGTGTTGTGCTAGTTTACATAGTAGACGGCTGATGATATATGATACCAAAACAGAATCTGTTGATTCAGTTTCCATAGACACTCTTTATGATAGAAATCTTGTTTGTTTTTGTTATGTCGAGAGTTTAATCTCTATATTGTAATTTTCACCATTTTCTTCTTTTTGTTTGCTTCTCGTGGATCCATCCATTTGATTTAAATTTTAGATTTTTGTTTTCCAAGTTTGCAGCTTTTTCATTATTAATGAACTTTCAAAAAAGACAGATTACAGTGTTGATTGAGTAAGTGTATACATGATCCAGGGTCTGAAAAATGTTGCAGAACAAAATCTTTGAAGCTTAGAGTTCTGAAACCAAGATCCGCTCTTGTATGTCTGAAAATGTCTGCACATCTTCTCCCCACAACCTAAGTTTTCAAAGAAAACAGATAAACAAAAAGCAGTATGAGTCATGAAGGATTTGATCACTGAGAATTTCCACAAACCCGAAAAAAAGAAGTAACAAAGTATATGTGGCGCACCAACAAGCAATACCCATGGCGTTTGCTCCGCCTTTATCCGCTCCTTCATCATCTCCGACATGCACAGCTCTGTTTACTTCTACGCCGATTTGTTCTGCGCTTGACACAAAATCTTTACCTCTGAAACCTTTCTTATAATTTTAAAGGAAACAACACTTCAGATTAGGATGCAATGAGCCAATACCTAATGCGGATTTGAAGATTCGTTCATCAGGCTTCTCGTATCCGACTTCTGCGGATACAATCACAGCATCGAACCTGCAAAAGAGCAAGCATTATACACGACTACCATTTATGGTATTAACTTTATCACTCAGATTTCAGGTTTAAATAATGACAAAGCTTACATATCTATGACATTAAGATCCTTCAATAGCTTTCTTAGCCGGGTATCGAAATTAGACACAACAGCCATCTTAACTGCATTCATCATATAACATGAAGTTAGAAATCAGCAATAACGAATACAATAAAAGTAATGGAAGTAAAAAGGGAAAGATTTCTTCAATGTAATAATAACCTCCAGCATCTTTCAGTAGTGACATTGTCTCAAAAGCTGCTTCTGGTAGATGCCACGCCTCGCCATTCGCGTAATACTAAGAGAAAAAAACAGAAGATTATTAACCCGTCTTTTAGGCATTAATGTGATGGATTGTTAATGAAACCTAAAAAATCCTTAAAAGCCTCAAAGAAACAGTCTTTCATTCGATACTCACTTGGTAGACTTCTTCGAAGTAGTCATTATCAGAACAACCGGTAGCTTCCGAAACAACGAGCTTCCAGAACGGTCTTCCATCTCCCTAACAATACAATGAAAGATGTCTTAATACATTTGCTTACAGTAACGAGCAAAGATAGAATCTGTTACGAAGAGAGATTCACTCAGTCAATTAGGGGACCTGGTAACGCAACTTCTCAGGCCAAGGAGCAGAAAAAGCTCTCTTGAAACCTTGCTTGATCTCAGCTGGAGTTGTCTTGAGACCTGAACAAGAAACAAAAATACAACTTGAGAACATCTGAAATTGGTTATTGAACGGATCAAATAGTGTAAGATAAAGAAAGTGACCATATTTTTGGCCCAAGGAAGCGTAGGTTTCATGAACAGGTTTCGACAATTGCAAAAGAGTTCCTCCAGCATCAAGCAACAATCCATCATAAGCTCTCTTTATCGGCTTGCCTTCACAAAGGACCCAATAATTGAAAGATTACTCAATTTCAGAGTTACTTGAATCAAAATGCATCTCAGAGAATCCAATTCAATTTCGCCATTATAATCGAGAAACAGAGAAGGATTAGAAAGTAACCGGTGCTGAAAGAGACAGAAGAAGACCGAAGAGAGCCGGAGAGTGGTCTCAAGGCTTCAATTAGATAGCTTCCTCGTGAACATCTCAAACAAGCTTCCATCTTTGTCAAATCCGAAATGTCCAAGATTGACAAATTTTTCTCTCTGTGTAAGAACTGGTTTGAATTTAGGTAAAATTTCAAAACAACCCTCAAACTAACTAAAATTTACATATTAACCCAAACTTAATTTGCTTTGCAATTTTTCTTTTCTGAATTTGGGTTCTTAAAACCTTCTGGTTGGTGTAGAGTGTTTGGTTTTATTGTGCAACAAAAACCCTGAGGATTTTTCGTGTTCGCCGGCGGTGACATTTGCGCGCAGAAAAGTTGATACTCTATCTCTACGACGAATTCTTCCTCGGAGATATGGCGACGGAGCTGGAAGAGCTTGTAGAATTTTTGTCATCTCCTTCACCGCCTGTAAGCTTTTGACATTTGGTTTCATCTGTTTCTGAGCTATGGGGATGCATTGATAATTTTAGATTCTAGGGTTTTTGTTGTGACCGATGATTCTGAAGAAACAAAACATGTAGGTGAAGAAAGCTGCGGTGGAAATTGTTAGTGGATTAACTGGTTCCGAGGAAGGTTTACAATCTCTATCCAAGTATTCCGAGATTCTTCTTCCATCACTGTCTCGGCTTCTAAATGAAAGCAAGGTTCATTGGCTCAGCTCTAAAGAAGCACTGATTTTTTTTTCCTGGATTTGGATTGGTATTGATAGAGATTGAATAGTTGTTTTGAATTCAATTTTGCAGGAGGTATCAGAGCCAGCAGCTCAAGCTCTTGTAAATCTTTCTCAGAACTCTGAATTGGCTAGGAAGATGATTCAAATGGGTTTGATTAAAGTGGCTATGGACATGTTATATAACCCGGAGTCTTGTATTACCAGATTGCTTGTTATGCTTCTTGTTAATCTTACTCAGTTGGATGATGGGGTTTCTTCTTTGCTTCAGGTCGTTTATCATAAGTTTAATTTGTGTAATGGAGAGTGGGGAGTGCCTTTTGGTAGTCTAATGGTGACGTAGCTAATCGTGTAAAACTTTATGCCTTTGTTAGATTGACGATGAGAAGATGCATGGACTACATCTTATGAAGCTTGTTAGGTCATTTTGCAGGTCTTCTGGTGAAACTACTGGTATGTTGCCTTGAAGGTCTAGACTTTTAATGGTTGTCCCATTTATATTTTGGTTCTGACTCTTCTATGTTTCCATTTGGACCATTGAAGTGAGTCTCCACAATTCAAGGAAAGATTATGCGTAGTTGCTTACTAGTAGTTTTTAGTTTGCAGTCAAGTTCCATTGGTACTGTATAAATAGAGGAATGGATTACTGATTATTGGTCTTGTTTGTGCACCAGATGATCAGTTTGAGCATGTTGGCTCAATCCTTGTCAACATATCAAAAACAGAAGATGGGAGGAAATTGTTACTGGAGCCAAAGAGAGGACTACTAAAACAGATTATTAGGCAGTTTGATTCAACAAATCAATTGCGAAAGAAAGGGGTACGTGTAAAAGAGTTTGGCAGATTACTCTTTAATGAACCTGGTGCTTAATCTACCCTTTAAACTATTTAACATGGAATATGCTTATCGGCTTTCAGGTTTCTGGGACTATTCGTAACTGCTGTTTTGAAGCCAAAAATCAACTCCAGAATATACTCTTGATATCAGAGTTTCTCTGGCCTGCTCTGCTCCTACCAGTTGCAGGCAGCAAGGTTTGTTATTGATCTTGCTTTATAGCTGCGACGCTGTTGCTTAATAAGGTTTTCTTCTTATATGAGAAAACAGTTTTTGATTATTGGATTTTACTTTCCTTAGACATACAGTGAGCAAGATATTGCAAAAATGCCACCTGAGCTTGGAAGTGCACTTTCCATTGAGCGAGAACCAGTTACGGATCCTGACATTCGTGTTCAGACACTCGAAGCTATATATTTGATCATCTTAGAGGTATAACATTTGTCTATCTCGCTTTCCCTTCTTGTGAACTCTTGTGAAGGACCCATCAAACCCAAAACTTACAAAAGGTCCTCTGATATGTCATAACTACTTTTGATGTTGCAGGAGGCAGGTCGAAGGGCATTTTGGTCAGTCAACGGGCCACGGATTCTACAAGTGGGATACGAATATGAGGAAGAGCCAAAAGCAATGAGAGCCTATGAGCAAGTCGGTTCTTTGGTATGTTCACTCCCTCTAATGTCACTCACGCACTGACTCTACACGACTAAAGATAGCAGCACTAATAACTGTTGTTCGATGTGCCGTTTTAAACCAGCTTGTTGAAGAAGCTGGAGGCCCAGAAGAATCATTGGAGCCGACAAAACCAGAGTCTTGAAGTACATTATTTGTTGTCCTCGGGCTCTAGTCCCCATTTTTGCTGGCCCTCCCAAAGGAAGTTACTTGTCCTGTTTCATTCACAAAGTTGTCTTCTCTCATTTCTATGAAAGAGGTACTACTACATCTTGTGCGCTACTAGTTGTAACACTAGATTCGTTACTTACTTGTGGATCTTATTAGTGTTCCATTTTCTATTTTTTTGGTGTAACCTTATTTCATATTAGACATTATTGTATGTTATCTTCCTTACAACTATTTGTTTGTGGTATTATCTTACACACATTTGGCTACTTCCCTAATTGTTTTGAATCTGGATCTGAAATCAAACAGATAAGGTCTAATTAATCTACTTCTGAGTATAATTTTGACATATCTTATAGACTTATAGAAATTGAATAAACAATAAACACAAAATTATTGCCACCCCCACGAGGTAGCCACCAAATGTGTCTACAATTGTACAGATCAGAGAACAGAGAGGCAAAATCAAATCAATGATTTTGTTCTTTAGACTTTTATGTTTCTTTGGCATGTGTTCTAATCATATTTTAACCATTCGTATTATTAACTAGTTATTAATTAATTAGCACACATTAAAATTGAAACCAGTTGGCGCCTGCCTTGACCATTCCTTTGAAGCCACGTGGAAAATTCTCTATAGTTGGGTCCCACCTGAAAAATCATATTAGATCTCTCTTCCTCCTCTGCGTCTTCTTCTTCTCGACGACGAAGGAGAGAGAGAGGAGAGAGAAAACACCGAAGCGACGAAGAAGAAGATTCGAATCTAATCTCTCCTTCGTGTAGTTTAGCGAAGAGTGATGCGATTTTCTTCAACCGGTGTTTGATTTCGTTTTCTCGAGTTGTTGGGGAGAGATTGATTAGACTTAAGAGAATGATGGGTTTCGCGATTTCCGATGAATTTCTGGGGACATTCGTGCCGATTCTGGTGTATTGGATATATTCAGGGATGTACATTTGCTTAGGATCTTTGGATAAATATAGATTGCATTCGAAGATAGATGAGGATGAGAAGAATCTCGTTACCAAATCTGCCGTCGTCAAGGGCGTTCTTCTTCAACAGACTCTTCAGGCTATTATCTCCGTTATTCTCTTCAAGGTATTCAATCTCTCTCTCTCTCTTCCTTGAACATTGTGGCAGATCTGTGAATTTATAGGATTTTGGTTGTGGATTATGCTAATGTTGCTGTTGTCCTCCTTGTGCATCTTGTTAATCTAATGTTGTGGTTAGTGAACATATGTCGATGAGAATGAATTAGGGGTTTTCTTATTTCAAATCACCTTCTGTTGTCTTGAAGCTGTTGAATCAAGGTTACAGATTTAGGATGCAATAAGAATAGTTTAGATTCTGGAGATTGTTTGATGAAATTAAAACTTGGATCTCCTGTTTCGTGCTGGTTTAGATAGAGAATGTTTCACTTGAGATTCTCGAACATTAGGCGTTTACTTTACATAAGCTTATACGTCTAGATTTGTGATTTCCTTGTCTAACAGCTGAATAGTGCTTAGAGGAATACAACCTTTATCCTTCATCATTCACATGTGCAATTTTTTTTTTTCTCTTGCACTGGAGACCATTATAGATAGTCTTGGACTTTCTCACTATTCTTGTGTTTCAGAGTCATGAGCGTGTGATGTTTCTCTGTATTTTTATTGAGGTTTATAGTTCTCATGTTGTGTTACACTCTGGATTTGTTTGTTGGTTGAGCTTCATATATTAGCATCATAGAGCATTCGTTTCTTGTTTACCTGAAATTTTTGTTTTTTTGTTTTCCTTTAGATAACAGGAAGTGATGCAGATGTTGCTACGACACAGCAATTTTCCATTTTACTTCTGGCTAGGCAGTTTATCATCGCTATGCTTGTAATTGACACTTGGCAATACTTCATTCATCGATATATGCACCTCAACAAGTTCTTATACAAGCACATCCACTCTCAGCATCACCGCCTTATCGTGCCTTATTCGTATGGAGCTCTATACAACCATCCACTAGAAGGTCTTCTCTTGGACACTATAGGTGGTGCTTTGTCTTTCCTCTTCTCTGGTATGTCCCCAAGAACAGCCATCTTTTTCTTCTCCTTCGCTACCATCAAAACAGTAGATGATCATTGTGGACTATGGCTTCCGGGAAATCCATTTCACATCTTCTTCAGTAATAATTCTGCTTACCATGATGTTCACCACCAACTCTATGGAACCAAATACAACTTCTCGCAGCCATTCTTTGTTCTGTGGGATAGGATTCTCGGTACTTACTTGCCTTATTCACTTGAGAAAAGAGCCAATGGAGGATTTGAAACACGGCCAATCAAAGTATCCAAAGATGAGTAATTTCTCTTTCTTTCTCTTGGGGGGCTTCTTGTCACTGCTAAGTCATCATTTGCTCGTTAGAGAACCACTGTAACCTTTGGTACTTGTAACTGTACATACAATTCCAATCTATCCTTTTTCGATCTGCGGGCAGATGTTTCTGTGTAAGCCAGCAGTAAATTCATTTTGTAATAGCCAAAACTTCAGATCTTCTCTGTTGTTATTATCTGCTTTATAATTCCAGGTTTTGAGACTTGTGAGAGTCTCATCGATCTCCTTTATTAGGAATTGACATACACTGAGTCATTGATTCTTTCTTTTACGCAAAGGGCTTCTTGCTTTCGTTGTTCTTATCCTCTCTAAACATGGCAGCAACTGAGTAGTTTTTCTCTATGTAGTTAGTTTCATAGACTAATTAAAGTGATTGCTCAATTATTGAAAAAGTAGACCTTTGAAAATGATACAATAGTTATCTGCAAGATCCATTTATACTTTGGGACAAGGTTGATGTTTTCTTGACAAATCTAATTTCATCTGTTTCTGAAATCTGATATGCCATTTAAGTACCTTACTGGATTCAGTGTATTGGGTTTAATATCAAAAGGTTGTTTCTTAATTAGATCCAGCTGGTAAGATCTGAATCTTGAATTAGAACTTTAAATTGTATTACAACCAATCTTTTTCCCAAAACCTAACATTCCTCCTGAGTTGGTTACAGAGACATATCATCATCAATGGCACAATTAAGGTTTTGTCTACGTCTACTTTATCTCATTATCATCACATGGTCTTGACTCTTGAGATGAGTTCTGGACCAGAAGATTCTGGATTGGCTTTTAAGACATGTTAGGTGGAAGGACACTATCATTGTTTGATTGAGTTTCCTCATTAAAGGCTCTTTTAGGCAACTCGTACGGATTTAGATTAAACCGTTAAATCTAAGCCTAATGAGGTATCTTTCTATTCTTGAGACAAGCACTTGAAAATGAGGTGGACCAATTGTGTTTTGTGTCTAGTCTACGTGCTGCATTTAAATATGTCTCCTAAGTCAACAAAGGTTACAATCACATCTTAAAGTATCACATGGAATTGCAGTCTTTTTTTTTTTTTTTTTTTTTTTTTTTTTTGAATTGCAGTCTTGGTTATGTCTTATTTGTGGATTAGACCCAAGTGTCTATTGTTCACATGGTGCAGTTCCTGAATATCTCATTTGTGGTAAGCATAAGTTTTTTGAGGATTGATTGATGATAAAGATTGATTTGCACTTCTCTATCGACTTTCTTCCTTAATAAACCCGTTAAATCAAAATTACTGTTTTCAGGTACAAGAATATGAAGATGGTATAAGCAAATCAAATATTTTCCACTTAGTAGACATTACATGTAAAGCGAAAAGAGTTCGGATGTTTGACATCATTAAGTATACAAAAAAGGTGATTGCGTGTGAGAAACCGAACTACTGCTGATCCTCCTTCTTGTTTCAATGCTTGTTGGATTAGCTTCTACGGGGAATCTTGGAACATAACTCGGTGTTCTGTTCATGCTTGTGTACGAGTCACCAGAAACTCTGACAGATTTATGACTCTTGCATCCCATTAATAAACCGCCACTGCTCGATTTCCGTCTCTGAGGCGCGGTTTCTCGGTTTGATTTCGCCATGATAGGGATTCGAGGAATCTGAAAAGACCGGTTCTTTTTGACAGGACTCGTTGCACATTCAGACATAACAGAGAAATCCGCTACACTTGCCGTTACTACACTCCACTGTATGCTTACCTCACTTGGTGCATAACCATTCGGTGAGTCTGGATCACTACTTCCTTGCCTTGCAAGAAAGGGCTTTGCCTTCCCTGTTAAGCTCTCAATCTCAAAAAGATCCGTACTTACATCGCTCACACTCCCATCTTCTTCTTCTTCATGCTTCACAGAGAATCCATGTTCCTCTTTTTTCGCAGAGCTCGCGTATTCCCATGGGAATTTCTTCTGAATGATTCTCTTCTCAATAAGAGGAGATCCAAATATTTCCAGAGACTTCCTCTGCTCTAACATTGCTTCTTGTTGTTGTTGATGAATCTTCATCTCTGAGCTTAGATCTCCAGAGAAACTCAATTGAGTCCTGATCTTCTTCAGACCAGAGCTTCTTCTCTTCTCATCGACGACATCAACTGAACTCCAGTTCGAACACACACATCTGCAGCCAAGAGTAGCTAGAAAACTCTTCTTATTACTCACCTTGTGATTGCTACTTATATCCTTCTCCTGAAAGTAACTGTTGCAGTTAGAGTTGTTCTTGATGTTCTTCTTCTTCTCCATATATTTGTTCTGAAGCAACAAGCTCTGGCTATTCCAGCTGGATTCAGACCGAAGACTTGGAGTTTCCGAGGAATTCTTCGAGCTTTGCTTTGGAGGAACAAAGATTCTCTCTATTGGAACTTCTGGATCTGGCAGAGAAGACACAAGTCTAGGACTGTGGTCGGAATCCATGTCTCCATTGAAGTACTTCTCAGCTCCAAACACACTGATCTCCAAATCATCAGAAGCTTTCTTGTAATTAACTCCAAGAACATCATGGTTGATACCACTCATTAGGTTCTTCTGAGTGAGAGTATCTTCCTTGCTTATCAAGTAAGAGAAAGAAGTAGAAGAAGAAGAGAAAGGACCATAGAGATTGTTACTGTTATTATTATTGTTCATCATGAAATCAAAAGATACATTTGGAGTTGAAGAAGATGAAGTTAAGGTTACCATTTTCTCTTCTTGTTTTGTATTACTATTTCTTGGGGATGATTTAGATTTTGAGTAATATAAATAGAGGAAATGAGGAAGTTACTGGTTTTTTGTTTTTTTGAAGCTGTGTCAATTGTTGAATGTGTGGGTTCCATTACTGGGACAAGATTGCCTATTTGCCAGTGATTCTGTGCTAATGTATGTAAAAAATATTAATTATATTTTGTCTTGGTTATAAGGAAAATGAATTTTAATAAATGAAAATAAAATTAGTGGGTATGATTCTCCCAAGGAACAAAATTACAAATTAGAAGACACGAGGGATGTACGTATTTTGTGCTATACTACTGTACTGACAAAGACCTTTCGTCGAGTTAGTTGGTCGTTGAAGGGATTTGGGCCTCTAGTGACATAAATGGGCCTTAAGTGAACTACGTTGTTTTAAGCAAGTCGGGTTTTTTTCTACCCGCCCGTTTTAGTCGGATCTTATCCTCTTCCTCCTCAATCTGACAATTGTATTGCTTGTGTGGAAGTTCTCTAAGAACAACAGAAAAATTCAAAATGGTTTCGCAGATAATCTCGTGTCTATCTCAATCTCCGTCGCGTTTATGTTTACTCGACTCCCGGAGGCTAACTTTTCCGAAGACTTATAACCGCGGCGGTTTGAGCCGGTTTTCTCCGGGTTTTGCTAACCGCCGGTTATTTACGGTTAACCGGAAGAAATGGAGATCGGCGTGCATTTTCAACTCTGGGAAGGAACCTGGAGGAGAGGGAAAGGTTACTCTTACTCTGACTCTAGCTCAATTTTTCCTGTCTGGTTTCCGGTCTGAATTTTTTTGAGGCAGCTCTATGTCTTTTTGTTCATTTGAAACCAAATTCAATTGGATTTTGATAAAAGGTTAGGTTTTTCAGAGAAGATTTGAAGTTTTGATTGTTTTTTTAGTTACAAGGAGGTAGCTCAGAGTGGCCGATACTTCAGAGATGGGAAGTTCCATGGGGATGGCAGACAGTTTCGTTAACTTCGTTTGCTTGTGCATTAAGGTACTCTCATTAAAAGCTTTCCCTTTGGATGAATTTAGGGTTAGAGTTTGATGAAACATACAGTGGGTTTAGCTGTGATGGTTTATGGTTGAGTAGATTGTAGTTAATCACTCTGTTATGTTCAGTGACTATCCTCTGTATAAACAGATTTTTGTCTCAAGTTCTTAACTACTTTAATCTATGGAGTGAGATTAATTTTGTTCCCAGGCAGTTTTGTTTTGACAGGATTAACCGAGATGGCGGTCATACCGTTTTTAGGAATCGACGTTGAGAAACTGACCTTGGACGATAAGGCGGAAATTTTGTTCCTGGATCAAGGGTACAAACCACTACTATTCTTTGTGTATTCTAGTTACATATCCACAGTCTTAGCTCGTTTTACTTTGTTAATGTAAACTGATCATAGAATCTCAGTGCTTTAGCTGATTTCACATTGAAACTATGGTTAACTCTCTTGAGGTTTTAAGTTATGAATGGCTTATGTTGAATAACATTGTCTAAATAATTGGCAGCCTAACAACTGCGGTGGTACTTGCTGTCATATTCACTGTTGCCAAAACCTTCGACCCACTTCCTGAAGATATTCTTCGCTATGGTACTTCGCTTTTTTTTTTTTTTATCAGCATAGTCTTGCATGGTTTGCTCTTTTATTGGCATTTGACCGTTTGTTCAATCGTCAGATTTAAGACAACCCTTCAACCTGCAAAAAGGATGGCTTGTGTGGGGTGGAATCGGTCTGGTTGGTGCTGTTGGTGCTATTGCGTTAACAGGTGTTGTTTTATCAGTGTTCAGGACAGAGGCACCCGAAAGGGAGGTTAGGAGAATTCAAACCATGCTTTTTTTTTCTGAAGTATCTATCTGATGGATGATAGTAATGAGGCTTAGTGTGATATTTTCAGGTAGACTCTTTGATGAAGCTTCTCCCATTGATTGGATCCTCAAACATAAGGTATTTCCCTAAAGAAATGGAAACTGTGATGTGCATTGAATTGATACTAGAATTTGATCACATCACATATAATGGTTGTGCAGCACCTTAAGCTTAGTGGGCATCACTGGAATCCTTGCTCCACTTCTTGAGGAGACCGTATTTCGTGGATTCTTCATGGTGTCTCTTACCAGATGGTGAAACCTCTTTTCTCCTTCTCATTTGGTTCTCTGGACAAAAGCTTACTACATTTTGTTTTGTTCCACATTACAGGGTCCCGACCCCAATAGCAATCATCATCAGCTCAGCTGCGTTTGCCCTTGCCCATCTCACACCGGGTGAATTCCCGCAGCTGTTTATTCTTGGTAAAAATATAACTCAAAACAAAAGCATTAGCATCTTGTCATGGTTATAAACATCTCTGTTAGAAAAATAAGCATCTCATTATTTTTTCATTATAAACTTTCTTTTTTCCATTCGGTGTAGGAAGTGTTTTGGGATTATCGTATGCACAAACCCGCAATCTCATTACCCCGATGGTCATACACGGTTTTTGGAACTCGGGAGTTATTTTGCTACTCACTTTTCTTCAGGTAGAAAACTTATTCCTATAATCACTACAATGTCAAAATAACCTATCAAGTATCAACTCTTAACTTATGTCTGTTTTGTCTGTTTTTTTCTTGTAGCTCCAAGGGTATGACATTAAGGAACTATTGCAGGCAAACTAGCTCTGAGCTTTGTTCTTTGTGCTGTCCGCATTTAACATCAAAAACCTTCGTTATGTGATCAATTTTAGTAAGATCTTTTGTATTCGAGCGAAAATATCATACTTCATGCAATTTGAGCTTTTTTGGTCAAATTATCTTTATGTGATACTTAAACCTTATTACAACATCATGACAGTATTGTAGAAAAAAAAAATATTTATACACAGATTACAATCGAGTGTTAGTGAAAAACTTAATGCTACATTACAATTTAGGGACATTGAAAAAAAATAAGAAACTCTTAATTTCTACATACACAGAATCTTACATAGAATCGGATACTTAAAAGAAGCTCTGCGCTAAGTTAGGACACTCCTTGTTTGTAAGAAAGCAGTTTCAGAAGGACCTTCATGTAGATGTTGTGATGGTTCTTGTTGCTATCAAATCTTGATTAGTAATTTCACATCACATATGATTCAATGATTTCATCAGAAAAGATAGTTTCAATAGCTCTGCAAGAAGTGACAAGAAGAGATTCTTCTTTCTACTTATTGCAAACCACTCTTTTAACAGCAGTTCATGAATCTTTTTCTGATGAAATAATTGAAAAGCATACACCTGAAACTCTTAGAGTAGAACTATTAAAATCACGGTTCCATTGACAAATAATTAATCACTGCTCTGGGTTGCCGCGAGCTGAGCACCAACGCAAACCGAGTGGCCAAGGCCGCTGCTTCCTGTCTTTGTCTACGTCGATGCAGGATACTAATGGCTGATGCCATGATGTAGCAAGGAAGAAGAAAACTGGCAGCTCGGAGTAAGAAAAGCTGCAAAAAGATTTCAGATGATTTCGTCGTTAGGAGTTAGAACTTATACGAAACTTCCAGTATATGCTGGAAACAAAAAAGAAGGGGTAACTTGATTTTAAACTTACAGAAAGTATTGAAGAAGGGTCATCTTCACCATCTGCATAATCTGGTATAGTCAGTGCATGTCGCAATAGAAGAAGAGTCATCAACTGCAAAAGAGAAGACGAATTAGTAAAAAATTTGGGAGTGATTGAAACTTTTTGAGAAGCTTTAGACTTACTATTAGAGCAGCTGAGCGGAAAAAAGCAGCTCCATTGGTATCTGAAGCTGTATAATCATCATACTCCGATTCTAAAATCTGACGTTCGGCTTCTGCTATTGCTAAGAGACGTGGATCATCTAAATCCAAACCTGAGATTCTCCATCCTCCACTAAGAAAAAAGGAGAAATAAGTCAGAACAATTACAAGTCATAAAACCAAACCTTTAGAGTATAACAGAAATATGAAATTGATCATACCCAATGTCAATAGTAGTTTCTTCTGATTGAGGTGGAGGTGGTGGTGAGGTATATCCAGCTTGGTATGGCTGGAATAAGAGGAAGATAACATGGGTTGAATGATCTAGCATCGAGTAAAAGTCTCAAGATAAACCGTATAAAATGCATAATCATAGTGTCTTCTATAGGTTCAGTTTCTAGCAGACCTTTCTTTGATACTAAAAGATTACAACAAAAGTCTGCGATTATCGAGAGAAAGCTGTATATACCTGATGACAGATTTCGCATATAGTGTTTCCCTTTTCATTGCACCAACGTTGAACACATTTTCTGTGAGCATACTGATCATCAAACCATAAAAGTTTTAAGTCAGTACTCACAATTTTTCTCAGCTTTTCCTTGATAACATTTTATCTATAGGAAAAAGAAACTACCTTTAAGCTGCCATTGCAAGCACATGGACTCTCAAGATTCTTAATATCACATTCCTCTTGGCAAATACGACACTCCGTAGTATCTCCGTCGTAGATATCAATTGCATTATCCACCGCTACAGCCGGCGACTCTGGTCTCATATTCTCTGCCTCCGCGAGAACCGGTCGTATCAATCCATTAACATATACAACCGTGTGATTACTCATCTCAGTGTTTCTCAAAACCACTGGCACGAAATCCAAATTGAAATCCCTAAATACGAAAAACAACAAATTCACAAGTATATGAACTCTAATCAGACACATGTGTTACGAATCGCAAGTAAAAGCAAAGATCACGCCGAGGAAAACAAAGAAGATCGAGATTTTCGGAGAAAACGATATAGTACTAAATCTAAAAAAAAAAATAAAAAAAATCACCTGGTAAAATTTGGGAATTAGATGTTAATGGAAAGTTTTTCTCGTCCGTAGCTGAAAAATCGGGAGGAATGTGAGAAGAGACGCAAAAAGATTTTGCTCCCAAGAAAATTTTCTTGGGAAAATGAGAGAAAGTTTCTTCACAGAGATTATTTTCCCGGAAATCAAGCTAATGGAAAATGGCTTTTTATAGCGGGAAAGATAACGACGTCTGAAAAGACTAACGGATGGCTCCGTTAGTTATAGCCGTTGACCAGAGAAGTATAACGGCTCCTAGTGGCGATCTTAAAGTAGTCTGTTTTTATTTCCTTGGGTCTTTTTCTGACAGCATCTAGTAGTCTTTTATTAACAACATGTTGTTTAATTATAAGTAAAAAACTAAGTCATATAACTCCAAATAAATGAATAATACAGCCGTTTATTCTCATATTTTATTGTTTTAATCCCACGATCATTTCAAAACTCGGATTAAAATTAAAAAAAAAATTAAACAAAATAACAGAAACAATGCAAAACAAAGGAATATTCTTTGTTATATCTAAAATGACAATTTAATAATCAATTTTTTTGTAAAATGTAACATTGAGTATAAACTATTATCAAAATAAATTTTAAAAAAAAACTATTATCACAATTAAATAATTTTAAAATACTATTATATAAATTATCTACATTTCATTCTCATCAATAATACTCTGCATTATACATTCTGTTGTATTATAGTATTTTCACGCATTATAATATAGATATTTATATTAGAATGGATAAGGTTATTGGCAAGATACAACTATGAAGAATTAGATTCATTAAAATAAGTAAACACTTGATCTTTTCTCACTAACAAACATTTTGTTCGAAGAATATTATATAGAGAACTCACATCTAATTTTTAAGAACTATATTAATGTGGTTGACCATAAATGATCATGTAGCATACATGTCGAATTGTATCTATATAGTCCTAGTTGTACGGATTGAAATTTATTGACCGTTGAGCTATTCCTTATTGAAATTGTCAACTGTTCAATTAGGAAAGATTTAACAAGAAAAGACATGGTCACGTATACATATATTTCTATATATAATCTGACACAGATAGACTCCTTTAAAGTTATACAAAATTTTGGTTAATAAGCTTCTCGAACCAAGAAATGTATAGTTTTTAGGAATTGTATCATGTCTTCTCGACTTATGGCGGAATTTAGATTAATTTTGCGTAAGAGCCAAGACCCGGTTCTAGCTATAATTTTTTAAGATCTAAAGCAAATTATGAAATGTGGTTTTACATTTTTCACCCGGTTTGGAAACGATTTATCACCGAGCATTGAATTCTCAACAACAGACAATTTTAAATACATAATTTTAAGTCTACACAATCTTTGATATCTACAAAATAGAGAAGAAAGGGAAAAGAAAAGAGTATATAATTAATATAGATTATACACTTTTTGCAAAAAAAGAAGAAGAAAGATTATGGGCTTCTATGATTCTATCTATCAGCAGAATGAACCTTTTTTCCTCTATACGTACTATATAATAATTTCTACGTAGAATTCGGGCTAAGAAGCTAGTGGCAATATTTATCTATTGTATTGTTGTTGACTTGAATAGTTCAAAGAATGTAAAGTCAAGTAAACAAAAAGTAATAATAAAATTATATAATTGGCATTTCAAACAACCGTAAGGTCGCGAAGTTGTCTTACAATGTCGAAATTATACACATACCGCCACATACATATATTACCGACAATGAACATCGTAAAATCTATCACACACAAATAATAAATTGCACATATACAGCCACATATTGGCGTTACTTTTATTATGAGTTATTCCACAAAAGGAAATGTCGCCTATGGTTTCAAACACAATGTAACGTAGAATACAAGTTTCAAGCACAATGTAACGTTAAATACAAAATATGATATCATATTTTTGTATTTGGCTACATTACTTAAAGCCAAGCATTTTTCTAGATTTACCATTGTAATCAGAAGTGGGTGTGTGAGTATTCAGTATAAAAGCCCCTAATGCCCAATCTAGTGGTATGTCTTCTTCTCCAGCTTTACTCGCATACTTGATTCTGCAAACAAAACCAAAATAGTTTTTGTTTATATCTGTCACAAAACCAACATCAATTGATCTTGAACTTGTGCAATAACATTTACCTTTCATCATCAAGAGCAACACCAAGACTATCGTGTAGCATTGAGATAATATATGCTGATGAGAAGCAATAACGATGCAAATATTTGTCTTTAGTTGTTGGGTATTTCTCTTTCAATTTCGACCATTCTTCTCCACAGAAATTCTTTCCGGCTGGAATCATTTCAGACAGCCAATTCTTTTCTTCCAACCCAAGGAACTAATTCAGACAGAAACATAAGAACAATGTTCAAAACATTTCTCCACAGAAATCTTTACGTCCGTCGACCAACATACATTCATGGGATTATTACCTTGGAGGTGTGGTAGAAATTTTCTGTAGCCAAAAAACTTCCTTGAAGATTAGGTGTGAATGTTGATCCAATAGAACAATGCTTATAAGCACAATTCTCTATACACAAAAATGCAAAAAAATATACCCATAAGAGATCAAGATTCCCATTATTAATCAGCTATACAAGTAATGCTATTTACCTTTTCCTTCCTGCAACATTGCTGACGTAGCGGATCGGCATTTCGAGAAATCACCAGCAGCTTGAACTTGAAGGGAGGCTTTAAATTTGCTTTCTTCAGCTAAGAATCCGGATGAATCTTTCTGTGAATTTGTGTCGTAGATGTACCCTTTAGGAGTACAAGGGTCTTCAACTATTCCATCCCCTGTAGAGTCTGCTACTGTATGGAATAAAAAAACCAAATGAGTTTTGACGGAAAAGAAGATTATTTCAAACTCAAGACTCAAGAGAGTAATTACTAACTTTAACAAAAAAAAGTTCCAATTTTAGTATAGACTAATGATTTCACTTTAAGGATTTATCAACAACTAGTACCTGAGTTCTGCAGTGATTCCAATAACTTGTCTTGTGCTGCATCCTGCATGACACAACAAAAGTTAGCTTCTTCGAAAAGTAAACAATTTTTTTTTGTTAGCATTTCTAAGGAAATTTTAAAATTCAGATAATACTTAGCATAAAACTGTGACGCAATTACACTAAGTTTCCGGATAACTTTTAAAAAAGGATGAATCAAATTGAAAACAAGTATTCAAAGACATTTAGACAAATGCTCTGCTCTCAGAAAGTCAGAAGTTACCTGTCCAAAGTCGAGGAAACTGTGACTGTAGATTGTGTATGAAACATTTCCATAAGATATGATACGCGAGAACTCAGGAGGCACATGGTCACTTGGCACAAATGTCACCTAAACAAGCACAAATTAAAAAGCCGTCGCTTACAATCAAACATTTAACCTTATTAAGTCAGGTAAATGGTACTATATTAGTCCCGTTCGTTTTTTCATCCGTATGTATCCATTAAAAAAATGTGGAATCCCGTTATCTAGTAAACCAATTTCGACGGGAAACATAATTCTGTAATTTAATATAAGAACTGAAATGATTTAGGCTATAGTAGAAGTGTTTTTTAGTCCAAAAGTATCTTTGTCTTTGATAGTTTTGGACATCCAAACTCTACTAATTTTCATTGTATCCGTAAAAATCCAAATCTTTTGGATGCAATTCATAATACATCCAAATTAAACTCACATATTTTGACAAAGGAACAGAGTCAATTACTTTCTTCTGGATAACAAATTTTATGGGGGAAGAGACTAGACCTGCGCAGAAGCCCCGCCGAGTTCAACAATTCCCGTTGTTTGCAATGGATCACCTCCAAGCGAACCGAGTGCGTGATTAGCAACAACCCAAGCATATACACCTTCATCAGATCCTGAATAAATTTTTTTTCCAATAATTAATTAGGACTTCCAATCGCCAATGGATGGGCACATTTAGTATCAATCAACTAAGCTAAAATATAAATGAAATCAAAATCCTTATTGCAACATATATATACAAAACACTCCAACAATACTAACAACAAGAGTTACAAGTGCACCAAAGAAAGGTAAACTCCCACAATGTATAATTGCATTTGATGGAATGAAGAATTGATTCCGAAAACTAACCAGAGATAACAGAAGCCCATTCGTCTTGAAACTTAAACCCAGAAGATCTAAGAACTCTTCTTGTAACATCAAGAATCTGTTCTTGAACAGGCACTTCAAGCAATCTCATCCCAGCAGTCGCCATTAACCTAATGTCACTCTTCTTCAACATTCTCTTGGGAATTCGTCCCTTCGCGAATTCCACAAGCTTCGTCACTGACACGCTCGCTCCCTCCGGATTATCAGCATACGAAGACAAACCAGGACTCAACTTCAGACTAGCGTAATGTTCTTCTCCGAAATCGAAAACTGGTTTTCCGGACTCAAGCCAGTACCCGAACACATGAATTCGGGTCCCTGAACTCCCGGCATCGATAATGACACTATACCGAAGCGAACTTCTCCGGATAAAACTTCCAGAGAACAAAACTGAATTGGAACTGAAAACAAATAATAACCCTAACGTGATAGCCACGGAAGCAACGATTAGCATGATAATCGGTTTCGTGGCTTTCTTCGACTTGGGCTTAGTGAGCATGTACGTGGACGAAGGCGATGATTGGTTACCAGGTAGAATCTGAACCTTGAGAGCATCCATCTCCGATTTTATTTTTTCAACCTGGAACGTACAAACATAGCATCAGCTTTTAAGGAACCCTAACGTAAACTGAGAAGATAATTTATAGCAATAGCAATAAACGTAGTGAGGAAAAAATAAAAACGTAACCCAATAGCAATTTCGTTTTGCCTCTTTTTCTTAGTCTAGAATCTGATTTTTATAATTGGTGAGGAATAGGAGTCCAGAGGAAGACCTATAACTACAAGTTCTATTCTCTAGACCTACCATAAAATAAATTCTACACCTACTCTAAAGAATATCTATATATATTATACGCAACCAATCATCAAGGATAAGAAACTAGTGGTATCTGGGAATCGAATATCTATTATTTTGTTGTATACTTAAATGTTTAAATAAAGTAAAAGCCAATTTAAAAAACGTGTGCAAAACAGAAGGACATGCGAACAAACGATCATCACTCGCGGTGGGACGATTTTTTAACCAGTCCCATGCATAATTGCTTCATAATCTTAGATGTTGTGTCCATTATCTAATTCACAATGAAAACAAATAACCAACAAACAATATTGAATTCTATGTACCAGATATAACTTTGTTTTATACTTTTATGGGCCAACAGGTCGGATGTTTCTTTCTTACTGTGCTGTCTCATGTTTTTTTGGGTCTAATTATATCCAAACTTTTTTATGAGTAGCTCACCTTTTTTGTTTCCCCTTTTTTTCCATTCTCTTTTTGTTTGTACTCGTCAACTTAATTAGAAACATTAATTATTGAGAAGAAACCAACAAAGAGTTTATTACAATAATACAATCCCACAAACGAGAAGAGACAATCCCATATATGCAGGGGAAGATATACACACCTACGAAGGGGCTTAGCTAACTTATTTCATAAAATAAAAAAAAATAAAAAAAAAAACACGACGACAATAGTTTCAAACACAATTTAACGTAAAACACAAAATTATGATTTCTATTTTGTATTTGGCTATACGTTAATTAAAAGCCTAGATATTTTCTAGATTTACCATCGTAATCAGAAGTGGGTGTGACAGCATCTAGTATAAAAGCGCCCAATGCCCAATCTAGTGGTATGTGTTTTTCTCCTGCTTTATTTGCATACGTGATTCTGCAAACAAAACCAACATATAGCTTTTATTTATACATCTTTGTCCAGAAATCGACATTGATTGATATAAATGTTCTTGAATTTATGCAGTAGTACTTTTACCTTTCATCATCAAGAGCAATACCAAGACTATCATGAAGCATTGAGATAATATATGCTGATGAGAAGCAATAGCCACGCAAATATTCTTCATCAGTTGTTGGGTATTCCAATATCAGTTTCGACCATTCTTCTCCACAATATCTCTTTCCAGCTGGAATCAATTCAGACAACCAACCCTTTTCTTCCAACTCAAAGAACTGATTCAGATTAATTTCATACAAGAACATAAGACGTTGTTCAAACAATTTCTCCCTCAAAAATTCATACATATAATCTTGACGTCATGAAATTATACCTTGGCGGTGTAGTAGAAATTTGATGTAGCCAAAAAACTCCCTTGAAGATCAGGTGTGAATGTTGATCCAATAGAACAATGCTCATATTGACAGTTCTCTGTACACAAAGTACCAAAACTACACCCATAAGAGATCAAGAAAATCGATAAGAGGATAATATTCAGCTATACATACCAATAATGCTCTTTTTTACCTTTTCCTTCTTGCAAAAGTGCAAACGTAGCTGATCGGCATTTTGAGAAATTACCAGCAGCTTCAAGGGAGCCTTTAAGTTTGCTTTCATCAGCTAAGAATCCGGATGAATATTTTTTTGAATTTGTGTCGTAAATGTACCCTTTAGGAGTACAAGGGTCTTCAACTATTCCATCCACTGTAGAGTTAGCTGTATGGATTGTAACACCGTATGAGTTTTGAGAGAAAAATGATATTATTTTTTTTTTTTGAAAAAGAGAGAAAAATAATATTATTTCAATTGCCTAAACTCAAAAGTGCAATTATAACGATTTATCAACAACAAGTAACCTGAGTTTTGGAGTGTTTCCAATAACCTTTTTACTGCTGCATCCTGCAAGGAGATACAAAAGTTAATATCTTTTAGAAAATTAACAAATTTGGTAGCATTATCTACAATTTTGAGGGGAAAAAAGGAAAAAAAAAATTCAGCATTTTAAACACAAAGGAATCAAAAGGCAAATGCTTTTGTCTCAAAAGTTACCTTCCCATAATTGAGGAAGCTGTGACTGTAGATTGTGTATGAAACATTTCCATAGGATATGGTACGCGAGAACTCAGGAGGCACATGCTCACTTGACACAAATGTGACCTTAAAAAATGCACAAACTGTCATCGCTAACAATCGACCATTTACCACAGTTGAGGTGATCGTAAGTCTAAAAAAGGGCATTACAAGCCACGTTCGTTTCTTAATCCGGACGTGCATCTAAAGTCAACACCTAGATTCAGATCTAAATGTAGTGTTCGGTTGTTGTTCGTTTTTTTAACCAATTTTTGCATCAAAAATGTTCGTTTATAAATTTGTAAACAAATCTAAACACAAAATGTATCAAATAAAAACAAACGTCAAATCACATTTTTCTGCCAACATTATTGACGGAAAAACGGGATTCCATAATTTTAAATCGTTGGAAAGTAAAAAATTTATGCACAAAACTATCAAATGACTAACATACCTACATTTATACAAAGAAAAAAAGCAGCTCTATATAGCTTAAATGTTTGCATGTTTTTGTCTATCATCAAACGAGAGAGAAGAGACTAACCTGCGCAGAAGCCCCGCCGAGTTCAACAATCCCCGTTGTTTCCAACGGATCAGTTCCAAGCGAACCGAGTGCGTAATTGGCAATAATCCAAGCATATATACCTTCATCAGATCCTGAATCATTTCCCAATAATTAGCACTTTCAATTTATCGAACGAAGAAGAGTTGATTCACAATAAAAAAAAAAAAAACTAACCAGAGATAACAGTAGCCCATTCGTCTCGAAACATAAACCCTGAAGATCTAAGAACTCTTCTTGTAACATCAAGAATCTGTTCTTGAACAGGCACTTCAAGTAATCTCATCCCAGCTGTCGCCATTAACCTAACGTCACTCTTCCTCAACATTCTCTGGGGAATTCTCTGCTTGGCGAATTCCACAAGCTTAGTCACTGACACGCTTGCTCCCTCCGGATTATCAGCATACGCCGACAAACCAGGAGTTAACTTCAGATTAGCGTAATGTTTCTCTCCGAAATCGAAAACGGGTTTCCCGGACTCAAACCAGTACCCGAACACATGAACTCGGGTCCCTGAACTCCCGGCGTCGATAAGGACGCTGTACCGGAGCGTACATCTCCGGCCAAGCAAACTTCCGGAAGATAGAACTGAATTGAAAACATATAATAACCCTAACGTGACAGTCACGGAAGCGACAATTAGCAGGATCAATGATTTCGTGGGTTTCGACTTGGGCTTCGTGAACGTGTAGGGCAATGATTGGTGGTGCTCAGGTAGGATCTGAACCTTGAGAGCATCCATCTCCGGTGTCATTTTTCAACCTGGAAGGAGCATGATATCGTTGCATTAACGTCTAAAGAACCGTAACGAAAACTTATTAACAAGATAATTTAATTTAGCGATAAACGTAGTTAAAAAAAGCGTAACGCAATAGCAATAGATGTAGTGAAAAAAACGCAAGAAAATAAGAAACGTAACCTAATTGCAGCAATTTCTTTTTGTACCTTCTTCTTAATTAGTCTAGAATCTGATTATTCAAAACGGCCGTTCAAAAGACCTATAACTTAAAGAAGTGTATTAATTTCTATACACCTCCATATTGGCTATTATATAATATATTCTACATCTACTCTATAAAATAAATTATAGTACGGGTCAATATATAATTGAGGATATGAGAAATTAGCTAGTGGTAATTTGATAATCAACGAGCTATTAATTTTTGACGTAGACTTGAACGGTTAAAAAAACGTGTCTAACCTAACACAAAAGGATACAGTAATCACTAGCGGTGAGGTGAGTCAGTGTCTCTCCTACTCGTACACGCACGAGTATCTTCGTTGTTTAGCGTATGGTCCCCATCAAGAGTTCAATTTTGGTCGAGCCATGCACGTTTGCTTCCAAATATCACAAAACCATCTCCGATATCCGACTTGAACAATCGAAGTGAATCTGTACACAATCTCTCTATAAGCTCATTATTGTGCATCATCAATTAGTTATGAGTTGTCTATCATTATAAGATAAAAACAAAATATCAATTAGTTGTCTATCATTTATAGCGTGGTGGACACAAAATGAATTTTTAAATCGGTCTTAAATTGTTAAATTATAAATTTTATCGGAGACTAAGTGATGATACGCGTGTTGACAGTGTAAATCACATCATAATCGTCTTGACTTTCTTTCTCCAATCGACCTTGATCTTGTCCTTCATTGATTGTTTGAGAAGTTATTGCAGATCAACGGTTCTTGATCTTGTCTCTCATTGATTGTTGATAAATTATTGTAAGTTTACACTTCATCTTACACTAACACTGATTGCTTCATTGCTTTCGTCGAGTAGATGGATTAAGTTTGACTTTCTGATTTTGCTTCCATGATTGTTAACTTTTTTTTTGCTGGAACCAAGAATAAAGTTTAAATTTTTGATTGTAAACCTAATATTTTCATTATCAATAAATATTTACATTTCTTAGCAAAAAAAAAAAAAAAAAGTGTACATCTCATCGGCTCTTGATCTTGTCTCTCATTGGTTGTTGAGAAATTATTGGTAACTAAAGCTTTTGATCTATTCTTCTCAAAGTCCTCTACGTTGAATCTTATTATTCTCTATCTTAGGTAAGCTTGATCCATGGTTCGTTTTTATTCCTTTGTATATAACTTTATAACACTGTTTGCTACTCATTTGTGATATTTAACATGCATTTATAACACTTTTCTTAACTAAAAAGATTTAAAATTTATGTAAAAATTGTAGAAATTCCACACAAACTAATTAAAATTGGTCTTCAAATTTTTTATAGGTAGCGAACTAATTCACAAAAAGAGATTAATGAAGTCTGTAGCTTCAAACACGAGTTGACGTAAATACATATGCATGGTAATAATTTACTTGTTTGATCTGAAAACAATCTCATTTTATACCGTAATTTCATATTTTGTATTTGGCTACATTACTCAAGTCAAGAATTTTTCTAGATTTACCACTGTAATCAAAAGTGGCTGTGGCAGTATTAAGGATAAAAGCACCCAATGCCCAATCTAGTGGTATGTCTTCTTTTCCTGCTTTACTTGCATACTTGATTCTGTAGACAAAACAAACATGGTTTTTCTTTATATCTTTGTCACAAAACCAACATTGATTGCTCTTGAACTTGTGCAGCAACATTTACCTTTCATCATCAAGAGCAACACCAAGACTATCATGAAGCATTGATATAATATATGCTGATGAGAAACAATACCGAAGCAAATTCTCGTCCTTAAATGTTGGATATTTCACTTTCAATTTCGACCAATCTTCTCCACAGAATCTATTTCCGGCCAAAATCATTTCAGACAGCCAATCTTTTTCTCCCAACCCAAAGAACTGATTCAGACAGAAATAAAAGACCAATGTTCAAACAATTCTCCCGACGGAATCTTGATATCGACCAACATGAAATTCAAAGGATTATACCTTGGAGGTGTGGAAGAAATTCTCTGTTGCCAAAAAACTTCCTTGAAGATCAGGTGTGAATATTGATCCAATAGAACAATGCTTATAAGTACATTTCCCTGTACACAAAGTGCCAAAAGTACTGCACCCATAAGAGATCAAGAAAATTGTACACGAGGAACGATAATCAGCTATACCAATAATGATGCTCTTACCTTTTCCTTCCTGCAACATGGCAAATGCAGCAGATCGACACTCTGAGAAATTACCAGCAGCTTGAAGGGGGGCTGTAAAATTGCCTTTATCAGCCAAGAATCCAGGTAAGTCCTTTTGTAAATTTGTTTCAAGGATGTACCCTTTTGGAGTACAAGGGTCAGGAACTATTCCTTCCCCTGTAGAGTTTGCAGCTGCTAGGATTGAAACACTGTATGAGTTTCGAGGGAAGAGAAGTTTATTTCAACTGCCTGAACTCCAAACTGCAATTGTTGTAAGGATTTATCAACAACTAACCTAAGTTGTGTAGTGATTCCGATAACTTTTCTTGTGCTACATCCTGCAGAGGCGACTAAAATTAATAGCTTTTTGAACATTACTATGGATAAAATCCTTTGATCACTAAGTAGCAAATAGGGCCAAAACTACATTGAGTTTCCAAACACCAAACTTTTGAAAAAGGCCAGCCAAAGAAAACAACTTCTCAAAGAGAAAAAAAAAACTCTGCTCTCATGAGTTACCTGTCCAAAATCGAGGAAGCTGTGAGTGTAGAGATTGTATGAGACATTTCCATAGTCTAACGAACGCGAGAACTCAGAAGGCACAAGCTCACTTGACACAAATGTCACCTAAACGAATGTATATACAGTCATCACTTACAATTAATCTATTACCACACAGTTAAGGTTTATCCTAACTCCTAAGTGTGATAAATGGCATTATACGCATATATTTTTATCGATAAAACAGATTTGACAAGAGATTAAACCTGGGCAGAAGCCCCACCGAGTTCAACAATTCCAGTAGTTTTCAAAGGTTCACCTCCAAGCGAACCGAGTGCATGATTAGCAACAACCCAAGCATATACACCTTCATCAGATCCTGAAAATTTTCCAAGATTTCTAGTAATTAACATCAACAAACACCAATGAATGTGATACATTTACTATCACTCACCTAAGCTAATATAGGAAAAAAAATGAAACTCTAATCAAAAGTCTCATTGCAACATAAATCCAAACTTCAACATCTCAATCAAACACTATCCTTTACTTCCACAATGTAGAGGTCAGTGATCAACCTAAGATTCCCTAATCAAACAAAAATTGAAGAATTGATTCCGAAAACTAACCAGAGATAACAGAAGCCCATTCCTCTCGAAATTCAAACCCAGAAGATCTAAGAACTCTTCTAGTAACATGAAGAATCTGTTCTTGAACAGGCAATTCAAGCAATCTCATTCCAGCAGTAGCCATTAACCTAATGTCACTCTTCTTCAACTTTCCCTTGGGAACTCTCTTCTTCGCAAATTCCACAAGCTCCATCACTGACTCACTCACTCCCTCCGGATTATCAGCATACGCAGACAATCCAGGACTCAACTTCAAACTACCGTAACTCTCCTCTCCGAAATCGAAAACCGGTTTACCGGATTCAATCCGGTACCCGAACACATGAACTCGGGTCCCTGAACTCCCGCCATCGATTATGACGCTATACCGGAGCGAAACGCTCCGATTTCTTCTTGAGCTTAAAATTGAATAGCAAACAAAGAATAATCCCAAGGCAATAGTTACACAAGCGACGATTACGAAGATAATCGATTTGGTTCGTTTCGACTTCGGTTTGGCGACGGTGGACGGCGATGATCGGTGGTGGCCAGGTGAAGTCTGAACCTCGGGAGGATCCATCACATCTGATTTGGATTTCAACCTGGAACGAGCATTAGACTGTTGCATCAAGGTTTAAGGAACCGCAACGAAAGCGGATAAGGGATCATGGAGATCTAATCGTGACGCAAACGAAACGTAAATCCAGTAACTGATTATTTTGTATGAAATCTGACGTTTCGAATTCTTAATCGGGGATCTAATTTTATAATCGGAGATTGGCAGTGATATCGGAGACCGCCGAGCGCCGATGAAGCTCGTCGCTGCTGCTCTCAGTCTCCGTTTTCGTAGTGGAGAAGAAATTTGGTCGCTGGAGTGGAGCGCCTTTTTACGAATTACACACCTATTGCTCACAAATTCGGACCGGGTCGGGTCGGGTCGTTTCGGGTCACATTCAAAACCATTTGATTATCGGGTCCTTCTGAGCGATACAGACCGGTTTTAAGTTAACGCGGGTGACTCCGGTTTTAACTAATCGTAGTATCAAGTCTATCTTTCGTAGACCGGACCGGTTTAAATCTATATGCTTAAATCTGTAAACGTATCTACACGGACCGACGAACCGAACTTTATCCCATAGGGATCATCTTTTGTTGGAAAATAAATGACTAGTCTTAAATTTTGTTTGACGGAAAAAATGGGTCTAAACGAATAATATTTTGTTCGTGTTTCTTAATTTCAGATATACTGAATGATAACTTAAATTACGACCACTTGATCAGTACATACTACATATCATCAGTAAGCACGTCTTAATCAACGGGAAGTGGATTAGTAGTGCTTGCAAATTACAATTCCACGTACCTTCCTTCTCCTCCATTATTCATTAATTTTCTATGTTCAACTAGTATTAACTAGCTAGTATAAAACATGTTTAACGCTAATCGTGGGCAGATCCTTAACAATTAATAATGAGCCTACATTTGACCCATTCTCACAGTATTAATTAGCATATAATTCATAATTCCATGTTAAAATGTACATTAGTTGGTTATATTTGAGATTTTTTTTGAAGCTTGGGTCATGTGCTCACATGCAGTAACGTACGTTAGTTAAATACAGGTATAATTAATTTCTTCCCATATTTTTAAATTAGTTAAGCATAGAAATGGATATCTCTCAGAAATATTTTCAAGTCAATCATTTTTCTCTTATCTCCACTGGGATCAATCTGCCGAATGACTTGGTCTTTTTATAAAATAAGTGATAGTTGGTCTGCGATCCTTGGATATACCAAATGCGATAGGGGATATTGAGATTTAAGTTTACTGTCTACTTGTAAAACGTACAAAAATGACTTTTCAAGGTCGCCAAATATAAAATTATTTGCTTAAGAGAATATGCGAATCTCTTAAATAATCACAAAGACACTTATAACTATAATAAATAAATGAATAACTAATTAAAAATGGTATTACAAGGGATATGTAAATTTTTTTTTTTTTTTGATAAACCCAGGGATATGTAATTCATCTGTCTATAAATTTGAAGCCAAAACGTCGTAATCATGCATCGCAGAAACAAAGAGAAGAAAAGATGGGAGCAAAAGGTTGGTTTATCCTCAAGCTGCTAATGTTTCAAGGTCTTTTCGTTTCACGTCCGCAAGAAGACTTTGATTTCTTCTACTTAGTTCTTCAGGTATCTACTCTGATTCAACCTAATCCAATAATCATTTTTTTTTTTACAAACAGATGTATAAACCGAATTTGAAACAATTATGAATTTGCTGCAGTGGCCAGGAGCCTATTGCGATACAACGCGTGCTTGTTGCTATCCAACATCCGGTAAACCCGCAGCAGATTTTGGTATCCACGGTCTATGGCCTAATTATAACGGTGGTTCATGGCCATCAAATTGTGATCCCGACAGCCAATTTGATAGATCTCAGGTATATATGTATATATATAAATGATCGTGCAATATTCCTTAATATTTTTTAAACAATGTTTTTTTGATATTATGAATATGAATGTATAGATATCGGATCTCGTAAGTAGTTTGAAAAAGAATTGGCCAACACTATCATGTCCGAGCAACGAAGGGTTCAAATTTTGGGAACACGAATGGGAGAAACACGGCACATGCTCCGAATCCGTAATGGACCAACATGAGTACTTTGAAAATGCTCTTAAACTCAAAGAAAAAGCCAATCTCCTCCAAATCCTCACAAACTCCGGTATATGAAATCACTATGTAAATGTACTATGCATGTATACATTTTAAACTCAGTGACCTTATTTTTGATGTTGTGAATGTAGGAATTAACCCGGATGATGGATTCTACAGTCTGAAAAAGATCACCAATGCGATAAAAAATGGGATTGGATTTACACCAGGAATCGAATGTAACAAAGATCCGGAGCGTAATGACCAGCTTCATCAGATCTATATTTGTGTTGATACATCAGGAACTGAATTTATCGAATGTCCAGTTTTGCCTAGAGGAAGATGTCCATCTCAACTCCAGTTTTCTAAGTTCTAATTATATCTTGACGTGATCTTAATTATGTCTCTTCTGTTGTTATCTTTCCTAATTTCTCTTCTCTTTTTTAGAGTCCAAATTCATGGGGACTCTAAAAAGTAATATTATGTTTTTATCTCAAATTTAAATAAGATCAACTTTGATATAATCGGATGTGGAATAAATCATAGTGTAATATTCTTAATGCAGCGTACGTTTCATGAAACTTCAACCCAAATGCATCCTAAAAGTTACTTTAAACCCGTTTCAACCGAATTTGGTTAGTCACGGTACAATAGTTTTTTAATGTGATGAGGTATTATTTATTTATAGAGATAATCCGGATGTAGAATCGTTTTAATCTCCTTTTGAGGGCATAACGGATTCTGTGTCACTCCTTAAATTGACTGCTAATGACTCCGGTTTAAGCCAATCGTACCAAGTGTATCGTTGCATGGACCCGGTCCATTAAGCTTTATAAAGAGAATGATATACCATCATTAACGGTGCCTATATTCGATGTCTTAGTATTGTTATTAAACTGTTTTATACATATATTCACAAGTGGAGAAACAAGTTGAGAATAATAAATTTAATAAACAAACATACTGTAATCAGTGTTTTAAAAAACGATCTACACGATGGTTCAAACCCGTTTAGACGCTAAACGTTTAAGTGGCCGCCTAAAATTACATAAATTTTGTTTCAGTTTTCTTAATTTTTAACTACATAAATTTAAATTAGAAATTTTAGCTCTATAAATATTGTTTGACATGACTTAAATAATTTTTTTTGTCTAATTTTAGTTTATGATTTAAGATTTTTAGTTTTTTATAGAGTTTTATATAATTTTTTGTCTAATATTCATCAACACTCAGTGAGTCAGTGTAATAACAAATTAAGAAAACATATTGTTTATATTCATTTCTGGAAACATATGATTGTGAGGTACCTTTCCCTTTTTACATATAAATAAAATTTCTGGGAAATAAATTCAAGAAAAGAAAAAAAAAACAAGAAACACCGAGAGCAAAACACATGAGAGGAATCATCATCGTAAGCTTATTAATTTTACAGAGTCTTGTCGTGTCTTCGTCTCCAACAGCACCAGACTTCAATTTCTTCTACTGGGTCAACTATGTATGTTTCCAACAACACATACATACATACATACATTTATGTACATACATCTTAATTACCGTATTATTATGATGCAGTGGCCAGGAGCAATATGCGATAGCCAAAAAGGATGTTGTCCTCCAACGAAAGGCAACACGGCGTCGGATTTTATCATCCATGGACTCTGGCCTCAATTCAACAATGGAACTTGGCCTGCGTTTTGCGACCAAACAAATCTCTTCGATATCTCCAAGGTTATATAGATCTATCTCTATTTGTAATATGTTTGGTTTGGAATCTTCTAACTCCGACTTTAGACTAAGTGAAGCTATTATACAAATGTGTTACTGGAAAGCATCTGAATCTTGAAAAAACCAACAGATATCAGATCTAGTATGCCAAATGGAAAAGAAATGGACAGAGTGGGGAGTGTGGGCATGTCCAAGTAACGAGACAAATCTATGGGAACACGAGTGGAACAAGCATGGCACATGTGTCCAATCTATCTTCGATCAACACTCTTACTTCCTTACCAATCTCAAATTCAGACACAAACTCAATCTCCTCAACATCCTTATACAAAAAGGTACATACAAGATTGAAGAAAAGAGAATGAATCCGTGTAAAGTTTCTGTAGGTTGATCATTTGTTTGTTTTTGTGTAGGAATTAAACCAACTGATGGGTTTTACGGTTTGGACGAGATCAAGAATGCGATCAAATGCGTGATCGGATTTGCACCGGGTATCGAATGCAATGAAGATGTAAAGGGGAATAAGCAGCTTTTCCAGATCTACATATGTCTTGATAATTACGCAAAAGAGTTTGTGGAATGCCCGTATGTTCCGGATAAATCATGTGCTTCTAAGATCAAGTTTCCAAAGTTTCCGGAGAGAGATCCTCTTAGTGAGTCTCTAAGTGTGATGTCCTCTGTTTCAACTACCTAGAAAACAAGTGGGTTTGTGTTTCAATAAGAGAGTGCAGGTGAAAAGCTTCGAATGTGATGAGTCTTTGAGTTCTATAAATATGATGAATGTAATGAGTCTTTGAGTAGAGAGTTATACCTACTACGGTAAGAACCCGTGTTGCGCAATTGCAATTTCAAAGGCTTGCATTCTTTCGCCTCGTTTATTTCCATTTCGATCATAAGATGATATCTCGTTAATCTTTAGGTCAACAGAAGCCTTAATGAGCTCTTCTCCAACCCGTTTGGCTGCTTCCTGAAATACATTAACATGAAATGAAACCAGCGCTGATTACATAATATTTTCATACCATAAGACAAAACTATAGTCCAAGATCGAGTTTCCTCAACCCTGAAATCTTACCATATTATAGAGATGTAACTTCAAATATGACAAGAAACAACTTCATCTAGACTAGTCTCTTCTATCTACCCTAGAACTCGATGCCGTCACCTCTATGAAATCCAACCATACTCTCAATCAAGACAGCAAATTTGTGAAACAAGAGGAATGAAGCAAAGACAATGCCACCAATACAATAAACCGTTGTAGATATCAAAACAAACTCCAACTAAGTGTTACTTAACCGGCTAAACTCTTACCAAAGTTCAAGAGTGAAGCAAAGACAATGCCACCAATACTGTAAACTGCGTAAACAACAAAGCAAACTCCGACTAAATGCTACTAACCCTACTAAACTCTTATCGAAGTTTAAAGATTTTTCAGGTGACACAAGAGATTCAAAACTTCCAGGTGGCTAAACTTACTATGACAGTACATGGAGGATCTCCACGAATGGACTTCTGCAATGTACTAGCGTAGAACAAACACTTTTTGTTGAAGTCATCCACCAACATAGCATAGAGTTGCTTATCTGAACAGAACACTGAAAGTCTTGGTTTCGTTTGTGTTCCATTAAACTGTTCCAAAAACGAAAGAAAACTTTTTAGAGGCAAAAAGATTCAAACTTTTGTGCATTATATGAAAGCACCTTTAGAAAGTTACCTTCTTCCTGCTCCTCCTGTTCCTAGTTTTTGGACTCTCCACTCGAGAATTCCCTCTTGCTTCAATCACAAACGGCTTCACAGACATATCTGATAAAAGGGTCGAAAAATCATGAACCAAGTAAACGAAACAGAGGACAATAAACATGGAAGAAGAACAGAGTAAGACTAATAATACCACTTACTTGTTATTCGAATTGGAAATTGGGGATAAGGTTTCAGACGAGTTCCGAGAATGTCAGAGACTCTAAACTGAACAAAAGAGAGAGAACTCAAAGCAGCCATGCGAGGTAACATTCGTAAAGCATCGAAAGTCAGAAGATTTCTCCCAGCTATAGACAAAAAATATTCTAAGCGGAATTTAATCAAACACCTTCTGTGCAGAATAACCTCTGGGGGTTTTATGTAACTCTCTAAAAATACTTTAATCAAACACCCAGCTATTTCCACACCGTAAATAGATATCTTTTTTTTTAACAAAATATCTAAATCCTTTTTGTCCTTTATGAAAGAGGATAAGGATTTAAAATAATTATTAAATTGTTTTAAAAGAATTAAAAATAAATGGAAAGTCTTAAGCGTCGTCAATGGTTCTAGAGGCTTCTGCAACTTTCTTTCGCACTTCCTTCATGAAACTACTGTAATCTTCTGCTAACATATATAATCTCAAACCCTATCTTCTCCGATTTCTATCTTTTTATCATTCGATTTTCTTCTTCTTCTTCTTCTAAAGAGATTTTTCCCCAAGAAAGTTCGCTTTTTTTTCTCTGTTCTTTAGATAAAAATCTCTGCTTTTTTCTCCTTCTGTGGGTATTAGCGTGATGTCTTCGGAGAATGATTTCGCTGAGTTTTCTTCTATGTTCGAGAGAATGATCCAAGGAGGAGGCGATGGTCTCTCTCGATTTTTGCCGGTGATTGTAGCTTTAGCCGCCAGAGAAGACGATGATGACCAAGAATCGACTAATCAGACGACGAATCCAAGGCTGGTGATGTTCAGATCGGGTTTTGGACTCGACGATTTTATCAGCGGCGGTGGAAAACAGGGGAGATCGCCGGCGTCGAAATCAGCGGTGGAGAACATGCCACGTGTCGTGATCGGAGAAGATGAAGAGAAAGGAGGTTCTTGCGCGATTTGCTTGGAGGAGTGGTCTAAAGGTGACGTGGCGGCGGAGATGCCGTGTAAACACAAGTTTCACTCAAAGTGTGTGGAGGAGTGGTTAGGGATGCACGCCACGTGTCCTATGTGTAGGTATGAGATGCCTGTTGAAGAAGTGGAAGAAGAGAAGAAGGGTTGGGATTTGGATTGGTTTCTCCATTAACTCCGGCGAGAGAAGAAACGCAGAAGACGGAGGAAGAAGAAGTTAAAGTGACTCGAACCCTCGTGATGAAACAGAGGCTTAGGTTTAGGTTTGGTAGAAGAAAGTTTTGTATAGTTTCGTTTTCGTTTTTTTTTTAATCAGTTTCGATTTTAATAAAATTTGTTACTGAAATTGAAGAAATTCAAGAACATGATTCATTCTCGTTGAAGCAAACAACAAAAAAACAAAGATTTCAATGTTTATGGTTGTGGTTGTGGGCTTCCTTGAGGGCTAAGAAACCTTTCTTCTTGTTCTTCTTGTTCTTCTCGTTCTTTGAGTATTTTGATTCCTTGATATCTTCCCAACATTAGAACAGTAGCCATAGGGTTTGTTCCTGGTGATTCTTCAAACGTTGAACCATCAATGACTCTTAAACGCTTCACACCATTAACTTTATAGTCCTCGTCCACGACAGATCCCACAATGCAACCGCCGTGGTAATGATAATAAGTTCTAACATTCTGTTTACAGAAGTTCTTAAGGTCTTCGTCACCTGCCACAAGCTTATCCTGAGCTTGTGTACCCAAGAAAAACGTCACAGTCTCAGACCTCGCTACGTGTTGAAGATGCAGAACCATCTCTTGGCATGCGTCGAGGTCTTCCTTGTTCTTCAAGTAGTTGAATTTCACTGACGGATTCTCCATAGGGTTAGTGCTGTTAAGCTTGAGCCTTCCTTTGGATTTAGGGAATGCAATTTTGGCTGCTATAGAGATTCTTGTTGTGGTAATGTCAATTGGAAGAACCTCGGATTCGACTATGAATTTGTATCCTTCTGCTATCGCTGCAACTTGAGGTGGCTCGAGTGTGCGGTTTTGCGAGAATCTATCAACAAGAAGAGAAATTGCTGGATTATCTGACATTTTTCTTCCGACTTCTTTGAGATCGACAATCACAGGAATGTCGAATCCTTTAGATGATTCTCGGGTCCAATTCCGCTTAAGAGGAGAATCTGCGGACTACCTAAAGCCCCAGCTGCGAGTATAACCTCGCCTCTATGCTTCTCAACATGAGCTTTGTAGCTCTTATTAAAATTCCCATCACTCTCCATAAACCTAACTCCAACCGCACGAGTCTTATTACCATCGAAGATTATGCTCTTTACCGTTGAGTTTAGAAGAACAGTGATGCAATTTGGTTTACCAAATCCCAAAAGATCTGCAGATGTATGTCTTTTCCCACACTGATCATATATGCTTCCACCTATCTTTGTCCCTTGCGTGTGCTCCAAACTATATCCGTTATACGGATAAAACCCGGCTTCAAGAAACCCAAATTGAACAACAGATTGCCATTGAGTCAATTCTGGCATGAAGACAACCTTAGACTCAACCCATTTATAAGAATCTTGAACCAGATCCTTGTCCCAGCCAGCTTTCTTCACAAACTCATCGCTAGCTCGGCTGTAAAATCCGCCATTTATAGCACTCGATCCTCCAAGAACGCGTCCTCTGTAGTTTTCGATTCCATCTACAGAGGTAAAACTTTGCGCAACAGATGAGTATTCATCTGTATTTAGCAATGAGTATCCAAAGTACTTTCTTTCTTCTACTAATGGATCTCCAAAAGGCGAACCACCGCGCTCAATGACCAGAACAGAGTATTTCTCAGACAGAGTCGCGGCTAAGGAGCATCCCGCAGTTCCTCCTCCAACAACGATGTAATCGAATGACTTGCCGGAAACTTCTTTCGGATCTGTTGTCATATAAGGCATTTGCGCTCCTGAAAACATCAAACAATACATCTAATGAAAAACCTTGTGACAATATATTTGTTTGAAACAAGAAGATACTCCACATTAATACCTTGTGACAGATTAATGAACATGGAAATGATAACGAGAAACACAAAATGAGACATGTCGTCTAATCTTGATTTTCAGATTCAGAGACAATGTTTTGTCTGTGTAAAAGGGATATTGTTTTGTTTAATGGAAGAGGTTGTGAGTCTTTTTCTTGTTCAACCAGAGGTTGTGAGTCTAAGTGATGATTTTGTCTTGTGTATCTTAAGGCATTAAGAGTGTAGACATAATGATCTGAGAAGGTGGTCAACAAATAAATAATTCAACAAAAGTTTGTTACACTAAGGAACGCATGGTTAGAGATCATGATGCTCTCTTTGTTGGATAATTATGAAATTTTCCTTGCATAATCATATATACATGTCTTAAAGTCATGTCCCTGGATAATCATGATTTTTACCTTTTCTTTTCTTGTTCCAACAAAAATGTGAGTGGATGAAGCAACAACATTAGTTAGAAAAAAGGACAATTAACCTTAACTAAAACTAATTACACATGAGAGATAATCTAAAAATTCATAATGATAAGCGAGTACGAATAAGAGACGACCACCGTTGTCTGAAGATTCTAGAGCAATGTGTAAGCGAATACTTTCTTTCAATATTTTTTTTTTTAACTAGCTAAACCGGGTTTGATAAAACATCTCCCAGAAACAAGACTTATGGACACTTCTCGGATGCTCCGGCTAGTCGGCCATTGTTCGAACAGATCTCCTCTGATGAAGGATCAGGATCTGGAGACGGGAAAGCTATACACCTCACAACCACAAGGCATTAATGCATGACGTTCATGTCACTTATACACAACATGTGGTTTCGACCATAAAACCATCCTATCACAGATAATTAGACTTCACAAGGCAACACAATCACTTGCACCAACGCTCGGTAGGTCTTGTTCAAAAGCATGCGTCAAAAGGAGAATTAATTAGTTTTATATCTCATTTACTATAAAGAGGATTTTTGGTTTAAAATTTTAAATATATGCAACTAATACAAAAAGTACATGAAAATTTAGCAAATAAACATGTGATTTTTATTTTAGAAGAATTTTTCTAAAACCAGACCACTATCTTGTCGATCTAGTTGACTTGGCTCCACCTCTCTTTTTTTTTCTTTCTCTTCCCATAATTTAACAAGAATAGCTATTCTTATCCTATCTTGAATATATTAAGTTTAAAGTATTAGTAAAGTGTTGACAATAAAGTAACAAACAGAGTAATTTATCATCTTTACTTTGAATCATGAAATCAGCTACTTTGTTTATGGTTTCTTATCTTCTTATGTTCTTCGTTATGAACAATATTAAAGGTAAACTTTAATCTGCAGACGCATTATCGATTTCTCCAAAATTTCCTGTCTCTACAATTTAACACTTTCTTGTCATTGATATAAAACAATAGAGGTGGAAACTGTCCGTGTGGAGCAAGCAGGAGTGTGTGAATTCACAGGAGAATTCCCCGGAAAATGTGGCAATGACGGAAGAAAAACGTGCATAGAAGCAATGAAAAAGAACGGCACTCCATTGAAAAGAAATGAAAACTTACGTTGTGAATGTTTTGATAACCCTGTTGTCATCTTAGGTCGTCCGAAACGCATATGCAGATGTCGAGATGATTGCTAAGAAACTATAACATCGTAACCAAATCCTCTTTAGTTCTAATAATTAATGATCAAGAGAATACAGTATTTGGTGTTGTAAGAAAAGTCAGTATAATGTGTTTTTTTGATTAGTACTTATAATTTTGTATGTAGATCTCGTTTTTTTTTTTTGTTCAATATAACTTGAAGTTCTATGAGACCACAAACAAGCTGTTCAACATAAAGAAAGTTCAGTACTAATAGAGATCATTATGCTCTCTTTGTTGATTTTATTTTTATATTTCCTTGCATAATTATGTCCTTAATTACCTTTAAGTTTGGCTTTGGATACACTATGACGCACAAAAAAGTGGTTTTCACACAGATTGTGTCCATATTGTTTTAAAAACTCACATTGATAATCATGTGACAAAAACACAGGTAATGAAAGAAAGTAGTTATTTACTCAGTTCTTTAGATCAACAAAACTCAAGCACAATTATTCTCATCTTTGAATCCGAGATTGAGCCGAACCAAAAAAACTTATAGATTGGATAATAAAACAGTCAAGATGGTCGTCAACCGATAGATGATTACAAGATCAATAACAATCAAAGCTCTAAACAAATTTGCTTACAGATGTTCCAAAATGAATACTTTACAGTACTTCTTCACTGGTCTTCCAAGATCAACACTTTGTCAAAGGTTAGATGTTTAAGTAGGCCAAAAAAAAAGACCTTTTGATCTCTCTGCTTTTTTCTCCCAACTACCATGAAGCTTTCTCTTTCCCTCTAGAACGCACAACCGAGACTTGATTAGTGAGATTGTCCATGGCAACTGAGTTACTTCTCTTCATTTTTCTTGGAAAATCTTGCTTGAGTTTCCTCTCAATGAGAGGTTCTTCCTTATCCGGCTCCGGTTTATCATCATCATGGTGTTTTTCTGTGGCACATTGACAGCACTTTCAACACAGTCACCGGCCTGAGCACAACCCCATGGTCTTGTAGATGGCCCATCTTCACAAAGCGGTTTAAGCCTTGGAACAATGTTGTTTGACTTGAAGTGTTCTCCTTCCTGTTTGGTGCATATTGGACACAGTGGGTCATTGCGTTGAGTCTTTGGAGTTGATTGGTCAAGACATTCCGCGTGAAAGACGTGTTGACATGAAAGCACTCCTGTTACAGGCATGTCTCGGTTTCTTAGGATGGACCGAGATCCCCAAGGAGATTTCTGCGAGAGGAATCTGTTACACAATCCGCATTTAAATGTACTTGAAGCTACTTGTTGTGCTTTGGTAGAGGAGTTATTATTCCAATCAAGAACTGGCTCAGGAACATCCACAGAATCAATGCTGCTTGCAGTCCCACTGCTCCAACTGCAGGCATCCGCAGAATCAGATGTTGTATCCCTAACATTATCAGAAGGATGCAGTATAGGATGAACCGGCTTGGACAGGAAAAAGCGCCGGCTTGAGAAGTTGCGGCCAGGTTCAGAGTCACCAATATCAGAACACCCAATACCGACATTTCTTGATGTACCTGGTAGTTGCTTAACAATCTGATCTGCAGAGAGAAATGAAAAACAAAAAGATACACTGATCAAATTTGGTACATGTAAATATCTTAAAGGAAAGAATGTGAATGTTAGTGCAACAAACCTCTTCTTGTTGCAGATTCAAAATCATTAGGTGTCCAATGAAGAGCTTGAGAAAGGTCGGGACTACGAAGAACATTAGCATTAGATGATGTGGAAGATCCATAACAGCTAATACCATCCATTAATCCATGGACGTCCCATCTTGAGGAAGGTGGAGAGAAACTTGTATTAGTCCTCCAATAAGGCTCATGCGGGCCAAATGAAAAGTCCCCACTTGCAGAATTTGATCTATCTGACTTCGCAGCGACACAACAGAGGGAACCCATACTTAAAACTTATATTCACTAGATAGACCCTTTCGCTAAAAACACCTCAAGCTGACAACAGTATAGCTTCTCCAAACCAAGCTTAAACACTTCTCCAACTCCATAAACTACGAGACAGATCTCGCAAAAACATAATTAGGTTTTGTTCCTTGTTCTTTAGCTTAGCTCACCTGAGTAATCAAAATAGCTCCAAGTTTCAAACTTTCAATCAAACATTACAAAATCACATTGTAGCAAAGCTTACTAGATAAACACACAGAGAACAAATTCATTAAAAAAAAAAAAACAAATCTGGAAGCTCAAAGAATTAATCTACCTACCCAGTAATCTCTTCACTCACTCATCAAACAACTAGCAAAGATCTGAACTTTTGTATTCAAAAATGCTTTTTTTCTTCACGAAGAAGATCAGAAGGAAAAAAGGAGAAACCCACATTGTCGAAATTCTGTACCTGAGATTTTCATTGCAATGGATTATAAATTTCCAATGAGGTAATAAAATGAGTAAAGTAAAGGGCTTACTGCTTGGAACCTCGGAGAGACAAATCAGGAAGAAGATGACTGTTGTCGGAAGAAATTGAACCTACTTGCCGCGAATTCGATCGAAAAAAAAAACCCTAATTTCTTGGAAAGGGGAAAGAATCTGCTTCTTCTTTACTTGTACTGTGTCTGTGTGTGTATTGTAACTTTACTTTTATCTTTGTATTTTTTATGAAGTATATATATTATTATTATATGAAGTTAATTTCAAAGGAAAAAGTGAACTCAGTAATAATGTAAAGTTGAATGTATTTGTTGACAAATAAAAAGTTGGAATGCATTTAATTTTGGATGAAAAATTGAATTCGTTGAATTTTGGAGTCAAAGAAAATTAATACTATGAATTTTGAATCACTATACTAAGAATTTTGTTTTTTGTTGTCAAGTGGCATGCACTTAAAAATGATCAATCAAGTGATATATCATATATCTAATCGGAATAATGAAGGATGACATAATACAGTTGGGCACTCGTTAGTCGTTTGATTAGCTTTTACTGAAAAAACTATAGGTGAACTAGGGTAAACGGTTTTTTTTTAAAAATACTACCTTTTTATTATATAATTTGAATAAATAAATTTTGAATTCATAACTCACCAAACAAAATTAAAACTTTGAGTTGATTTTGCCATTTTAGACCTATGTTTGGTCAACTTAAAAAATAGCTAAAAATTTTAAAATTTGAGTTGATTTTGCCGTTTTAAATCACTATTTTGTCAATTTAAACGAATAGTTAGAAATTATAAATGTGAGTAATTTTGTTGTTTTAGATGTCAACTTTTGCACAAAAAAAAGATGTCAACTAAAACGGATGGTTAAAAATCATGAGTTGATTTTACCGTTTTAACCTTCATTTGGTCAATTTAAATGGAAATTAATAATTTTGACATAGAAATAGACATAGTTGATATGTTCAACTACCGACATTTTTCTTGTCAGTTTTATATATTTAATTTAATTATTAAATTTTTTTTTATAATTTTACGTTAACCGTGCGTAGTGCAAAAGTTTCAACAAAAACATTCGATTTACAATATTTTAAGACGTTATAAAATTTTTTTCACACCGATTTATGTGATATAGTGGTGTTAAATGCGTACAAACAACATTTGTAAAAACTAACGGTTTTTAAAATCTGAAAATTTTAAAATTAGAACCATGAACCTAAGTTTTTTCAGAAAAAAGTAATTACTAAATGGTGAATAGGTAAATTATCTATCTGAATTCCGTCTGGATACATACATGCATGGGCTGCTTCCAAAGATATGATAGGAACCTGTATCGACTCCAACTCAATTGCGGTATTGCGACGTTGACTATCAAATTTCTACGCATATTTGCTTAAGTTATTTGTATAGCCTTATTAATTAATTGGATTTCGGATCATTTTAATTCTAGTTTGTCACTATTTGTAAATTATTTTTATCATAACTTTATATATTTCGATATGATGTATTCAATCTAGCACTGCAGAGAAAACTCCACTAACGAAGACTAATTCAGAGTAGTTGTAAAATATAATTCACAACATATATAATTCCCAGCTACTCAATAATCGAAAGCCACCGGACACAAGTGGAATAAGAAAATTATTAGTCATAATAATTTAATAATTTAGTTTTATTCTTTTATCAAAATTTGACCAAAGTCTGTTATATAAATGACACTAAAAATGCTAACATAAAAGTCTTTTTTTTTTCTTGCTAGATCAACAAAATGAAATTTATGTCGTTAGCAGTTTAAAATATTAGTTCACCAAACTATAATGATGGTTGAACATTGATTTTCAATGTAGTTGGTGATAATATAAAAGGTTGGTTAAAATACATTGATGTAATCAGTATTAGCTCTAACTTAATAAAACGATGAAAATCCTATATTTTTCTAGAAAACCATAATTATTTCGTAATAATTCTAAGCAACAATTAAACGAAATTAGATTTTATTTTAATTTCAGGTACATTATATTTAAATATAAATTCTAAAATAGTTTACGTGCCGTCACGTCCCGAAGAACAGTTAAAGGAGAATAGTTTAAAAAAAGCCACCTGTAATCAGATATTTATTTAATATATAGACGTTAGCCCCAAAACTTGTTTCTCTGCTTTCAAACCCAAAAAAGCCAAAAAAAACCATTGAAGCAGCAGCCCAAGAAGCGGTCACATTTTCCGGCTAAACGGACAGATCGACCACTGAAAGCTCCGATCATCTACGGTTTCTACTCTGGTAAGCATTGCATGATCCAAAGCTCTGATTCAATGAAATGTTGTAGAAATCTCGAATTCTTGAATAATGATTTTTTCTTTGGTCGGTGATGTGTCATGGATCTTGGTTGGTTTGGTTCGTATGGTTTTCCTGGCTCAATTTTGCATAAATAGCTATAATCCGTGGAGAGATTTGACCTAATCTCTGTTTCTTGAGTAATTTTGTTTCTTGATTTAGCATATAGTTGACCGACGAAGTCAAAGGTGTTTATGTCTGAAAATTTGGCTCTTTAATTTTAACTAGAGCTTTTTATGTGTTGCAAGATCTGATCTTTTAGATTTAGAATTCTCAAAGACTCTGTTTTGTGTAGTTCTTTAGTGTTTGTTGATATATAAAGGATCTTATTATGAACAATATGAGCTCTAAATTGGAATTCATTTTCGTTTTCTCCAGCTTCCAGCGACATTGTCGTCATTGTTAAAATGGCTAGTACTTTGAGGAACGTTCATGGTAAGAGATCTAATTTCCAATCTGAGTTTACTGGAAATGGAGGAAGTAAGAGAAGAAATCTTCATGATGATACAGATCAAAATGTTATTGGGTCAGAAGACACTGTGTACCGCTACTTGTGCCCGGTGAAAAAGACCGGGAGCATTATCGGGAAGGGTGGCGACATCGCTAAGCAGATAAGGTCTGATACAAAATCAAACATGAGGATAAACGAGGCTTTACCCGGTTGTGAAGAGCGTGTTGTTACCATATATTCCACTAATGAGGAGTTGAATCATTTTGGAGATGATGGTGAGCTTGTTTGTCCTGCTTTAGATGCTCTTTTCAAGGTTCATGATATGGTTGTAGCAGACACTGATCATGATGATGTAATGATGATGATGATCTTGGTGAAAAACAAACGGTTACTGTGAGGATGCTTGTACCGTCAGACCAAATTGGTTGCGTTATCGGGAAAGGAGGGCAAGTAATCCAGAATCTGCGTAACGACACCAATGCTCAGATCCGTGTCATCAAAGATCATCTTCCTGCGTGTGCTTTGACTTTGAGTCATGATGAGCTTCTTCAGGTGTGATACACTCACAAGTCTTTATTCTATTATGATTAGAGAAAAAAAATTTGAATTCTAAAATTAGCTAATGGTTAATTATCAGATAATTGGAGAACCTTTGGTTGTTAGAGAAGCTCTTTATCAAGTAGCTTCACTGCTTCATGATAATCCGTCACGATTTCAACACTTACTTCTGTCTTCTTCAAGTTCCATGCATCAACCTGGTGCAATGCTAATGTCTGCAGCGCTAACGAACTCTCACAGAAACTACGCTGTGCGTAGAGATAAGCAGATGCAAGGGAGTTTTGTGTTTGCTTCATCTGTCCAGCTGAAAACGTTGGAGGTGTAATTGGAAAAGGCGGTGGTTTCATTAATCAGATCAGGCAAGAAACGGTGCTAATTAGAGTCAATACCTCAGAAACTGATGAAGATGATTGCATAATTGTCATATCATCAAAAGAGGTAATGCAATCTTTTTATATTATATCATACAAAGATTATTACATATATAAACCGACCTTTTTTGTTGCATGTAGTTCTACGAAGATCAATCTCCAGCGGTTAATGCAGCAATACGCTTACAACAGCGATGCAGTGAGAAAGTGGGTAAAGATGCAAATGATTTAGCAATCTCTACTCGTTTACTTGTATCGAGTTCCCAAATCGGGTGTCTCATCGGAAAGGTGGAGCGGTTATATCCGAGATGAGGAGTGTAACAAGAGCAAATATCCGTATTCTTCAGAAAGAAGATGTACCAAAAATTGCACGTGAAGATGAAGAGATGGTTCAGGTAATAAACACATTCGGATTGTGTTTGGACATGTTTTTGTTTTGTTTTTGGTTCCTTCTTTGAAACTAAGCGAATGTTCCTGTTTTTTTTGCTGTTGTTAGATTACAGGAAATCCTGATGCTATGAAAGCTCTTACGCAAGTAATCTTGCGATTAAGAGCAACTCTTTCGACATGGATCATGGACTTGTCTTGCTACCAACATCTTTTCCATATCTCCCTCAACTGACCGAAAGTTCGAGCAAATCCAAATACGCAAAACGTGATGACCACAGTAAACTGGTATGTACTGGTCCTCAAGATTTGAAAAAAACTCATATAATATGCATCAATAATCAAGATATTGCACTTAAGAATATATTTGCTCTTGCAGAATTCGAATTCTAAGAGAAGAAACTATGTTTCTTAAATCAAGAAAACCAATCTTAGAGAGGAAGATTGAGAGTGTTCAGTTTCAGGAACTTCATGTTGATGCAATTTTTATACAAAATGATGTTACTTGTAGAAAGAAAAGAGTTGTTTATGCAATCACATAAGAAATGTAAACAAGAGAGGGTGTGTTTTCATCTTTTTTTCCTTTTTCTTTTAGTTTTCTACTTTGGTATACTCTTTGAATTTCAGAAGTTTTTTTTTTTTAATTTCTATTTCTAGTAACCAACATTTCATTATTCTATTGTATTACATAAAAATACCAATAGGTTTCAATACTCTCTACGCTATTATTGTTTTTGAGATTGATGTCTGATACTCTGGATCTTGGCCACTTCACTTGTTCTGGCAAAATTATACTTTTAGTTCAAGTTAGTGGATGTACACAACGTAGGTAAGAAGAAGAGGACAAACACAAGATTACAAAATTCTTTGCTCAGCAAAATTCTCTGTCATTCATATGAAAAATCTCACACTCTTTACATTTTCTTATATCGGCTAGTAAAGAGTCTTTAACCGTTTCTTAAACTGTCCTCAAATTACAAGTTTTTTCTCTGTTTTGAAGCACAATAAAAAGTGGAGAAAGCAGAGGAACTTAGATGTCGACGAGGCCTCGAAAATCTTTTCTTGAGTCTTATTTCTATATCAGTTTCTTAGTTTTATCCATCAAAACGACAAAAAAAAAAAGATGTTGTCACTAGAACATAAGCCCCGTTCAGTTTGGTCCGAAGGAAGACCCAAGTGAATAACTGTTTTGTAACGAACGGCCATATTATCATTCGTCGAAGAGAAGGCTCCACACACGTGTCTCAGCCGATTATATCTCTCCGACGTAAAGACTCTCTCGTTGCCGAGGTTCCGTATCTCTACGGAAAAGTGACCCGGGGACTTTCCTGGGCCTGAACTTTGACAAGTCCAAAACCCAATCACTTCGTCCAGTGACATGTTAACTCACTGAAGTTCAGATGTATATAAATACACTAAATATCCTCACAATAGTCGATGTGGGACGAAGTTACGATTCAACTTTATTCGTAAACATGTATAGAATCTCACCAAATTGGTTCTGGGCCTTGACTTATTAATAAGAAGATTAGATTCTAAAAAATTGGGACTAGTTAATTGGCGGGTTGAGCCAGCCCGTGCAATAGTGCAACGCATGGGCGACTCATGAAAGCCCAGATAGCAAGCTACCTTAATGGGCTTTCTCCCTTAAAAAATAGAGTTAATATCGTGTGAGCCGATGCCCACATATCAGATATTAAACTGATAAGAACAGATACTACACTTAATCTTAGCCAAAAGGCCGAGAAAGGTATGAATTGTTTGGACGGCCCAGCTTCTCTTTTATACCCGAAGCTATGCCTAAGATTTTCAAAACTATCGATGTGGGACAATTCAAAAAGAACCTCTTGAAAAAAACGCCTATGAAGACAAAAACATCATTAATTGTCTTCGTGACTTAAAGCAATCTTACATTTAAATGTGACAATGAATGAGAGATTTACATCGTCCAATCACTAAATTCAATCTGGGTAGCTTTAATCTTTTGAATTTCTTCTCTCTGTCTCTACGAATAAAAATATTCATCATTCTCAGAAAGTAACAGTCAAATTAGGAGACGCTTCAAACTTTAGCTTAGATTATTTAGCCAAGGACATCAATATAATGCCAAAATGAGAATTCCTATTGGTTGTTGTTTGATGTAACAAATAGAGCAGGTAAAGAGAGGATAAGCAAAACACAAGATAACAAATAAATCTTTGCTCATTATATGTCCTCAGCAAAAAACCTAAATTATCTGTCTTATATGAATACCACAATTAATTATGCTTTTACATTTTTCTTTTTTTCTTCATATAATCAGCTATTTCAAAGTCTAACCACTTCTTGAAGTGTTACACTCTGGAGATTTATATAAACTGCAGACCCTTTTTGTTTAGTAAACTGTCACAGAGCTAACATGGAAGAAGCAAAGCATAATGAAGCTGAGGAAGCACAACGGATTGAAGCTGGGGAAGCAAAGCATATTGAAGCTGGGGAAACTTCAAGATCATCTAGGAAAGTTATTACTTTTGAGCCAAAGTTAGTTATAAACAAAGGAATATCGGTTCTTGGATTCGTTCTGCGGTTATTTGCTGTTTTTGGAACTATAGGAAGTGCGCTTGCCATGGGAACAACACATGAATCTGTTGTCTCTTTAAGTCAGCTCGTACTTCTCAAAGTTAAATACAGCGACTTACCAACGCTCATGTAAAATATTCAATGATCAATATCGATTAATCATGAATTGATTGTGTATGTATAACATTACTGCTCTGTTTCATAGGTTTTTCGTGGTTGCAAACGCGATTGCTGGTGGATATTGGTTCTTTCTCTACCTGTGAGTATCTTTCATATCTTCAGTACTAAAGCTAAAACCTCGAGAATCATCTTGCTCGTTATCGACACGGTAAGTATCTCGCTCCCTCTTTTCCGTTGTTCCCTTTCCCTCCTATTCATTATGATCGTACTAGATATGGTCGAAAGTTGTAATATGTGTAGAAACTTTGTCTTAATATAGTTTACATCGAACATAAACCAAAACCGTCTAGACTGTCAAGATAATTACCTAACGGCTGTCTACAAGTAGATCTAAACTGCATAAATGATTCTAAGATCAAGTTAAATCTAAGATCATAGGATAACAAAACAGGGCACAAAATAACTTGTGACCCAAGAAACCTAACACAATTTATTGTTTCTATAATATAATCAGGTGATGCTGGCTTTGGTGAGCTCTGGTGCATCTGCAGCAACAGCCACCGTGTATCTAGCTCACGAGGGGAACACAACTGCTAATTGGCCACCGATCTGCCAGCAGTTTGACGGATTCTGTGAACGCATCTCGGGATCTCTCATCGGTTCTTTCTGCGCAGTGATCTTACTCATGCTTATTTTATCAATTCCGCTATCTCCCTCTCGCGGCACTAAGATATCTATGCACATATATATCGATCTGATATTGCATAGAAATCGCTACGAAATGTTTCTTGAATAAGTCTTTTTTAATTTTATATCTAGTGTAATGTAATGAGTCCAGAAATTTCATGTGAAGAGAATGAAGAAAGATATATACATTACATTTGAATTAAGCAAGAAGCTCCACCACATTGTCTATCGATTTCAATGTCTTCTCGTAGTAGAGATAGGACTCGTACACCTTTGGCGTCCGTACGTAGTAATCCAACTGTTGTGTCAAAACATTTAGCAAAATTATAATTAATTGTTAACAAAGATATGAAATATTATCAAGTGGTTTAAAGTTTGACCCTAAATTACTAATTCTGTTTTTAAAAAAGTTCATTAATTAATTATAACGTATACCTCACTCATGTTTTCTACTAGCTCGTTTGCCGCCTGAACGTAATCATTCCGGCGATTCTCAGGCAAGATGTTCATGGCGTTGGTGAGATCCTGAGACAGATAAGCCTGTTTCAATCTTATGTAGAATATAACGTACCTCCACGACATGTGCTCCAACATCTCCCTCATGTCTCTTAATCCTTCTGCCGTCTGTTTTATACGTGCCGCCGCATCCTCCGGCGATAACCCCGGCATAAAATATTTCTCCTTTATGAATGACCTTGTCCCCCATTTCTCCTGTGCTAATGCTGATGACGTGGCGCCGCCGATGACCGTGAATGTTATTAGTGAAGTCAAGGTTCTCCGGCGAGTGAAGATGTCTTGTTGGGATTCTCCGGTGCAACATACGACGGAGAATGGTTGGTTTACACGGCGATAGTAATTTGGGCGAAGGAGATACGGTGGTGGAGTGTTGGTGGTGAAGGAGCTCATGATTTTGTTTTTTTGTGTGAAGGATAGGAAATGGGAGGAGCTCAAAACTATTATTGTCTACTGGCAAATCACAATGTTATCTCTAAAGTTTTGTATTTTAGAATTAGTGGACATGGGCCTATAAGACTTTAAAAAGGCCCACATTTTATGTGAAACGACGTCGTTCAATACACAAAAAAATAATTATGTTACCAAACGATGTCGTTACGTAGAATATAATCACTTTTTGGGTAATTTTACTTTGTGATGCACATTGAGTTGGCAATCAAAATCCGGTGAAAATGGAGCGGAGCCGAGTGGCCGGAGAAGCACCGACCGGAACCAGGATCCTGCTTGCGTCACTCTCTGCGGTGGTCGCAGAGTCAGTTACGTTTCCGATTGATCTCACAAAGACCAGAATGCAGCTCTATGGTTCGGGATCCGCTTCTGGTGCGCACCGGATTGGCGCCATCGGAGTCGTATCGGAGATTGCGAGGAAGGAAGGAGTGATTGGTCTCTATAAAGGTCTATCTCCGGCGATTATCAGACACATGTTCTACACGCCAATAAGGATCATTGGATACGAGAATTTGAAAGGATTTATCGTCGGATCTGAAACTAACAACGGCGAGTCTCTTCCTCTTGCCACAAAGGCTCTCTTCGGAGGATTTTCTGGTGTTATAGCTCAGGTAACGGTTCTTCTTCACCGGTGAATCTTTAGAGTCCTGTATTGACTGTAGATTGAATCTGGATTTAAGCTACTTACCGATTCAACTTAGAGTAGAACAATTCGAATGGAACAATCGATCTCTATGTTTAATTTCCATTGAAAATGCTTCGTAGAAGAAGGTATTAAGTAAGAGATTTTGTCTCAAGTTTCTTGAATTTAAAACTTTCAATGTTCGTGTCATTCCGAAGTTAGCTGCTACTTTAGGTTGGTTCAGAGATAAGAACCAATGCAGATCATAGTCTTGGATTGCTCAATGTGTTTCACAGATCCTTAATCCAAAATGTGTGCTTGCTTGTTGTCTTCTATTTGTTACAATTACGTTCTGTCAGATCACTGGTTACCAGTGGAAACTTGGCGAAGTTAGTTATTTTAGGCTTTTCAATTGTTTTTACGCTGCTAAAGTTCTATCGTAGCGATGAAATGTAGCTATCTTTTAGGTTGTTTATATCTTTAGATTTGACATTTGAGTGTTATTTATCCCTACACCAAACTAAAATGCGTCTTATTGTGTGTTATACTAGAAATGCAGGTAGTGGCTAGTCCAGCTGATTTGGTTAAAGTGAGAATGCAAGCAGATGGTAGATTGGTGAGCCAAGGCCTGAAACCGAGATACTCGGGACCAGTTGAAGCTTTCACTAAAATCCTACAATCAGAAGGAGTAAAAGGGCTATGGAAAGGTGTTCTTCCAAACATCCAGAGAGCATTTCTAGTGAATATGGGAGAACTAGCTTGCTATGATCACGCCAAACACTTTGTCATCGATAAGAAGATTGCTGAGGATAACATTTTTGCGCACTCACTTGCTTCTATAATGTCTGGTCTTGCTTCGACAACTTTGAGTTGTCCAGCTGATGTGGTGAAGACGAGGATGATGAACCAGGGTGAAAATGCTGTGTACAGAAATTCTTACGACTGTTTGGTGAAGACGGTTAGGTTTGAAGGAGTAAGAGCTCTGTGGAAAGGTTTCTTCCCGACATGGGCAAGGCTTGGACCGTGGCAGTTCGTGTTTTGGGTCTCTTACGAGAAGTTTAGACAACTCGCAGGGATCTCTTCCTTCTAGACCTGAGAAACTTGGAAAAGCAAATTTGAGATTTGAGTTCTTTAGTTTCTGATTAAGAAACTTTTCAAATTGATTTATTTTTAGAGTTGATTAAATAAAATATTTCATAGAAAAACATGTGAATTTGATATAAATTGCAATTATTTTGAAAAAGTTCATGTATGTACTTAAAACAATTATATCATAAATTCATAATGGTATAATATTTGATTTATGTATATTTTGGCTAGTAAATTTTGTGTATCTTGGAGTTTTTTCATGTATTAAATTAAATAGAAAGAAAAAAATTTGCATTAATGTATTGCATAGCCCTGAGACCTATTATCCGGGATCCGGGATCCGATCCGGGATCCGCCCCGATCCGCTCCGAAAAATAGGATATCCGGATGGACCGGATCCGGATCCGGATAGTGAAATTGCGGATCCGGCCGGATCCGGATAACAATAAATTTAAGAGCCGGATATCCGTATATCCGGTATAATACATATCTCTTTTTGCCCATCTAACGTCAGAACTATAATTAAGCTTTTATAGTGAAAGCCCAAGCCCAAAGATAATAACTATACCTTCCTAATATAAAGTCCAAGCCCAAACGTTTATGAGTTACAGCAATTGTGTTGATGTCCAATAAGGTAGAAATAGATCTAGGTTTTTTTCTTTGGTCACCTACTCCACTTTGCTCCGCCGACGAGTTCTTGTTGCTCGATTACTCAACATTTCCAACTTTCAAGCAGTTCACATCCAAATCTCAAAATTTCTATATCCCAAATCAGAAATCTCTCTCTTCCATCCTCAATTTCTAGTTTGTCTAATCTTATTACATGGATTTTCGATTTCCTTTCACAATTTTTTTTTTTTTTTTTCTTTCAGTGGCAGCGAGTGTTATACAGATTGGTAGAAAAAATCATGAGTTTCAAGTTTTACACATGATTCAGATCGGATCCGGATATCCGCGGATATCCGGGTTTTTTGCACGGATACCCGAAACCCGGATATCCGAGTTCTCCGGATCCGGATCCGGATATTAAAACTGTAGATCCGCCGGATACGGATCCGGATCCGGATACACCTAAAAACCCCGGATATCCGGATCCGTCTCAGGGCTATTGCATATTTAGATCTTGGATGGATGAATAATGAATTCATGGCAAAAAAAAATTAAAAGAAATCTAGAAATTTTGGCGCGTGGAAATCGTTGCGCAAAAATATTGACGTCATTTTTCTTCAAAAAAAAAAAAAAAAACTGAATCCAATGTCTTCAAGTTCGATTTCGTTTTTCTTTCTTTCCTTGAACAAGTCACTTTTCACTTCATCAAGTCCTTCATTTTCTCGAGACAAGATCCCCCCACGAAATTAAGGTAATCTTTTATTTCTGAAAACTCTTTGAGTAGATCATATAAAGAAGAGAATCAAATTTAGACGGAATTGATGTTTACCCAGAATAAGCAAGAGTGACGAATCATCTTTTGTTCATCTACCCTAATTTCAGTAATGGGTTTCTTCAATTTAGACGTAATTAATGTTTATCCAGAAGAAGTAGTGATGAAATGAATCATCTTTATTAATTAAGCCTAATTCATTACCGGGTTTTCTTCGATTAAGATGTAAATTTGTTTTAGCTCTCTGAATCGGTCACGTTAGCCAATTTAAGCTACTAAAGTTTTAAACTTTTTCTTCTGATTCGTTGAAAGTCTTTGTCGAATTCAGACCACTTTACTGGTTTGATCAGAGATAATTGTCTTTGTTGCAACTAATTTTCTACACTGATCTCATTGATTACGTCACTCTCTAAAGGATGTTTCTTTCTCTATAACATTGGCCTTAGGTTGTTGTGTTAACCTCTCCATTGAAGATAATGGAGGAACTAAATAGAGTCATTCCGACAATAGACTTGGAAGAGGTTTCTGATAAGATTCTGAATCAGAAAATCCGTGAAGCCAGTGAGAGATTGGGATGTTTCAGGGTCATTAACCATGGAGTTTCATTGTCTTTGATGGCTGAGATGAAGGAGACTGTTATTGATCTCTTTCAGCGTCCATATGAGGTGAAACTGCGTAACACCGATGTGCTTCTAGGGAGTGGTTACAGAGCTCCAAATGAAATCAATCCTTACTATGAAGCATTAGGTCTCTATGACATGGCTTCTCCTCAAGCTGTCAATACCTTTTGTGACCAACTCGAAGCTTCTGCGGATCAAAGGTTAACTTCTTTGTTCTTTGGTCTCAAAGGGTTCTTGTGATGGAAATATTGATTTATGTCTTGATGGATTTTGGAGTTTGCAGGGAGATTATGGTAAAGTATGCGAAAGCTATCAATGGACTTTCAATGGATTTAGTGAGGAGATTAGCTGAGAGTTACGGGCTGGTTGAGACCGACTTTTTCAAAGGATGGCCTAGCCAGTTCCGGATTAACAAATATCATTTTAAACCCGAAACAGTCGGGAAACTTGGTGTGCAATTACACACGGATTCAGGGTTCTTGACGATTCTTCAAGATGATGAAAATGTTGGAGGACTTGAAGCCATGGACAGTTCTTCAGGAACCTTTTTCCCCATAGACCCGTTGCCAAACACGCTTGCTATCAACCTCGGGGACATGGCTACGATATGGAGCAATGGAAGATTGTGCAATGTGAAGCATAGAGTGCAATGCAAAGAAGCAACAATGAGGTATTCTATCGCCTCGTTCTTATTAGGACCAATGGATACAGATTTGGAACCTCCAAGTGAGTTTGTGGATGCAGAACATCCGCGACTATACAAGCCTATTAGTCACGAAGGGATACGAAATATTAGAATGACTAAAAAATTGCATGATGGAGAAGCTCTCAAGCTTATAACCCATAAAGGGATAGATAAATGATGTAATAGGCATTTTAAGATGGTAGCGCTATGGAACCAGAAAACTGCAATTTCTTACGTAAGAATGAGAAATAAAGAATGTATTAAAGATGTATTACCTATTGGATTGTTGCAATATATGAAATATTTCTACCTTGAGATTTTTGTGGATGAATTATTCGATAGTATTCAAATTCACGTGGAAAGCGTGGAGAGTATTTTAGTAATTGTTAAGGCAGACTTCTGCGGTCGAAAATACTTAAATTTCTTTATATATACTGAATTCTCCTTCGATAAGTCATCATTAAGTTTTTTTTTTTTTCCAACCTTTTACGTTGAAGATAATGGCGGAAGTAATTGGAGTAATTCCGACAATAGACTTGGAAGAGGTTAATGATCAAATTCTGAATCAAAATATTCGCCAAGCAAGTGAAAAATGGGGATGTTTCACGGTGATAAACCATGGAGTTTCTTTGTCTTTGATGGCTGAGATGAAGAAGACTGTTAGAGATCTCCATGAACGTCCACATGAGATGAAAGTGCGAAACACCGATGTGTTACTAGGGAGTGGTTACAAGCCTCAAAGTGAGTTGAATCCTTTTTATGAATCATTTGGTCTTTTTGACATGGCATCTCCTCAAGCTGTCAATAATTTTTGTGATCAACTTGACGCCTCCGCTGATCAAAGGTTATTATATTATTGTACAATTGGTCTCAGTAACAGTTTTTGGATCCATCAAACCGTGTGAAACATTAATGTTATGTTTTTTTTTTGGTTGTTGGCTATTTGCAGGGAGATTGTGCTCAAGTATGCGAAAGCTACTGATGATCTTGCAAGGAATCTAGCAAGGAGATTAGCGGAGAGCTATGGAGTGGTGGAGCAACATTTTTTGAGAGGGTGGCCTAGCCATTTTCGGATGAACAAATATCATTTTAAACCGGAAGCAGTTGGAAAACTCGGTGTGAGATTACACACGGATCCTGGTTTCCTGACAATTCTTCAAGGTGATGAGGATGTTGGTGGACTTGAAGCCATGGACAATTCTTCAGGATCCTTTTTCCCCATAAACACATTACCAAACACGCTTCTTGTCAACCTTGGTGACATGGCTACGGTGATATCATCACACTAGCTAGTATACTTCAAAAATGTGTTGAACATGAAAAATTAAACTTTATTTTTGGTTTTTTGAAACTTTATGATAGATATGGAGCAATGGAAGGTTATGCAATGTGAAGCATAGAGTGCAATGCAAAGAGGCAAAGATGAGGATTACTATCGCTACCTTCCTATTAGGACCAGTGGATAGAGATCTTGAAGCTCCTGATGAATTTGTGGATGCTGAACATCCGCGACTATACAAGCCTATCAGCGACGGAGGACTAAGAAAGATTAGACTTAGCAAACATCTTCATGCTGGCGAATCTCTCAAGTTTATAACCATTAAAGACTTAAATGACGTCCCAAAGATAGATTAAGGGGACTGTTAAATGTACCAACATATATCTGTCTTCAAAGTTCTTTAGATTTCCCTTATAATTAATGACAAATAAACGATGCAACTAAATAATTCTATTATTTGTTACGCTGGATCATGTAATAAATTTCATTGTGCTTAATTATGGTATCCCGCTTTCTATTCCAATCATCCCGCTTGACATACATACACTAATTAGTCAAGCAGCCAGGGGATATATACAAGGGTAATTAGCCAATGTATTATCTATGTGAATATAATTAAATGTAATCAATTGTTGAAGGGCTTATAAGATAAGTAAGAGGAGAATGGAAACAAGGCTCCATCAACATGGCCCTAACACATGTTGCAAGCTAGAGCTGCATGTGCGGTTGTTGAGACTCCATTAATCTGGCAGGACCTTGAAATTATCCGTCATACTCAAGAGATGCATGTCAGCAAGCTGTCCTCTGGTTAAGCATCTTCTTATCACTTTCTTCAATAATAAGAAAGCATAGGCTTTCTTTGTTTTGATATTGGTATAGGTCGAATAGTGTGTTGTCTGACCGTCATGGCATATATCGGATTATTATATATTAGAGCATCCATAGTCTCTATCACATATGGATGTCCCATAATTGGGGAAAACAAAATAATAATTTTTTTTTTTTGATAAACAAACAAAATAATAATATTTTATAGAGTGGGTTTTCCAAAAAGTGAAAAAATCCACCAAAAGTTTCTCATTTTATTAGTTTGTGTTTTTCCATAGAAAATATTGATGAAGATGGTCCTAGACTCCACAACTTACTGCACAACAAATTAATCATTAATTTATATCGAATGTTTTCTTTATCAATTTTAGACACTTAAATAACATGATTTTCTTAATTCATATTAAAAACTCTCGTATTACACATCTCATAATACAATATCTAGTAAGAAAGAAGATTGAACCAACCATGCAAAAAATCCTTGGGTGTTTTAGGTTTAGCTAGCTGTTTGGATATAAACGTGACTCACGTTGTTATGTTTTTTTTTGTAATCCCACGTGACTCACCCTTTAGATTCATTAACCCATTTTTATGTATAAAGTTTTCATATATTTGTCTCTTCCTGTTTGTTTAAATGTTTTTGTCTAATTAATCTACTTAGACCGGCGAATCTCTCAAGTATATATAACCGAAAAAAGACTTAAACGACCCAAAAATAAATAAATTTAGGCGTCTGTAATACGAACCAATATAATATGTCAAATAGTATTGCTTAGCTTTTCCTATTATCATTACTTGTGCTGTAATATTTTTCGGATTGTTTACCAAATCTTATTTTATTATTTCAGATTAGAAAAGTAATTAAACTTTAGAGTGTGACATATTAACCAATTAGGTTACTTGAAAATATTCACATCGAGAATTGGGTACAATTTTAAAATTAACATACTTTTGTGGAAATTATAAAAGATAATAAATAGTTCAGGGGCTTATTTGCTAATCACGTGCTCATCTTTTTAGTTGACGACGACAAACCCTAACTCGACTGACTCACCGACTTTGGAAATCGTCGTCGCGTCAGGGGAATTACTCGACGAGATCTGAGAGGTACGGTGTTGTAAGATGACATCTCACCATTGTTTCTGCGCCGAAGTTATAAGCAGCGACGTTAGATCGTATTCGCCGAGATCAGAGAGATTTCTAAAGGTTACACACACTTAATTTGCTGATCATTTCGAGTTTTTAGGAATTTGTAGGTAATACATGATGAACATAAAAGAAGATGAATTCTTACAATAATCAAAGTTCATCTGAGACATCAACTAACTTAAGCCCTGTTTTCCAATCCTCACAAAACCTAACAAAAGGAGTGATTTTGATTGTCTTAGCCTGACAACCATGGAGCGGGGCTCTAAGAAAACAAGGCTCCATCGACATGGCCTTAACACATGGTGGGTTTGGAGTTTTCTTTTCCCATGGCTCGTAGAGTATCCATGGCTTTAACCCTCCAAGACCTTGAGCTACATATCCAAATGTAGACCTTGTGCTTGTCACAAGTTCATCGGTTAGGCTTAGGAGGTAGATCTCGGCTAGTGCCTTTTGGTCGTGAAGCTTCTTGTCTGTTTGTTGAATCTTTTCTCCACTTGGCTGATAAACTTCAATTATTTCTCCTGTGGAACTTGGTTGTTCCAAAAACATGTTCTTTAGGTGATCAGAGTACTCTGGATGCAGAGATGTGACCAAGACAGCTTTAAGTTTCAGGCTTCTTGATGTATTAGTGACTTGAGTTTCTGGTGTAGCCAATTCAGGCAACAGTTTCTCCCTTTGTGTGCAGGATAAGATCTGGTCCATTACGTGCTGGAAATATCCAGCCGGCTTGCTAAACACTCGAACTTGAATCCCGACTCTCGCGTCTGCTCTTGATAAGTAAGCATTGTATGATCTAGTGACCATACCCCAAACTTGGTTTGTCGGGTGAAAAAGATAGCGAGCCAAATGGTGAAAGACGGTTTCTTTCTGTGGGAATAGTTTGATGAGTTTGGTTTGGAAACTTGGAATCATCCAAAGAGATGGAACAAAGTAAAGGTTGGATTTGACAACGAGCCAAGGGACTTTCCCGAGGAAAGCTTGATCTTCTTCACAGAAGAACCTTTTATCCTGATCCCTGGAATCATGGAAAATATCAAGATAAAGATGTGACGGTATTGTAGTTGAGTTAATGGCATGATTCTTCAACATTGTTCCGTAACAGCGCGAATGTTCCCGGTTGAAGCCATCTAACTGATCAGTCAATGGAAAATCTAGAGGGAGTAACCAGGAAGTTTCTGGGAAAGGCTCGCAGAAGAGGTCAGTTATATCGTTCCGTTGGTCAACAAGCATGACTCTATCTGTCAAGAGAGCATAGAGGAAGACAGAGACCAGAGAAAGCATTCTGTTTCCCAGACCAAACATAGGCATCCACACTACATACCGACATTCATCACCAGAGCTTCTTAATTCGTTGTGACCAAGCTGCTTTGTAGCTCTCTTGTAAGGTTTTGTGCCAGGACCGCAACGCTTGTGAAGCATCTCGTAGCTTCTAAGCTTAGAGACAAGATATCCAGATGGTTTGTATAGTGAAGGCTTTCTCATAGACTGATCATACCTACTTAAGCAAGATTTTTCATCAAACCCTGAAGCAAGAAGCCCTCCTAGCAGTTTCTCACTTTGTCGTTCAGAATTGTTTAAACCTTTTCAAGAACATATAATAGAAAGTGATCAGCATTTCTCTTTATTTGAAATAATCTAACCCAACAAAAATGAAGGGTCTTGTTACCGTTGGTAGTAAGATCAGACTTGTGGCGGTTGGAGATGTTGGAGGATGGTAATAGTAGCACCAAGCAAAGTACTAAGCAAGTGGCGATTGCTATCGTGAGCTTCATCATAATGGAGATCCTAGCTAAATAAAGGAGATATGTTTTCTTCCTGTTTTCTACTTTGTTGCAGAGATTTATGGTTTCATTTTGTGGCCGGTGAAGGAAACGAGATCTAATAGGTTTGCTTGAATCATTTATTAAGATTATTCAATGTTTTTCAAAACAAATTTTAGTAATATCACTAATACTATGGAATAGGATATCAGTATTTATGATTCAATATATCTGTTTCCAAAATTTATTATACTCTTAATTTTTTTTTTGATCAACATTATACTCTTAATTATCTACTATAAATAATACTATATTTTTTGTGGAATAAGATATGCAAAATTGTATTCATTAAAATTTAGAATTAAATATAATTTCAATAAACCATATGAAAATTACTCCCATATATATTATTTAAGAAGTGTTTTTAGTGATTCCGATATTACTTAATTTGTAGTAATTGTTTTTTCTTTGTAGTAACGAGTTTGGAGAAAACCTTTAATCACTCTTCTCCAAAGTGAAGGAAACAAAATCTTGAAATCGCAACCTTAAAGACCTCAATACATTTATTTACATAATAACAATGTCCTTTACAAACTACATTAATCCTAACCAGAACATACATAGTCCATCTAACCATCACAACATGTAACAATTTTTGTGTTTTGTGGACAAATCAAAATTTAATAAGTTATTTAGTTGTTGATTCATTATCGTAATCCTAATTGGTCGTGAAACTTCATGATAATTACCATGTGGATTTGAACTAGCTAGTACTTAGAAAAATATTTCTAAGATAACAAGATTCACTTCCATAATGAGAAATCAAATAATAAATAACACCAGATTTTAACTACTTTTTAGAAATCATTAAATAAATATATAAAACTTTTAAATTAGTGATCCAAGAAAACACACACAAAAAAAGAAACTAGTGGATTTTCAGGTCAAATAGAACACACAAACCCATAAAAAAATATGTGATTTCTAATTTGAATCAACTAGCTTAAGGCCCGTGATCCGATCCTCACAATACATAACAAAAGGGGTGATCTTCACTTCCTTAGCTTGACAACCATAGAGTGGAGCTCTAAGGAAACATGGCTCCATTGACACGGCACGAACACATGGTGGCTCAGCCGCTCAGGAGCTGTGTTGTTCTTTGGCTTGTAGAGTATCCATGGCTTTAATCCTCCAAGACCTTGAGCAACGTATCCGAACGTAGATGAGTCGCTCGTGACAATGTGGTCAGTTAAACTTAGAAGATATATCTCAGCGAGTGCCTTTTGGTCGTGAAGCTTATTGTCTGTTTGCTGATGCATTTCTTGGCTTGGTTGGTAAACTTGTACTATCTCTCCTGTCGAACTTGAGCCTTCCCAGTACATTTGCCTTAGATTCTCCGAGTACTCTGGGTAAAGAGAAGTGACAAGAACAGCTTTGAGTTTCAAGCTTCTTGATGTATTATTAGTGACTTGTGATTCTGAGACAGACACTTCAGGTAATAGTTTCTCTCTTTGTGTACAGGCTAAGATTTGTTCCATGACATGCTGGAAATATCCAGCAGGCTTGCTAAAAACTCTTACTTGAATTCCAAGTCTCTCATCAGCTCTTGATAAATACGCATTGTAGGCTCTAGTGATCATACCCCAAACTTGGTTAGTCGGGTGAAAAAGATAGCGACCCAAATGGTGAAAGACGGTTTCTTTCTGTGGGAATAGCTTGCTTAATTCAGATTGAAAACTAGGGATCAACCATAGAGATGGAATGAAGTAAAGATTTGAGTTGAAGACCAACCAAGGGACTTGCCTGATGAGAAGTTGATCTTTTTCACAGAAGAACATCTTATCATAATCGTCGTAATCGTGAATAAGATAAAGACAGAGGTACGAGTGGATGATTGTAGTCGAGTTAATGGCATTATTCTTCAACATTGTTCCGTAACAACGAGGAGATTCCCGGTCGAAGCTATCTAACTGATCTGTTAGTGGAAAATCCAGAGGGAGTAGCCAAGAAGTACCTGGAAAAGGCTCACATAAGAGATCATTTATGTCCTTGCGTTGGTCAACAAGCATGATTCTGTCAGTCAAGAGAGCATAGAGAAACAGAGCAGCAAGAGTAAGTACTCTGTTTCCTAGCCCATAAACAGCAATCCACACAATGTATCTGCATTCACCAACAGATTTGCTTGAATAATTTTCACCAAGACTCTCTGTTGCTTTCTTGTAAGCTTTTGTGCCAGGACCGCAACGCTTGTGAAGCATCTCGTAGCTCCTAAGCTTAGAGACGAGATATCTGGATGGTTTGTATGGTGAAGGCTTGCGATACAAGGAAGACTGATACCTACTCAAGCAAGAATTTTCATCAAACTCGTCAGTAAGTAGCCTTCCTAACAGTTTATCTCTCGGTTTTCCGGAATCCGTTGAACCTATTACAAGAAAATTAATCACTAATAAGTCAAATGAGCATTCTTGACTAAACAAGACCAAAAGATGAATGATCTTACCGTTGGTTGTAGCATTAAGAAGCTGGTGATTGAAGATGATGAAGAATGATAGTAACATCAATGACCAAAGTAGTAAGCAAGTGACTATTGTTATCATGAGCTTCATCTTCAAAACCAAAAAGCTCAGAAAACTTCCAGGAGATCTAAAAGACTAAAACACTGAAATAGTTATAATTAAGTGATTTCAAAGACTCTGATTCTAATTTTGGTTAAAGAATCTTGATACTGTATAAGTATCATAAATGTGTTATGCTGTGACTGTAGGTGATGGTGAAGCTTCTTGTCACTTTGTTGGTACAATCTGATCTTTCCACATGGTGGAGGTGACCTGCCTCTGCTTTTAAAACTGGTACAAATTGTACCAACAAAGAAATCGGTTATATCGGTACATAATTAGTGGTACCATCGGTTTAATAGGGTTCGGTTCGATTTTATTTTTAGAAAGATTTGGAATCGGTTCGGTTTTTGTTAATATGCTCTATGATTCAAAACCCTCAATCGTCGCCGGAGAACGAGTCTTTGCCAGTTGTTTTTTCCGGCTGCCACAAGATCGGAAAATATTTTATGCGGGTTGTCCCGATTTCATTACTCTCACAAGTGAGAGGACTGATTCGAAGAGGACCATCTTCGCGATGGTACGTGGTTCCTGCATTTGCCCGGACGAACCCTACAATCTCATACTCGGAGCAAGTGAAAGAAGGTAACTTTGATTGTAAAGCATTGGACTTTAATGAAATTGGGGTTCTTCGAGTATCAACTAGTATGAAGGATGATCCTTATCTTGCTTTATCGTTTCTGAAACGAATTGAAGGAAATGTGGCTTTTTTGCCTAGTGTCCAAGCTTATGCAACTGTTATCAGAATTGTTTGTGGTTGGGGTTTGGATCAGAAATTGGATACTTTTCTTGTGGAACTCGTTAGAAAAGGAGATGCAGGACGCGGTTTCAGTGTCATGGATTTGTTAAAGGCCGTTGGAGAAGCAGAAAAAGAGGGAAAAGGGTCATTGCTGTTGTTGAGCAGGCTCTCTAGTGCCTTGGTTAAAGCCTACGCTAGTCTTGAAATGTTTGACGAAGCTATCGATATTTTCTTCCAGACTAGTCCCCTAGGATGTGCTCCAGATATAAAAGCATTGAATTTTTTGATGAACCGTATGATTGCTTCTGGAGAAAACAATATGGCGGTGGCTAGTTTCATGTAAATAGAGCGGCTTGGGTTGGATGCGGATGCACATACTTATGTGCTTGTGGTTCAAGCATTTTCTAGGAATGAGGATACAAAAGGAGTAGAGAAGCTTCTTAGTAGACTGTTAAACTCAGAGACGAGGAAGCCTTGCGTGTTTTATTTGAATTTCATTGAAGGACTATGTTTAAATCAGATGACAGGTATAGCTTATCTTCTACTTCAACCATTGAGGGATGCAAATCTTCTGAAGGAAGCCTATGCTCTTTTTATAAGGATGAAGACGACGGGAATCAAACCTGATGTGGTAACATGCACAGTTTTGATCAATATTCCAAAGTTAGATACGAAGAGGGAAATGAAGGCCTTTGATGTTAAACCAGACATTGTCTACTACACGGTTTTGATTGCTAAGCAGTGCAAGGTTCAGGATCTTCTAGAGGCGGAAAGGATCTTTGCTGAAATGATTGAAAGTGGATTGGTGCCTGATGTTGTGCCGTACACAGCACTAATAGCTGGTTGTTGTAGGAATGGATTCATACATAAGGCGGTCACACTTATGCAAGTGATGTGGGAAAAGGGTATTGAGCCAACTAAAGCTTCCCTGTCTGCAGTACACAATGCTATATTAAGGGCCAAGAGACTTCGCTCTAGAAAATGATTCGAGAATTTATGAAGAGAGCCTATATCTACAAGGTCAAGTGAGAATGTGGAAACACGGTTATAGGTATCTAACAGTGTGAGAAGATTTGCAGTAAAATCGCCTAATTCCTAATCTACAACACTACCTCTGCAGTAATTCAGGTAAAGCATGATAACCTCGCCTAATTCCTGATTCAGAAACTCCGACACAGAGGATTTTCATAGCTCTCACTCTCTCAGACACACAGGAGCCTTAATGATTTTGAATTGTAAGTAAATGTACAGTGTTATTATAAATTTATAATAACTCAAACAAGCCTTGTAAAATGTACTAAAAAACTATATGTTTCTGTGCATTAAACACATTAGTACAGAGGATGGAATTTTACACTGTAAAGTGTTAGATTTTCATTAAGCATAAAAGCATGATTCTTTTTATTTGTGTGTTTAATTAAAAACTGAACCAGGACACTAATAATGATTATTATAGACGACTCTAAAAAGAAAGATAAAAACTTTGATTATTACATGCAATCAGAAGAATTCATCAAAGATTCTCTGTTTCAATAACTCACAATCCTATTGAATCAGCTATAGTAAACAAGATCTATAACTCATCAAATAGCTTAAGCCCATCGTTCCCACGATCCTCACAATGCCTTACAAAAGGAACTACCTTCCCCGAGTCAGTTCCCCATTCGGGTTCACATCCATGAGACGGTGGAGTAAGGTGACAAGGGTCCATCGACGTGGATCGAATACACGGTGGATCAGGAGCTGTAGGACCTGTTGGCTGATAGAGTAACCATGGCTTTAACCCTCCAAGACTATGAGCAACATATCCAAATGTAGACCTTGCGCTTGTGACAATGTTATCAGTTAGACTTAGAAGATACATCTCGGCGAGCGCCTTTTGGTCGTGAAGCTTCTTGTCTGTTTGTTGAACCCTTTCTCCACTTGGCTGATAAACTTCAATTATCTCACCTGTTGAGCTCGGTCGTTCCCAATACATGTTCTTTAAGGTTTCAGAGTACTCTGGATACAAAGATGTGACAAGAACAGCTTTAAGCTTCTGGCTTCTTGATATATTGACTTTTGATTCTTCTTGTGCAGCTGGTTCAGGCAAAAGGTTTTCTCTTCGTGTACAAGCTACGACCTGATCCATTACATGCTGAAAATATCCAGCACGATCGCTGAATATCCGTATCTGAATACCAAGCGTCTCGTCTGCTCTTGATAAGTAGGCATTGTAGGATCTTGTGATCAAGCCCCAAACTTGATTCGTCGGGTGGAAAAGATACCGAGCGAGATGGTGAAAGACGGCTTCTTTCTGCGGGAATAGCTTCATTAGTTCGGTTTGGAAAGTTGGATTCAACCATAGAGATGGAACAAAGTAGACATTGGCTTTGACAATCAACCAAGGGACTTTGTCGACTAAAGATTGATCCTTTTGACAGAAGAACATCTTATCATTGTCCCTTGAATCATGAAGAATATGAAGGTACAGATGTGGCGGGATTAAAGTGGAGTTGATGGCTTGATTGTTCAACATTGTTCCGTAACAACGAGAGTATCCCTTGTTGTATCCATCAATCTGTTTCATCAATGGGAATTCAAGAGGAAGTAACCATGAAGTACCTGGAAACGGCTCGCAGAAGAGATCACTTATATCTTTACTTTGATCAACAAGAACGACTCTCTCTGTCAAGAGAGCGTAGAGGAAGACAGAGGCAAGAGTAAGTATTCTGTTTCCAAGCCCGTAAACCGCAACCCACACAATGTATCTGCATTCACCAACAGATTTGCTTGCAAAATTCTCATCATCATGACCAAGAATCTCCGTTGCTTTCTTGTAAGCATACGTCCCTGGACCGCAACGCTTGTGAAGCTTCTCATAGCTTCTAAGCTTAGAGACAAGATATTCAGAAGGCTTGTACGGTGAAGCCTTGCGATACAACAAAGATTGCTGATACCTACTCAAGCAAGAGTCTTCATCGAAATCCGCGGTTAAAAGCCCTCCGATCAGTTTATCCCTCGGTGTTTCGGTTTCGTTTGAAACTGCTACAAGAAATATAAAGTCACAAGGAGCAATTCTACCAGTTCTTGAGTTAAACCAAAGACAGGTGATTTTTATTTACCGTTGGTTGTAGTAGCAACAAGAAGTTGGTTGTTGAAGTCGTTAGAGAATGAAACTAACACTACGGACCAAATTAGTAAGCCACTAAAGATTATTGTTAGCAGAATCTTCATCTTCAAACTAAAAGCCCTGAAAACTTCGCCGGAGATCTGAAAGATGTGATACATGTTGACTTTAGTTTGATCAGTTATAACTAGGAGATTGATTCAAAAGAGTTAGGGTCCGTTCGTTTCATCATCTACCATTTCCATCCAAATGGTCCATTTAAATGTTCCATCCAAATGCTCCATCTGAATGTTGTTCGTTTCAATTTTTGGATGTTCATTTGGATGGAACATTTGAATGAATTTACAAATCTTTATCTCCATCTAGATGACTTTAACAAGAAAATGACTAAAATACCCATACTTTAATTTACTTATATTTTAAATCTTAATCTAAGCTATATTAATTTAATTATTGCTCTAAAATATATTTTCATTTAAATAATTTTTAAATTATTATTTTAACATATAAATTAAGTTTACAGTTTTGACGAAAAAAGATAATTTTACGGTTTAGGCGGAAAAACATAATTTTGCGATTTTTGGCGGGAAAATGTTATTTTGCGGTTTTGGCGGGAAAACATAATTTTGCGATTTTGGTGAAAAAAATGATTCTGCAATTTTGGCGGGAAAATATGATTTTGCGATTTTTGGCGGGAAAACATAATTTTGAGATTTTTGGCGGGAAAATGTTATTTTGCGGTTTTGGCGGGAAAACATGATTTTGCGATTTTGGTGAGAAAAAATGATTCCGCAATTTTGGCGGGAAAACATAATTTTTACAATTTTTTGATGGAAAATTAAGTTTTGTGATTTTGGCGGAAAAATATGATTTTACGGTTTTGGAGAGAAAACACAATTCCTCAGTTTTTTCGGTTTTGGCGGGAAGACAGAATTCCGTAATTTTTCCGCCAAAATCGTGATTTTATAGTTTTGGCGGGAAAATATGATTTAACGGTTTTGGTGGAAAACACAATTCTTCAATATTTTCGGTTTTGGCGGGAAAACAGAATTCCGTAATTTTCCCGCCAAAATCGTGATTTTATAGTTTTGGCGGGAAAATGTGATTTTACGGTTTTGGTGGAAAACACAATTCTTCAAGTTTTTTTTTGGTTTTGGCGGAAAAACAAAATTCCGTAATTTTCCCGCCAAAATCGTGATTTTATAGTTTTGGCGGGAAAATGTGATTTTACGGTTTTGGTGGAAAACACAATTCTTCAAGTTTTTTTTTGGTTTTGGCGGAAAAACAAAATTCCGTAATTTTCCCGCCAAAATCGTGATTTTATAGTTTTGGCGGGAAAATATGATTTTGCAGTTTTGACGAGAAAATATGATTTTGCGGTTTTGATGAATTCCATTATTTTCTATCAAAAATCACGATTTCACTTTTTGACGGGAAAAAACACAATTCCGCGATTTTATGATTTTGACGAAAAATGATAATCATTGATTTCACGATTTTTAGAGATTTTATTTGGTGCAAATATGTAATTTTTTGAATATAAAATGAAAAATCTATGGAAAATAAACATTATTTTTATTTATGATTATAAATGAAGGTATATTTGTCATTTGTTAGTTTTGACTGAATCATCTCCATCCAAATGCTCCAACCATGTTCATCCAGATGAGTTTGATAAATTTGCCTAAAATTACAAACTCATTCAGATGATCCATCCAACTAATTCATCCAAATGATCTGTTAAATTGTAAAAAACGAACATCATTTTTCATCTCCATCCAGATGGATCATCTGAATGGAGAAACGAACAGGGCCTTATATATGTAGCGTGATTACAACTCTTAATTCTTAATTAAAGGTGAAGAAACATGTCATTTGTATATAATACTAAGTGTTTGAATATTCTAATGGGTCATTATTGTTAAGTTGTGACAATCAACGAACTACGTTCTTACCAAAAAAAAAAAAAATCAACGAACTACGTAACGTGACTCCACTTTTGTTTAGTGTAGAAAAGTCTTGATCTTCGATTTATGTGAATCATCAAGCTGTATTATTATATATAATTTTAAATTAACGAAGAAATGACAAATGAGTGACTTGTTTTGAAGGAGAGAACTTGGAATCCAAACAAATACATCACATGCCATGTATTATTTCCAAATTGCCAAATCATCCATTCATTTAGTTTATGAATATAATCCTAATCAGATCCGGAACTTCGCGTTGTTGACTAAAGAATAAAGAGAGTAAACACAATTGATTTGATTTTATCTTATTGACCAATCCAAGCTTCCTAAAATGGCCTAACATCGAACCTTCACTTCCTTCTTTTTTTTTACCATTTGACAACTTATTGACAGGCCAAATCAATGTTATGTTTTGGTTTAAAAATGGGTTATGTTTTAAAATCCTTTTTTCTCTTTTAGGAAGCTTCTTGAAATCATTTTGAAGATGTTTTATGAAATTTGGTTAATCTAGTCGGGTTTCTTATAGAAAACTTGTTGCATCTACCATCCAATAAAAAATGCTACTAGACCACTATTTTTTATTAGTATTATGAAAACATATTGCAACGACCAATAAAAATAGTTTTCGTTACTAGCAAAACAAACTACCTTCACTAGAGTCGTTCGTTACTCTGTTTCCAACGGTTTGAAACAGAAAATCTGAACTCATGGGCCTTTAACAAACTAAGCCCAAAATTAAAAGATAAAAGCCTATCCTGATCTTTTCACTAAACCAGCCGAAATCAATGATTAAAACAGATTAAACCAAAGAACTAAAATCCACATCATATTATAGCCACATAGGGATTTTTAGAGGTATGAATGTTCCATGGAAACTATGTTAAGCTCTCTAATGAAATTATCATATTAGACCACTGAACCAAGATTATTATTTTTTTCAAATGATTATTTGTTCATATTTTGGATATGTATATAATTTATATGAACAGAAAAAAAAATATAAATTTATGAATTTCATATAAAAATTTATAACGTACCTTGCATTGATATGTTGGTGGTTGAACTGATCTTTGACAACATGTTTGTTCTCGAACATATGAATCGGATGGTGGTTTTTTGGTGTCCATAATGTTAATCAAACTATAAACAATTTTTGTATAATGGAAAACACATATAACTTAAGAAATAGTCATGAAAAAAAGGATTCAAAGAGATCAAATTGAACAAAGACGAAAGAAAAGCATAAAAAGCCAATAAAAATTCGAAACAAAGAAGAACAAGAAGGTGATAAAAAAAAATTACAAAAGAAGAACAGAGGATTTTTTTTGTTGTTTTTTTTCAACAAAGAGAGCTTAATGCTAAACGTTCATAGTCAGAAGTTAATATGCACGCATTCAATACTTGACTGTTTTCTAGAAAAAAAAGGTGAAAAGATTTATGTCTTTATGATTATTTCCATATTTGTTTAATGTATATATATTTAGGTCAAATGTCATAAGTAAATATTATTTGGTTTTCCAAAGAAAGCTTAATGGTTCAAATTTTACTTGGAAAATAATCTTTAGCATTTAATTTTCTGATATGTATCAACATTTTAATAGGTAAGGTAACATTGACTATTCTATAGAAAAAATAATTTTATTATTAAAAAAATCTGAACTAAAATTTTAGATTTCATTTCTGACACATGTAAAAAAGTTAAATCCCAGCTTTATAATTCTCACTTTTGTAATTTTCAACATGTAGAAAATCAATTATATAAATCACACATGATATTAACCAAAAAAAGAATAAAATTCAAAATTACACATAATGACCAAATTGCAGTAGCCAAGTTTTGATTTTTAATACATCTGTATACATTTGCCTATACATACAATTAGAAAGATCCTCTGTTTCAATTTGTAAAATCTATAACTCATCTTTGGTATCATCAACTAGCTTAAGCCCATAATGTCTAAGATCTTCACAATGTCTTACAAAAGGAACGATTTTTGCTGTGTTAATTCCCTTTTTGGCTTCGCATCTATGAGCTGGAGGTTTAAGGAAACAAGGCTCCATGGATACACCACGACCACATGGTGGATTAGGAGTTTTGAACTTCTTTGGTGTGTAGAGTATCCATGGCTTTAATCCTCCAAGACCTTGAGCTACATATCCAAATGTTGACGAAGAGCTTGTGATTAGTTTATCAGTTAGGCTTAGGAGGTACATCTCTGCGAGTGCCTTTTGGTCGTGAAGCTTCTTGTCTGTTTGCTGAAACCTTTCTCTACTTGGCTGATAAACTTTTACTATGTCTCCTGTTGTAGTTGGGCGTTCCCAATACATGTTCTTTAGGTTATTAGAGTATTCTGGATTCAGAGATGTGACCAGAACAGCTTTAAGCTTGGTGGGGTTTGATGTATTAGTTGCTTGTGATTCTCCTTGCGCAGCTGCTTCAGGTAACAGTTTCTCTCTTTGTGTACAGGCTACGATCTGGTTCATTACGTGCTGGAAATATTTCGTTTGTCTGCTGAAAACCCGTATTTGAATCCCGAGTATCTCGTCTGCTCTTGATAAGTAAGCATTGTAGGATCTGGTGACCATACCCCAGACTTGGTTTGTCGGGTGAAAAAGATAGCGTGCCAGGTGGTAGAAGACGGTGTCTTTCTGCGGGAATAGCTTGATGAGTTCTGTTTGGAAACTAGGATTCAGCCATAGAGATGGAATAAAGTAAAGGTTGGATTTGACAACCAGCCAAGGGACTTTGTTGATTAAAGATTGATCCTTTTGGCAGAAGAACATCTTATCCTGATCCCTGTAATCATGGAGAAGATGAAGATAAAGATGTGATGGGATTGTAGTCGAGTTAATGGTATGATTCTTCAACATTGTTCCGTAACAATGCGAGTATTCCCGGTTGAAACTATCTATCTGACCCATCAATGGAAAATCAAGAGGAAGTAACCAGGAAGTACCCGGAAAAGGCTCACAAAAGAGATCACTAATATCCTTGCGTTGGTCCACAAGAATGATTCTCTCTGTCAAGAGAGCATAGAGAAACACAGAAGCAAGAGTGAGTATTCTGTTTCCAAGCCCATAAACAGCCACCCACACAATGTATTTGCATTCACCAGCAGAGCTATCTCCAACATTCTCATGATCATGACCAAGCTTCTCTGTTGCTCTCTTGTAAGCATCAGTGCCTGGACCGCAACGCTTGTGAAGCATCTCATAGTCTCTAAGCTTAGAGACTAGATATTCAGAAGTTCTGTAAGGCGAAGGCTTGCGATACAAGGAAGACTGATACCTACTCAAGCAAGAATCTTCATCGAAATCAGCGGTTAAAAGACCTCCTAACAGTTTATCCCTCGGTTTTACAGAATCCTTTGAACCTACTGCAAGAAAATGAAAAATTCAGTCAAAAGGAACATTTCTGAATAAGAAACCGAAAAGATGAATGATTTTACCATTGATTGTAGCACCAAGAAGCTGGTGTTTGAAGATGTTGGAGAATGATAGTAACAACACTGCCGACCAAAGTAGTAAGCAAGTGAAGATTGTTATCATGAACTTTGTCTTCATACTTAGAGCCCAGAAAAACTTCACCGGAGACTTGAAATAATTGCTGTATTCAATTATTATTAAGAGTTATCAAAGAGTTTACAACTCTTATAGTGACCAAGTCAAAGAAACTTGTCTCCCTGTGAAAATTGACGAACTCTGAAAGTGACTCTAAAATATTAATCTAATGATTACTTCCTATATTCATCTTCCTTTTATTACTATAAAAACAAATGGTGTTGGTGTCGGTGTCGGTATTCGATTTATATGAATAATCAAGTTATGTTTAATTTAGCAACAAACATTGATGTTGAAATCTTAACAATACACTATTTGTCAATGTAACATTCTTGAAATGTCTTCTGGACAGATTATTCTTTTGTTGTTGTGACTTGTGTGAATCATTTTCATTTTGGTTCAACTCTCAACGGTTTAACAAAGTTTTCAGTTCGGTTTGGTCCATAAATTTTGTTATGAAAACCCGGTTCCATAAAAAGGTTTTTGAGGGGTTTTAACATAAAGACGTTTCGATTACACAAATCTCTCTGGCTTGTAAGAGTCGGCGGCGGCGGCACCGAGAGAACCTTAAACCTGAATCCTCCGATTTCCATAAGATCTGATCTCACTCACGCCTGAGAAGAATGGGAATTACATCATCCTCAGATCCAAAAATAGAGACTTTTCCCGACCCTAAATCTCAAAACAACGAAGAAGCTCCAGCTCCAGCTCCAGCTGAGGAACTCGGAGATTCGTCTCCGTCGGAGAAACTTGGAGATTCATCAACTGTTTGGAGAGATCCAGTAGATTCCGAATCGGATCAACCACAAGAAGAAGGAGGAGGAGGAGACGCAGATGGTGAAGAAGAAGGAGAGTGTGGGTTTTGCTTGTTTATGAAAGGAGGTGGTTGCAAAGATTCGTTTATTGCTTGGGAAGAGTGTGTTGAGAAAGCTGAGAAGAACAAGGAAGATATTGTTACTAATTGTATGGAAGTCACTTCGATGTTGAAGAAGTGTATGGATGAACATTCGGATTACTATCAGCCGATTCTCGCTGCGGAGAAAGCTGCTGAAGCAGAGGTTAAGAAGGAACTTGAAGCTGAGAAGAAGAAGGAAGAAGAAGAGAAGGAGCTTGAAGCTGAGAAGAAGAAGGAAGAAGAAAAGAAGATCTCGGAAGAGGAGGTGGCTGCGAAGAAGCAAGCTCAAGGGTGATTTGATTGATTGAGAGGATTTAGGTAAATTTTTCATGGTTTCTTGTTTATGGGAATATCAAAATATTGGAATTTGGGATAAATTGTTCCTTAGGAGCAGAGGAAATTTCGTTTTTAGATACGTAACTTATATGATCGATCATTTTTATGTGCGAATAAGTTGATTGATTGAGATCATTTGAATGATTAAGAGAAAATTTGCTCTTAAAGGTCAGTACTTTGTTGATCCCCAAGACTGTTTCTGTTAATTCAATAGATAATTTGCTCTAAAGGTCATTACTTTGTTGATCCCCATGAATGTTTCTGTTGATTCAATAGATAATTTGTTCTAAAGGTTATTACTTTGTTGATACCCATGAATGTTTCAGTGAAGAAATCTTGTTTTCTTTGTGGTTTGCTAAGCTATTTCTTCATTTGAATGAGATTTGTTGCTTCTGAAACAGAAAAGACCAGACCTTTTGTTGTGATAGCAGCCCTTTTCTAGTTTGTCCAAAGATCAAGTTTACTTCTTTGTTGTTTCACTTTTTCCTTAAGATACACTAGCATTTGTCTTCCCACTTTCATTCATTATCGATGACGTTTTGTTTGGTCGAAGTCTCCTCGAAGATGAAAATATTCACAAATCCCAGTTTTGCCTGGTATGTATGTCGTGTTTCTTATTTATAGGGAAATATGAAACATTGCACAACTTCATCTCTGTTATCAGCCTCCATACATGACCATATGATTCAGCTCTAAAGGTCATTACTTTGTTGAAACCCATGAATGTTTCAGTGGAGAAATATTGTCTTGGTTTGCTAAGCTATTTCTTCATTTGAATGATATTTGTTGCTTCTGAATCAGAAAAGTTCAGACCTTTTGTAGTGATAGCTTCTGGTTTCAGCACTTTTTAGTTTGGCTGAAGATCAAGTTTACTTATTTGTTGTTTCACTTTGTTCTTAAGATACGCTAGCCATTGTTTCCCCACTTTCATTCATTATCGATAACATTCTGTTTGGTTGAAATCTCCTCGAAGATGAAAATCTTTACAAATCCTGGCATGTATGTCGTGTTTTTAATTTGTTGGGAGATATGAAACATTACGCAACTTCATCTCTGTTATCAGCCTCCATACATGACCATATGATTCTTTGCTTACCTTGTTAATCATGCTATTATATGCTTTCGACAATCATGTTTAAAAAGAGCTTAGTTGTTAGCTGCCAAGAATGACTGTTTTGGCTTTGATCATTTATAGTGTTGGATCTGATGTTTTTTTGCTTTTTAATGACACAATTCAAAGGCTACAATTGTCTCTGCATGATTTTCAAGTTGCATGAATCTCAAATTTTGTCTTGTTAGTATGTTTCGAAAAGATATATGATCGGTGTGACAAAAGTCTTTTTCAACTATTCTCGTTCAACGTGTATTTTTGGTTGCAAACTAGTATGAAGAGCAATTCTCATTCTAGGAAAAAAAAAACCAAAATAATATGTAAAGAAATTGTAATTATCAAATATTTAGAAAAAATTGTAATTATCAAATCCCTACAAATATTGTAATTCTTTGACCTAATGAACTACTAATAATCACTGATTAATTGTAGGGTAAATCCTTATCTCTAAATTGTATCATTCAGAAAATTATTCAACATATCATCCATAAGATCCGATCTCTCTCACGGCATGGGGATAACGTCATCCACAGATCTGAAACCGGAGAATTCCGATCCCAAATCTCAAAAAAACCAAGTCCAGCCAGAGAAAGTAGGAGATTCGTCAAGTCTTTGGCAAGATCGATTACAAGTTTTTGTGAAAGAAGGTGCATGCAAGGAAACATATACGGCTTTTAAAGATTGCGTGGAAGAAGCTGAGAAGAAGAATAAGGAACCTATCTTGTGTTATCCGATGTTGGAGAAGTGTATGGAGAGACATTCTGATTACTATCATCCCTTTCTCGATGCGAAGAAAACTGCTGTAAAACTGATGATGAAGGATTTCATGCCGTCAACTGTTTGGCGAGATCCAGGGGAATCCGTATCCCCAAATGAATTAAAGGAAGAAGAAGAGAGAGAAGAGGTGTTTTTAGCGTTCATGAGAGGAGGTGGTTGCAAGGTACCATTTAGTGCTTGGGAAGATTGCTATGATGAAGCTAACAAGAACAAGGAAGATATGGTCCTTAAGTGTGTGGGAGTTTTTTCGATGATGACCAAATGTATGGATGCTCATCCTGATTACTATCGTCCCTTTCTTGCGGCCAAGAAAACTGCTGAAGAACACATGGAGAAGGAGCTTCAAGCCTTTCTCTCAGAAGCAAAATGAGCGGTGTTTGAGTGGATGTAGGTGTCTTTTATGGTTTTTTTTTTCTTGGGAGCAAAAATTGGATTAGGTTTCCATATGAATGAATACTTTTCTTTTTTCAAAAGTCATTACTTTGTTGATGCTCATGAACGTTGCCGTCAACAAATCTTGTCTTCTTTGTGGTTTCCTTAGTTATTTCTTCATTTAAATGTGATTTGTTGCTTCTGAAACAGGAAAAGGTCATATCTTTTTGTTTTTAGTGATTGCTTTTCCAAAATTTTCTATCTTGTCTTAAATTCAAGTTGAAAAGTATATCTTTGTTGACTTGTTTCACCTTGTGCTTAAGATACACTAGCGCTAGTGTTGTTTCACTTTGTGAAGAGGGAAAACAAGTGCGAGTGTTGGTTTTGTTGGGGTTAAGTCTCCTCTAAGATGAAACCATCTACGAACTTAAAGATGAGAATTGTTACAAATCCCAGCTTTTATCCGATTTGTCTTGTTTTAACGTGTCTTTGGTTGCAACTTAGAAATCAGAGTCGAATCAAATCAGGTACAGAGGGCAACATTGAATAGAAAGAATCATATAAACTGAATGAAATGCAGAGTTTGAAGAATACTGTATTTTCTTCACACGATTTACCACTATGGTTGGAACCTTATGTTAAATGCATTTGATGCATCCGGCATCCCTATATTTCATACAAAATCTATGATGGATGCAGGGCCGGCTCAATTAATTTGGAGTCCCGGTACAAATCTTAAAAAATGGCCCTTTTTTTATACAAAAAAAAAAAATTGGGCTTTTTTCATGTTAAAAAAATCTTAAAAATTAATCTTTTTCATACGAAATAAAATATTTGGGCCTTTTTCATGCTAAAAATATCTTAAAGTTTTTAAAATTACCCTTTTTTCGTATTAAAAAAAAAATTTGGGCCCTTAAATTTACCCAAAAAAATTTGGGCCCTGCACATTTGCTCCTCTTGCGCACCCCAAACGCCCCCCTGGATGGATGATGGATCGTTCAAAAGCAATAAAACGAACAAATCTAATACCTTCAAATACTAGGGCCGACGAAAAATATAAATAAACAAGGAAACAAGTTCAATGTTGATTTTTGACTCTCAATCACGGAAGTGATTCAAGTCGCGCGTCTTCGTTTTAACTTTTAATGTGCAAAGAAGTTTAGTTAGAAAAAAGGAAAGAACGCCAAAAGTCTCTTTGTTCAAAGCTGATTTCCTTGGCAACCGGAACCGGTGCTCATGCACATGCAGGGGCATAAAATGGTTTGTTTTGTCACCTTCCTTTGTTTAGTATAGCAAGGAACCAAAATATGCATAGGCGTGAAGCTCCCATGGTAAGGTTTATTATGTCGAGCTTATGGGAGATAATGCAAGTATGTTTCTGTCCAGAGTTGCCCATTTGAACTTTCAAATTTCTATTGAGATATCTGCCTTCTCCATCATGTTCCACTAATTATTTAACAAAAAATAAATAAATCATGTTCCATTAATTCAAGAAAACACTTTTAACGAAAAAAAAAAGCCATTTATTTATTTATTTTTATTTATTTTATTTTCTAGTATTATGTGAATATTTATTTTTGTTTTTTACAATTAAAAAAAATATTTCATAGAAAGTCAAAAACTTTAATTTCTACCACATTAAATAATCAGAAAAATATTTGTATGAATTTTAATTTTAGGAAAACTGGACTGTCCTTTATACATTTATATATAATTGTATCATTGATGTATTCAAATGCTAAAATTAAACCATTATTTTTTATGGATTCAAAGTATTAATACATGTAAAGTTAGAGAACTTTGGTATCGTATTGAAAGTTAGATTGATTTTCAGTTATGGCACCCACCACTTATTCACTTAAGACATTTTTTGTTTTTTTTTTTTAATAAATCATGCATTTTTCACCTTTTTTTTTACCTAAATTTAAAATTTATATGAAAAATTTAAATTATATTTATTTTCTAGATTTTCACGTTATTGATTATACCATCTAGTAATTTGATATTTCTAAAATTAAATTATTTTAGAAAATTGACCATCCCTGCGCGATTAAACCATCTAGTAATTTGGTATTTGAATAATTCTGTTATAACAGAAACTAAACCATCTACCGATCTACGTAGTAATTTGGTAAATGAAATCGAATACTTACACTACATAAATGAAGACAGCTAGGAAAATGTTGAAGAGAACACGTGGCGTCTGACGTGTTCTCCTTTCTCTCGCATTGCACTCAGTTTTTATTTTGTCAGCAACCAGTAATATCGTTAGAATTACTTAGAAACCAGAAAGAGACCTATTTAGGAAATTCAAAAATATCGAGCTTTTGTGATTTTGAGGGGGGAGACTAAAAACACAATGAAGAATATCGGTGATGAGTGGTTGAGATCGGCGGGAAGAACAATAGCACCGCCGTGCAGTGCAGATTCCGTCGCGTTTACCGCCGGCAATGCCGTTTTCCGTAGGAGCGATCGAAACTGTTCCAGAATCGCATCGTAATTCATAATTTTCCTATCGAGTTTCGTATTTCTAGATAAGATTTGTAATCGTCACATATTTGAAGGAGAGATCGAAAGAATGTCTTATTCGTAAATTGTGACATTGGCGAACGCAACAATAACAAAACCGACGATAGTGAATGTATCAAGAAGTTAAAGATTCTCCCATAAACTTCAGCATCTTGAGTAAGAAGTTAAAGATTCTCCCATTAAGTATGTCAAAAAAAGGCCAAGGAAAACAGAGTGCATCCAAATCGAAAGAAAATCAAGAATCTCACCCAGAAAAGAAGACGACAATGTATCCTAATCTAAATAAACCCAAACACCTCATTTAAAAAACTCAGATCATCAAGATTCTCACGGCAATCTGAACCTTGTCATGGTAGCTTGTTCGCCAAGTGTAGGATGACGACGTGGGAACTCTTTATTGATACGTTCATATATACTTTGATTGTGATGAGACTGAGAAGGCTCTCTGATCTTCCCATGAACAGTTTCTTCCTGACCTACCGTGTCCTTCTTCTTGTACACGTTGGGAACCTCGCATCTTTGGGGGTATTCAATATCTTGAAAGCAATCTCGACCAACACCCCAAAAGCCGTATTCGCCACCTTGCCTGTCATGTTTTTTCTGCGGCCGTGAGAGAAAATGGGAGAGAGTATGAGAAGTATGCGAGAGATAAGAGTACGACGCAAGTGAAGAACGTTTTTTTTTGTACTCTGTTTCAATTCTCAGAGGTTTATATAAGACCTCGCCGAAAAGAACATCATAATAATAATAATTGAGGGTTTGTTTTTCGGTGACTTGGCATTTTATTTTTTTATCAAAACCGGTGACTTGGCATTTATCTCTTAATTCTTGGCATATATATATATAACAGTTTTTTACTGGCTGCGAATTGAGGTACTAAATCTTTCAACAGCAGAGAGAGGAGAAAGGTAAATGCGACACAGAAGGAGATATGCAACTTATGGCCTCAAGTCAAGCCTAAGTTATTTACGTACTGCCTTCAATTATACTAGAAATCTGGAGGTAAAAATTTTAACTTGCTTAAACGAGAAGATTCTTTTACATGAGAGGCCCTGAAGAAAACTCAAATGCCATGGACTGATGGACGCATAACTTTTATAGAGATCTCGTGAAGAGGACTAGAGGAGTGAAAGTAAAATATCCAAGCAAGCATCGAGAGATGTCTGAAGAGACAGAAACATTACACAACTTCATATCTGTTTTTCCAGATATGTCATATATGTTTCTCGATTATAGGGAGAGATGAACCATTACACAAAACTTCATATCTGTTATCGGCCTGACGGCCTCCTTAGATAATCGTATGATTCTTTGCTTACCTTGTTATAATCTTGCTGTTTATATATTAATTAAGCCTTCCAAAATCATGTTTGAAGGAAAGCTTAGTTGTTTAACTTTATTAGGTTTGTTCTGAATTTCTTTGCTTGAAGTTAATTGTAGTGGTTAACCATTTTCAAACTATTCTTGTTCAACTTGTGTTTGGTTGTAAACTACAATCAGAGTCGATTCAAATTTGGTACCAAGGGTGAAGTTGAATAGAAAGAATCATATAAATCGAAATGATCACAAGTTTCTTAATTTGCTGTGATTTTTTTCAACTATTCTGGTTTTCAACGTGTGTTTGATTAATTGCAAACTAAGGATCAGAGTCGATTCAAATTAGGTATGAAGAGCAAAGTTGAATAGAAAGAAGTTCATATAAACGGAAATGAACAGTTTGAAGAATATGTTCTTTACACGATTTACCACTAGAGAAGATCGAACTTATGTTATATGATTTTAATGCATCCCTACATTTCTCATTCCAAAAAAAAATTATGTAAAGGAATTATAATTATCAAATCCCTACATAAATTGTAATTTTTTTGACCTAGTGAACTAATAATTGCTGATCAATTGTAGGCTTAATCGTTATCTCTAAATTGTTTATCTCTAAATTGTATCATTCAGAAAATTATTTCAACATATCGTCCATAAGATCCGATCTCTCTCACGGCATGGGGATAAAGCCATCCACTGGTCTGAAACCGGAGAATTCCGATCCCAAATCTCAAAAGAACCAAGTCCAGCCAGAGAAAGTAGGAGATTCGTCAAGTCAAGTTTGGCGAGATCGATTACAAGTGTTCATGAAAGAAGGTCCATGCAAGGAAACATATACGGTTTTTCAAGATTGCGTGGAGGAAGCTTCTGAGAAGAAGAAAGAAAGTATCGGTAAGTGTTTTCCGATGCTGGAAAAGTGTATGAAGGCTCATTGTGATTACTATCAGCCGATTCTCGCGGCGGAAAATGCTGCTTTAGAACTGTTGATGAAGGAAGAAGAGAGGTTGTTAGCAATGCTGAAAGGAGGTGGTTGCAAAGAATCGTTTATGGCTTGGCTTGATTGTAGTGAGGAAGCTGAGAAAAACAAGCAAGATTTCATCACTAAGTGTGCGGGAGTCTCTGCCAAGTTGGACAAATGTTTGGATGCTCACTCTGAATATTATCAACCATATTTCGCAGTAGTTAAAACTGCTGAAGAACACATGGAGAACGAGGTCCAAGCCTTTTTCTCGCGGAAGCAACCTTAGGGATGATTAAGAAGAGAATTGATTGTTGGCTTTGATCATTTTATTAGTTTGATCACAAGTTTCTTTGCTTTGAATTGTCGTTCAGAGACCAGCATTGTCTTTGCATAATTTTCTGGTTGCATGTTTTTTATTGCTAATGTTTTCAAAAGAAAGATATGATTGGTGTGACAGTCTTGTTCAACACATTCTTTCAACTATTCTGGTTCAACGTGTGAGTGATTGCAACTAGGATCAAAGGCAGTTCACAAATTACGTACGAAGAGCAAAGTTGAATAGAAAGAATCATATAAACCAAAATGAACAATTTGAAGAATATGTTTTCTACACGAATTACCACTAGAGATAGAACCTTACACAATTCTCTTCTGACAAAACAAAAAAGAAAGAGACAGTGTAAACAATTTGAAGGACTTCTGAAACTACTAATTGTCTTTATCGTCATCTTCATCGTAGTTGAATGGTAATGGGACGGACTTGAAGGCTCGGTATTTCCCGACATTGTTCAAATGCTCGTTCTCTAATCTGTTATCCACAACCCAAACAAAAACTGAGTGTTACTAATTGGAATATTAATGAAACATATCTTGTGGAATCAGGTAATGTGAGTTTTGAAGTTTTTTCACCTGAAGAAATTCCATATACCACGACGAATGATCTCAAGACTAGCGACAATGGTAACCATCGTTTGTCTATGCATGAAGGAAAATTTGAAATCCAAAACTGTCTGGATCCACGCAAATCTCAGCAGGACATTCAAAACCTGATACATGTTCTAAGATCAGTTGCTGTGAAACATTTTTGATTTGATGAAAAGTGTTTCTGAGACTCACCATTGCGATGAAGTATACTTTCTTTTGAGGAACGAGGAGTTTATCTCGAAGCCAGCGGTTTTTCGATGTCCGGTTTAGAAGACCCCAATCATGGACAAAGTCCCAGTAAGTACAGAATATTGCAGCTATAAATGAGAAGACAGCGGCTAAAACCCTCCAAGCTACTTGACCTTTGTTGATACTGTAAGCCGTTCTCAAGCATACCGCCACTATAGTCAAGAAATACTTGAGTCCGTTGTACCCTTGTTCCGGATTTTTTTCCTCAAATAGCCGTCGCAGACACTGTATGAGTAACAGGTTTCGTTATGGACTGCTTAGATGTTGGATTATTCTTTTTGAGAGGAGTAAGTAACTATGTACTGTACCTGAAGGAGGCGAGAGACATAAGGGATGACAGCAACAATGAAGAAGAAAGTGTTGTAGACACTAGATTCTTTGCAAGTGCTTTTTCTGTGTCTGAAGTCTCCCCAACCATAGTAACATATATAGAACTCGATGCTTCGAATCGCTTGAACCTGGCTAGTTAACTGATCTCCCAAGAAGAAATCAGGCAATGTAACCTGCATGGGAAAAGGCAAAAACTGGACAGTCAATACCTACTGGAATAATAATTTACAACATTCTCTTTAGTTGATGAGCTTGTTCCATCTCTGTTTTACCTTGTAAAGAGGAGCGGCGAGGCAATGAAACAGACAAGTAAGGAAGAAAAAGCGACTCGAGCGGTAAAAGTAGTTAAATGGCAGGACTAGAACAATGAACATAGCCTGCAAAAGTAGAAAACAAACATCACAGAGTTATTATGCCATTGTTTTTTAGTTGAAAAGTCCAATTTATGGGTTTTGGGACGTACAGCAAGTAGGATAAGAGGAAGAAGTTCAGTTTTTTCTTGATATTTTTTCGTTTTGGAATCTGCCTCCATGTCAAGATTGGCAAGAACACAAAGCAATGCAAAGACTCCGATGCTGAAACCCACAAGCAGGACTTGTCTATATCCAAGTTCAGTTCCTTGCTTGAACCCAAATATGAAGGAATAGTTAACTCGGTATCGCCTCCAGTAGTATATATTACCAGCATACATGATGATATGCAGCACGATAAACCCGAACAAGCTACGAGAAACAGAAACAAAGACAACATTCTAAACATTATATTCCAACTCGAAAGCTCAATATAATTCTTAAGAACGCCAAGTTACTAAGTTCTTACCTATAAAGAGGGAACATAGTATTCATGTATTCCTTCTGGCCTTCCTTTTCCAAAAGATTTCGGGTGCGGATGATCGCAATAAGAGCCACTATAAGAGAAAAAACGCATCCAGCCGAGAAACCTGCAACCAATTTCCTCATAAGCACCACAAATTTTGAAACTAACAACCCCATTTATGCAAGTTACTGATCTTTTACCTGTGGAAAATGTAATTCTATGTCTCTCTCGTTTCTCTTTAGGTCGTAAAATATTCATCGCTTTTGTACGATTAGCGTTAGCAAAATGCTTTATGAATGTTGCTTCAACACGCTCCATGAGTCTCATAACCTGTCATAACAGAGCATTAATAAAAAACAGAGGAATTGATGAAGTTACTTATCCAAATAAGATAAATCTCATAAACCTCTTTACCTCATCAGAGCTTCCCAAGTATGAACTATCAACAACTTTCATGTAAGGCTTCGTTGCATCTCTCGAAGTTATCTACAAAGAGACATTTCGTCGAACACATTGCAGTTATTCTGAAACATAGAAAAAACCTTCCAAAAACCCCCCAAATCAAAAAGCTCAAATCTTACCTTATTATACTTCTTCAAAATCTTCGAAAACGCCAATACATTCAAAAAACTGTATAAACATAATCGAATATCAAAATCAAAACTCATCAATCATAATAAAAAAAAAATTCAAACTTTAAAACCCATACACGCACCTATAGCTCTTGAGAAGCCGAAGCTTCTGATAAAACTCGATGAAGGCACGCTTAAGACTCTCTTCGACTTTCATCAGATTCTCTCTGCTGAATTTTAACTCAGTCTGCTTTGATACTTTGAGAACTCCTTTAATGGTAGAACGAGGCGTCTCTTTTGTGTTGTTGATCTTGACTCGATCAAGAACATCGATCGGAGGTGGTCTCGCTGCTCTCATCCTACTCGTAGTTACGTTATCGATCGCTCCGGTAGATACCACCGAGGTTTCGTTTTCTTCTTCTTCTTCTTCTTCATCATCATCTTCCATTAGCCCAGCTCTGCTCGATCCTCCTTCTTGTATAGCTTCCATGTGCTCTTGACTTCGAATTTTCACTACAGATTCAAAATTTCGATTTGGTTAAAACTACGGTAACGTGCGATTTAAATGAACCGGAAATTAATTTTAACCAATTCTAATCCGGCTTTGGTACAGTACCGTATAAAGTGATCTAGCCAATTCATCCGTTGAATTCTAACCAATTTTAACCAGAAGCCGTAAACAAGACGTTTAGAAGTTCAAAAAGTTTTTAAAAAAATCTTATGGAAAGAAAAAAAAGTGGTGAGGATTAAATGTGTTTATACATCTTATCCATTAAAATAAAGAATTGTTTTAAAAGGGCACAAATCTAATATACATCAATACATGAATATAAAATAACTCAAGTGGAAATGAAAATACCAACCACTAAAGCTTTCTACTTTGAAATATAAAAATCATTTACCCTTATATGAAGAATTCCTTAAATCCAAACACATAAAATAAACAAGAAAAACAGTTCTATATGATGTATATGGAATACACAAATTCAAATTGACAAATAAAAAATTAATGAAATTCATCAGTTCACTTGTTAGTGAGTATATTTAACACTAAAAAATTTTAAAATACCAAAATAGCCTGAAAAAATAAATGAAACAACTCTAATCCGGTTTTTGGTTGGTACTTGTACTATCAAATTTGATCAAACTACAAATAAATTTGACAAAATTTTAAATTCCTGCAAAAGTGGGTGAGTTAGGTGAAGAGTAGATAGATATGTATTGATTATTGCTTACTGGATTTAGCACCGGCGGGAGTAGAAGCTGAGAGAGCCGCCGCAGAAGTAGCTATATCCGAAGCTAGTCGAGTCATCTCCACCGTCCGTTCCTCCCATCGCCATCCATCTGGATTCTCAACTTTAACACGAAACGCGATCAAAGCGTCCATTTGTTTATTAAGCATCGCCGCTTCTTTCAACACTTCTTCAACTTTCTTTTTGTAGAACTTCTCAACCTTATTGAACTCATCATCTAGTCGCCGGAAAAACACTAGTTCGTACTCTCCTCCTTCTTCCGCGGCCATCAAAAACGTCGTCTCACAGCCGCGAGTTGAGTTTGTGTTCACAAGAATCGGCCCCGACGTTGTCGACGCCGTCAACTGTACACCTTCTTCAACATCATGAGGATTAATACTGCGTTTATGTCTTCCCGGGGTTGAGACTAAACCGCTAAACGCACGGTACAGAGTCATTTTCCGGTTTAATCCTCCGCCGGTCTTGGCACCACCATGAGGAGGTGCATTGTTGGTTCTTCGTTTGAATGTGATGATTTCTTTGAGAAGAGTTTTGAGAAAATCGTAATCCATATAAGCTTGTTGCCACTCTGGCACCATCTGAGACGAGAACTCTTTCCCAAACTTCATTTTTTCGATTCTTGAATCGAATCTATGTTTCTTGATTGAATCTGATCTCGGGTTTATGTGTTTTTTTTTATGAAACTCTAGTTTATGTTTGTGTCTGACGACGAGGAGTCCTATATATATACAAAACAGAGAGAGACAGGTCGTTTATGATTTTTTTTTTTGACGATATTATAAAGATTTATGATTAGAAAATTGTTTTTAATTAAAGTAATTAACTTTTATAGCTTTTTGATCATCTTTGTTGAATTCTTTTCAACGTATGTATTCAGAGAAGGGCGACTAAAGGCGCGTGGAAACTGATGTGTTTTTTCTTTTTTCTTTTTTTTGCTAAAATGGAGACTGATGTGTTAAATTATAGAGAAATCCAATAATTGTAATTTCTCTTTTTGTTATTAATTTTTTTATTTTTCTAGTCCTTACGGTACAAAATTTTGTAAAATTAACTTTCGATATTTTATTTTAACCACAGTGTGTGTGATCAAACATGAAACTTCAGTTTTTAGGGTGAGAAACGGGACATTTTACTAGTTCTTACAAGAGATTAAAAACCCGCGTTGATCCGAACTTCTACCAGTTGAAAAAAAGTAGTTGAATTAATTATTAAAAAAAAAAAAGGAGTTAATTAGTCCCGTACTAAAGATTATGAAGATTAGTCAGTCTTTATTTTGACATATTTAATTTTTATAAATCCATCAATCAGCGTCAGATCTCGAGAAAACTTTATATTCGTAGTGGACGACCCTAGTCGCGGTATCAGACCCATATGGGCGGCTCAAGGTCGATGTGGTCATATTGTCATTGCACTAATTGCACAGTACCAAAGTGAAGAAGTAGGTGATGAAGATTCTTTACACGCAAATATATTAAAATATTATGAACGTATGTTGCATGGATCTTAATCAACGTAAATTAGGCATGTGCATGAAAATAATTATGAGAAGGAAATAACAAGTTTTTTTTTTTTAATTGACAAGTTATAAAGAAGAGAATTAAAAAACGGATTGGTCAAATAGCCTGGTTCTTTAACCAACAAAATAATTATGATTGAAAAGTCTAATTTGTTAGTTAAAAAAAGAGTCAAATTAGTAAGGTTTCAATAAGTTAATATGATACTTGAACCGACAAAACAAACAAATACATCATTTATAGCATCAAACACCAAGATACTTTGGCGTATAATAAATGTGACAAAGTTGGTACTCTGTAAAATCAAAACTTTTCGAGTTATTTATATCTCATGGACAGCAGTGGAGCCAATTCTAAATGTCTCACATAATCTTTATTTGTTATCCTATAAGGCTATGATATAATTTCAAGCATATTAGTGTGCTGGATTGTGAATGGATTGATATCCCATGCACACAAAAATCACTTATATATATTGTCTATTGATACATGAATGTAATTTCGTGTATACTGGAGATTTGTATGTTTAACATATATTTAACATGTTTGAAAACTGTATTAAATATATATCTATATGAAAGAGAACTCTCCATCTTTATCAAATAAATAGAGGAAACCTTCTATGATTTTGCAGAATACTAAGTAATATCCTAACTGTTTCTTTAACAAGCATATGGTTTTGTATATTCTTACAAATTATATAAAAAAATAGTAAGAGTCATAGAGACAATAATCAGTACTAGCTAGTTGATAAGGTATCTGACTGTCTTTATTAAATGTTAGGCAAATACTGTTTGTAGATAAATTAGCCATCCATTTTGACCTTCTCGAAACACTTTTTAAATTAATTATTATAATATGAACTAAAGGAAGCCTTTTCACCTAGCTATAGAATAATAAGTATAAGTTTATATAATACCAAATGTAGTTAAAGTTAATAATTGTATATGAGTTCTTTTGTAAGAATAAAAATAAGAAATTTGTTTGACAAAAAAAAAAAAAAAAAAAAAAAAAACCTAAGAAAATATACTTTGATGGGGAAAGTTTGTTGACCAAACCCTGGATCCGACCACCACGTCCTGTCGTCAACTCGTCATCCCGAATATTGACCGAGTTTTGTGGTTTTCGTGAGAAGTATTTTCTCAGTCTCTGATTAAAATTGCGATTAAGTGAGTTGTTTCAGGTTTACCACATACGTTTCGGCGCGACAACAGGTTTTATAAGAGTTTGTGTTCTTGACATTTGAGTTTTTGTAAGACAAATTAGTACATTTTGACAAAGAAAAATACACTTAATTGAAACAGTCTAATTTCATATTAAAAACTAAATCAATCTTGTTACCAAGTTTGGAAATTTTTTTATTGAAAATCATGAAAAGTCATTCATGCGTCTTCCATCTCAAAGTTCACACATTTTTTTTTAATGAAAACTAGCTAACACGTTATATATATTAACATAAAAATAAAACTAAGTAATCCAAATCGCCGAAGTGTCTCTAATCCCACCTAAGGTATAGAGTTTATAGGCACTAGGAATTTCGGATAATCGGATTGTGCCTTAATTAGTTTCATGGACCAAGTTTTAATTCATGCACCAAGTTATTATTGTCCAAAACACGAAATAATGGTCATAAACTTTTTTGTTTCTCGTTAAAATAGTCATAAACTTTTGCCGTTCAGACTATATCAAAAAAACATAATTCGAATTTATCATAATCTAAAGCCTAGAGAGAGTAATAGCCTAATAGGGTTTTTTATAGGACATCACAGCACACATATACCTTTAGTGGTCTCATATCCGGTGGTCAAGCCGGCACAACAGGAGAAAGGAAAGTTCCGGTTTTACATATGATTACTACATTATCTGAATTACAGAGTAAATTTATATTCTACGTTGATGGAGAATAGTGATTAATTAGGACTCGTATATTTGACCAAATTAAACACGTATTTTCTAGTATTTGATAAAGAATAGTGAATAGGACTTGTATATTTGATTCTTCAGTACTAATAATTTTAAAAGTATTTTAAGCACACAATTAAACCTGAACCACTTAAACCACTTGATATCAACTTTGAGAAAGAAAAAAGAACATTAAAGAAGTGTCAGCTAAGATGATGATGATGAAGGTATGTGTTGATATGGTGGGAACATATGTCTCGAATCTCTTTTTTTCTTTTCTTTTTTGTTGTTTTTGTTGTAACATGTTGCATTATCTTGGAGGGATTAATAATGAGTCTTGGAATCTCCATGAATTGTTACCTATCTAAGTTGACCATTTTTTCTTTCTTATAATGGTCTGTTTTCCTTCTTTATGATAGAGTGTCTATCAAACTCCATACTTTTTGTTTTAGTTTAACTTTGATAGTTGATAACAATTAACAAGTAAAAGGATCAAATTTTGATGAAAACGGTGAATATAAAAGATAGTTTAATTTAACTGGCGAAAAAAAAAATAGTTTAATTACATAAAAGCTAAATGTAGGCCTGGGCCTTTTACAATAATGGGCCTTTTACATTATTAACTAGAATAACTAGATTTTTTCCCCTTAGAAAAAAGTCATGTGATATATTATCCACAACACACTCTGTTTCACTGATACTACCCGCCAACGGAAAACCACCATGACAGCCTCCTCCGCCGCCGTCGCCGTCGTGTCGGGTTTTCTCCGTGTTCCGTCAATTCAAAAGTCTCAAAACCCTTCCCTTCTATTTTCTCGACCCAAGAAATCTTTGGTGAGACCCATTTCAGCTTTAAGCTCAGAATTGCCGGAAAATGTTCGGAATTTCTGGAAATGGCTCGGAGACCAAGGAGTCGTCTCCGGGAAGTCTCCGGCGGAACCTTCCGTGGTACCGGAAGGTTTGGGACTTGTAGCCAGGCGTGATATTGGAAGAAACGAGGTCGTATTGGAGATTCCTAAGCGATTGTGGATAAACCCAGAGACTGTGACGGCTTCCAAGATCGGACCTTTATGCGGCGGATTAAAGCCGTGGGTTTCAGTAGCTCTGTTTTTGATCAGAGAGAAGTATGAAGAAGAGTCTTCATGGAGAGTTTATCTTGATATGCTTCCTCAATCTACTGATTCTACTGTCTTCTGGTGGGTTTTGTCCTTCTTTGATCATCAATTGTGTGTTCAAGAGTTTAGTATCTCTGATCAACACTTAGCTGATGAGATGTCTTCTTCGTGAAATGTATCCAGTACAGGTCAGAAGAGGAGCTTGCTGAGCTTAAAGGTCCAATTTTTAATCCTTTTCTTTCGATAAGTCTGATCATTGGTTTGAGTAGCAGTAGCTAATGATGAACCAGGGAACAATTACGCAAAACATTGTTAACTTTGTGGTTTCTGTTGTATGGCTCAGGGACTCAACTGTTGAGTACCACATTGGGTGTGAAAGAGTATGTGGAGAATGAATTCTTGAAACTGGAACAAGAGATATTACTGCCCAACAAAGATCTCTTCTCATCCCGCATAACACTCGATGACTTCATCTGGGCATTTGGGATTCTCAAGTCGAGGGCTTTTTCTCGTCTCCGTGGCCAAAACCTTGTCTTGATCCCTCTTGCTGATCTGGTAAGCGTCTGTAAGCTATCTTCTTGTTTCAGATAATGTCTTAAAAGAACTCAGTAAAGAAACTTCATCCATTAATGCTTGGCTCAGCAGAGAATCTCTGACTTCAATGTTTTGATTTTGAACAGATAAACCATAACCCCGCAATAACGACAGAAGATTACGCATACGAGATTAAAGGAGCCGGCCTTTTCTCTAGAGATCTCTTATTTTCCTTGAAGTCACCTGTTTATGTTAAAGCAGGTGAGCAGGTAAGCTTCAAACACTGTCTACTTAGTTTTACCCCTCAGGAGTATAAGAACAAGCCCTTTAATGCTATCTGGATGATCTCTTCCACAGGTATACATTCAGTACGATCTGAACAAAAGCAATGCAGAACTTGCTCTGGACTATGGTTTTGTGGAATCAAACCCTAAACGGAACTCATATACTTTAACAATAGAGATACCAGAATCAGACCCATTCTTTGGGGATAAGTTGGATATCGCTGAGACTAACAAGATGGGTGAGACCGGATACTTTGACATAGTAGACGGCCAGACTCTTCCCGCTGGCATGCTTCAGTTCCTTCGGCTTGTGGCTCTTGGCGGTTCAGATGCTTTCTTATTAGAATCTATCTTCAATAATACCATATGGGGACATCTTGAATTGCCTGTAAGTCGTTCAAACGAGGAACTAATATGCCGTGTAGTCAGAGATGCCTGCAAATCTGCTTTGTCTGGTTTTAGTACCACCATTGAAGAGGTAAAAATGTTAGCTCTTACCTGTACTGTCTTTGCAGCTGCTTAACACTCATTTCTTGCTCGTCTTCATCATCTTTTGCAGGATGAGAAGCTTCTGGAAGAAGGAAAGCTTGATCCTAGGTTGGAAATGGCTCTCAAGATAAGAATTGGTGAGAAGAGAGTGCTTCAGCAAATCGACCAAATCTTCAAGGATAGAGAGCTTGAGCTTGACGTTTTAGAGTATTACCAAGAGAGAAGGCTCAAAGATCTTGGTTTGGTTGGCGAACAAGGGGATATCATCTTCTGGGAAACCAAGTGAGAATTAGCTTAGCTCGTATAGATTATCCTGCAGAACAAACTCAGGGCTAGAAAGAAAATCTTTTACTGGTTTGGTCTCAGACCGCATGGTATTGAATCAACCTCGAGACAGAAGAGTTGAGAGATCACAATTTGTATGTTAGGCTATTGCCAAAAGCAGGCTTTTTAAAATTCTTCTATAAGATGAGACATAATCTTCTTTTAGTTACATCTTAACTTACGTAAAACTAAATAAATCAAGATCAGCAACTATGCAGGAAAATTGAAAAAATTACAAACAAAAATGGAAAAACTCAGGGAAGGAACTATGCAGCTCCTGTTCAAGTGTTTGACATGCCGTCCTCTTGCGGAAGCAATGAGATATAATATGCTAAAAACATGACTTCAATGTGTTAAATTTCTATGGCCAAACAGGTCGTGGCAATTTGTACCTTCACAAAGACATTCTTGAGGGTTTGCGTAGAAGTAATCTTCCTCCTTAGGTTTGTCAGAGATTACTCTTCGATGTGTAGGTGCTCCTGCTCGTCTCTCATGGGCTTCCTTGACGGCTACTGCAAACTGATCCCACGTGAGGGTCTTGTTGTGATGTAAGTCTAGTAGCTCCACGAGTCTCTTACGGTCAAGCAGGATTGTCTTCTTATATCCAAGGTATCTGATAATTCAACATAGATAGACCAATAGTGGTTATATAGAATCACAGGTTTGGTTTTTCTTAACACTACCTTTTTAGTTGTTATGAAATTGAATGCATTCGACACCACAAAAATTTACCTCCGATGACCTTCCACGACTTTTGCCATGTTTCCATCATATGTAGGAATAAAAGTGTTGCTGGCCACAGATACCATGAAATCCAGAGCAGCCATTTGAGACGAATGGTTCTGAAATTGTTGCAGCTCCGCTGACTCCAATAGCATTTCCTTCTTTACCTAGAACCACATGTGAGTAAAACTGATAAAGGAAAAGTGCATTGTAATGTAGATGCAGTTGACCACTCTGTTGTAACAAGAAAAGGTAACCCGGGACTGGTAGACTCACAATTCTCGGGAATGCTTCCCTTAAAACGGATAGTCTATGCTCGCTCCCATAAATCTCCCCAGCTGCAATGTATATCTGTGTATTTTTCTCGAATCCTAATGCTTTTAAAACCAAGGCCACCTCCTCTGGCGTTAAAGGACACAGCCCTTGCGCCCTTCTCTCTTCTGAGACTATCTCCTTCTCTCTCCACCAGGGATATGTGTACCTAAAGAACACAGAATGGACCCATGAATTTACAACGCAAAAAACCTATAACCAGAGCACCAATTCAGGACAGATTTTTTGAAGAGAAACCTCATCTTTTTTAGCTCTTCAGCTTCTTCCTCAGTGCAACCATGAGTGCAGCCAGAGAAAGCTAACATGTCCATCTCATATCTCAGATGCAAAGCCACAAATGGCCCTCTTTGTTGTAGAATCCGAACTAACTTAGCTCCCAAAGCCTCAAGCTGTGGAGTGAACTTTAGTCCCTGAAAGTTCACCCGGCACCTGAGCCACTGGAGTGCGAGCGGAAGACCATTGTTTGCCAGGCGGGTATCAGTCCTATTGAAGTGTACAACTTTATGTTTGCTGAAAAGAGGCAATATCTGAACAAGAAAGAACTCATGAGTGAGAACAAACACACACACCAAGAAAAGAACTTGCTATTTGTTGCCATAACTATATCTTGTAATCAGTATAGTCAAAGGACCCAACACAGAAACACACAAACCTGCTTCAAGTAATATTTTTCATCAGACCAGCTCACAGGAGGCATTTCGAACATTTGATATCCATACTTCCTTGTAAACCGTTTTGGAAGCCTCCTTAAAATCCGAACTTCATCTCTTAATGAATCAATGAAATGTCTCACATCAAAAATATCCTCAAAACCACTGCAAACAAAAATTAGGATACTTTAGACTGCTAAAAATGTTAAGGATAAAGACACATGAGTGATTCTATAAACATAGAAGATACAGTACCTAGGATCAGCCCAGAAAGATGTTTTGTCAAGCTCTGGAACAACGAGAGTGAGATTCAATAGCCGAGCAACAGTCACCATATCACATATCTGAAAACAACATAAAAATCAGAATTTGGAAACATCAAATCTGAAAGCAAAAGAGAGAGCAATTAAAGCAAAGTGACCAACCGCGGATCGCATTTGATTCAATCCACCATTACAGGATACAAGTAGAATACCATTGCTTGTATAATTTCCTGCACAAAATCGATAATCTCGTTAAACTCTCAAGCACCAACGAACCCTAATGTCCCCATATAGAGAGAAAACTGACTCGGAGGAGGTAGAGGAGGCGGCAAAGGAACTGGCTCGACAGGGGCAGAGAATCTGGAAATCTGATTGGTTAAACCAGTGAAGATCCGGGAATGCCAAAGCTCACCGGCGGCGAAAAGCTGAACCAAACACGTCCAAACCAAAATGCTGGAGCAAACTCTAACGAACCATACTTGAACACGAGGCTTCGGACCTGCCGACGGAGGCGGAAGCTTATTATCGCTTCGCGCCTGAGTATTATTACTCTCCGATCTAACTTCCATCTCCCTCCTCCGACGATCGTCGTCGCCGCTTCATGAGATTAAAATTACTAAAACCTAAATTTCTCCGATCTTGTGAGATGTCAAATTTTTCCGGGAAAAAAAATGCAGAAATTGAAATTAGATGACAAACGCGAAATGAAATGCTTCTTCTCTCCTTGTCAATGGTTTGAATCTCGAGGATTTTTTTTTTTCCGAGTAAATTCGAAATTGAAGAAGAAAAAAAATCACGAGACGGGAAAAAAAAGAGGTGGTAACGGTGAGAGAAGGGAAAATAAGTTAATTAACCGTCAAGGATCTTCTTCTTCTTCTATTTATTATTTTCCCGAGAATATTAATTCTGTTGCTTAGAAAATTATTACCTAATTCAGAAAGCTTCAATATTCCTAACTGGTTTCATAATATGCCAAATTTATTCAATAACAAAAAAAAAAACACTAGGAAACATTTATTATTCATAAGAGAAAGAAAGATGACACATTTTGCCTTTTTGATAGTCGTTGTCATTCGTCAACGAATTCACCTAATTGTTCTTCCGTACTTTATTTATTGTCATCTATTTATTGCACTAATCGCGATTAAAACACTGTTTAATCTCCTTTATTCAAACATTTTTAAGCTTAGTTAATATTGTAAAAAAAAAAACTAAAAACTAAAACGAAATCATGACACACACCCTCAATTTTGCATTATTAGCATCCCTTCCAAGGAAAGATACTATTTATTCTTTACAAAAACTTGAGTACAATTGTCTTTTCAACAAATTTTCCCAATTAAGTTTTAGATTAAGTAATTACCGAGTCACATGTAATTAGTCAGGATTAGTGCTTAAATTATAAAATCTGGTATGTGTTATTTATTCTTTGTTTCCTTCTAACTTTAGTGTGATCCACTACAAGATTCTTCACAGTATTGGTCCAATATTATTAACGGGCCTCAATTTTTTAAAGCCCACTCCAGAGGTTATTACTCCACGTGTTTTAACGAATGAAACACTTACACGTGGCAATGTACGTGTTTGACTTTCTTTGTCTCTCCTTCCGTTAACCAGAAAACAACTAAACTCTGGAAACCCGTTAGATCGATTTCTCTCTATATCGGAGCCGTCATGGATCTTCGTCGGAGCTCGATCGTACTATTGATCCTCTCAGTTTTATCTCCTGTGACGCTCTCTATACGATACGAGATACATTCTGGGCACACGAAATGCATCTCCGAGGAGATTCACGCAAACGCAATGACCGTCGGGAAATACAGCATCATAAACCCTAACGAAGATCATCCTCTTCCTTCTTCCCATAAAGTCACCGTCAGGGTAATACTAATACATCTTAAACCATCCGATCTGATCGCATTTCCCTTCAATTTCTTCCTCTGGTGATTTCAGTATGATGATGCAATGTGTTGATTTTTAGGTCACATCGCCGCAAGGAACGGCTTACCACGAATCGGACGGAGTAGAATCGGGAAAATTCTCGTTTACAGCTGTGGAAACAGGAGATTACATATCTTGCTTCTCAGCCGTCGATCACAAACCGGAGACGACGCTGATCATTGACTTTGATTGGAGGACGGGTATTCATACCAAGGATTGGTCGAATGTGGCCAAGAAGAGCCAAGTTGAAGTAAGTTTTCGTTTGTTCTTTAGTCCTGAAGTCTCAAATTAGTCAAACTATTCTCTTAGAGGAAATAGATTTTGATGCTGGAAAGTGAAAAGTTATATCTGAACTGAGAAATGCTATGTAGTCTTGGGTTCTAGGTTATGTTGGTGCATTGGTTTGGTTCGAACAAGGCCATGAATTTGAGTCTGCAACATTGCTTAGGGTTCTGATCCAACGGACTGGGGTCGTGTGTTTGTGGTCTTGAGTATGAGAAAATAGATTGATCAATACTATCTTGAAATGAAAGTAGGTAGAACTAGGCTTTAACAGAGTACAGAGCAAGACTAGCTTGAAATGTAACATATAGTCCTTAAAGAGGTTGCAGAGTTTTAAAGGAATGTTTTGTTAACCTTGCCATGGTTGTATCTTGAATCTTGATGTTATTGGCCAGACGATGGAGTTTGAGGTTAAGAAGTTATTTGAAACAGTGAATTCAATCCACGACGAGATGTTCTATCTCCGCGATAGGTAATTACAACAAAACCTGTCTTCCCTTGAAGTCACTTAATCTTAATCAGAGGAAGAGAATGAATCAAAACTCAAAACTCATCTTCATTTGGTTTGTTGCAGGGAAGAAGAAATGCACAATTTGAACATAGCAACAAATTCGAAGATGGCATGGTTGAGTTTCGTGTCGCTTGCAGTTTGTTTATCAGTCGCAGGTCTTCAGTTTTGGCACTTGAAGACTTTCTTCCAGAAGAAGAAGCTCATCTGAAAACCATTACCATCTCTTGAAGACAGAGATTGTATTGGAATCCCTAAGACTATAGCTTTATATACACAACTGAATTCATTTTGTTACTGGATTTTTCTGAAACAGACTTTATCCCGTCTGATATGATCTTAACATCTCATTAACCTGCAAACTCAATCCAATCCATAGAACAATAAAAGCTTTTTTATCTCACACTCTTTTAAGTCGTTTACTTGTAAAGCAAATGAAAAGATGAAAAAGAAACAATCTTTACAAAAGACAAGAAACAGAGAATAATAAGGCAAACAGAATTGTTACTTTCGTGTTTCTGGTTGTTTTTGTTCTTAAATAATGATTTGGTGTATTATGAAGTGAATAAGCCCCAATGGTGATCTGATGGTAGAGTTTCCTTGATCTTTTCAAGTCTCTTGAGGATGTCCAGAAACGACGGTCTCTGGTTCATGTCTGCGTCCCAGCATTTCACAATTAACCTATAAAGGAGGAAATCAGTTAGATAAACGGTAGAGTAATAGCGGTTCATATGGCCTCGGGTTTTTCTTACTCTCTTAGATCTGGTGTGCATCCTTTGGAACGGAATGTAGGTCTGTGTCCATCAGATACATGTTTGGCTGCTTCATACGGCTCATGGTTCGCAAACGGTGGCTCTCCTTCAAGCATCTGGGTACAATGTGGTAATGAAATTAAGGTTAAGATTCTCTGAAATTTGGTTCTGTTTATTGTAGAGACAGAAACTTTTCATAGTTAAGATCTTAGTACCTCGTAAAGAATCATTGCAAAGGAGAAGACATCGACTTTCTTGTCGTATCTTCTATGCCTGAATACTTCAGGAGCCATGTAACGATCTGGTTTTGTTGCACGAAGAAGAGAAAAAAAATGAAGAAGAAGTTAGAGAAATGAAAGGAAAAGAAGGAAGACGACTTCCGATTTTACTATAAAACAACACTTACAGCTTCCGGTTTCTCCAGTCATTTTGTAGACATCATGAGAGTTTTGAACCTTTATGAGCTTACTAAGTCCAAAGTCTCCAACTTTCAAGTGGTCTGCACTGGCATTAACCAGAAGAACGTTCCTGAAATATAAAATGCAAAAAGCGGTTTATGAACATTGGATTTGAAGTAAGAAACCAAGGAGCTATATATAAAGCAATTTTGATTACCTTGGTTTAAGATCTCGGTGAATGATAACATTAGGTTCATTGTGAAGATATGTCATTCCTCTGTAACAACAAATATTAGAAAACACTTAGGCTAAATTTGATGAACAAAAATGTTCACATAATATCTCGAATGTTAAAACTTCAAGTACCTTGCGATATCCAAAGCAAAGTTGACAGCAGTAGCTGGAGTAAGACCGCCCTTCTCCTTGAGGTATTGATGAAGATCTCCCTGTGAAAAATAGATGAGTCATTTATTTAGCCAAGAAGAAAACATCCAGAGGTAAAAGACAGCGGATAGTGAAAACCTACCCCTCGCAAGTATTCAGTGATTAACATAAGGGGCTTTCTTTCGGTTACCGCTCCTAAGAATTGCACAATATTCGGATGGCGAAGCTTAACTAGCAAATCAACCTCATGCCTGAAGTCCTGACTGCATCGCATCAAATATGGAAACACAAGAATCTTAGAAGAGAAACTTCTTCGACAATTGTATATAAGAGAGAAATAAGAACTTACATAACCAGTCTATCATCTGAAAGAGAAGGAAGAATACGTTTCACAGCTACCGGTGTTCCTCTCCAATAGGCTTTCACAATCTCACCAAATGAACCCTAAAAGAATATGACCAACCTTAAATTAGCCACAAGAAACTCACTTGCTTAAACTCCATTGTATTGAACTAAACACAGATAAGTAAAAGCACACTCATACCTTTCCAATCATAGCGGCATTTGAAAAATCCAGCTCAGCAGGTTCAATTTCCCAGTCACATTTCTTTGGAATTGGTGGTGGCACAGGCTTTGGTTCAAAGTGACTTCCGTTTTGACCCTGCATAGAAAAATTTACTCAGCCAGATATAAACACTAAGAGATTCACACACAACAACACTGCATTAAGCAGCTACTTCAAAGAGCTATGAAAGTTTCTAAATTTTGCAAAAAAAAACTTTTCATATTCAATAGCAATCATTACCTACCCTAACTAATGAAATAAAAGGGACAATGTCTAACCTAAAGCTATACAAGATCAAAAACTCACATAAGATAAACCACCATGAGATTTCAGCAGTTCAATCATTTTCTGCTTCCTAGCTCCTTCTGCATCAGCAAGAGGCTGCAAATACCACAAATCCAACACAATATCTCAGATCAAAGGTAAAACAAATAGTAAGAATCAATGAAACCCAAAATTGAAATCGAAAGGAAGAGACTTTACCGTGTTCTTCCACCTATCCTGAGCGTTGACATCAGCACCAAACTCAAGCAGACATTTAACAACATCGATCCATCCATGAAGCGACGCCACGTGGAGAGGCGTTCGTTTGTCATAGTCTCTAGCATGAACCAAAGTTGGATCTTCCTCCAAGAGTTTCCGAACTGCAGCTGCGTCGTTTTGGTGCGCGTGCCATAGAATCAGAGATGTTCTACTAACACGTGCCTTCTCCTTTTGTTTGTCGTAAGACGGTGAAGGCACGCTTGTTCCCGCAGCGGCTTGTTCGCCACCGTCTCCAGACGCCGGTGAATCGGAGCTCATTTCAAGCCGATTCAGATACTTTGATGGGCAAAAAAAAGATGAGATTTTTGAAAAAGGGTTTCGATTTCGATAGATTGAGCGATGTGAATTAGAGTGATTTCGTAGAATTTAGATATTGGATTTTGCTTCCGCGTGAGATTGTGGAATCAATTCTTTACTGTGAAACCAGAGAGAGAGAGAGATGATTCTTGTTTTTTCTTTTGTGATGCTTGTGTTGTGTGAACGTAGATCATCGCCGTTAACTTAGCCGTCAAGTTGATGAATGATGACTTTTTCCACCGTCTATTTTAGTGAGTTTTTTTAACTCTGTCACCGTTATCTGAGACTTTTCTCTTTTGGTCTCTTTATTATTAGTGACCGACTAAGAAGGCTACTTAAGGGAATTATTATGGGATCATGTTGGATTTGTTCTTATAAACTTTCAGAATTTTATGAATATTATAAATTTTTAGATTTGGTTAATTTTGAAGAAGATTTAAAAATGTGATGTAAATCATTACAATATTGTTAGAATTATACACTCTTTTCAAATTGAAAAGAAGAATGGGTTACCTTGATTTTACCCTTTGTGAGTTAAGAAAGAATGAGTAAACAGAGTGGGAAGTATTTTCCTCTTTTTTTGACATAACAAAGTGTTAAGTTAGTCTAACATTTACAAATGTATCATTTTGACAATCATAAAAAGAATACTATATGAATCATATAATATACGTTATGGTCCATATGAAATGGAGACTAAGTCTACGATCCGGATAACATGGAATCACATCTATCACATGACTTCTATTAATACACAAGCATATGCCTTTGGCATCTATTTTTTTTTTATCTGAACACAAAAGTCACTATTTTTCATGTTAAATTTTTTTATTATACAATGGTCTTTTTTTGTCAACTAATCATATACATATTTGGCCAACTACAAAAACTCAAATATTGATTGACAAACTAAGACATGACCTACTACTAGTCTTAGCTTTAAAGCCTTCAAAGTAGAGAGCGCAACTTCAAGTAAGGAACAAACAATATGGAGCACAAGTAAAATGCATTTTATAGATATATATACACTCACGGTTAATTACAGTTTAATTTATACAAGTATTTCAAATTTTTGTGAGTAAAATTAATAAGACCTACATTGTTTCACAAGCTATTTACTATCCCTTAAGTCCTCAAGAGAACGCTTACGGGATCCCAGATTACGCTCCAGCGTCTGAGGTGTGGGCGGTGTCCTTCCACGGCGGAAGAGCACTGCCAGAGACCTTGTTTTCCGGCAAAGATCAAAAACCTATTCAAAACAAAAAACAAAGCAGATCATTTTAAATGCTTAAGGCAACAATTTCTAGAATTAGATGATATCTTTGTCAGATAATCTTACAGATGAGGCCTCAATCTCAGCGACGCCTTCACACCCTTTTCCTCCACCTTGTAATAGGTCACAGTATCGAACAGCCTCATTCACATCTTCGAAAACCTTTGAGATAAAAACTATATCACATTTTCTGGGTTCCATAGGGTGTTGGAAGTGATTCATTGAAAATACTTTACCACTTACCAGTACTCCATCTCGAATGTCTTCTACGAGCATATCGAATTTAGTTTTGGGTCTAGACTGTTTATTCTGGTTGCTGATCCTACTAGGGAACAACAGCCCAAGCTCCTTTTCCACTTCACTGTTATAATTGCTACTGTTATGCAAGCAAGAGAGAAACTAAAACTATAAAATAAGCTTGAGTGGAATAGAGTAGGTAAACCTGTGGTTCGTTCTTGTTTTCATGGTGCAGATCTGGTTTTCTCTGTGTGTTAGTACATATACCGGCTTCGAGTCTCCTCTCCATGGGTTGGACTCCAACACTGAGATTGTGAGAAGACAGAGACACAGTGAGAGAAAGAGTTATCAGCGGATACAGAGCACTAGAGAAACAACATCAATTTATAAACTTTAGATGAATAGAAGCTTAACATGAATAAAACACTTATGTTCCTGTGGCTTTGATATTCCTATGCAAAATCATCAATTCATAAACTTAACCCAAGCAAGATACAGAGCACTAGAGGAACAACTACATTTTATAAACTTTAGATGAACACAAGCTTAATATGAATAGAAACACTTATGTTCCCTTCCTATAAGGTCTATGGTTTTGATATTCCTATGCATCTACATTCTGTGAAAGATGAGATGATAAAACCATTCTTGCAATCTTACTCTAAGAGTGGAAACCAGAAAACACACTAGCGACCTCAGTTCCCGAGCTACATGGATATGTAACTAAAATTGCCACTGTGAGTAATAAGTGATTAGAGATTTATACCGTCGTAGCTGGTGGAATCAAACGTCTGCTCTAATTTCCGACGCATCTCGTAAGCACGCGAAGAGACTTGCCTTACAAACTCATCGGAAGTCCCAGGGATCGTACCGTCCAAGTGAAGCGCTCGCTCAACTTCCTCACTCTCTTCTTCATCGCCACCAAGCTTATCTGATCCTCCTCCGCCGCCGGTCGATTTACAGCTAACGAAGTGTCTTCTTCTCGGAATTGAATTTCGTCTCCCGGAGCTGGACAAGCCGGAAAAGGAAGAAGAACGGTGGGGACGAAGACGAATCAACACTGATCGTGAAGTTGAAACGGGGATCGTAGTTGCGGTGGTCGGAGGGAGAATTATGGAAGGAGAAATAGATGTTAGCGATTCCATTGAAGTTTCTTCTCTTTCAAATTCACTGTTTATCTTCCCTTTATAGAATTCAGTCAATCGGAGCAATTAACGATTCTTTCTTAATTTTCTCGGGAAAATCGGTGGGAGGGGAAAATTCTCGACGTGACGTAAACGACTCAACAAAGAAGAGAAAAGAAAAAAAACTCGTGGAGGCAAAATTTAACAACTCTCCTGAATCCACTGATATTTTTCCATTGGTGGGTCCCACACATATACAAGACCTTCTAATTCGTTCCATGGTTAACAAAGTACTGTAGTAATATCAGGAGCTTGCTTAAATAATTCGAATCTCTGAATTAGAAACACTTATATATTACAAAAAAAACGTAGAGAGGTGTTACATAACAAGCTTTTCACTTTCACAGTACTTGTATGGATTTTCAAAAGAAACTCACCTAATGATCTCACTTATAACGTCACGAACCAGTTGTGTTTGCTCCAGCTTCAGGAGATGATAAGCCATTCGATACAGTTTCATCATCACCAAGCTGTGAGGATTCTGCATCAGGGAATAGCTCGAGTCGCATAGAAGGAGCAATGTTGTTTACATGAAGCCATGTTAGTTCCCATAAGCTATCTCCACCAAGAGCACTTCTTTGCAAAAGCACGCCTTTCGTTTTCATTACGAGCAATATGTTCTTTAGAAGCTCTGGCACTGATTCTTGAAGCTTGTCGCTTTTTTTGCCCCTTACTTTCACTTTCATGTATTTCTCCATTCGGGTTAGAACACCGAGCCATAGCTTGCAGAAGGTTGATAACTGAGACAGCTCTTGGAGTTGCTGGAGAAACACTTTGGAGAGAAGTTTGATTGCGAGAAGCAATGTGCCTTCCATGTTTCGGTAGTCTTTCTGTGACCCACCAGCTATCTCAAGTAAGTCATCTAAAACCGTGAAGATTACCTTGTCAAAGCATTGAGACCACATGCTATGAGCTAGGTTGATCCCGTCTACTCCGCCTAAACACTTCTGTAATGAATGTAACGCGTGGTTTCGGACATCCTCTCTCTGGTCTAAACACACTTTTCTTAGTCCTTGAACAAGCCTTAACCACATTTCCCCAATATCTTGTGACATCTTCCCGAAATCTTCTTCTCCCATGTTTTCCTTAGCTGAGAGAGCCCATTTAGCCAAATATTCTAATGAATCTCCCATTAGATCAAGTGCACGGATAGACCGTTCGGACTGTCCCACGCGGGATTCAGCAAACTGTCTTGCAGCATCAACACAGAGTACATAATTGGCTGGATACAGGTGAGTTCCTTCCGACATAACAAAGGATACAGCATTAAATCCTGCTTCAGAAGCTTCTGGGTGCCTCGCTGTGATGGAGAGTAAGGATGTGATTGTTCTCCAACCCGCCTGAGACCTGATGTGATTAGCATTGGCTTTCACAAGACGGCTGACTTCAATTGCAATTTGCTCACAATAGGCATCAGCAACTCGTGCATCCAGTTTCAGCACAAGCTGAAGAGATCTCAAAAGCTCATCAGCTAGGCTTTCTTTATAAGGAAGTAGTCTCTGGCAGATCCGAAGTAGACCAAAAATAGCTTTATCCACTAAGTTGCAGGGCATCACCGTTGACTGAGCAATTGTAGCTATATGTTCATAGACGCCTTGCCATAGGAGAACGATCCTGTCTCTGTTGTTCAGAGTGATTGCAATAAGCAATTCCAGACAAAAAACTGCAGTATCCTCATCCTCTGGAGAACTGGTTCCTTTTTGTGGCCTACCTGCAGCCCAAATGAGAGCACGTGCAAGCTGCAGCAAAGATTCAGCTTGTAGAAACTTGCTTTCGGTAAATATGCTGTCAATGTGACATTTCTGAATTGTTTGAAGTGTTCGTTGATGAGCTGCAAGCTGTTGTTCAGTAGGCTGTGATCTTGGCTCTTCTGTATCAAGGGAAAGAAGCTGACTAAACCTTCCCATCAATCCGGAAGATCTCCTTGGAGTTCCCATTGACTGTAGATGAGCTGAAGATAGGGAATTCGCAAGGGGCTTTCCTTGTCCTTGCTCAGATGAAAGTTCAGATTCATCAGCTGCATCACTGGCTACACGAGCTGGCAGAAGTCCAAGTTTATGTAGCCGTAAGATACAGTCCAATATGTTCCTCCAACCCGTACGTATATAATCTCCATATTTGTTTGCAATGGTAAAAATAGTGATAGTAGCCATTCTTGCTTTTGCGTCGTCACCGAATGCAAGAACCGGTTCATCAACAGATGATGGATTCAACAGAGTTGTGAATTTGCAGAGAGATACAACCAGATCATCAAGCACATCTTCAAGATGATGGCAGGCAGAAATTTTAGCAATAGCCAAGAATCCATCAATGCATGTCTGATAAACGTCTTCATGTTCTGCATGGTCAAAAACGACAGATATGGCAGCAATGGTTGGACCAGACATGATAGCAAACATATCATGGTCAAGATAAGCCCTTGAATCAGCCATAATATATGGAGCAGTTTTCTTTGATTTATGCATCAAATCAATCCAACGGCTGGGAGTCATTTCAGGAAAGCCTGCACCTTGTTCTGGAGTAGTCCTGATCTCATTGTTGCAGATGGAGTGAAAGAGTTCAGACAAAAATTCTCGAGGTAGGTCATTTCCTCCATTGATATGCCTATTATTGCGAATGAAATCCTCTTCTGTCATCTTTTTCTTTACTTGAACGTTGTGCTGATCAGTGTTAAGCATGATAATAGAGTATGATAACACAAGAGCAGCATCCTTATTGGCCAGAATCTCAGGAGATTGCATATAGTATCTTTCAGAGAACGCCTCAAGCACCCTCTGTATTTTCTGTGATTCTCCAGGCAACCTAAAGGTTTCCAAGAAGAGTCGGAGTGCAGTATCCAGATTCATGTACTGGAAATCAAAAGTCCCAGCAAACTCATTGAGAACTTGAACACAAAATTCGTCATGATTTCCAAGAAAATCCCCAACAAGGTTCTTATCAAGCCCAGCAGTATATCTGAAAAAGCAAGCTACACTTTGGGGATCAAGTTTGTCAGGCAAAAGGTGTGTGCCTTGGAGAAACTCTAACCCCTTCTTTGGATCCCTGTTAAAATGATCTGCTCCAATCATTAACCTTCTCTTGATATATTTTCTCCTGCGGACAAATGAAACCCAGTGATTTGGATCACTATAGTTGTCACACTTAACCATCCAGAAAGGTGTGTACTCATCAAGATGGACAGGACCCAAGTCCAGACCAGTCAATCCATTACTTATCCTCTCGGCCATTCCCTGAATAACAGCGATTAGGCCATCCAGAGCAAGAATGTGCATTGCGGACAAAGGACAGTTCACAGGAAATGTGCTCTTCGATAGAAGGTTAGACAGCTCCTCAAACACGTTGCTGCAAGTTATATCACAATCGAGATTGGCATACATTTCCACCATAAAACTCTTCTGCCTACAAAAGTTCACAAGAGCCTCCATAGCAACCTCTTGCTGCTGATACGAGGGCCCATATTTTCCTTGAGCAAGCCTTAGAATCACACATGAAAAGAATGCCTCAAGCTGCAGTTTGAGTTCAGTACGTAGATGTTGATACAAATTGAGCACAATGCTGCAAACCATCGAAAGAATAAGGGGGCTCATTGACAATCCGAATTGCATCAAGTTACGAAATAACTCATCTTGAATTAAGCTCAACAATCTTGGGTGATGGCGGATGGACGATCCACCCAATTCAATGGCTGAGTTGATCAAGTTCAATGCAAACAGAGGCACATCTTCATCAAATGCTATGGTGTTTGATCGGGATCCCATCCCAACATGTTCGACCACATTTAACAAAGAGCACAAGAAGTGAAATATTTCCACCATACTTGGGACTCCGTATGGCTCTGTCATTATATGCAAATCATATGGAGACGCCGGCTTTCTGCTTCCAGGGCCAACGAGTCCATCATCCATCAAACTTTGAGCACCAGTTGCAAAAGTTGCCACAGAATTTTCATTATCATACTCGGAATTAGCATTTCCATCCTCGACTGGTTTACTCACAATGGCATAATCACTGTCTACTCCAGCTTTCTGCGACCATGCAAAACACCATCACCAATCAATAAGTGATATAAAAACAAGAGAAAAAGGCTTGAAATCCAGTATCTGCTAGGGAAGTTATTCCGTATCAAATTAATTATCAACTACAGAAATGCTGGTCTTCTATTTCTACTCGTGCTCTTTGACTCGCACTAGAAAAAAATATAAATTTCTATCTGAAAGAAGATAAGAATCTAAACAATTTTGAAGTTCCAAAGTAAGTTGCATATATTTAACGAATCGGAAAATCTATCCCTTTTCAATTCTCTATTGCAAGTGAAGAAACCTAGCTACTGTAATATCATGTTATTGTTTAATCTTGGAGCATCCTACAAGAAACTTCAAGCCCAATTTGACTTGTAATCAACCAGAAAGGAAACAACAAGGACCCCAATATCATACCTCTTGTTTGATGCTTCCAGCTCTGTTGACAAGTGTACTTTCTGTTCTGTCAACATCTGGGAGATGCGAGAAGATACACCTCACTAGTTCATGCATCGTGTGGCGAGCTACACGTTGCAGTAACTCACCTTTCATTCCTGCTTGGTGGACAACACGAAAACAAGTGTTGACGACAGTGCATACATGCTGATTGCTTAGCATAACTGATGCTTTATTTTTCATGCATGCTAGAAGAACCTGAAGTATCTTCATTAGCACAACCTCTTCTGATGCAGGATCTGTCACCTCAAATCGACAGCTTGTCACAGAATCAACTACCAAGTGCATAGCGTCTTCAATATTTGCAGTATTTTGATCAATTACATTCAGATTTAAGATCTTGTAAACTGATGACAAAGCAATGCTGGTTATCGGTGCTCCAGTTTCATCCGACCGTATCACATCAAGAAAGGGCTGAAGATACAACATGGGACTAATCGTATGCCATGGCTGGTTCCATGAGAACACCTGTTTTCTAAGAGCTTTAAGTGACTGAATCAACGAGTGTTCTAGTTGATCATCACCAGACATGTATCGACCTCCCCATCTAACATTTCTTCTCATAACCGCTAAAACAGCAGCAATTTCCGTATCAATCATGCATGCTAAAGTGGTTGTATTACTTGAATCAGTACTCTCAAAGTCCTCAGGCTCTTCCTCAATGGCCTTGATTCCAGAATGCAACTTTAGGCGACCCATTTAATCAGCTCAAATCTTCAGCCAGAGCGCAAGGCACTTCAATGCTCACAATCTTCCTGGCAGAATTTAAGGTAGATAAAGCCAGAGCATATACCCTTCACAGATAGAGGCCAAACTCAATCATTACTGGCAAAAAAAAAAACAAATTAAATTAAAAGTCTCATTTTAAAACAGATAATAGATGCATTTAAAGAGTTATTAAGATAGACAGTCGCCTAACTTCTCACATCATACATTCCAGAGATAATCAAAAACTACAACGCTGTCTCTGAATGAACCCACTTTGACTCGAACATATAAACCACAAGCAAGAATTATATAATTGTCTGAAACCATGCTGATAATTTAGTAACTTTTCAGAGTAACCTCTTCCATAGTAGTAACATATGTTGTAATTTCCCAAATCACATTTAGTTTATGAATAGCTAAGCAACTAATTCCTAATAAATCCCTAAATAGCAAAGTTTGTAAACTCTTTGTTACATCAATAAATCTGATAACACTATACCCATCTATAACATCAGCACCTTATAGAGTTAAGAGTCACTAATTCCGATGGAATAAGCTTAACTACAATTCAGCAGACTAGTGACAGTTTCATGAAACCATAAAAATTTCCAAAACTATAATTAGTTCTTCAGATGAGCAAAATCCCGTCAACAAAAGAGAACTCGAAACAGGTCTCGCTAAATCTCGAAATTCAGGAAAAAACACCAGCAATGCGAATCAAAGGAAACGAGGAAATCGCTCGACGCTAAAATGAAATCTAGTTCAAAAACTGAATAACAAAGAGAGGTAACTTCTGAGGTAGATTCCAGTAATCATTAAGAACATCAATGCACAACGAAGGAACGATACAAACAAATAGTACACGAAGAAGAAGTTCGAAGAAACGAGATCTGTGGATTTACTTACTGTTTCTCCAGCGATTCAGAGATCTGTCGTCGGGCTCCGACGACGAGAAACAGAAATGCTTTTGAGGAAAGCACGATCGGAAAATCTCGAGGAGGGAGCAAAAGGCGAAGAAAGCAAAAAATAAAAATAAAGTATGAGCTTGAATTTACGAAAACACCCCTCTCTGCTCAAACACTCATATTTCCAGGTAGATGGGTCTGTAGTTTAAGATATTGATACTTTAGACCCTGAATTATCTGAAACTTTACTTTGTAACCCTTAAAATATTACTAATGGGCCTATAACAGGCTCATAATATAACGAAAAAAATACGGGCCCAATTAATGGAACCTTAATGCAATTTTGTTTTATGGACTTGCAGTCCTCACTCCTCACTATATTAATTTGTTTTGTTTGTCTTTTTTATCAAATCATATCACTTTTGTCATTTAAAAAAAAAAATGGAAAATATTAAATTTCTAATTAGAAAAGTAAATGTTACAGACAACTGTAACAATATTATATAGTTTCATATGATCAAATTCTGTAGGAAAGTTGAATAATTCTTTTTCTTTGATGTTGTTGAGGTGGTTGCCTTTTGCCAGTTTGTCCTAATGGATAGTGGGAGACAATACTTTTTAGAGTTTCATAACCGAAAAATAAGTAAACCTAAATTAATATGAAGTTGTCCAACATAAACTATACAAGGGATTAGTATACAATAAACATTTTTTATATCTCTTCCATTTATAATCATAAGATATTTATGACTCTCTGCTTTGTCTGTTTTAGGTATTCTTACACCCGAAGGACATGTCTCTTTCATGTTTAATTAGTGTCAAAAGAAATTGAACAACCACATTAAAATATATATAATATGTTTACCAATCTATGATTCATTTCATCATATGCATATACAAATATCTAAATGACTAAATAGATAGCTAGATTCATAGGTTTGTGGACGAAAATCGTTAGGTGTTTTTTCATAAGTGATTATGTAATATTATAGATAACAAATGACATGATTTTTGAAAAAAAAAAAAAATCGAGTTAATTAAGATATTCATATGATTTAGATGTAAATAGTCTTCATAATAAGAGATTTTTTTTTGTTTGCAGTTGACATACATCCAGGAATTTGATATCTGAATAAAACATTGAATACCAAACAAATACTAGTCATTATAATATCGACCTCTAGATTTATAGATATCTAGATTTTGGTAGTATAATACAGAGTTGCCAGTTGGCAATGTTTCCTAAGGTCTACACACGTTCAAGTATTTGTTTGGAACGTATCTGCTTCTTAATTTTTATATTATAACTCGTATGATATATTTGGTATCCACGTAACTGCTAAACTGCACCAGTTTCTGTATTAAAATAATAAATAATCGATGTTTAGTTTTCTTCTACTAGAGTTGATGTGTTACCGTATAGACTTCAATCGCGTGTTTTATTTGAGGGTTTTGAATAATAGATCAAAGAATATTGAAGTTAGTATGAATCCGTTTGGTATAATTGGAGTTGTCATCAACTGAAGTTTTTTATTCTGGTGGTTCAAGTAGACATTTTGACTCCAACTAGATAAATGAGAGTTATAATTATTTCAAGAAATTTTATTACGGTGACATCATATAAGTAAATACGTTTTGATTGGTGTTTTTAAGTCTACCAACTACACTTACAGCTGCCCAAAGCCTCTTAATTGGAAATTAAAAGCTTCCAATTAATATTTCATCTTCCTCTCCAAATTAAAAACTATTTTGGCAAAGAGCTTACTCAGCAGAATTTTAATTTTCAATGCAATAAGCTTCTTTTATATATACGTACATTGTGTAGATGTAATCACTTATAATTTTAGTTCTTACATATAGAAACTTGTAGACCGTAGTTATATTATCATGGTCTCAGGCTCTCAGCAACCCTGACAAAACATATCGTGGTTTTAAAAAAAGAGAGCAATACATTTTTTTGTCAAAATTTGGCAATTATATACGTATATGATAAGTTGGAATGTATGCGGTTGTCGAATTTTATCCGATATTTTGGTAATTCAGATATATGTACATGTTTACCATTATTAAACTATACCTCGTTTAATTTGCTTGGAAAAAGTGCACTCAAATGTTTTATCTTACCTACCTAAATTTGTATCTTTTGGTGAGAAAGTAGTGGCCTTGCTTTTTACAAGTTTTCTTCCTATTAATTATTTTTTAATGTGACTAATTTGTTTTGCTGAATAGTTTTTTGTTTTTCGGTAATGTTTGAATATTCTTTGGGAATTTGATTTTTGTAAATGAAGCACTTGACACATTGCATGTACTAAAAATAGCTAGTCTTCAATCTAGAAATATCGTCAGTATATTAGTTGAATAAGCTTTTTTTTCCTCGGAAATGGTTGAATAAATTCAGAAAAATCATAGCCAGAATTCCTGATTTATTTTTTTGTTAGAAGAGTAGATTCAATGATATAAAATACGAGCCGTCAATAGCACAGTTGAAATAAACAAGAATCCCCATTGTTGAGTCTTTTTCCTTTCAATAACGTCATTTTTCACTAAAAGAATTTATACTATATGTATACATAGGAATGGATGCAACAGAATATATGCAAATGGAATTTTAAGATATTAATAGCTTGTTGCCATCTAGTTTAATCGGAAGTAACATACTAACATGTAATAGATGAAACAACTAAAAAATAAGATTAAAACATACAAAATTAATTAAAGTCGAATTAGTCTAAGTTTTGGCAGTCCTAAAAATAATTTAAAATGAGCAACTCATCTACTTTAAATAGTTTTCGTTGGAATTATATTGTTGTTTATTAAAGAAATAAATTTTGTTCCACAAACATAAGAGAATCAGCTAAGTCCCTTTCATACAACAGCCTCAACCCAACAAAACGAAAATAAAATACTGTAAACTATAGAAAAAAAATAGAAAAAACCAATGATGAGAATATATCTCCGTGGACTAATTACTCTCCTACGAAAAGGACTTTGAACTAACTAATGGCTTTTATTCACTTTTTAGCTCAATATTGTTTTTAGTAGCTTATTTTATTCTTAGACGGCTTTAGTTGATGTAAAAATAATCAATCAATCTATAATGAATGACAGATTAAAAAGAAATAACAAACTACATTGGACAACGACATAATAACATAACATTTCCATCAATATTACAACAAAGTACTGAACATAATAAATCACTATTTTTTTTATCCACGAGGTACCAAATTTTGTGTGTGTGTGAAATTAAGGATCCCATTACTATGATCTAGGTCCATGCGTAACCTAGTTACAGAAACCTTTCATATATTATAGGCAGAAAAAGAAATTGTGGTGTATATTAATTAACATGCATGGAAATAACTGATAGCGAGTGTATAATTAGCAACATGCAATAATCAGCTAATTTTGATGGGGTGAAATTTTGTGTAATAGGTCGATCGATCGATCATATGTCTAAATAGAACCATATATATACTACATTAATTGGTTAAATTATGAACAACGTTTTAGTATATTTTTTTACACATAATAAGTCATTAAGATGCCGTATACATTAAGCATGTGATCCTTGAGAACTTCGCATACGAATCTCTTTTTTTTTTTTTAATGTCAATTCAGTGTCCCGACGACGATATCACATACGACATCAAACATTTTCTATCATCAATTCTAATTTATATTTTGTTATAATTTGCGTCTAGATTGTTAACTTTTAGACTCTAACTAAATTTGTTGAACTTGAATATTACACTCTAATTTTGAAGAACAAAATAGTTTTCTCTTTACCAATTTTTTTATTGAAAGATAGGGTAAACATGTTTTGGAAATGGATGGATTTAAATTAACATCGATGAGGAAGAAGACAGTGTATTAAAGAGGTTAAGAAAATAAGAAGATTGTTTCCCATAAATGGCGACACGTGAAGTAAATAACTCATCTGTTCTGTAATTAAAACGCTGTTTCTTCTTTCACCGCGAACTTCATGGGTCAATCACATCCCAAAAACTATTTTACTTTTCTCTGTAATAATAAATGGACAAAAATATTAATTAAAAACAGAGAGAGACAGAGAAAGAGAGATTTTAACGGGGAAGAAGACTTTGAGAAGGATCCGAAGAAAACGGGTTACTTAAGAAACAGTGGTGCGGTTCTTAATTTTCCCTTAAGATCTTTCTTTTTTCTGTTTTATTTGTTATTGACACGAAAAGACAGAGAAAAACAAGAAACAAATAGAGGCAGAGAGAAGAAGAAAGACGAAACAGAGGATTTTTTTCAAAGAATCCTCTTTCTTCCTCCTTTCTTCGCCTTCCTCTCTTCTTCTCCTGGTTAGTTTTCTTTATTTTGATATCTTTTTTATAATTGGTCTCAAGTATTTCACGTTTTGGTTAACTAATGATTTGGGTTTTGGTTGAAAAACAATGCTTAATTGTGTTTTCAAGATTTTCTTTCTTATCTTTCACGTTTCAAAAAAAATTCAAATGGCTACATTTGTTGCGTTTGATGTTATCGATGTTCGTTTATTTAAAATAATTCAAAATTTCAGACCAAGTAGGCAACAAATTTAAGAAAATGAACCTCATTCGATTTTTTTTTTGTCTATTTCTTATATATGAAGGGTCTTGAAGATACATGAATCAACATCTCATTGTTATGAATGTTGATGCATTCTTTTATGTAAACATAACTTCTTACAGGTGACCTCTCTGAAAGATTATAAGGTAAAAGATTCAATATTTTTTTGATTTTCAGACAAGATCATGTATTTTGGTAATGGTCTTATTCTTTTTTATGTCTTGATTGTTTTTTCAACAGGTTCTTTACAAAAACTTGTTGAGCTTAGCTGGTGAATGAAGTAGTAGTAGAAATTCTCAAAAAGGAAAATGGGTGGCTGCGTTTCTTCCCAGAGAAAACTCAGCAACAAGCTTCAACAGAAGAAGCAGAAACGTGGCAGATCTGGCAAATGTCGGTCCAAAATCTCGGCTTCTATGCCCGATGTTCCTATGAAACGCATGAGTAATGCGAGTGTCAGGGATTTTGCGGTGAGCGAATATGTTCATCTTGATTTCGACAATTGCGCAGCCAAGATGATGTGTAAGAGAGCTGAGATGTCTAATGCTAACTTCCATTTAACTCAGCTTCAATGGAACTGCAGCCAAATCGATGGAAACCGTAACCAACTTTCTCAAAATCTTGATTCTGTTTTTTTTCCTAAAATGTGTTTTCTTGAATCTCATTAGTTTTTTTTTTTGTATTTTAGGAATTTCACATGAGGAGGCTTGGTATGATTCTTTTAGCTACATCGATTCTGATTCTGATGATGGTTCAAATAGTAGTGTCTTTGAAGGTAAAAAACAAACAAAATTCTCAATAATACTAGAGACATTGGTTTGTGATTGTGTCTGAAAACATGATCTTGTTTTTTGCAGATGCAAATGCTTCTGCAATGGGACAAGTGATTCAGTATGAAGAATTCTACGAAAGTTACCTGAAAATAGATGGAAACAAGGGTGAGACATACTCGAGCAAGAATGAAGTTAGTATAAAGAGAAACCAAGTGGCTGATGAATCTCATCATGAAACCTTCAAGACTACTACTTGTGAAGATCATCAAGATCACAGAAAGAAATCATCAAAAGTTGTTATGGTTTCTGTGCGAAGAACATCTATTGATAGCAAATCAACAGCATCTGAATTCTGTAAGAAAAAGAAGAAATGATCAAAGTCTTTAAAAGTTTTGAATCTTTTTAACTTTCTTTCTGATGATTTTATCTCTAAATATGTATCAGCTTCAGCTGAGAAGCTCTTGTATCGTCCAAAAGCCGGTTCTGTGATTCAACGTTCTTTGGGAGAGAAGCTGACCAGTCAAGGAAGCTGGTCAGAAGTTTCTCCATCGAGTTTCAAGCTCCGTGGACTGAATTTCTTCAGGTTAGATTCAGATTTTCAGATCAAGAAAGTAAGACAACCATTATTCTGTTATCAATCTAATTGTATTGTTTAAATCATCTGCAGAGACAAGCAAAAGTGTCCTGCACCAAATTGTAGTCCCTACATACCAATTGGAGTCGATCTTTTCGCATGTCCTAAAAAGATCAACCACATTGCTCAACACATTGAGCTCCCTAATCTGAAACCGTCGTCATCACAAGTCTGCGATATCCCCAATCTCTTGATTGTGAACATCCAGCTTCCAATGTATCCAACCTCTATGTTTGGTGACTATGATGGTGAAGGACTTAGCTTAGTCTTATACTTCAAACGCAATGAGAATTATCACAAAGAAATCTCATCTCACTTTAAAGAAACCATCAAGGTATGATGATGATAGATCCTATAGCTCTTTTTTAATAAAACTTGTTATGTTTCTGTATAGAGAGATGTTTAAAGATTTGGTTCTTGCAGAGATTTATGGATGATGAAATGGAGAAAGTCAAAGGATTCACAAGAGAAACAACAGTTCCATTCAGAGAGAGGTTAAAGATCATGGCAGGTTTGGTGAATCCTGAGGATCTTCAGCTAAGTTCTACTGAGAGAAAACTTATCACAGCTTACAACGACAGACCGGTTCTTTCTCGTCCGCAACACGATTTCTTTCAGGTTAGATTACAAATCTTTCTTTAGTTTTCAGACCTGATATTTCATTTCCAGAGCTTTGTGGTTAATGTTATTGATCATTTGGACAGGGACCAAACTACTTTGAGATCGATTTGGATATACACAGATTCAGTTACATATCGAGGAAAGGACTCGAATCTTTCAGGGATCGTATCAAGAATGGGATTCTTGATCTGGGTTTAACTATTCAGGTACTTGAATAATCTCCAAAACTTTTGGTGGGTAGTAGGTCTTTCTTTGTTAGAGTGTAGCTCAAGTAAAAAATTTGTTTCTTTCTGACACAGGCTCAATCACCAGAGGAACTTCCAGAGCAAGTATTGTGTTGTGTCAGGCTGAACAAGATTGATTTCGTGAATCACGGACAGATTCCAACGCTTTTAACTAACAAACAATAATGAGATTTCGGATCTGATTCACTACAAAATAACACAGAGAGAGACAAAGATCAATCAATCAATCAATGAGGAGAGCAAAAAAAGACAAAAAGCAAAAACAGAGAACGTTTTCACATATTTTGTATTGTAGAGACAAAAGAAGAAGATAAAATCAATGTCTTATTTGGAAACATGATTTGCTCCGGAATTTATTAATCTCATGAAAAAGATTCATTTGTACAAATGTCATAACTTCTTACTCCATTATTCAAAACCCATAACAAAACGACAATTGCTCTGTATATTTCATTAACCAATGACTGACAATGAGAGATGAACAATAGCAAGAAATTTGGGTCATAGCCATAATAATAATAATAAACAAAAGAAAAAAGTTTGATATTACAACAAATACTTTAATTTTCATACACAAAATGTAAGACCTATCTTTTTCTGAAACAATAACACAAAAGATACAACACAAAATATCCCCCTGTAATTTTCTTTCTCATGTACAAAAGAATTCACATATTAGTAAACAGAAATCTGAAAACCTAAAAAGCTTTTTTAAGTTTTACACCAGTACATAGGTGAACAACAACCTCTTGAAGCTCTTTCTTTCCTGCAAACTGCTAGATTTCTCAGACAAGTGTATGAGTGGAATTTGAAAAAAAGGTCAGAGTTCTCTTCTCTCAAGTTGTTTGTTCTTCTTTCAGCCTTAGACGCGCAACGGGCTGCTGCTGCTGCTGTTGATTTAAGTTAGCCAAACCGCCAGGTCGATTATCTGACCTTAACTGTGCCGCTGCAGCGGCATGGCTGCTTGATTTAGCTGCTGGAAGGTCATGGTTATGTTTTCCTTCATATGTTGTTACTACAGCTTTTGGATCTGTTGCTGCTCTCTCTACATGTTTCCTCACACCACATCCTGCTGTTGTGCACTTGTAGTAGCTCCTAGGGATCAAAAAAGAGAACATAAACAAGAATGTCTTAAAACATAAACTATATTCATCACCAGATCCCGCCATTAAAAGAGTGTAATAGCTAGACCAATAGGTGTTTTTTCGTGTATTACCTCGGATAAGGATTCCCTTTGACAACTTTCTGTCCATATTTGCGCCACCTATATCCATCATCTAGAAGATCAACTTCACTCGTCGTTTGGACAATAATTCTAGGCTCTGTCACGGTTCTATGTGAAGCAGCAGGAGCTGGTTCTGAAACCCGAACTTCTGTAATTCTGCACATTCAAAGATCTCTCTCATCAAAAAACCGAAAAATATGGATTATCATCAATCATCAAAAGAGCTTATAACTTTACCTTCTCTTGGGATCAGGCTCATTCTCATCTTTCTCTCTCACATCAGGTTCTCCATTACCAACTTCTTCACTGTCACTTGCCTCAGACAAGTGCTCTGTTGTCGTAGCTTGACTTGCTGCTTCATGTTGCTCTCTCTTAGTCTTGTTGGAGTTATTTGTTTGAAACTGTGATGCCCCCAATTCAGAACTCCCGCGATTGTTATTTACCGAACTCCCATTAAGATTCGCGGTGTTATCTTTGTTTCCTCGTTTAGTGTTTTGAGGAGGTTCATGATTGTGCTGACCTTTGTAGATGATTTCCGTTACTTGTCCATCAAGAGATCTCTCAACCTTCTTCTTGACAGGACATCCTGGATTAGTACACTTGTAATAGCTTCGAGGAAACTCGCTGCCTTTAACTTGCTTTTGCCCATATTTTCGCCAGTTATAGCCATCATCAGCTGGTTTGTCAACATTTAGAGGCTGTTGTGACCTGTGCTCTATGATGGTTACATCTGAGGTTTCTCTTTGAGCTGGTAGTGGAGCCGAGGTCGGGATCTGAGCTTGACCCGATGAAAATGATTGAACTTGAGAGGCAGGAGGGTACTCTGTTTGTGGTTGCATATTGGCATTGGCTTGAACTGCTTGAGCAGTGACTTGAGCTAGAGCTTGCTGATGTGTCATTCCATATGATCCCTGTACATTGTAACATTTCGGGTTAGAACAAGAACCGCGAAAACAAATCCGATCCGAGCACACATCAAAATAGTCAAGACAAAGTAGAGCCAGAGACACGAAACAGGCTAGTTACCCCAAAGTCAAACAAACTAGATAACCCTATCAAAAGAGAATATAGCAAAGGCCTGTCTAAAGGAACCATTTCGACTAAAGAACACATATTGTTCCATAATCAAAACATATCAGGTCATAAGAACAGGATTTTTCGGACATGGCACCAAGAAATCTTCCTGAGGATTCATATAAAATACTTGAGGAAGCCCAAATCTTGATCCACGAGCTTCTTTTGTTCTCTCTGAATTCTGAAAGTTTCCCTACCTTTCCAATACAGTTGAGTTGCAAAGTTCCTTCCTTTAGGAGAAATCCCCAAATCTCTAATAAGCCCTAATACAATCCTAATCTCATAATCTCCAAATTTGACCTAAGATGATTCCAGCAAAATGGTTACAAAATCTATAATTTGTTGGAATAAACCTAGATTTGCTAACAACAACGTGTTATTTGTTTCCTCAGCAGCCAACAAAACAAAAACAAGAAACAGCTCAACAAAGAAAAGACATAAACACACAGTTTCCATAAATAGATTTTTAAACTTTAACCAAACCAAAAAAGAGAAAAAATTGTTAACCTGAACGGGAGAGAAAAGACCCAAAAAGCTTGGTGAATCCATCAACATGGCCGGACTTAAACCAGGCGGTACGGTGAACATCGACGGCGATTGAGAAATCATCAAACCGGTTGGTCTGTTCTGCTTGAATCTCGGGTCAACATCACCACTAGAGCTATTAGTCCCTTCACCAATTCTCTGGTAATCACTAGCCGTCGCAGCAGTTGCAGTCGCCGGAGAAGTCATGGCTCCAGTAAGGAGCTGAGAGAAAGACCTAAACTCATCGGAATCAGAGAACATATTAGAGACCAGAGTCATCGGACCAGGACTAAATCCAACGCCACCGTTAAAGAACATCTCACTAAACGGCCGTGGAGGAAGAGATAAAGTCGGACGCGACGGAGCTCCGGTAGACTTCGATGTCGACGGAGCTTCTTCCTTTTCCGACATCGATCCCCAAAATTAACAAACAGAAAAAGGGCAAAAAAAAAAAGCCAACAACCCAAAAATCAAAAGAAAGAAAGAAAAAAAAGAAACTTTCTTTAATTTTTGGTTTCTCAATCAAAAATCCTTTTTGTGTATATCTGAGTATTGTGTGAATCCGTGTCGTGTTTCGCTTCACTTTTTTGCCGTTTTGTTTCTTTTTAATATCTATAGCTCTTTTAATGGAGATTTCGAGTTTCTTTTTTTTGTTTTGTTTTGTTTTGTACTTCTGGTCTTAAAAACGGATCTGGAAACATAAAAAGATTAAAACTTTTGGGTTCGCAGTAGAAAGTCCACGCTGCAGATATATGTAAAACAAGCTCTTTTTCTCTCTCTGCTCCATTTCCTTTTTTTTTTTCGTGTGTAAAGTACTTAATTTGTTTTTTCTCTTTAAAAAAAATACTTACTTTGTTTTTAATTTCTAAAACTAGCTAACTTAATGAAACACGTTTCGAAATCCAATTTTTCAGGAGGCAGTAGAAAATTGGAAACAAATAATGATAAAAATCTGCCTTTTTGAGTTTTTCTGTCGTTTTGTACATTTAATTTTTCACCGGTACATTTAATTAAATGTTGAATTTTGATAACATTAATTAAATATGTATATATATATATATATATATATATATATCTATATTTTTAAAATAGATAAATCATTTTAAATTCTACAAAGCATATTTACATTTTCAGTCTTCTGAGAATGCAATGCTAAATGAATTACAATCCATACATTTTTAAAAGAAATAAAAAATACATTAAGAAAAAAAAATCTGAATATCATCAGTCAAAACAAAAGTTGTACCAAATTGATCAAATTATTTGGTTATCAATTTAGGTTTCACCTTTACAAAAGCGTCGGTCTTGTTATTATTGTACGGTGAACCTTGGAGCCAAGAGGCAGAGACAGAGAGAGACAACCGGACAAGGCCGCAGCTACTCCACGTTTTACGAATCAGAAAATGACAACTGGCATTCTGTTTTAAAGGCCCATTTTGTGTCTTAATGGGCTGTCGTGTATAAGCCTACTCATATCATGAGAGCTCTTTTTAGACAGATAAACAAATATTAATACCATAAGATGATGACTACTCCAGTAGATAAAACTGTATAAAATATACATGTTTACATGTTATTTCTGTAATATATTTTTTCACATGAAAGCAATAGATTTCTAAAATTAAACTTTATGATTTTTTATTAGTGGACTTTTTGGGTGTACATTTGTAATAGGAGGAAACGTGATGTGAGATAGAAGAAAACTAGCAACATGACTTTTTGAAGATGCATTTGACTTTGCAAGAGCAATAGATAATATAAACATTCTTATAATTTATGTTGTACACACGTTGGCTTTAGGGTAGAAATAGAATTCCTTTTATTTATTACCACAAGAAATGTGATTGCAATAAGCCAATAACATAAAACACAGTTTATTACAGCTTCGTTTTAGATTAGACTTTGTTTTCATTTTTCAATAACATGTGTCCTTTGTTTATTTTGCTTAAGTCCAGTTTACTTTTCGTTGTGTCTTTTAGTTTGGGGTTCCATTTTGATTTTGATATTAGAAAAGGAAACTCTGAATTTTAAGAGATTATCAACTATATATTTAGACTTATTTTAGACTTACTTTCCAAATTTTGAATACTAAACTGATCTTAACTTTTGAGGTTTGTTAGCATATTTCAATAGTTATACTCTTTTATGGTATTGCTTCTACGTCTCCACATAAACGCACGAGTAAAGACTTCGCGCATAAAAGGTTAGAATCATGGGCGGAACACGTTGACATTTGGACAAGTACCATAAAAAATCAAACAATTAGAAGAATTTAAAAAACATCTAGAAACAAAAGTTTAATATCCAAAACAAAGAGTAACCCAAACACAAGATAATCTCCAATAAGTAACGGAAGCCTAAAGAAAGAGAAGAAGAAGAAGCTCATAAGTTATAACAAAGGGCAGAGACAGACAGTGAGAGAGAGTCGCATAAATTATAATAAAAAGGTTCATAAAACATTGACCTCCCTATTAACGCCACGGTTGGTTGGTACACCAGCGGCTTTGTTAGTCTCACTTGGGACCAATGTCCTTGAGAGCATTTATCTGTTCCTCTCCCATAGCTGACATCACACTCACCACTAGATCTTTTCCATCATCAAACCCACTCTTGATCTGTTCCATTAACACAATCAGGTCACTCATTCAATACTCTGCACTTTTTCTTCCATTTTTAGGACTCGATATTGAGATGATTTTACTACCTAGCAACATTCTTTATTAATGTGATGAACATGCAAAACTTAATTAACCTGTTGGAGCAGAGTGTCATCAGTAGGGAGCTTGAGGTCATCCTTGGTGCTACCATTGTCAGTCAACAAACTGACCTGTAAAAATGATATCACAAAAGAACACAAGTTATTAAACAATTTATACAAGCAAATATTATAAAAGGGACAAAGGGCTACATAAGAACACATACATATCCATCTTCAGAAATGTCAATTAGCTGATAATCAGTACGGTTGACATGAGGAACCTGAAACACAACAATTCAAATAAAACAAAATCTCAAATGAGCTATGACTGGAAAGAAACAAAGCAAGAAATGAAAGTGATCAAAGAAGCTTTTTCACATACATCACAATTGTGGGAAGAAGGAACAATATCTTCAAGTTTCTTGCTGGTGAAGATATCAATAGCTACAAAATGACATTTAGCATGTCCATGCTTGCCTGTCTTTGACGTTGAAACCTCAACAACCTAAAACAAAACATTTCATTATATCTATGATCTACCAATCTCTTCCTATGGTTAAGAAAATCGCATATTGAAAAATTTAGATCACAAAGCACCATTAGCATGCAAGAATCCTAAAATAATATCGGAATTTAACAAAGATTACAAACACAAATCTTAATCGAAAAGAAACATAATCTGAGTCCTGAGAGATCGAAATAATCAACAGATCTAATAAGATCAGAGGAAGATAATGGAGAAACCTTGCAGGGACGACCTTTGATGACGATGTAACCATTCTTACGGATGGTTCCAGCTTGTTGCGGGTAAGTTTTGGAAGCTCCGGCGTCACTGGACTCAAAATGATGCTCCTCGTCGGACATGGTTTCAGCAGAGAGCTTCGACGAGGATTTTTTGGGTAACAGAGGAAGGTGACGACGACGATCGGGAAAGTGCAAAAGGCGTTTCCTTTTGGGCTTTTATACCAAGGCCCTTTCTAGGGTTTGATGGGCTTTAAAGCCTTAATGTAAATAAAAGTGTTTTTTTCACCGTTCGATCACGTGACTGTTGTACGGTCTGAGATGAGATCAATGTTTTTCGTTACAGGTTAAGCCCAATGGGCCTGAATTTAGAGTCCAGATCACGGATCACTGACAAGATCTAGCTTTTGTTGCGTACGGGCTAATCTTCTTGACGACCAGGAGGACTGGTGGTGGTGCTGAGGTGAGAATAGTGGGGTCCATGAGTGTGAAAGTTCACGTGATGGGATCAAGATGACACGCGCCGTTAATCTAACAAAGATCATAGTTAAGAGTGCGAGTGATCACAGCTGATTGGTGGTGGAGACTTTTATGGGTCCCTTTTGATTCTTGTTGATTCCCATATTTGTAGGGTCTCTCTAAAGAAGAAACACACACACATTAAGGAAATTTTAATTTAACTCATATCAATAAAAAAAATTAATTCACTACAAAATCTCAAACATCGTTAGAAACTTCAAAAAAAAATAATAAAAATTAATAAATCGAAACAACGTTTATGATTTATAAACTCCGAAGTTAAAAATTGTACTCCCTCTAGTCTTATAAAATAGAACATATGAATACTATAAATATCATTTCAACAAAATAACGACTACTCAACTACAAAACATTGAGACAAAATATCAACTACAAAGAATCATTAAGAGTACTCTAATTATGATGTAATATGAGTTAATCATTGAGAAAAATACGCTCCAGAACAGATATATTTTTTTAGAAATTCTTTTAAAGTAATAATATATACACACACGAGAGAAACAACTACAAAAAAAAGTAGAAGAAATATGATGGTATCATTCATAACTTTCGTATTATAATTTGATGAATTTCTTGACAAGAAAGATTCTGACTGTTTATAATTAATTGATCATCAAAGCTTTCTGAGAGCAATGGTTTGATTTCTGAAACGTGCGGGAACAAGACAAACAAACAATGTATCGTGTATTAATTGATATGACAATTGAAAATTTTACGTGTTGTAATTGTAGTCTAGTATATAGTTTGGACTGCATTTTTTATTTTCTTTGTACAACATATATATAAAACTCTTAAAACAAAATTTCAAAAGAAAAAAAAATATTGTTAGAAAGGAACGTTGAGCTTTGGGTTGTGTCCACCTACTATTGGAGCAAAATGTTTTTGACAAAAACCGTAGATACTACATAAGTACAAAAAAATTTATACGTCCATATCCAATCACATCATATGAAAATTGACCGAAATACATTTTATGCCTGTTAATTTGTGGATACATATATATCATAAACACTGACAACTAATTTGCTCGTTAATTAGACTTTTCCTATTATTCGTTTTAACTATTTTCCTTTAGCTTAAACTAGAAATTCGTTTTTAAATTTCTAATAAATAAAATACCTGTATTTACAAATATACGCTTTCATGCATACATACTAGGCTATTTATAGCATCCAGGCAACGAGCAATCATAGGTCTGGCTATTCGAAGGACAACCTACATAAGTTCGTATTTCTTAGCGCAATATTTTTTGGACAAAAGCACAATAATATTTTCTAAGCCTACAATCTAAAATTTTTATTTGGTTCAACAATATTGTAAGCAAAATAACATAACTTTTTTGTTTTATTTTTCGTACTGTAGTAGAGTATATACGTGTAGAAGAAACCCAACGTAAAGTAACTTAATTTTCAATTAGTAATTAAATGATAAAATCGATAATAATAATAAAAAATGATAAATCGACACCTAATTAGAAGGGTAAAAAGGGCAAAAGATGTTTCTCTCTAATTTTGTGGAGACAGAAAGAAAACATTTGTTTCTCTCTCTAATCCCCAGAACGATCTGTGTCCACGAATCTAGGATTCCGTTTCGAACTTACAATTTTCAGACAAATAAAAACCACCTAACTTACACGTTATTTACATCATCTGCCATTTATTAGTTTACTAAATTGCCCTTTGAGAAAAGAGAGCATCTTTTTCCCCTTTTTTCTCTCGTCTCTGTCATCAAAATTCGGTGATTGGCTCTTTCAGATTCCAAGTTATAGCATCAGGTATCAGCCGTACGTACACCAGCCGGTGAAAACGATTGAATTAAATAAAACCATAACTAAATTACATACAATGAACAGAATAAATATTACACTTAATTTTAATAATGTCTAGTAACTATTATTTTTAACTAGTTTAAAAATGATCTAAAGAAATTTTTTAAAACTAGTTGTGTGTGTATCAGTATAATTATGTCCTTATTTGGAAATCTGAAAGCTACAATAGCAATTGAGAGTTTTTTTTTTTTTTTGGGGAGGGTGATTTAGGCCCAAACTATGTATTTGGCAATGGGCTTATCATCAGTCTTATTCAAGGGAAAATAAAAAGAAAGAAAGACTGGTTATTTTAATCAAGAAACAGTCAATAACTAAATAATCAATCATATATGATATACCTATTCAATAATTCACTTTAAGCTGCTTTAATATATATATATATATATATATATATATATATATATATATTTGATAACCGAAAGTTTCAAAGTGAAACTCCTTATTTTTGAATATACAAAATGAGCATAATATTTATACCATCTAATTATGGTTACTATCTTAGTCAAACAATTTGAATCTTTTTATTTTCAATTTCTGATAAAACATTTTAACTATTTTTGTACAATTATGAATTTGGTGAAATGGATTAATTTGTTTGTACATTTTGTTTATGGATATCAATTATTTTGACATAACTCTTTTAGAAATCCGTCATTGGAGATATTATCTGATCAAACACACATAATTAAATAGTCCAAGATGTCTTGACATAATTAACATTGAGAACCCTTGAATCATTTACCCATTCTGATTAATTGGGGTTTTGATTTTCTCTAAATTTGTTTGCGTATATTTATCGTTGCTCGGTATTAAAAAAAAAACAATTAAAACAGATCTAGATTAGCTATAGATTTTATTGGAATCTACTTTTTCAGGCTATAATACGCTAATTAAGTGTTTAATTCATTGCTTTGTGTGGACAAGTGTGGTTTGTCTACGTTTTTTGATGCTTTTCAAAAATTGATGTAAACTTTTCGAAAGGGACTATCTTTATGCATAACTCATGAGAAATTATTTAATTCACATTCAATAAATAATACTAGTATATACTTAGATTAATAAATGGACGTTAAAGACAAGAGGGGATTTAAAATAGTTTTTTTTTTTTTGTTGGTAAAAGGTGAATGGAGGAGAGCTAGTGGGAGACGAGTGGCAAATAGTTTACTTTTTCAATATCAATAACATTTTCTTATGTTTTAATATTAAGTGATAAAATATTTCCGATTAACACAATGACTAATGAGAGAGTAATATAGTTTCGTTACCATAATAATTTAATTTTCATAAAGACTTTGAACTATATGTTTAATATTTTTAGTAGAAATACTAAAGGAAATTGATAGTTGCATAGTTGCATGTGTATATTGATAGTTATATAATTAATATTTTTGCTCTTTGATTCGCAATGAAATCAATTTGGTGGGACATACCATAAGAAGTATGATAGGACCCTTGACTAATACTCAGTTTATAAATCTTGATGATTTTTTTTTTTCTGATGAGAGTGACATTTCCGAAAGTATACTTTGGACCACTTTTAAGGTCTATTATCCCAACTTATCTTGAACCCAAATAAAAGCATTATATAACTATTGCTACTTTGGACAAAAAAAAAAACTATTGTTACATTTATATAATAATACAGACCCTTCGATCTATTATTTAAGTCTTCAATCATTTTTTTTCTTTATGGATTTGTATTCAAATTCATTTTCGTACAATTTCTTGATAAACGTTTAAAATAGTTTAAAACTCTGTTGAAAAAGAGTTGTACTGACATTATATTACACGATAAAAACAGATAACGTTTACATGTAGATTTATCACATATATATAGTATAGTTTATTAGTTCATGGATTTTTTTCATGCATTTTACTATAATTCTTGGATATGAACAGTAAAAATGAGACATGGTCAGAAAATTTCCGATGGTACCTAAAAAAAAATACCAATACGGAATTAACCATGTGGGTTTGTGACACAAGAGACAAAACATAATGATGCTATGCCACACAACAGCCGAAGACCGTATGTTAAATTTTTTTTTTTTACCGAATACCACTTTTTTTTTGGTTGATGTCTATTACCAAAATTATGTAAACGAGATATTTTTGAAAAATTTCAAAGTTGTGTTAAAAATAATTTTAAACTTTCGTGCATATATATTTAGAGTTCAGTATATTGTAAAGAGTTTTGGTCACGTCGATGAAAAAAAGTGGTAATTATTTTGTTACACCTTTAAGGGCCATTTCACAGTATTATTTATGTGTGCTGGACCCTCGAACCAGATTTGGTACCAATACATCTTTGGAAATTCTGTTGTTGTTAAGGCCTAATCCCTTGGATTAAAATAAATTCATTTTTCATAAATACTTAAACATCTAAAGTAGAAAAAAATCACAAGGTTTTACGGTACAAATTACCATATGTTTTCTTGGCTCTGTGTGCCTAAACAACTACACCTTATATATATATTTAATGATCTCATAATATAATTTTCAAACATTTTTTGGTAAAAATAATTTTAAAACGTCACAGTTATTATTTCCTCATGCACCCAATCAATATCCGAGATCCCTTTTAAAATTACTTTCTCATAATTAAGAATCAACTATAATCACCAATCCAATAATTTATAGAAATCTAAACTTCTAATTCCTCAGTATCAAAACGAAAAAATTATTCCACATAAAACAGTAGCCAACGAGATAGAGTTATAGAAAAAGAAAAGATTTTTAGGGAGGACCCACGTTTTGTTTGCTGTCGAAAGCTTTATTTAAGTTTATATATTTGAACAAATGAGGCCTAATTTTTTAAAAAATAAAACAAAATTGAGGCCTAACAGAAAAATGTGTTAAACAAAGGATGCGTAATTAATGGGACAAGCATTTACCATATTTATCCTTCAATGACGAGTGACGACATGTTCGTTTCGGATTTTCATTTTTTTTTTTGTACTATATGGTAATATGGAAATATGATATAGTGATATTTCCATATACAGAGTATTTCTCGTCGTAAACAACATTTGACCTCATATCATTAATTACTTTTTATATAAAAATAGTATTTGCATACTTTTCAGTTTTCAAAATCTGAAAACCCTCAAGAAACACTCCATCCAGACAAAACTTTTTTTAATAACCGGAGAACTCTTATAATTTTTTTTTGTAATTTCCCTTTTTAAAATCTAAACTTATATACAGTAACTAAAATTTAAGTTGCGTAATTATTTTGCTAAATTATTGTATCAACCAAGCGCAAAACAAATAATTTTTTATTTTTTTTCTTCTTCTAGATAGCTAAAAATATAGTATTATTTTCCCCTTAAAAGCATTAAAAAGCAAGAAAAGAAGATGAAGAGAACCTAGAAGATACCCATTTCACATTTCACCAATTATTTACTTCTACTGCTCAATGTAATTTTAAATTAGATTATTAATTCACATAAACGGAATAAAATAAAAAAGCAGGTGACATAAAATATTCAAATAAACAGATCTAATAAATAAAAGAAATTCAGCATAAATAGAATTTATCTTTAAAATTCATTAAAAATAGAATATAAAGAGTTTTACGAGTCAAACTATTTGATAAATCCTGTTTTTCATTCTATAATATGTACTTAATATTTATTATTTATGTGAAATAAGAAGAATATACATTATTATTACATGAAATGAAAAGATAGTAAAAAAAAAAAGAAGGAACTAAAAAAGGTGAAGAAAAAGCAGAGAATAAAAGGGAAGAGAAGACCGGATGTTGACAAATAATTTCATGTCACTGTACAAAAGCCAAAGCCTCGTTTGTTTTTATTTTCTCTTCTGATTTTCGGATCTTTCTTTTTCTCTCTTCTTCTTCTATAATAAAAACCTTCTTTATCATCATCTTCTCACATAGAAGAAGAAGAAGCATAAAAGCAGATTTCTTTTTCCTCTCCGCTAATTTTTTTGTTTGTTTGGTGAGAGAAAGAAGAGTGGCCCAGCTAGATCGAAGATGACGATCTAATTTTTTCCATTAATGGTGTTTACGCTATAACTCTTATACCCTCCCCTTTACTTTTATTTTTTGTTTCAATCTTCCCATTAGTAGAGAGATTCGAAAATTTCCTTACTTTTTTCCTTTTGATTCATAGATTTTTTTCGTATGTTTAATTTTTTTAATTTCTTCTTCTTCTTCTGAGAAAGTATTGAGACGAGTTTGGCGATAAGAGGATGTGGGTTTGAGGTAACGAAAAAATCTCATTTTTTATAAACTCTGTTTATTGGATTTTTATTTGGGGATTTCCAATTTCATCTGCTAAATTTTCACTAGATTAAAGCTTTGTTTTTTTTTTTAATGTCAATTTGGTACAATCTTGTCCTAATATTTTTGCAGATTCTTTGTTATCTAACTTTAGATTTCGACTTTGATTATTTTTTTTCTTCTTCTCAAGATCCTATTTTGACTCGTCGGCGTTAGAACTCATCCGTTTTGAGTCAAAACCCTTAGCTATATTTAGTTTATCACTTTGTGTTTAGTGTTGACTTTTTGAGGAATTTGAAGCTACTCTTAAATGGGTTTATGGAGATTTAACTAGATAGAGCTCTTGGAGTTCTAAAGTTCTTGTTTTTGTGGCCAATTTTCAATGTCTTTGAATCAGATTTGTGTTAGTCTTTTGGTCAAGACTAAAGTTTGGATTTTTATGAGTAGGAATGGGAACAAAGGTGCACTGTGAAAGCTTATTTGGTGGATATCATCACTCTATGAGAGATCTCAACAAAGAATCTAACGGTTGTAGATGGCCATTGTTCTACGGTGACAATAAAACCTCTGCATCAAACAACAACGATCAATGCTACAATGGCTTCACGTCGCAGACTACATTTGGGTTTGACAAAGATGTGGTGAGAAGGACAATGCTCGAACACGAAGCTGTTTTTAAGACACAGGTTACTTACTGGAACATTTTCTCTGTGACCTTTCTCACTTCCTCTGGCTTTTCGTTGATTGTATTTTGTATCTTTTAACCAGGTTTTGGAACTTCACCGGGTATACAGGATACAGAAGGATATGATGGATGAACTGAAAAGGAAACAGTTTAATAAAGAATGGGTTCCGATTGAGGCATCATTTTCATCTCAAGCTACGAATGATGATGTCCGTAAATGGAAAATCCCTAGCTTCCCTTTGGCGAACTCGGTTTACGATAGACCATCCATGTCTGTGGTTGAGGATAATGGCCATTCTCCTATGAAAGGAAGCAATTCTCAAGGGGTTGTTGGTCCAGTTTCATGGCAAAATGGAGCTAGTTCCAAAAATATTGAAGTTTCGGAGGTTAGACCAATGAAAATCAGAAGAAAGATGATAGATCTTTGTATTCCAGCTGATGAGTACATTGATGACAATGAAGAAGTTGTTGAGTTGAAAGATCACAGGGTTTGCAGCACATCTAGTCAGCTTCCTAATGGAGATGTGAAGACTGAATCTTACAGAGATGGTATGAGAATTGGCTATGGTTCGAGTAGAAGCAATGGTTTGGCTGACTTAAATGAACCAGTTGATGCTCAAGAAGCAAACGAATTTGCTTATGGCCACTCCAGTGACTTGCGTAATGGTGAGTTTCAAGGCCATATTCGCGACTACGGAAAATCTCTAAACTCTGGTAGTGTAAGGGAGCATATTCCTGTTATCCCTCTGCAACCAGATTTGAACGGCAGACCAAAAGTTTGGCCACATCAACCCTTAAGAACTGGTAAGATGATCTATTAACTTGTAAATGCCATTGTTGGATTTTCTTCTATGGTCACACTTGTTTGATGCTTCTTACTTTTTCCGGATGTTTTCATCTGAAATCCACCATTTTGCAGATCATTATAATGGGAATGGCACACACAAGTCTGCTGCTCCGTTTTTTCAACCGGCCAAGCCTCTGGATTCATCGTCTCAGCCTATGCAAGTTTTGATGAACAGTTCACAAAGAGTTATGAGTTTACCTAATTCAGGTCCACCAAGTAAGGCAGTCTTCTGGAGAGAAAGAACGTTTATTGACCTTGAGGCTGATACTGATACCAATAGTAGTCATGAAGCTGTCATTCATCAAAATCACTTGGATTCAAGTTTAGCTTCTCACCAACAGCGCCACTTGTATCCATATAATCGTCCAGATTCTGCTGTCTCGTGGAACCATTTGCACTCTTCTTGGCAAAATCCTAGCTTTGGATTCCCTCAGAAAGTTGCTTCAGCGCAGAGATATCCGGTTCTAAACCTGTCTGACACTCTGATTAGTAATGCTCAGAAGCAAGGGTATCTTGGAGACAGACTGCAGTTTGAAAGCAATCCTAGATTTGACTCGGGGTGCGGGAATTCCAGTCGGTTAAACCAAAACATGTTTTACAATGAGTGTTCCACTTCATCAAAATCGAAACTTGCTGGGACTGGCTATACTTATCCTAACGGAGGAAGAAGTGACTACAGCTCGGAGATGAAGTTTGTGAGAGATTTGAACTTAAATGTGACACTTTCAAACACTTCTGTTGTTGAAGTCAGAAAGGATGAAGAACACGTGGCTACTTTACCATGGCTTAATAAACCCAAGTCTGTTTGTAACTCTGAGATCGCTGATGGGAAATGGAATCTGAAGAGTAATGATGCTGTTCTGAGTTCTCCTTTGAAACCATTGGATATCAAAGATGAGGCAAGAGACAAAGTTCAGAACAATATGTGGCTAGAGAGGTTAAAGTCTGGTTCTTGTTCCAATAATCCGGAGACTGAGAAGATCAATGCTAACACTGAAATTCCTGGATTTGCTCATAAAGATCAATCCAATGCAGAAAAAGGTAAAGTCCATAATGTTAGGATGCTAGACATGAACGAACCGTGTGATCCTCTTTGGGATGAAGATCAGCAAACAGAGGAACAGACCGAGGCAAGGGTTTCAGTAGGTAATAGGTGTCAGATTGATTTGAACATTTTGGGTAGTGATGATGAAGGCGAAAATTGCTCTGTTCCTGCCAGTTCAAGACTGAATTCAAAGGCCCCTATGATAGATTTGGAAACTGTTCCTGAGTCTGATGATGATGAAGAAGATGATAATATCTCTGGAGAAAAGCCATCAGAAGAAACACCAATTGAGGAAAAAACTTTAGAGAAACCGCCTGAGTTTGAAAAATTAGCAGCAGAAACACTAGTTGCCATCTATTCAGCTTGCCTAGATAGAGAGCTTGAAGTTGTGGCTTCGTCAGAAGTTTCTGAAACCATCATCCTTCACTGGTTTGCAGAAACAGTAAATACTCACAAAGAGAATCTGGACAAAAAGCTCGATACTTTCTCGAGGAATCAACCACGTTCTATTGAAGAGATTGATTACTTTGAGTCAATGACCCTGAAACTACCTGAGATCTCAGAAGAAGAGTATATGCCTAAGCCATTGGTTCCTGAAGACCTCAAATTGGAGGAAACTTCAGGAACCGCTCTGGTCACAAGCCAAAGACCGAGAAGAGGAAACACGAGAAAAGGGAAACAGAGACGAGACTTCCAAAGAGACATTCTCCCTGGACTTCTGTCTCTCTCGAAATACGAAGTAACAGAAGACATTCAAATGTTTGATGGGTTCATGAGAGCAACAGGCAGATCTTGGACTCCAACCGGTTTAACAAGGAAGAAAACCGGTTCAAGAGGAAGACCACGACGAGTCATAACAATCCCTGCTGAACCGGTCTATTGCGCGGTACCAGCTCCAGCTCCTCCTCCCTCGGTTCAACAACATGTGAGCAATCAAAGCAACAATGGTGAAACTGAAATGGGTTTAGAAGATAGAAGCTTTGCAGGTTGGGGTAAGATGACAAGAAGGCCTAGAAGACAACGTTGTCCTTCAGCTTCAACTACAACTGCAACTACAAGTAACCAGCGTTCATCATCACACGCGCCTTTCACGTGACAATGATGTTGAAACTTTGGGAATGTTTGTTGTGACCATGAGATTATTACTGTACTAGTACGATTCTTTTCAAAACTTTTTCGTATAGAGAGAGATATAATATAAGAGAACCGTTTGTGATAGAGATTTTTCATGGACTAGTTTTTTTTCTTTAGCTTGGTGAATACATGAAGATATTTAATTCCTTTCAACCACTTTTTATTGTTTCATTTTTGCCTAAAACACTTAAAATCACCTTATCTCACGGCACGTCATCATCGAGTACATTTGCTCAAGCCATTGGATTTTGGCCAAACCGTAGAGTTAAACTTTGGTTAGAGAAAATTGGAGCAATAGAGCCATTTTCAGGCAATGCAGCTACATGTTGGAACAAGATCAAAGACTTTGAAGCACTCAATAGATACTATGAATTAACAGGACATGATTTTCTCATACTTGAATTCGTAACATTAGAAGAAGAAGAAGAAAAATATCGGTCAGAAGCTTCACCAGATGGAGACATACATGTGGCTAATGATGGGTTTATGATGAAGATAAAAGACATGCTTATCTATGGAAGAAGATTCCTTGGTACTATGTTCCACAGGCTCAAGGTTTGATGGAGATTATGGATAGATAAATCATATTCGTTCCCTAATTTGGTTTAATAAAAACACCAATAAGTTAAGCATAATCACAACATTCACAACAAAGATGGATTAGATTGATGATCACCAGAAGTTATTACACTCACTCGTAACTCCCCATAACATAAACGAAGCAACATAAACTAGTCCACAAACGATACTTAGTTATTTAATTTCTTAATTACGAAAATGAAACAACAATTAAAGATCAAATCACTTCAAGAAACCTTGAGCCATCTTGGCATATCCTCCAATCCCACCGCCAGACTCTTCATCGTCTTTCTTAGCCGCCGGCTCAGGCTGACTTGCTGGCTCAGCCTGACTCGCCGGAGGAGGAGGACCACCAGCACCGGTGGAGTGTGACGACTCGTAGTCGTTGAGATACTTCTCAGCCTTGTCGAGGTACTGACCAGTGCTACTCTTTTCATCAAACTTACCGTATTTCTCAGCGGCGTCTAAGATATCAGCAGAGGCTCCGGCGACTTTGCCCTTGTCAAGTTTGTCTGATTCGTTACTAGCTGCGGCTTGAGCAGCTTCAGCTACAACCTTGGCACTTGCCATGAGCTCGGCGTTGGTAGCTGGTCTTGTGGCTGTTTCGGTTCCATCGACTGGCTTGTTGTGGTCCGGCTCCTCTGGTGTCGAGCTTGAGAGGTTCTTTACCTGATCGGAGATGAAATTCATTTTTTTTTTTTTCTCTTGTCTGAATATTATTTTTTGTTTTGTATTGGATGTAAGAATTAAGAGATGATATGCGTATATATAGACAGAAAATGGATATGTTGGCCACACAAAGAAAAAGAAAAAGGATATTATCTACTTTCATTAATGATTTTTTTAAGCCACTAATTGATGTTCTAATAAAAAAAAATAAAAAAAAATAATTGATGTTCTAAATAACAATACACTGTAGACGTAAATGTGAAAAACGACTCATTTATATATTAATTTTTGTTTGTATTGAAAATTAAAATAGTACTCCATATTTTACAACAAAAATATTAACAAAAACTCACCCAAAAAAAAATACTCCTACTATTTCTTAATAATGTTTTTCTATGTTAAAAGTGTATATTTGGACGTTGATGATACGCTAATTACTAAAGTCTGATATCATTGTTTGTCGTGGCCGAAAAAGACATTTACTGATCAGTTATTATTAAGGGGTGACCAATGTGGTGTTCTCTTCTCCATCACAAATTTTGATGATAAAAATCACATAAATATCTATCTAAGGAATTATCGTTTTCCATTAAAGACTGTCGGTCGAAGCTTTGATGGTGATAAATCCAATCACTTGATTTTGTCGGTAGTGTAAATTACAAGTTTTTTTATAAAGACAAAAGCAAATGGCACTAAGGTGGGCCTTTGAAACTAAGTTATTGAGCTCATAATAAGTGACATTAATGGCCCAATTTTGACATTATTTATGTTCTTAAAACTTAAAAGTGCTTCACTACTAGTTAAGAAGTTTTGTATAAACCGGTTTGATGTGGAAACTATGGAATCTGTTAATCACTGACATTACTCGAAAAGAAACATCTGCTGATGATGATTATGAAACCTAATCAGTAACCGGTATAGGAACAAATCAACAGGGGCATCAAATTAACACTAGGAGAATGGAATGGTTCTTATTTTAATAAGCTTTTCAGAGCAGCCACCATCCAAAGATTGTCCCTTTGTTCCTCTTTAATCTCTATTCTATCCAAATGTTCTCAAAGATGTTTATGAGGAGCTTAATAAAATTCAAGCAACCATCCATTTCTCGGTTGAATTTGGCTTTTGTCCTACTATAGCTCACAGTCTCACAAGCTATTATCACTGCCATCAATGGATTCATATATCTTGAAACAGACCAACTCTTCAATAAACTCTTCAATGGCTTACAAGGCTTTGCAATTATTATGCTTCAATAACATTTGTAGTGTTGTTGATGGAGTGACTGAGAAATCCATATTAACCGCGACTGAGAATTAATCCATATTAACTGCATCATGCTTTTTGCAATTTATGTTATGATTGAAGCTGCTATACTTACTGGTGATTGTGATGTGATCACTGGATGAGAAACCATTCCAAAAAGTAGACACAGAGAAGGAAAGGATGTACAATTGTCTTTTGATTGTTGTGTTGTTTTTGTTTTAAGAATGTATCTTTGAGAGCTCTCTATAACATACACTTTTGGCTTTCAAGATCTTCTTTCTTTTACTGAAACCAATATCATCTCTCACGCACACACATATATACATGAAGCTACATTTATCTAATATCATCTGTTTTTAGTGTCAGAAACAGCATGCTTTTCCAGGGAGTTTACCGGTACTCCGGATAACACCGGCCTTCTCCTTCACCTTGAACTCTTTGCTCTGTCTGTCTTTCTCCGCCTGAGCTCTGGCTCCAGCAGCAATCTGTTCAATGTATTCTGTGTCTTCTCTAAATCGCTGCAAACCTCTCTTCCTCCTCTGTTCTAGTTCGCTCTGCTGTTCATGTACCAACATGTTAGAGAATAATAAACTCAAGTTATCATTCAATTATATGATAATGATTATTAGAGTATATTATACAAAGTCATTACTATATTATCAACCTCAGACATGTCCAGCTTTCTTCGAGCTTTTTCCCTCTTCTTTGCTTCCCACAAATCGATCTTTCTGTTTAGCTTCTCATACCTGCTTGTGTAATACATATGTGAGTGTAAATAACACACAGAAATAAGTTGTTTTTTTGTGTGTATTGAGACTACTTACCTTGCTTTGATCTTAGCTAGTTCAGCTATTTCCCAAGCATTAGCTGTAGAATCATCTTTTCGACTAGTATGCTCAGAACTCTGCCTTTTGGTTTCCCTAGGTGGAAGCCGCAGAGGCGAAGGTGATAGAGGAGGAGGAGGAGGAAGTGGCGGTGGAGCACGACGTTCTGATCGTGTCCTGAGCGGTGGTTGTATCCGTGGTGTAAAGGTTTTGTCAACCTTCTCAAGGCTTAAGCTTGTTGCTTGCTTATCTATCACGGTTTCAAGCTAAACATAGAAGTATTTTCATGAGACTGAAACAGAGATAACAAGAAGATAATGGTGAATGCAGAGAAAGAGAGTGAATGATGCAGAACATAAATGAGGAGCACACAAACACAGTTTAACGAGTTCAGCTATACCAAACCGGTATAGCCTACGTCTCGCCGGGAACGGTGTCCCGGAATCCACTAAACAACTTGAAAGAGTTTACAGCTTGTTTCCCTCACCCACACTTGGCAATATACAAAGCTCACTTTCACTCAGTGTTTCCCCACTCTGTTTTCCTCTCTTTCTACAACTCGCATCACGCCTCTTCTCTCTTCATAACGTTCCTCTTTATAGATGGAGACATCACACCTTGTGTACCAACCCTAAATGCAAAGCTGTCACCTTATACGTATGCAAACGTAAACACCACCACAGCCTCACATTTTGAATTCACTACAAGACAACTCACAGCTCTCTCTTTTGAACCTAAGACTTGTGGTCCCAAAAGCTTTACCTTACTCAAGTTACATTTGCATTAACCTGAGTTACTCTTTGAGTTATCCTTGTCATCATTTGCTTGTTCATCAAGACTCAACTTCACAAATCTCCACCTGAGACAAAGATGATCAAGCCAAATAAACGCACACGCTTGCGTAGAGAGAATACCTTAGATCTCAAACCTCTGTTTGATTCCAAGACCTAGTTTAGACTTTCTTTATAAAGCCAAACTTCACGATGTTGTCGTTACGTTCACAATGAAACCTTCCAGCCACTTGGCTCTTGTTTCACCACAGAGATGAGCATTAGACTCCACCTTGGTTTGAGTACACAAACCCAACTCGAGTCCCTTCTTGAGAATTTTGACCAAGAGTAGCACTTAAGAACCTTTTAACACCAGTTCTAAACCCTGCAACTCCAATGTCTCTGCATAATTTACGAATTCTGCAGACCAAACACTCAACAGAACTGATCCATTCACAAGACCTGCAACACTTCACAACCAAACTGAGTTGAAAAAATATCCAGCCTGAAACACACTTGTGTTTTGCCTCAACTCATATTGACCTCTTCGTGCCTTTGTAGTCTTGATACTAACCAGTCATCAAACTCTATTAACAAGTTTAAAGAGAAAAACTCCACCAAACATGTTAAACTCAATAGAGTTCTTCATAAGCTCCACCACTTACGATTTTCAAATCACACAAAATCTTCTGCCTCTTTGGTTCTCACCACATCTGTTGTAGTGACTGAACTCATTTCTCCTTTGCCATTATGATTCCTTTTCCAGCTTCTAAGCTTTTCTCATGCGCATTGAGAGAAACCTTACTGAAACACAACTTGAATCATATGCACAAAACAGAACCGACTTTGTTTCAGACTTGAAACCCTTTGATTCATCAACCAAAACTCAACAACAGCATACACCACTGTAGAAACCTGAAACATCTTTTCAGAAACCCGTTTAACCAGACCATTCTTGAACATCAGCTTGTACCGTTGTTAAACCTTAACAAGACACGCCACCTAACACTCGTTATTAGGGAGACTTTCGATACATTCTGTTGTCTGCTTCTTCTGTTTAAACAGACCTTCACCAACAGCTTTTGAACCCCTGTTAGTCATCTTTGAACCTGTCCCAAACTCACTAAACCAGCGACCCGTATGAGACACATCTTTACAGTCCTCTAAACTTCACCTCTAGAGCTCTTGAAGTTAATCCCAACTGTGAAACTCATTCTTGCATTACTTTTCAAAGTAAGCAGAACCCACCAAAACTTGTTCTTGCATCATAATGTTCTCAGATTCTGAAACATTTCCCATGATGCAGAGAATACCATTCCTTAGACTGTTTATCAGTTGCTTGCACTTGCTTGAAGATGAACCCAACCACCATGATGTCTACTCAGTAGTTTCACAAAACTTCTTGAAGTGAGAAGACTTTGAGACAATCCTGCAACGCCTGCAGCCTCTCTCCCAGTTTCATCTTGACGAATTTACTGATTCACTTCTATACTTTATCATCTCAAGCCACTTTTTAACATTCTTTGCTGAAATTTCATAACCTGCAGAGATTCCTTGAACCTGCAAATTTCAGAACCTGCAACTGATACTTGAATATGCTGCCAAGACCAAGATTTTCTCCACGCTTGATTTATCTCAGATCAGATATGAATTTTAAACTCACATCTTATGAAAATAACCCATTAGTAGTTTTACCTACTACTCGCTATCTGTGAAACTTGTCTCTCATCACCAATGCTTGTGATAGCCTAGAGACATTCCTTTAGCAGCAACTTCCACGCCACTTCTTATGATTATGATGTCACTTTCACATGCTGAAATAACCTGCAAAACCTGAACCCGGTATGCTGGGAAAAACAGTTTGACATCTGCATCTGTATTACCAATTTCTGACCTGACCCGAATCTCTCGTCAACCATCACTCTTCCTTGTGACAATGCTTCAGAGACCTTCATTATAACTGTTCTTTAAACCTGGAACCTGAACTTCTCCTTATTCATCAGTTTCATACTTCCAATCATGATGAAAACTCACTTGTAAAACATCCTGCAAGTGATTCCTTGAGAAAACAAATCCAAAAGAAATTGGTCTTCTAATGATGCAACCCGATACAACAAACTGGATTTCTTATAGTCTCCAAATGCAGTACGTTCTTCTGCATTTTCCTCCATATAAGATTAATCCCAAGTTGTATTTATCAGTATTTGAGACGACACGTTCATCGTGCTTTAAGCACAGTAACTTCATTCTTCTTGAAGTGATTAACTCTGAAACAGACTCTGCATTGATCACTTGCAACTGTTTCTCTCACTTTCTCTTCTCAAATTCACCTTAAAGAATCCATTGAGAACTTTGAATTAACCTCGTCTCAAAACCTTACTTGTATACCTCTGAACCTTTAGAGATCCAGAAACTTGTACATGAGTACCTATATCAAAAAATCACAAGCTTCTTCTCAAGACTGACAACACCTCTTCTTTTGTCATCAAATGAGACCATACTCAGCTTGACTGTTTTGATACTCCCCTGTTCTTGATTTCTTAGTCTTCCTTTCTCACTAATTATCCACAAATCTTACCAGCGAGCTGCACATGTTTAACTTGCTTCTTTGAACCAACAACTGCTCAGAATACCGAAAATCTGACAAAACAAACCAGAAGAACCCGACTGCAATGAAGAATTTGCTCCACGAGAAACCCAAAAAACATCTAAAGATGTGCTCCACACTCTTGTAGAGACAGATTTCATCTGTAGCAACACCAACGAACTTCACTGCATTTCTTCCTACTTGGCTCCACCTCTGTTGTTAAACATTCTTGTTCACTGACTTGAATCCATACACATTTTACTTTGTGTATCCGACCAGAACTTCATGACTGCTTACTTGAAACAATGTGTCTGAACCTTTGACATATGTTTCATCTTCCTGCAGCCTTTCTAATCAGTCCCTCGTGAATAATAAGAAAGACTATCAAGAATTACTGCTTCTAATGAAGCTTTCCGACTCCTTTGACTGTTGGAGTCTCATTTGCAACCCGTCCTTTCTTAAGCTCATTTGTGCTTTGAGAAAGAGCTTCTTCTTCACTGCATAGCACCAGCTTTTCCTCAAGACTTTCATTTAGATGAGACACTTCATCTCTAACCATCAGTTCTGCTTTCAACCGGCTTGTTCCTTCAAACTTACAGACTGATTTGTGACTTTTCTCACCAATCTCGTTCTCAGCTTTGCAGTGATTACATTGCTTGTAACTGTGACCTTCTTTACGGCAGGTCCAACAAATCTTCTTCTCTTTAACCTTAGATTTGTTCATCTTCTTTCCCTTCTCTTGGTTTGCCCTCAGTTTTGACAGACTCATTCTTTGATCAAGCACCCTTTTTTCTTGTGCTTGTTTCCAAAACTGATCAAACTCTGTTTCTCTAGAGTAGATAGTTCTCACAACATTATCCAATGTCAGAGATATCTCACTGTTCTGCATTGTTTCCTTCAGTTCACTAAACTGATTAGGAAGAGACATAAGAAGAACCATAGCTTTTGTCTCATCAGACACAATCTCACCTTCTCTGTCTAAACATTCAACTATACTTGAGAACTCTTCTATGTTCTCCTTCATAGATCCGTTTATACTCATCTTAAACTCAAAGAGTTTCTTCTTCAAATATAAACGATGCGACATGCGGTTTGACATATTATGACTAGGCTGAGATTTAGACAAATACAGCTTATCTAAGAGTTTCATCATACCTGCAGCTGTTCCTTCCTTCATAATCTTTCTCAAGACATGATCTCCAACGCTTACTATGATGAAAGCTCTAGCCTTTTTCTTCTTCTCTTCTAAGAACTTGCATTCTTCAAGATCTTTAACTCTTCCTTCTGCAGATCCAGAATTTCCAGAACCTATCTTTGAACACTCTTCTTCTTTCAGTCCTTCCAGCAAGTCCAGATCCTTTAGATGGGCCAGGAACTTGACTTTCCATGAGATATAATCTCCAAACCCATCAAACTTCTCCAGATCTTTACTTCCCGAAGCCATACCTTGTTAAAGATGTCACCTTTCTTGACAAAGCTTTGAGCTTTCTTACGAACTTGCTCCTTTCTTGGCAAAACTTACACCTTTCTTTGTAAAGCTTCCTCTTTCCTTCTAAAGCTTGAAACTTTCCAATAAAACCTGAAACTTTCTTGCGGAACTTGAAGTTTTCAGATAAAGCTTGAGCCTTTCTTCACCAACCAAGGCTCTGATACCAATCTGTAAAGGTTTTGTCAACCTTCTCAAGGCTTAAGCTTGTTGCTTGCTTATCTATCACGGTTTCAAGCTAAACATAGAAGTATTTTCATGAGACTGAAACAGAGATAACAAGAAGATAATGGTGAATGCAGAGAAAGAGAGTGAATGATGCAGAACATAAATGAGGAGCACACAAACACAGTTTAACGAGTTCAGCTATACCAAACCGGTATAGCCTACGTCTCGCCGGGAACGGTGTCCCGGAATCCACTAAACAACTTGAAAGAGTTTACAGCTTGTTTCCCTCACCCACACTTGGCAATATACAAAGCTCACTTTCACTCAGTGTTTCCCCACTCTGTTTTCCTCTCTTTCTACAACTCGCATCACGCCTCTTCTCTCTTCATAACGTTCCTCTTTATAGATGGAGACATCACACCTTGTGTACCAACCCTAAATGCAAAGCTGTCACCTTATACGTATGCAAACGTAAACACCACCACAGCCTCACATTTTGAATTCACTACAAGACAACTCACAGCTCTCTCTTTTGAACCTAAGACTTGTGGTCCCAAAAGCTTTACCTTACTCAAGTTACATTTGCATTAACCTGAGTTACTCTTTGAGTTATCCTTGTCATCATTTGCTTGTTCATCAAGACTCAACTTCACACGTGGCGGTTCAGAAACAGGTTTTCTTTGTCTATCATGTTTCTCCTCTGACTCTTCACTCTGTTTGGTGTGATCTCCTCTCAAGTTCATGGAGAAAGTCTTTTTCACCGACGATGACTTTCTCAATGGGGACTTTAGTTTAGGTTGTTTATGATCTTTCGTCTCTGATTCTATAAACAAAAGTTGTCCTGTGTCAACACAAAAACGTAAATTGATTTCAGAAAACATTTTCAGTTGAATAACAAAATCTAATCTTGAGTTATTTACTTATTCTGTAACGTCACCTGAGAATCTTCTTGATAAGCTTCTTGGTTCCTCTAAAGGCAACCGTTCTTCACTTCTGTTCTTGCTCCTTGACGAAGAAGGTCCAAGTTCAAGGCCACTCTGTTTCGTTTGAAATTTCAAACCACATCAAACTCAAATTACTAGAAAATGTTTACTCTAACAAAAAGTCTTTTAAAAAAAAAAACCTTACATGATAATTCTCTAGCCAAGTTTCTTCAAATGTGGCTATGGCATAAGCAGTGGCTGCAACTGCAGCTGCATGGTCCATTTCGCCTATCGGGTCATAACTTTGGCCGCTCATTTGCCTCGAGAACTGCTTCTGTAACCAGTTTGAGGACTTCTTTTTCTCTACCAACACACATGATATGATAATGTGAAATTAATGAAGTATCAAAGATAGGCTATCAAGAACAACAGAGTAGAATTATGCGGCACCTTCTTTGAATGAAACAGACTTCCTTGCCGGCACTTTTGTCTCTCTAGTTGAGCTACCAACCTCTCTAAGTTTTTCCTGGGAAGCTGGATGCTTCCTCCTGAGACAATGAAGTCAACATTTAACATCAATATATGTATGTGTGGTTGAATTGAAAAGATGAATTTGGGGATTTAATGATTTACCTTGTCTGCTTGATCAAGGTATCCATTTTCAAACTAAAATATGGTGCGAGCGAGGACTTGAGAAGGTTTGGGTTAGATGTGTTTGAGGGTTTTGGTTTTTGAAGGGTTTTTGAGATTATTGCTTTGCATGCAAGTTTCATATATGGATCATAAAGATGTGCAGGTAAAGTAAAGAACACTTTTTCTATTCTTTTCCCTCTTCAGCTTTTTGGTTCTTTGCTTTTTCAGAACGACAGTGAAAAGAACAAACCAAGATTCCCTTTAGAATTCAATTTTCATATATGGATAAGGAATCTTTTACATTCAGAATTCAGAAAACACATCAACTACAATCTCGCTTTAACAGAGAAAATGAATCTGAATAACCAGATAACAAATGAATCTTAATAACCAGATAACACTGCCAAATTCCAATATGTAAATGAAACAGAGTTGTACTTTGCATAACTAAACAAGGAAGTCTGTGTCAGATAGTTCAAGGACCTGATGTGCACCAATCGCCTTCACGTCTGGTTTGAAGGCATTCCCTTCTATGTACCTGCCACATACATCCACCAAGAATTAGTTATAACATGGGTGCTATATATGGTCTTTTACAAAGAGACCTTTGAGAGGTTATGAAACCTACATATCTTTTAGGTTTGGATGCTTGTAGAAGGCTTCAGGGATACTTCCATTGAATAGATTGTGGTCCAAGTGCCTGAAGTTAAATCAAAACATGCTCTAAGGATGCAGAAGAGCACACAGGTCTTTCAGATCAATTCTTAGTTATGTATTTAGTAGAGGAGAGAGGCCTACAAGTTAGTTAGTCTTGGTATATTAGCAAGTGCAGCGGGTATTGCTCCAGTCATTTTGTTGTAAGATAAGTACCTAAACATAAAAGGATAAGATAGGGAGAGATAAAAATATGTAAGTGATGTTCATAAATCAAAAGATGTGATCAAGTGCTCACAAGATCTCTAGGTTTGTTAGATTTGCAAGCTTGTTTGGGAGTCCTCCAGTGAAGGAATTATTGTTTAAAAACCTACAGCCAAAAGTGAACTTAGACAAAATACTACTTTTAATGGCTTAACTCTTAAACTCACTTACAGGTTTCTAAGAGCTGGAAAGCATCCCTCTATGCGAAAAAGATCGCTTATACTTCCCACTAAGTTATTGTTGCCAGCATCCCTACAGAATCATAACAGAGATATTAAGCATATCTGACGTCTGTTGCTTGATCTACAATAAAGAGAAATGAATGTCAAAGATTACAAGTGGCGAAGTTTTTGTAATGTTCCCAGCTCTGCCGGAATCCGCCCAGTAAAATGATTCTCCTGAATATGTAAGTATTGGAGCTCATCGAGATTTGCAAGTTCTTTGGGGATTTCTCCTCTGAAATTGTTAAAGCTCAGGTACCTGCAATAATAAGAGAATGTTACATAGCTCAAAGAAAAGTAGAAAACCACTTCAAGAATGACATGAGCTAAAATTACTCACAGAGAAGTTATACTCTTCAATCCACCAATTTCAGGAGGTAGTACATATTGAAGTTTATTCCACCTCAAATTTCTGTTTACAATACACCACAATACAAAACCAAACAAGATCAAGACAAAGCAAGTAGCCAAACTGAATTCCTCAAGTTGAAGAGTATTACAGTGTCTTAAGACGCTTAAGCTTCCCAATTTCTGAAGGAATAGGGCCTGTTAATTTGTTATTGTGCAGATCCCTGCCAAATTCATAATCCAATTAAACAATCAATCATACACTCAGAAATGGATTTGCTTCCATTTTAGAAACCATGTGGTAGCATCAAAACCAACAAGAACCCAAAAGTTCTCAAATTTTCAACAATGATTGCAAGGTCAGTGAAACTTACAAAACAGTGAGATCTAAGAGCTTCGTTACAGCCTTTGGGAAATTCCCAACTATCGACATTGAATACACTTCTCTGCAAAATAAATCACAAACCATTTTGAAGTGAAAAAAACAATTCAAAACCTCAAACTTTAAGAGATTGTAAGTCAAAAGATTACAGCTTGATAACGACACGATAATCACCAACTGTGGAGCAAGTAACTCCAGACCACGGAGGCAAAATTCCATCACCACAAGGATCATCTCCAACCCAAGAGTACACCAATCTCCATCCAACCAATCTCTTTACTTCATTCAAAGCTTTCACTACCAAAACCAAAACCCACATCAGAAAACGGAAGAATCACAAATCTGGAAACAATTGGAAGAGCTTACTGTCTCGTTTAAGTGTTTTAGCGAAGGAGACATTGATCAGCAATAGAATAGCGCAAATCCGGAAGATCAGAGACAAACTCAAACTCAAATTCGCCATTGATTATGCTTCAGATGAAATATAGAGCTTGCGAAATCATGAACTCTTCGTGGGTTTAAGAAGAAGAGAAGAATCAATTTTATAAAATCGGAAAGTGAAATGGTGTGGGAGAAAGAAGAAGAATTATTTATCATCGCCATGGAAGAAAGCAAGCTCTCAGTGGAAACTAAACTAACCAAAAAACGGTTCAAATTCCTTAATTAATATATTAATTTAAAATAGGCCGAATGAGGCCTATATTGTTGGGCTTACATAGGCCCATTTATAAGAAGGTGATACGTCATAAATCAGTATTGGTTTTAATAATAGCTAACGATAAAACGCCGTCGTATTAGATAACTGTTTATATATCTTCATCTCCGGTGCTCCGGCAACAATTATTCTTACGTTCCTCCGTCGCATCGATCGCCATGATTGCTGATTTCTCTTTCTTCCTCCTCCTCTTCGTCTCCGGTTTCGTTTTCTCTGTTAATGCCAAAGCGACCATTTCTATTTCCCCTAATGTTCTGAATCGATCTGGCGATTCCGTCGTGATACAATGGTCCGGCGTCGACTCTCCTTCCGATCTCGATTGGTTAGGACTCTACTCGCCGCCGGAGTCTCCTAATGATCACTTTATTGGTTACAAATTCCTAAATGAATCGTCCACTTGGAAATCTGGATTCGGTTCGATTTCTCTTCCTTTGACCAATCTCCGATCAAATTACACCTTCCGGATCTTCCGGTGGAGCGAATCCGAGATCGATCCGAAGCATAAGGATCATGATCAGAATCCTTTACCAGGAACTAAACATCTGTTAGCTGATTCGGAGCAGCTGACTTTCGGATCCGGTGTTGGTATGCCGGAGCAGATCCATTTGTCGTTCACGAATATGGTTAACACGATGCGTGTTATGTTTGTAGCTGGAGATGGAGAAGAACGTTTCGTGAGATACGGTGAATCGAAGGATTTGTTAGGCAATTCCGCGGCGGCGCGTGGGATGAGGTACGAGAGAGAGCACATGTGTAATTCACCGGCGAATTCCACTATTGGATGGAGAGATCCTGGTTGGATTTTTGATACCGTTATGAAGAATTTGAATGATGGCGTTAGGTACTATTATCAGGTAACACAAATCTCGATTTCGAAGCTTAAGCATGAGTTTCTGGATTATAAGAATATCAAAATGTTATAGATTTGGAAGAAATAAGTTTTAATTGATCAAGTTATGATTCTATGAATTAGGTTGGGAGTGATTCTAAGGGATGGAGTGAGATCCATAGCTATATTGCTCGAGATGTGACTGCAGAAGAAACCGTAGCTTTCATGTTTGGAGATATGGGTTGTGCTACACCATACACGACATTTATCCGCACACAAGATGAGAGTATATCTACAGTGAAGTGGATCCTCCGTGACATTGAAGCTCTTGGTGACAAGCCAGCTCTTATTTCACACATTGGAGATATAAGTTATGCTCGTGGTTACTCGTGGGTATGGGATGAGTTTTTTGCTCAGATCGAGCCTATTGCCTCGAAAGTTCCTTACCATGTCTGCATTGGTAATCATGAGTATGATTTCCCTACCCAGCCATGGAAACCCGATTGGGCAGCTTCTATTTATGGAAACGATGGTGGTGGCGAATGCGGTGTGCCGTATAGTTTGAAGTTCAACATGCCTGGAAATTCTTCAGAATCCACAGGAATGAAAGCTCCTCCGACAAGGAATCTTTATTATTCTTATGATATGGGATCGGTCCATTTCATTTATATCTCCACGGAGACGAATTTCCTTAAAGAAGGCAGTCAATATGAATTCATAAAGCGAGATCTAGAGTCTGTAAACAGGAAGAAAACACCGTTTGTTGTTGTGCAAGGACACAGACCGATGTACACTACGAGCAACGAGGTTAGAGACACTATGATTCGACAAAAGATGGTTGAGCATCTAGAACCACTGTTTGTGAACAACAATGTTACACTTGCTCTATGGGGACATGTTCATAGATACGAAAGGTTTTGTCCCATAAGCAACAACACTTGCGGCAAACAGTGGCAAGGAAACCCGGTTCATCTTGTGATTGGTATGGCTGGTCAAGATTGGCAACCGATTTGGCAGCCAAGACCAAACCATCCAGATCTTCCTATATTCCCTCAGCCTGAACAATCAATGTATCGAACCGGTGAATTTGGATACACTCGTTTAGTTGCAAACAAAGAAAAGCTCACAGTTTCTTTTGTGGGTAACCACGATGGCGAAGTTCATGATACTGTTGAGATGTTAGCATCTGGGGAAGTAATCAGTGGGAACAAAGAGAGTACTAAAATCCCAAATCTGAAAACCGTTCCTGCTTCTGCTACACTTACGGGAAAATCCGAATATAATGCTTTGTGGTATGTTAAAGGGGCAGGCTTGATGGTTGTAGGTGTGCTTTTAGGGTTCATTATCGGGTTTGTTACCCGGGGAAAGAAATCTTCGTCTGGTAACCGTTGGATCCCAGTCAAGAACGAGGAGACATAATATTGAACTGAGTCTATTATTTAGAGGCACGATTGTATAGTATCCTTTTTTCCCACGGTAAGAACCATGTTTCTTTACAACTACAGTTGGGAAGATAACGTAAGTTTTTGTACACTATAATAATAGTGATTCTTGTTACATAGTATGATTCTTGTGTTTATTGTCTGAAGAGTTTGTGTTTGAAGGGATTTTGCTGTAATTACATTACGTAGTGTATGAGTATATACATATAACACTCTGGAATTGCGGAGGCTAATCAATCAAGCATTGGAATGTTGATGATGCCAAAGCATATTTGTAACCAAAATGAAACCAATTATAGTATGGATTGATGTTTTTGTGGTCTTGCTTTTTTCGGATATAAAAAGGTAAATCTATTCGAATTAAAGTACGTGAAAGTTTGTTTGGAAGTTAAGATTAATTTATTTGGATCGGTTGATTTAGATTGGATCGATTCAATTTATTAGGATTATTAAACACTCTTAGAATATTGTCTAAAAGAATTAAGCTTTAGAAAAAATTGAATCAAATGCTTTTAATATTGACAATTTTCATAGCAAAGAATGAACAAAGAAAAACTCTCAAATGACGAACGTAAAAAAAGAGAGAAGATACATATAATATATACACATAGAAGGACAATAGTATTTGTGGAAAGTGTTTGCTTATTTGGAAAGCAAATGACGTGCGCGTTGATTAGCTCCTTGAACACGAGAGTTAAGCTCATCAACATCGTCTCCGAGATGATCAAGAGCTTTGTTTTGCCTGCAATTTTCCCCCAACAATAGTAAGTATTCTACAAACATAAGCATTAATGTATGAAATGTATTTGTGTTATCTGACTTGTCGATCTCAGATCCCATATCAACGGCCATGCTCTTAAGATCACCCAATATGTCACTTAAATCTGAAAGTCCATCGTCTTGCTTTGCCTTCTCTTGCTGCATTAATTAGTCATACATTTTTAACAAGTGAAATTTAGTTAAGCATTTAAGATGCAAAATTTGTAAAAAGAACACAAACCTCAACTTTCTGCAACGCGTTTGTTGGTTGTCCTAATCCTGACGGTTGACTGCTCGATCGACCTTTCGCACCCAAACCGAGTTTCTCTCGTTCTTCTTTGTGATTCTCGCTCTTCTTCGACGGTTTATCTAATAGTTCAATAACTTATATAAAACATGACCACCATACACATGATATAATCCAATCAAGAATCAAAATAGGTAGCACATTAAAATAATAAAGATTGAGATGGTATGAGTTATTAGGTATGGATCGGTTATTTCTAATAAAAACAACATTATATGAAACATGATCATCATACATATAATTTTATCCAATCAAAAATCAAGAATCAGGAGTTCGAAAGCGTTAAAAAACAAAGATTGAGATTGTATGTGTTATTTAACTAGGTATAGATTATGTTAGAAGGACTAAAACCTGGTGTGATCATAGGTCCTGTGATATTTTTAGTCTTCTTTGGTTTCCATGGCTTTGAAAACATTCCTCCTAAGTTATTCAAAAGCTTCTCCCCCTGATCTCACAAACATTTTATTATCAACACTCCATTAAACAAAACAAATTATTTCACATTTTCGTATCGAAGAAAGGAAAATAAAAACAAGCTTTACCCGACTGAGATCTTTATCCATATCAACAGCCATAACATGAGTCCTGTTGATTTGTTCACCTTGCTGATGCAACATTTCGAGCGTTTTTGTAGCATCCGATCTTATATCTTCAGCGATTTTTAGACAATTATTAACACCTTTGGTTGTTTCTTCAGCTTTATAAACCGCGTAGTTTTCTAATTCTTCTGTCGTTTGGCTCTGCAAACCACCGGAATCGCTGAAACCGTTCTTGTATTTGTCGTCATCATCGAAATCAGGTGTTACCAGGATTGGTTCTGAAGAAGTCCTTCTTCCTGCAGTGATTGTTCCTCCTTTGTTGTTTGATGATTCATTGGGAAGTTTATTGTTCCCCGGAGATTTGAAAAATCCAAACATCTATTTAACAATGAGATGATGATGATGATTATTGACTAAAATTTCCAAGAACTCTTCATGAAAATGATAAAAAGATTGAATCATGAAGAAATAGAATTTGAATGGTTACCTGTGAAATCTCTGAGAAAAAATCCAAAGAGAAAAACAAAAAAAATTCTAATCAAGAAAATTGCAGAGACAAGAAAAAAGAAAGTGGTTATCCAAAAATAGAAACCTGTGACAGAAATATGTAATAATCGTCAGGTCCTATGCTTCTCCCTATTTTGGGACCGTTAAGAGATGTAATAACCAAATACTGTTTTAGAGAGGAGGCTATGTCTTAATATGTTTTAAGTTCAAGATCTTGAGGATTGTTTACAAGAAAATAGAGGAAATTAGTGTCTAAGAAGAACAAGATAGAATCAAGTTTTTTTGTTTGCCAAAGTATAAGCCTTGTACTATAAATAGCTAAGATTGGAGGTGTGTTAGGACCAAGCTAAGCAAGTGAGAAAGAGTTTGAGAGAGTTAAAGAGTCTTATAAGTGAGATATGTACTAAAAGATATGAACAAAAGTTAGTTTATTAAACAGATGAAGATTTTTTCTTCTTCTTACAACAAAATCTAAATCTGATTTAAAAAGGTAATAAATAATCTAAAGCTATCAAAAACACAAAGTTTCCACGGCGATAAACTATACACGGACAGGACTCCCTCAAAACTTCCAACTTGAGATTTTCCTAAACAATGCATTTACATACAGAAGATTCAGAACTTGGAGCAGAGTAACAATGGAGATGGGAGACAATTCTTCATTTACTTCCCTCTGGAGAAATCATCCCATGGGTCTTGACCAAAGATCTCGTCGATGATGTTTGAAGTTGGAAGAAGATCAATGTTCTTAGTCCAACAATGATCTGGTAGTATTGAATCACAAGGATCAAATGAATACGATTGATCCACAAGATCATTGCAGTGGCGCCAGTAATTCCCAATGTTGGATTCTTCTCTGTTTTTAACTGGACATCGAGAGTAGATTGCGTTGGACTGATACTCAAAGGACATGTACGAATCTTCATTAGCATTAACCTCTTCTTCTTCGTCTCTTGAGAGGCTTTTTTCGGCTTTGTCATCTGATGGAGTTTCAGCACCATAAAAGGTGTTGTCATACTCTACTTGCCACTCGTCATCATCACTATCAACATCCAGGCTTTTAGAGCGATTTTGGATAGCTCGTCTTCGCAGGATAAAGACATTGAAATAATAGCTCACAATTTCCTTCATGGTCCGTGAAGGAAATGCAGACTTAAGGTGTTTCCAGAAATCCCGGTCCATTGAAACCGGATTGGAGTAAACAATCTCGTGAAATAGATCTTCCTCGTCTTCAGTTAGCTTACCCGCAACTTCCTCACCCATTTCATAAAGACCTAAATTCAGACATCTGTCGTACCCAATAGTTTCAAACAAGTCTTCCCTGTTTTCCATTATATGCTGCTGCACACATCTGATGGAACCTTTATCCAGGCAAATGCATTCCTTTCTTCCTTTACCAATTTTGCAGACCTCGGTTTCACAGTCAGGCATTGGAATCACGCACTTCCCGGTTACTTGTTCTTCATCGTAACCAACAGCCTGACCCGACTGACCACTTGCCTCTTCCTTGACACATTCAGGAATATCAGCCTGGTAATCCGGCCCGATTGGAACTGTTTTTCTAGGAGAAACCGGACACCAATAAACATCTTCTTCCGAGTAAACTGGTCTCCAAGGTATATCTGACTCAGGAGATTCATGAGAAAGGGTAGACTGAGTCGTAGCTCCAGACTGAGAATCCTCCTCACACAATCCAGTAGTGATCCAAGAGAACGGCGCACTGGTCTCAAACCCATTCTCAACGTCATCCTCACATTTATACCCATAGAGATCACTTATATCATCTCCTGCTAATAATAAGACAAATAATAATCAAGCGACCTGCTTACGTTTATCATGTTAACCCCTCTGCAAGAAACAGATATTATTATTACCTACGACACTTGACTTCTCCAGTGAAACACGATATGGAACTCCTTCATCTAGTTTGGCCAGCTTATTACAATAACTAATCTGTCTTGCATTCTTAACGTTGAGCTCTTGCACATCCTCAGCATCAAAAGTGCGCTTGAAACCCATATTTTTAGCCTGTAAAATGAGAAACAAAGCCATTTTAGTTACTTGGCGTGAAGGTTATCTATGTGAACCACAGACTCACACTGACAAGTGACAACTGACAACTATAAGTCTATTTAATAATTTAATTAAAATTTAAAAAGAAAAAATATTTAACCCCAATTTAATTCGAGTAAATTAAAAAAAATCCCCAAATTTGAAAACCCTAACCCTAGATTTCAATTCACGGATTAAATCACCAAATCAAGAATCGAAAATCAATGAATCGGTTAATTATCATGAAAACAGACAAAAGCCCTCAATTAATTGACAGATCTGACGAACCCTAGAACATCCCAATCTACGATCCCAGATCGGATAAAAAAAATTGGGGGAAACTGAAATTAAGAACGGATCCGTTCAAATTATTGAAGGAAATCAACATCAAAAACAAACAATTGATCAGATCTGTTGTTCAAAGATCTGGATCTGACTCAAACCCTAGATTTGACCAAAACGAATGGATAATAACAAAACAGGTATCGATTGAAAGAAGAAATCAAGAGGAAAAAGAAAATTACAATAGATCTGAAGATCGATCTGGAAGAAGGAAGGGATCTGAGCTCAAATTCGAAGAAAATTTGGTAGGGGAAAAAAATAAAATTGGGGGAATTTTGGAAAGCGGCTAGGGTTGAAAATTCGTGCTTTTCGATTAGGGGAAAGACCCGATTTTGAAACCCGGATTTAATTCGGATACCGAGACAACATCGAATGAGCTGTACTTTATTTAAATTCTTTGAATTACTTGAATTTACCAAATTATCCTCGCCGTATACCATCAACGTCAACGTGCCTAGCAACTTGTTTTGGCATATCCGGCTCGTACCTATATTCTAAACCGGACACAAGATGATATTCCAATTAACAAACCGGACCAAGAGAATTAAACCGGTTCTAATCTATAAGCCCTAAATTCCCAAATCAGATTCTCACTTTTGCTTTCTTCAACCTGTCGACAACACTCCCGATTTTGCTCTGGTAATGTTTTCATTAGCTTGATTTTTCTTCGGAATTGTTAATTGTGGAAGTATATTATCATAAAGTTTGATGCTTTAACTTGTTCTGGGTATTGAATCCGTTATGATATCGTTTTAACTCCATGAATTTCTGGAATTTTAGTTTTATATGTGAATCTGGGTCGTTGCATATTCTTGTGCACCTAAAGCTTGAATTTGAAAGTCTTATATTGATTCCATTTTTGTAGGCAGTGTGTTTAAAAACCAATGGCGCTAGTTGTGATTTGTGGGCAACCTTGTAGTGGTAAGTCAATAGCTGCAGTAACTTTAGCTGAAACATTGAAAGAGTCTGAAACGAAACAGAATGTTAGGATCATCGACGAGGCTTCGTTTCATCTAGATCGCAATCAAAACTATGCTAACATGCCTGCTGAGAAGAATCTGAGAGGAAAGCTTAGGTCAGATGTTGATAGATCAGTTTCGAGAGGCGATATTGTTATTGTAGATTCCTTGAACAGTATCAAAGGTTACAGATATGAGCTTTGGTGTATTGCGCGTGCTGCTGGGATTAGGTATTGTGTTGTTTATTGTGATGTGGATGAAGCTCATTGCAGGCAATGGAATAAAGAACGCAGTGGTAGAGGTGAGGATGGATATGACGATGGTATATTCGAAGATCTGGTTAGAAGATTTGAAAAACCTGAGAGAAGAAACCGATGGGATTCACCTCTCTTTGAGCTATACCCGTCTCGTGAAGGAATAGACAAATCCTCTCCTGTGATTTTAGAGGCTGTGACTTATCTAACCAAGACTGTTGATTCCAAAACCCAAGATGTGAGAATTCTCCAACCGAGTATTGCGACTCAGGCTGCTAGATTTTCAGAAGCGAATTCTCTTTACGAGTTGGACAGAGCGACACAAGAAATCATCAATGCGATTGTGGAACAACAATCACTTGGTGGGGCTATAAGCAGAGTTACTCTTGGAAATGAACTACCTCCAATCGAAATCAGCAGACCGATTGGACTACCGGAGCTAAGGAGGCTTCGAAGAACGTTTGTTAAATTGATGGGTCAATCGAGTCTGAGCGGGCCACCATTACCAACTGATGCAGAAAGTGCAAAGAGACGTTTTGTGGATTACTTGAACAGAGAGTTTGGAGGTAATAACGCTTGAATTTGTGGGTAAAAAAACATCTTACAATTTGGTTTTGTATTTGCTTAATTCAAGTCAAGTTTCATCCTTGTTGTTCTTCAATCAAATTTTGGGGCTAAATTGATGTGTTATTCTAATGCAAACATATGATGAATGATACTTAGGGCATGTGCAGTGGTGGGTTCTCAAAAGAGTTCTCAACAATATAAAAAATAAAAATAATAATAAGTAGGAGAGAGGGATGAGAATCAATTCTCAAATGAGAACTCTTGAGAACCCCTTGAGAGACTATTATAACACATGTCATAATATTATTGGTTATGAATTCTTTTCTATCTTTCAAAATTTAAATAAAAAATAAACTAAATTAAATGTATTAAAATAATATATATGAGAGACTGTGAGAGTCTCTCCCCATTGCACATGCTCTTATTTATCAAGTTAAAACAATGTTATTTTTTTAATAATGTATGCTTAGTGAGAAAGTGAAGTTCTAGAGATCTATCTTTTCAATTCTTTAAGCTTTTTTTTCTTGTCTTTATAACATTGAAAATTCAAAGGACAACGACACGTTTGACATTTTTGGATGTATCTTAAATTATAAAATAAATTTAATGTTTTTGTCGGCAAAATAAAAAATTATTCATTTACACCAAACAATTAATATATGCTTTGATTTGGAAATAACCACCACAGTCAAAAAAACACACTGCAACAGTTCTTATCTTACTAATCAGATCCTTAATTATTTTTACACAGTTTCATTAATTATTTAAGCAAAAATAATAATGTCAAAAAAATAATCGCTAAATGCTTTCTTTTTGTCGACATTCGTTGGTAAAAAGCCCTTTAATAATTAATGCAGCTTATTTTATTCATACAATAATATAAAATTATAAAACGACGAAGTAGACAGACACACAGCAGAAAAAGCTTACACTCATATCACTGAGCTTGGCTTCGCCAATCGCCATTGTTGGTTGAAATCTAATTACTGCTTCTCAAAACCCTTTGTTGATTTTTGTTTTCGCTGTCGATCATTGCTTCAAGCTCTTTCCTTTCGATCTAAATCATCTGATCTCTGATCCTCTTCGAGATCTCACTAATAGGAATTTGAGATTGAGTTTGTCCACAGAATCACGAGAGGTTCGTTCTTGGATCCTTTCGCTTACAATAGCTATACATTTACGTCGAGAAAAGTGATTACCTTTTTGCGTTTCATTGTTCAAAATACTAAAAAGTGTAAAAAGTTTCTCTCTTTTCTAGGAAATTTTGATTTTTGATCTGACAAATTTGGTTGCAGGTTTCGTTAGTTCTGAATTTGGCATACAGTGACTGATGCTCTTTCCTGATTTGGATTATTCTTGGAGTTTTGGGTATGACTCAACGTGAATCAAAATGTTGCCTATAAATGTGAATCTTTTATGGCTTGATTAGGTAAATGTTAGTTGGAGTTTTAGGTAAATGAGAAATCTTTTAGGGACAGAAAGAGGAATTGGTTGTTGTATAGTGTAGGTTTGCTTACAATAAAAGCTCTTGTTTTGATCCTTGGGACCATGAAGGTTGCCTCAGTTTTTGGTCTTAGACCACGGATCAGCGGGTTACTTTTCTTGATCATCGGTGTTATTGCTCTCATTACCATTTTAGTACCAAATTCAGATGATTCTTCTACAACTTCAACTACGCGAGTGCCCCCACACAACATTTATAGTAACTATGGGAGGATAAAGGAACAAGCAGCTATTGATTATCTAGATCTAAGGTTTTTCTCCTTAGGGGTTAATCGGTTAAAAGAGTTTCCTTTATGTGGTAAAGAAAGAGACAACTATGTTCCTTGCTATAACATTACAGAGACTGATCGGAGTTGTGATTTTGTAAGAGAAGGGGAAAGATGTGTAGTTCGTCCTCCAAGGGATTATAAAATACCACTTCGATGGCCTGTTGGTAGAGATATTATATGGACTGGGAATGTGAAGATTACTAAAGATCAGTTTCTTTCGTCAGGAACTATGACTAAAAGGTATTGTGATCACCAAGCTTTAATTAGAAATTTTTTGTTCTGCAGTTTCAGCTAGTATTGTACCATCTTAATCTATTTTAATATTTATCATTAGGCTAATGTTGCTTGAAGAGAATCAAATTACATTTCACTCGGAAGATGGCTTGATCTTTGACGGGGTCAAAGATTATGCTTTTCAAATTGCTGAGATGATTGGATTAGGAAGCGATACTGAGTTTCCTCAAGCTGGTGTAAGTCGTTTTTTATTCTTTCTCTAATGACTCTTATCATTGATCGTTAGTTTTGTTTTCACTGAAAACTCAAGTTGTCTACCGTTTTTCTTGCAGATACGGACTGTGTTAGACATTGGTTGCGGATTTGGTAGCTTTGGTGCACATCTAGTGTCTTTGAACGTGATGCCTATATGTATAGCAGAGTATGAGGCAAGTGGAAGCCAAGTCCAGTTAGCTCTAGAGAGAGGCCTTCCTGCAATGATTGGAAATTTCTTTTCGAAACAGCTTCCATATCCAGCTTTATCATTTGACATGGTCCACTGTGCTCAATGTGGGATTACTTGGGATATAAAAGGTATTTATGTGGTATGGTTCATAGTCTTTCACTTATTTTGGTTAAGATCTGTGACTTTTGATATGGAATTCTATTGAATAACAGTGTTATGCTTTCAATATCTAACCTTAAGCAGATGCAATGCTACTCTTGGAAGTGGATCGTGTTCTCAAGCCCGGGGGTTATTTTGTTTTGACCTCTCCTACAAGCAAAGCACAGGGAAATTCTCCTGAAACTAAGAAAACAAGTATCTCAACACGAGTGGATGAGTTATCTAAGAAAATCTGCTGGAGTCTCTCAGGTCAGCAAGATGAGACGTTTCTTTGGCAAAAAGCAGCAGATCCAAATTGCTACTCATCTCGGTGAGTATGAGAATAGAGTCCTGAAGCTTGGTTTTTTACTCACAGTCACACTGATGCCGTTCTTTCTTTTTCCTGTTTGTTGTAGCTCGCAAGCTTCTATACCTCTTTGCAAAGATGATGATAGTGTTCCATATTACCAACCCCTTGTTCCATGTATAAGTGGAACCAAGAGCAAACGCTGGATTCCTATTCAGAATAGGTCTACAGCTTCCGGAACAAGTTTGTCTGAGCTTGAAATTCATGGTAACTATTGAGTTTGGCTTGTCATTTTCTGTTTTCATTGCTCAAACTTTTCTGGTGATTAATGTTCTTCTCCGATAAATTTCTTTCAACAGGTATTAAACCTGAAGAATTCGATGAGGATATACAAGTATGGAGATCAGCCCTGAAAAACTATTGGTCCTTGCTTACACCTTTGATTTTCTCAGACCACCCAAAAAGACCTGGTGATGAAGATCCTGTCCCACCTTTTTACATGATACGCAATGCCATGGACATGAATGCTCGTTACGGGAATCTGAATCTCGCCTTACTCAACCAAGGAAAATCAGTTTGGGTGATGAATGTTGTCCCAGTTAAAACACGTAATACTCTTCCTATAATACTTGATCGAGGTTTTGCCGGCGTTCTACATGACTGGTGAGTGTGTGTCTTTTTTAGATTTCCATATTCCATAAAAGACTTAGGGGATGCTGTTAATCACATTTATCTCCCTTAGGTCTCTCTAGACGATTTAAGCATGTTTTTCACCGCTAATATCTCCTCTTCGCTTATAACATTTGTTTCTTGGCCATTTATTGCTGCACAGGTGTGAACCATTCCCTACTTATCCGCGAACATATGACATGCTTCATGCCAATGAACTTCTCACACATCTTAGCTCAGAACGGTGCAGCCTAATGGACTTGTTCTTGGAGATGGACCGGATTCTCCGCCCTGAGGTTCTTCTTTTATACAGTCCCACCATTTCTCATATGATCCTAATTAGGTAAATCATAAGCTGAGAGAAACTTAGCCTTTCCTGATTGATTGATAGGGATGGGTTGTGCTAAGTGATAAGCTTGGAGTGATAGAGATGGCGCGTACACTTGCTGCTCGTGTACGCTGGGAAGCAAGAGTCATCGATACTGAAGACGGTAGTGACCAACGGCTCCTTGTTTGCCAAAAACCTTTCCTAAAAAAATAACTCTTAAGAAAAAAAAAGAAGCAAAATTAGCAAACTGTCAACAAGTTTGCTTCTCTGCACCATCAACAACACTAAGTACAGTTTTTTTTTATATAGGTAATCTATCTCTTTCTCGCTTTCTTCATTTCAACAATTCTCTGAGCTTTCAAAACTTGAAGAACACACAAATGTCTAATCAGAGTTACACTTTGCTTTACAGATCCAAATGATGCTTGCAGATTCTGGAGAGAAATCAAGAGGATGAAAATGGAGACTGGGACTTACTTACCAGTGCAAGAGTTTATCGGATTACGACATTCTTTACATTTTTTTTCTTATTCTTCTGTTTGCAAACAGAATTGTTTTCAGTTTTATTTTTTGTTCGTTTCGTAATTGTTCCTCTCTCGTATATTCCCCTAAACCAATTGTTCTATAGAGAAAAGAAATGACAGAACATAAAAAGTTATAAAAGATATTTCTTCTCGTAATAGCATAATAATAATACCTTCTATTGAAAAAATTAAAGAAGATTAAAAAAATGTTGGAGATGCGGGGGATCGAACCCCGTGCCTCTCGCATGCAAAGCGAGCGCTCTACCATTTGAGCTACATCCCCAATTGTAGTAATTAGTAAAGTTTTATATATAAAACAAGCCAAATTCACTTTATATGAAAAATGCAACCAACTGTACCTATCCTCAACTATCAGATTCTATAGAAATACCCCACTGCCTTCATAACACAAGGTAGAAATCATATTGTCTTCATCACACAAGGTAGAAAGCACACTGTCTTTGTATCCTTTTGGATACAAAGACATCGTTTCAAATAAGTAAAAAGATAAACAGAAATAAAATAAAATATGAAATATTAAAAACGTTGTATCTTTTCAAATTTATAATAGATATTTACAACTAATTTATATGAAAACTCAATATAGTTACTGAGACTAATTTATTTCAGTTTTTCTACAAATTAGGTGATCTATTATAAATTCGAATAGATATAAAGTTTTTAATATTTCATATTTTATAACCAATGTTTTGTTGTAAAATTATAAAAAAAATATCTATAAAATAAGTAAATAATGTGCTAACGCTTAGACCTTGATTGATAGATCTAGGCGCTAAGCTCCTATCGAACGCCTAGCTACCGCCTAACGATTTTTTGAACATCGACTGCACGCTTTGTATCCGGAGAGCATATAACTTCATACCCAAGCTTTTCTTCTTCCCTAAAGACAAGTAGATTTTAAGCTTTTAGTTGACTTCAACATAACTCGCAAGCTCAAAAAGAGAACCAGAAACACAACTCTCAACATAAACAAAATCCTAACAATTGACAACTTGTATTCTAACACCAGACCCATATATCTAAGGGAGACATTTCTCGGACAAAACAAATCAAAGTGAGAATTTCTCAGGTTGTATTTTAAAACTACTAAGGAATCATTTTTTTTTCGACACTAACCTTAGATGCTGAGAAACCTTCTCACCTATCATAGTGTGGAAGAGATGTAAAGAAGCTGTTAATTTAGCGAGTTGGTCTTTCTCACAAGGCATTTGGAAGTAAACCTGCAGCACACCTCTGAGATTCCCTTGACTTCATTTACTAATAAATCCCCAACATATGCCCTTGATGCATATCTACAATATATGTTAATCATCATTTGAAAAGATTAAAGCGACAAAGTGAGAATCATAACGTCCGAAAAATGAATCATTTACCTTGGAGCGCAAAACATGAATGAATTGTAAGAGGTCATTACTAGTGATTGTCTTAAGCACCTGGAGCTTCTCACTTGTGACGTGGCAGATTCTTTGTCTATGTTTGATCATTGTTTGCTTAATCTGAATATTTAAATTAAAATTATAAAGATACTCATGTTTTGGTTTGGAGTCTTTTTATATATACAAATGTCATTTTATTTACTTACTATATATATGGAATGATTTTTTGTCGGTTATATCAAAATTAAACAACACTGTTGTTATGACTTAGACAAGTTGGACCTACCATGTTAGAGTCTGAGAGTTAACACAACATTTTGAAGTACATTTTTCTCAAAGTTAGAAAATTGTTTTCACAAGAAGAAGAATTTTATTTGTGAAGATAAAGTAACTAATGGTCTTGTAAATATATTTGAACCTGTGTTTTATGCGGATACTTAATTTAATATATAAAATATTATTACGTTTAACAACAAAATATTTGAGAAACTGTTATTTAAACTATAGTCAGTGTACTGATAAATCTAAAATTTTGTGTACTGGTGTGTAGATATTTGATTTTTGGATAAGTCTTAAAACTAATTATACATATCAAACAAATTATGAAAATTTAGAATTTAAATATATATTTTGGTAGTATATTGGATGGAAAAAAAGTTGTCATTTTAACAAATTATAGGCCAAAAAAAAAAAAAAAAAATAGTTCTAGTAAAATAGCATGGCCCGGATCGGGAGTTGAAAAATACAAGAGGCCCAAATTACATGTATATATAGAGCTAGGGTTTCCGGCGTCCCCAAATTGATAAAGAAGCACGCACACCTCAAGTCCACAAGACGAGAGAATCATGGGGAAGAGGCAGACGAGGCGGTGTCGTCAATTTTGGCAAAATGGAGTGTTTAGATATTGTTTTAAACATCATTTTGATTCTGTTAGCTGTGCCCACTATAATGCTTCGACTTCTCAAACAGTCTTTAGGCGTATGTATTATAAGTTGAAGGGATCGGATCACTCTGCTGATAAATTTGATATTCAGGTTTTATATATAATTTAGCGACAGTAATTTCTCTTTTCATATATCTAGCTAAGGCTTTTATTGAATTCGTTTTTGATTTGATTATTCTTGAATATTACAAATAGGAGGAAAAGTTGTCCAAGCCTGATGATGTTACTACTACCTCCACACTTGGGTAGGTGTCCATTTTTCTTCTTGATGATCTCTCTCTCTCTAGTGTCGTGTATCAATTATGTATTACCAGTAGCTATAAGGGATGTTGACTGAATGTTTTTCACCTCACTCAGCTCCGATCAAGTTCAAAGTTGCGATTCCTCCACTACAAGCGCAAATCTTTAGAGAAGAAGAAGCGCGAAGCCAAATCCACCACCTATATATGTCTTATTATTAGGATTATGACTCAAAAAAGACCTCGTTATGTTATATATATAGTGTGTGATTTTGGGAAATCTTTGTCCCCCATGTCTCCTTGTGAAATCATTTAGAGCAAGAAGCATATATGTACACAAGAAACCCTAAATTAAAGATGCCAAAGAAAACTGCACAAAACAATGAGTAAAGTGACATCCACGAAACCTAATTTGATCTCGCACATGCATGGAGATAATAATGTCAAGACGTGAATCCAAAGACACAACAGAGAAAAGTCTAGAGTGCATAAATTCCAAGTCCAAGTAACGTGTTTGACTATATATATCAGCTAAGGAAAAAACACGAGAGAAAGATTCCGAGTCCGTACTACCTTTGATCAAAGGAGAAGAATGAAGATTCGTGGTTTTTAGTTTTTACCGTGTACGATTTAGTTGCATAAGGCTAATGGGATTTGGACTATTCAATTGAAGCATCTTCTAGTCTTCTAGATGGAATCGTACCGTTGACCAGCTGGGAGAATAAAAAACCAACTGTTCTGAAAACCTTTAATTAAAAAAATAGTTAAAATGGATGGAGATGCGGGGGATCGAACCCCGTGCCTCTCGCATGCAAAGCGAGCGCTCTACCATTTGAGCTACATCCCCAATTGTTGATTATCTAAACTGTATTAGCAAATTATAGAGAACCTTGAACCACTCCAAACACAATTTGCATTTGGGAAAGAATATAAAAAAACAATATACACTGACTCTAACTCTCTAGTTCCGCTTACAGAAATGTATATCTTAAGTTCGGAACCTTCGCGTAACTTATTACATGGCTTTTAGTCTCTAAGCCAGTTCGTTCATATATATATATATATGAATATGATGATGAATAACTGTGTAATGGTACATACATAAAATTAAGTAAAGAAAGCTTTACTTAGGTACTTACTAGTCAAAACCATTCTTAAATTAAGTTCGAACCATTAACAAACAAAAATTGTGTTCAAACCCAAAACTACAACCGTTTCAGTCGTGTACACACAATAGAAGTACCCCTTTCTAAAATAACAGTATTATATAATGAAATTAGAAACGTTTCATCAAAATAGACTCATATCCAATTTATAATATGTGACTCATCATGATGTAAATTTCAAAACTGTTTTATTTTGCTCATCAAGATATGACTCACATCCACGAAGTGACCACAGCAATATAGAAATCTATAAATAAAAATGATTGAATCGTTGCGCTTTTTTAGAAGTAAAAAAAAATATCTAAATCGAAGAATTTTAAAATTAACAATAGTAGTATACTAGTATGATATTGAGTTATTGACTATTGAGGAAGAAATTTTTTATCAAACTGAAATCAGTTAAATACTTAAAATGACAATAGTTGCATTATGCAACAACAAGCAGAGAGGGTCCCGCATATCTCCCACACGTAAATGTAGTTCGTCAATATATGTCAGTTTTCAACTCTTTTCTATTGTACGTTATATAAATCGACCTTAATATAAAATTCTTAAACAAATGCTTATTTTATTTTAAGTTTAGTCACTACAAAAGAGATCGTAGTTGGAACATTGGAACCAAAACACTAACTTACAAGTGTTTCTTTTTCAATATTTATTAAATCATCTTTCATTTTCCAATACTCTTAACTTCTCTCTCTAAAGCCATCATCTTAATTTTGGTTAGTACCTGGTTCTTGGTTTTGAAAGTCAAAGTCTCTTTTGTGCTTCTCCTAAAGAGCGATCTTGAGATTAATCATCATGAAAGTGCTTCTGGGTCTTTTGCTTCTCTTGGCCTTGACCAAATCTTCAAGTAAAGCTTTTTTCTTCCCTTTTTTGATTTGTTCTTATTTTTCTATTCCCCTAAATCAAGCTTTATTATGTAAAGGAATGATCTTTTCAATCTAAGCACTATCAACCGACCACAGTGCCCTGGTTTTATGGTTATTAACATATTCAAATTTAAAGATCTCAATCTGAAAAAAGCTATATCTTTCTTTCTCTTTAGGTGCAATTTACTGTCTCTGCAAAGATGGGATAGGAGACACAGAGCTTCAACCATCAATAGACTATGCATGTGGAACTTTAGCAGATTGTAATCCTATACGTGATAAGGGTTCTTGTTTTCAACCAAACACAATCAAAAACCACTGTGATTGGGCTGTTAACAGCTACTTCCAAAACGCAGCTCAAGTCCCTGGAAGCTGCAATTTCTCCGGCACTGCCACTACCAATCCAAACCCACCTTCCAGTTAAGTCAATCACCCCTAAAAGTCTAAACCTTTTGATGAGAAAAAGTTGTGATCTTGATGATCATGTTTCTTTTTTGGGTGCAGATTTGGCTAATGGTTGCATCTATCCTTCAAGTCCTAGGTATGTTTGATCACTTCCACTAACCTAAAAATGTCTCATTCACATTATTTTACTTTGTTCCTTATCTTGTAACAGCTCTACAAGGTCACCTCCATCAACAACACCACCAACGGGAAGTGGAACACCTCCCACAAACGGAACCACTCCATTTCCGGGAACTCCATTTCCAGGAACACCGTTCCCGGGAACTCCTCCGGTGTTTGGTCCAACCGGAGTGTTTAACCCAAGCAACCCAGGCAGTGGTGCCTCAAGTTTGGTTATCTCCTCTGTTTTCACACTCTGTTTTTCATTACTAGCGTTTCTATGTGGTTCTGAAGTAAGGTTTGGATTTAGCCACGTGTAGAGACAGAAAGGCATCCACTTGTGTTAGTCTTTGATTCTGTCTTGGGTGGAACAAGAAGTTTAGGCGTTTGTTGAGCTTTCGTCTATGTAAAGGTTGCTCTAATAGAATCTTGAGTAAAGAAAGAAAAAACAGAACATTTAATCTTTAATGATGAGAATGGAAACAAACAACCAGAGTTTATGATGAAGACTTCTCAACAACATCCTTCTTACCAACTCATTGGTTGTGTAAAAAATACTTATCCTTTTTTTAATTATTACAACAATAATTTCTTTTCATCAAATCATAGACTAAAAATGGAGATGTTTGGTGTGGGGGTTTTGTTTTATTTATTCAAAAGACCAACCAACAATTAAGAAATGAAGTATCAACTATTCAATTTAAGAAGTAAGATTTTGGTAAGAAACAGTGAAACACACACACCTTCAATAATTCCCACCCCACAAGGCTCTAAGACAGAATCTGTTGAGTAGATTGTAACAGAAGATGAAGAGTAGAAAAATAATCAAAAGGAAACATTGAACAAGATTGTTTGGTTTCTGTTCTTGATTTCATCTTACTCCGAAATCTTGAAATCACAAAAAAAAAAATTGAACAAAATTGCATGGTTTCTCTTTTTTTTTGGGCTATATAGCGGATGGCCCAAAAAAAAATCACATAAACAACAAATAAATACATAAAAACAACATTATCAAATCATATTTCTAGATTAACATTAGTTCTCAAAACCCTAATCTCTTTTTCTCCATCGAAATCATGGCTTTAATCCAAACTGAAGGAAGCAAAGATATGAACGTAAGAAAAAAATCGAATTGTTGGTAAAGTGATTCTATCCTTTTCTTTTCTTTTTTTAAATGGGAGATCGATTATGTTCTGTTATATATCTCCTGTTGCAGTAGCGTTTGCAGGATTAGCGTTGAGGGATATGACACTTCGGTTCATGCGTTTGATCTTGAGCTTACGTTGAGAAAACATTTCTCTTCATGTGGAGAGGTCAAAAATGTTAATGTTCCCAATGACTTTGTTAGGGGTATTCTCAAGAGGTTTGCTTGTGGCTCTTATTCCTCCAATTTTTTTACCCATCTCAAAGTTTTTAGTTAAAAACTAGTTTGTGTGTTGTTTCATAGATGTGCCTACATTTGTATTGTGGGAGAAGGTGCCTTAGAAAAGGCGTTGCAACTTAGTGGAAGTGACGTTAGAGGATGGACTATTTCTGTTCAGGCTTCACCGTTTCATAGACCAATGTGCATTGATCCTGGACGGGCTTTGGTTGCTGTTGCATACTTAAGTCGTCAAGAGTACCGGTAATATTCGATGATAATATTTTTTTTTTTGTTATGGGGAGATATTTTTATGTGTTCTCTACTTCTCTTACAACGCAATCAAATTACTTTTAGGATGATGGTTACAGGATATGACACTTCGCTTCCCGAGCTTGATATCCAGATCGGGTTGTGTAAACATTTCTCTACATGTGGAGAGGTCACAGGTGTTTTGATTCCCGGAGACCGAAGAACCGGTGGTCTCAACAGGTTTGTCCTCTCCAATTTCCCAACTCTTTTCTCTCAAAGATGCTAACTCAAGACTTTTGTCTTTGTTGATTTTTAAACAGCAAAGCTCTTGTTACTGTTGTGGGAGAAGGCGCAGCAGAGAAGGCGCGAGAACTTAGTGGATGTGACGTGAAAGGATGGGATATTACAGTTGTTGGTGTTACTGATCTCGGCGCAAAAAGAAATCGCTCATCATCATGTACATATATATATTTGCTCTGATTCTTGGTAACAAATTATTAAACCTCTCATTAGTTTGGTGGTTTCTTTTTAGGTCGTTCTTTACCTATGAAGTCGAAAGCTCTCGATGAAGAAGACAAGGGAGTAGAAAGCTCTCGTTGAAGAAGACTAGGGAGTAGAAAGCTCGACCAAGTTCTTTGGTGTTTTTAACTTGTGATACAATACAATGCAACCCTTTTTTTTTAATTACCTCAGTTTTTCTTTTGTTTTTGTCTGGCATGTTAATAGTAATCTCAATAATCATTATCTGCCTTCATTCTGAGCCGTATACTATTCGATTGATTAGGTATACAAAAGCATTTTCATTAAATCATATCATCTTCATAATCCCATATTGATGATTGTCATACCAAATCCAGTGGGGCTTCAAGTTTGGTCATCTCCTCTGTTTTCACACTCTGTTTTTGTTTTTAAATTACACAAATAATTTCTTTAGATCAATCAAAGAAGTAAAAAATGGAGATGTTTGGTGTGGGGGATTTGTTTTATTTATTCAAAAAAGACCATCCAACAGTGAAAGAAGTGAAGTATCAACTATACAATTAGAGAAGTAAGATTTTGGTCCTTCAATAATGAATGGCCCCTAGGGTCTAAGATATACTTTCAACCTCTTTACACCTGCAAGTCTCTCTAACAAACTCTGCTATAAGTTTAGCAACAGCAGCCGGTTTTTCGACGTGGGGAAGATGTCCACAGTTTGATATTTGTTCCACACGTGCATTCGATAACTCTCCATGCAGTCTCTGCATTGAAGAAGTTACGATTTAGGACAAGAGAGACCATTTGAAACATGACAATAGTCTAAATAGAGATAGAAAAATTAATATAACCCAAGCGAGCTTGTTGCTAATGATTTGGTCATCCTCTCCCCATAGTATCAATGTCTTGTGTGAAACCTGCAGACAATCTTTTCAGTAGCCTATAACAGAAGATGAAGAGTAAAAAACCAAAAAAGAAGAAGCAAACATAATGCATGCATAGTTTCTCTTCTTGATTTCATCTTTTCCAATATTTTAATGAACAAGAATTGTGAAGAGTTTTACGTACTCAGAGGATCATCCTCCAGTACAATCAAGTAACCAAGAAAGAACTTACCCCAGCATAAGCTGCTGCTTTGGGTAAAGTTGCTAAGTTTCCAGTACCAAGGACTCAACCTGAATATTCATAAATTTCTTTTCATAGTCAATATCTTCTGAACATGTTTACTACAGTAATAAACTTGTTTATGAGAAATAATGAAAGCTTTTTAAGAATTCTATAAGTACCGCTTCTGGATGGTTGACAGCAATGTCAATTGCGACAGCAGCACCGAGGCTCGGCCCAACCAAAACCACAGGCCTTTTAATATGAGACTTCTGGATCATACAAGAGAGCCAAATCAATCCCCTTCAACAAAACAAAGCACACAAGTAAAGAAAATGTCTACAAACCTCTCGATTCTGTCGGCGAGCTTTGGAGCAAACGTGTCATTAATTCTCTCAACAGCGCTAGGTAAATACATCGAAACCGCCGTCGCCGTCACTATAATCTGGCGGAGGAACCGCCGTCGCCGTCATTGTCACCGTTAGCGGTTGCCGGTTGGTTCTTGATAAAGCAGATATGACACGTGGCAACTGAGACCATTGATCAAAATTCCAAAAGGAGCTCAAACGCTGTCGTTTGGTTGGAAGTCCATCCGACGTGGCATAATTATAAATCTAATTTGCATTCAGATTTAAGTTTTCTGTATTTTATTTTTAAATCTCTATTAAAATTTAAAATCCAATAACAAAAATAAAATTAATCTATACTATATAAAAGTCGAGGCTATAAGCTTATTAAGCTGTCCACGTGGGATTTTAAACCACCAATCGCAGTTTGCCATCTCATTAATTAACATATTTTACTTCTGATATTTTTCTATATTAAAGTTTTAGACTTTTAGTAAAAAGGAAAAGAAAAACAGTAAGAGAAATATTTCAAAATATGGAAATCTTTCTAATTATAATTTTGTGTTATTTAAAAAATAATATAAATAATCAAAAAATAATGTTTTAATTTTTAAAGATTATTAAATTTATAAACGAAATATCTAAAAATATGGAACAATTCTGTAAAAAAAATTTTGTTATCAAATACATAAAATGAAAATAATAAACATGTAAATATTTTTGACATTAGTTAACATTTTTTGACATCATGTTAATTAATATTTTAAATTTATAAATTTATAATATGTTATATATTAATATATTTATGAGAAAAGAAAAAAATTATATATGTAAAGAATAGAAATGTAAACTTTTGAAAAAGAACATATGGAAATAAGAAAAGCAATATATAGAAGAAAAAAATGTTACTTTTTGAAAAACAATATATGGAATACGCTAAACTTCTATTCTTATTTTGTTAATCTTCTAATTTTCCAACAAAAAAAATATTAACAAAAAAACATATTCTATTAACTCACATCTTTTCAATATAAATAATAACCGGAGGCATCTGATTTGATCATAATTTTTAAACTATAAATTTCAAGCCGTCACTAACAATTAGGGTTGGTTGCTACTTTTAATGGCGCCTCTTTTTATATTTTTCATCGCTTTTGCCACTGTGGACACTTCTCTCTTTCTGTTGGGCTGTTTTTGTTTTAGATTTCCGATGAGCCGTAAAACATGTGTTTGTGTATGATGTTATATATGATTTGATGTTGTGTGCGTAAAATTTTTAGGTTTGAAGAAGAAGAAGGATCGATGACAAGCATCATTGGTCAATGATTGTGCTCTTTCATATCGGTTATGAATCATAAGACCTTGATTTGATTGTTTGAGTTAAATTTTTGGTTTAAAAGAAGAAAGAGCAACGACAAGCACACATGTTTTATTAGTTATATATAGTATAGATATGTGACCATGTTCATGTTGCTTCCTCTGTAAGTAATTTGCAATTTTGTAGTATTAAGGATTTTGGTTTTAAAAGTTGCAATACGTGTGGATCTTAAATCGAGTATATATATGTGTAAGAGTATCAATAATTGAGTACAGGTGGTGGCTATGCTGGTCTTGAATAGCACAAATCTTATGAGAAAATAAGCAATGATTCTGGTCTTGGAGGTTGTAAGAGGTTCGCTGGGAAACAAGTTGTGTTACTCTAAGACAAATTATTTTAGATGGTTATTTAGTGGTTCTAACGAATTCAACATCAATTGCTTGTGCCCAAGAAGTACCACGGGCTAATAAATCTAAGGAAGTGGTGGTGGTGGTGGTGGAAGTTGAGGAACATACATGTAAGACCATGCAAGGAAGCTCTCTTGGAAAAGATGTCCAGACCAGTAAAGTGAAAATTGTTTACGTTAAAGTGCAAGTGGATACAACTATGGCTAATGAGGTAACTTCTTGCGTGATTCTTTTCTTTTTCTTTTAACTTAGGTTGTATATACTTCAGTTGGATGATATCTAACTAGACAAAAAAGTATAAAGACTTGTTTTGAAATTGTAGAAAAAGTTATTTTTCTTGGAGTACCAATTTCAATCAAAAAATGGAATTGAGGTGACGTAAGAAAGGTATTGATGAGAGTTTCCTTGCGTTATAAACAATTGACGTCATAATCTAGGTAGCAAAGAGGATTGTTTTCCATGTAAAAAATAAAGGAGAAAGAGAGAAACGCTGATAGATTAGCGACAAGCGAGAGAGAGAGATAGATAGATAGAGAGAAAGCCATTGTCGTGAGAAGAGGTCTGATTGTGATACCATAAGACAAACTTGGATTATTATTTATGGAAAAGAAAAGTGAGAAAACAGTAATAACATGACCTCTTTATGGTAACGTTTGGTTCATATGTAGCTGAAACTTGATGGCGATGTTTCTGCTATGATGGTCTTGAGGTTTAATGGTGGGATATAGATTTAAACAGATTTTTAGAAGAAAGCTTCTTCAACATGTTTGAGAAGATTTCTTCTAAACTTTCAGATCTGACCATCAAAGTGGAGACATGAACACCCAAACGTACTCGGAATAATCTGAAATTTGATAAGAGTATTTGATAAGAGTATTTGATAAGAGTATTATGGAGACGTGGAACGAAGTTTTGGTAGAAAGGCGTCAAATTTCGAGTTCAGAAGGTCAAATGACCGACATTTTTTCAAGTAGTTAATTCATAGGCTTATGAAGCTATGTTTGGTTAATGTTAGTAAGTCTAAATTTCTTGCTCTATTTTTAACCACATAATAACGAATGTTTTACATAGAAGAAGATAGAGAGGACAAGGAAGAAAGTGAAGAAGAGGAAGAGGAAGAGGAAGAGTATAACCAAGAAGCGGAAAGTCACAGTGACAACGGCCATGAAAAATTGACAATGTAGATGACGAGAAGTAATATGAAGAGTAAGAAACGATGAATGTGAAGAGAAATACGAAGACATAGGTGTTGGCGGCCAATTGAATATGAGAAAACAAGATTGATTCATGATTTTTTAGATAAGATTTTATTCTTAAACACTATTGATTTTTATAATTGTGCATTTGAGCTGGAAATTTTGCTTTAATAGTAATTTATAAACTATCATCAATCGTATATAATTTTTACCAAAATATATCAAATAAACCCACGCGTAGCGTGGGTTCAAAACCTAGTTTAATTAATATTTATAAGTTATTGTATGAATCATGCATAATTTTGTCAAAAGTTTTTAAATCAATAATTTAGTAACAAATCATAAATAGATTTTGGGTGTTATTGTTGGGCTTAACGACGGAAGCATTGTTTCTATTTCTTGCGATTCACGTCACGAGCTCTTGGATTTTCAGGTTTGGTTCTAACTTTCTGGGCGATTCTCAGTCACGATCGAGCGTTTCCTCTAATCCGCAAATGTATGTCTTCACCTTTTCGACTTTGTTACTCATCCCTAGAATTAGGGTTTTGTGAATCTTTTGTTCTGTGTCATTCAATCTTCTATCTTGCTGGTCTTTAATGTTTCAATGGCTTTGATTGTTTATCGCTGACAGTCTTTTTATGTGGATTGGTATTTTTACAAGTTCTGTGAATATAAGAAGTTCGAATGGAGGAAATTTTTGTGTTCTGAGTTCTTAGTAATGTTTCTTGTTCTGAGTTCTTTAGGGATTTACATTACATTAAGACGGTTTGCGAGTATCATACTTAAACTTCTTTGAATCATGGATCCATGATCATTCCATTGGATTTATTGCACGCAGAAACTTTCTCTTCTTATGTATTCTTATAGTTAATGGAGTGTCCCTGATCGTATTGATAAATTGCAGCGATGACAATGTTGTTGGTTTAAGCTTGAGAGAAGCTAAACCGGGAGATTGCTTGAGTCATAAGTAATCGGTTTAGTAATTCTCAAGGAAAATCTTTAGGAGTTATCTTGATAGGATTAGGTCATGAGGGTTTTTCTATATAAAGAGATATTGAGTTGTGATATCCTTTATGAGTTTTGAGAGAAGTTTGAGAGATTGAGAATACTTTAGGTTTGAGGAATTTCCTAAAGAATAAAAGAGAGTAATTCTTTTGTTTGAGTTCTTGATCTATACTTTGAAACTATAAATGTACGACTCATGGAGGAATAAGATGTCTCGCATCATTGGTCGCTGCCTTTTTCAAGAAGCAGAAGTATGTTGGGCCATTGCGTTGATCCGGCAATTCGAAGCGCTTTCTAAGATTGATAAAAGCCTTGATCTCGATCAAGCTTTGTCCATTCAGGAACTGATAAATAATATCCCGAAACAATTTATTGAAGACGATGGTACACTACTTGACATGGTTCATGCAAAAGATCCTCTGTGGACTTATGGAACAGTGTTGGAACATGTATGTCCGCTCACGTACGCCCTCAACATCACAGGATCTTCTCCTGAGGTAAATGATTAAGAATCTTTTCTGACATATAGAGTTAGGTCACTAATATTTTCTTGTTGTTGTGAACAGCCTGCAGTGAGATACATGATTAATGAAATGACTATTCATTACTTGGATACCTATATGGATGATTACAAAGATTTTGGTGAGGTATGCTTCGAGGAAACAATAGAGCGTCTTCTTACAATATCACCTCTGGCGGCTAGGATACCTATGTGTTGGAGTTCTTATAAGTCTACAGAGAATGTAAGTGTTTTGATTTATCGGTTCTTTCTTGTGTTCATTGATTTGCGAGAATCGTAATCAAACTGTCTTGAGCATAGCATGCCCTTGATGTGGGTATTGTTTTGTATAGGGACAGATTTATGACCCTACCCCTGACGAGATCGCAGAAGCGAATGAAAATGGATATGGCCACCACATGTTACTCACCGGGTATGGGATAGATGAGAACAACATCCCTTACTGGGAGTTTCAGGACACGAAGGGCGACACTTGGGGTGATGAGGGATTTGTTCGTGTCCGCCGCCAGGTCAACCTTGTGACAGAGTTTGTTGAAATCGAGGTATGTATTCCTTAAAAAGAGTTCTCAAGTTGTAAATTCGAAAATTTGATATATGTTGTGTATTCTTTTTGCAGCTCTGAGTGAACAGTTGTGGTTAAACTTGTTTAGGTTGGGGAAGTTCAAAACTGTAGTCACATTTGGTTTTGGTGGGGAAAATCCCTTGGTTTTTTTTTTTTGTTGGGGAAGTTGTAAAACTATGGAATCGTATAATGTTCAGCTTATGTTTATTAGACACTAAGGTCAAGTATTTATACAAGAGAGGAAGCCCTAAGCTAACAACTTGGAGATCAAGCTAAGAAGATATACAAGAGATATGTTAATATCTACAATAATAGGAAATGATCCTTAATAGAAGTTGTAAACGGTAGTTACCTCTTGGTTTTATTGAGGATATTTTTAACTCTTTTAGTTGTGGATCGTTTTTGTAATCTCGACCCGAAGGTTTGATCATATTAAACCAGGCCATAACCTGAATGTGAATGAGGAAATATGTTTCTATCTTCTAAGTTTTGAAGAACACAATGGGAAGCTTTTCGTTCCCCAAAATATATAAAAAGGGCAAAAACACATTATTTTGGTTCCCCAAAAAATACCTCAACTAAAACTAATTTCTTTTTAATACTCTGTAAGTCAGAAATTTTTATGGTTTTACTTTTACACAAGCGTGGGTACAACTTTATCAGCTGGTGAAATATTTTCGCGTTTGTTATTACTTTGACTATATCCGAACCAGAATAAATAATTTGCACAATAAAAAAAAAACAAAGGAAACCCGTCTTCTTAGTTCAATAATATTACGACGTAAAGCCCTAAATTCCTAAAACTGAAAATTATCTTTGAAGCGTTATTTGCCTCTCGATGGACGAATTTGTTAACAAAGTAATGTTCTTCTCCTTTCAGATTTCTTCTTAATCGCTCTTTAACCTCGATCTGTTTCTCTGCGAAATATTTGAATTAGCAGAATGAATTTCTGATTAGATCTTTACCTTAGGGGCTGGAATTGAACGGTAGTGATGCAGCAGACATTCCAAAAAGCGGGTAAATTGCTTCTTTTTTTTTTTTTTATTCTTAATGGAGATCGATTTTGTCATGTTGATAATAATATCTATCTCGTGGTTGCAGTAGCGTTTGCAGGATTAGCGTTGAGGGATATGACACTTCGGTTCATGCGTTTGATCTCAAGCTTGCGTTGAGAAAACATTTCTCTTCATGTGGAGAGGTCACAAATGTTAATGTTCCCAAAGACTTCGTTAGGGGTATTCTCAAGAGGTTTGCTTGTGGCTCTTCTTCCTCCAATTTTTTTACCCATCTCAAAGTTTTTAGTTAAAAACTAGTTTTTGTGTTGTGTCACAGATGTGCCTACATTTGTATTGTGGGAGAATGTGCCTTAGAAAAGGCGTTGCAACTTAGTGGAAGTGACGTTAGAGGATGGACTATTTCTGTTCAGGCTTCACCGTTTCATAGACCAATGTGCATTGATCCTGGACGGGCTTTGGTTGCTGTTGCATACTTAAGCCGTCAAGAGTACCGGTAATATTCGATGATAATATTTTTTTTTTTGTTATGGGGAGATATTTGTATGTGTTCTCTAATAATGCAATCAAATTACTTTTAGGATGATGGTTACAGGATATGACACTTCGCTTCCCGAGCTTGATATCCAGATCGGGTTGTGTAAACATTTCTCTACATGTGGAGAGGTCACAGGTGTTTTGATTCCCGGAGACCGAAGAACCGGTGGTCTCAACAGGTTTGTCCTCTCCAATTTCCCAACTCTTTTCTCTCAAAGATGCTAACTCAAGACTTTTGTCTTTGTTGATTTTTAAACAGCAAAGCTCTTGTTACTGTTGTGGGAGAAGGCGCAGCAGAGAAGGCGCGAGAACTTAGTGGATGTGACGTGAAAGGATGGGATATTACAGTTGTTGGTGTTACTGATCTCGGCGCAAAAAGAAATCGCTCATCATCATGTACATATATATTTGCTCTGATTCTTGGTAACAAATTATTAAACCTCTCATTAGTTTGGTGGTTTCTTTTTAGGTCGTTCTTTACCTATGAAGTCGAAAGCTCTCGATGAAGAAGACAAGGGAGTAGAAAGCTCGACCAAGTTCTTTGGTGTTTTTAACTTGTGATACAATACAATGCAACCTTTTTTTTTTAATTACCTCAGTTTTTCTTTTGTTTTTGGCTGGATGTTAAAAGCAACCTTAATAATCATCTTCTGCCTTCATTATTTACCTAAGTGTATATGTTTTTTTGTCTGGCATGTTAATAGTAATCTCAATAATCATTATCTGCCTTCATTCTGAGCCGTATACTATTCGATTGATTAGGTATACAAAAGCATTTTCATTAAATCATATCATCTTCATAACCCCATATTGATGATTGTCATACCAAATCCAGTGGGGCTTCAAGTTTGGTCATCTCCTCTGTTTTCACACTCTGTTTTTGTTTTTAAATTACACACAACAATAATTTCTTTAGATCAATCAAAGAAGTAAAAAATGGAGAAGATGTTTGGTGTGGGGGATTTGTTTTATTTATTCAAAAAAAGACCAACCAACCAACAATGAAAGAAGTGAAGTATCAACTATACAATTAGAGAAGTAAGATTTTGGTCCTTCAATAATGAATGGCCCCCTAGGGTCTAAGATATACTTTCAACCTCTTTACACCGGGAGGTCTCTCTAACAAACTCTGCGATAAGTTTAGCAACAGCAGCCGGTTTTTCGACGTGGGGAAGATGTCCACAGTTTGATATTTGTTCCACACGTGCATTCGATAACTCTCCATGCAGTCTCTGCATTGAAGAAGTTACGATTTAGGACAAGAGAGACCATTTGAAACATGACAATAGTCTAAATAGAGATAGAAAAATTAATCTAACCCAAGCGAGCTTGTTGCTAATGATTTGGTCATCCTCTCCCCATAGTATCAATGTCTTCTGTGAAACCTGCAGACAATCTTTTCAGTAGCCTATAACAGAAGATGAAGAGTAAAAACAAAAAAGAAGAAGCAAACATAATGCATGCATAGTTTCTCTTCTTGATTTCATCTTTCCCAAAATTTTAATGAACAAGAAGTGATTTAAAAGGAAGTACCTTTTTTATAAGAGAAGTTACGTTGTATCCTCCGCTCGTCATGAAACTAACAGTTGCATCTTCCCACCAAGGATATAGACAATGCAAGCGACCAATCTAGATTGAGAAAAAAAATCAGACTGATGAGAGGTAGTTTCTTGTTTACCGATAAGAACTTCTTAGTAAGGCTTGTTTACCTTTGTCCAGTCCCAACTAGTTTCCAATGAGATATCATTGAAACAAATGAAGTTTACGTATAACCGTAATGGAATACTCTTCAGTAGATATACCTAAAATACCAAATTCATATACCAAAAAAACCATGATGTTAACAGAATTGTGAAGAGTTTTACTCAGAGGATCATTCTCCAGCACAATCAAGGGATTTTTTTATGAGAACTTACCCCAGCATAAGCAGCTGCTTTGGGTAACGTTGCCAAGTTTCCCGTACCTTCTGCGTAAACGCTTGCGTCCATTAAAACCAAGGACTCAACCTAAATATTCATAAATTTCTTCTCATAGTCAATATCTTCAGAACATGTTTACTAATAAACTTCTTTATGAGAAATAATGAAAGCTCCTTAAGAATTCTATAAGTACCGCTTCTGGATGGTTGACAGCAATGTCAATTGCAACAGCAGCACCGAGGCTCGGCCCAACCAAAACCACAGGCCTTTTAATATGAGACTTCCAAAACTATGGATCATACAAGAGAGCCAAATCAATCCCCTTCAACTAAATGAAGCACATAAGTAAAGAAAATGTCAACAAACCTTGTAAAAATGCTCTCTTTTCGACGCTACATCACACGGTGGAAGTTTGTCTAAAGATAAGCACGAAAAGATAAGTATGTAAGTGCAAAAGCATTGGCAAGTTTGGAGGATAAGAGAAGAAGAAAAAGGGAAAGGAAGTAGTAAAAGATAAGAGAGGGACAAAACCTAAATCAGAAAAACCCCAACCAAGGATATCAAATGCCCATGTTTCTAAACCGGCTTCTTCTAGCAATGGATAAGTGTATCTCCACTCTAAACAAGAACTGTTTAACAAGAGTTTTAAACTCAAGACACAAACTCAAGAAACCACAACATTTTCATTAGTACCTATCAAATCCGTGAAGAAGCACAACAGGAGTTGTCTCGTTCCGAATTAGCGGTGTCACGCAACTACTCATAATACTATCTTCCCTGAAGCTCACCTAACATTCCACACATTACAAGACAATGAGAAAAGTCTCTACAGGTTCATTCTTACATTGCTTTAAATGTTTCTGCTCACTTGAAACTTTGAATGTAAGATATATAATCCCAAAAACTTGAATTGTGACATGACCCAGTTGCAGCTAAGACAGTGAAATCTAGTTGTATATATATAAGCTCAAATTCTCAATCATCATGAAAGGATCAGACTTTGGATTAAAAAAGATTTAAAATTTCAGAATTACAGGTTACAGAGAGATAAATGTGGGATATCAAGTCACTTACAGATACAGGAAGCCTCTCGATTCTGGCGGCGAGCTTTAGAGCAAACGTGTCTTTGATTTTCTCAACATCCCTCGGCAGAAACGTCGGAAACTTCTCGGCCATCACTTTAAACGGCCTTTTCATTGTACATTGCACCTTCAGCATCGGCCGAGAAACCGCCGTCGCCGTCACCGTTGAGAGCATCGTGGAAGACGACGCGTCTATCTGTCACTCAGTTCACTTGCGGTTTGTGCTTGATAGAGAAGATATGACACGTGGCAAGTAAGAACATTGTTGAAAAGGTGTTTAAAACGCTGTCGTTTTGCCTAAGAAGAATCACAGCCACTTATTTTGTTAATGCGGCTAATTGAGCCTCTAAATCCAACGGTTCAATACACAACTGCAATTTCAGATTTCTGTTGAGAAGCAAGAAAAATAATGGCCAAAAGTGAAAACTTGAGAAGCATCTTAAAAGTGATGAGACTAAGAAACAGAGTATACAATAGGTATGAAATATGTACTTAGCTCAGTGCAAGAGCTTCATTTAGTGTTTTCTACATTCCACACTAAGCGAAATAACATTCAAATGAAAATAAGGAACCTGCCTTTCTGCTAGCAGATTTCACATAAGCAATTACCAAATCTCAGTCTACAAGATTCCCGTCGATTTCATAGAACAAACGGTTCGCATTTTCGCTGATTCTCTCAGCTCCACGCATAATCTTCTTGCAATCTTCATGCCAATGCTTCGGCATAAACTCTCTCAGCTTCACTTGAGGATCCTTTATATCAACGTTATTGTATATCTCTCTTGCAGGTAAAACATGCTTCTGCCAGAAATCAACAAGTGCTGGTTTCATATCTTCCCAAAACGCGGTATCTCGCCAAACTCTAAAGAGGCTACTTCCATTGCGAGTCCAACAATATAAATCCAACCAATCTGTATCCACAATCTCCATTAAACCCTGAACTTGCGGAACACAAATATAAGGAACCTTCTTCCACGGATACACTTGCGAGGTATCCCCGTTATTAAACGGGCATTTCACTTCTAACACACCCCTCGAAGTGACACCGTCTTTAACTACATTAATCACTCCATCAGGAGAAGCTCCTAACCAGTTTTCTTCAGGATTTTCACCGTTCTTATAAACAACAAACTCAGGTATGAGGATTTCATTTCCCGTTAACTTAGTGTATCTCTCGAGTGCTTCAATCTCATTATCAACGTCCCAAAACGTAGCTCGGTTCCCAGCAAACTGTTTCGCTGCCCCGATTTTCTCTAACCATAGATTTCGTCTACCATCAGGCGAAAATCCGATAGCACGCGAGAAATTACTAGCTGTTAACCTATTCTTTCTCAAATCTTGCCAGTTCTTACGCCAATGCTGAGTTGATTCCGTAGCTACTACAGCTTCTTCTTTCTTTGAAACTATACCAATAATTTCAGAAATTACCTTTGAGTCAGACTCTGGTTCGTTATTTGGAATGTGCAACAAACGATGACAGTAAGCTAAATCATCACTGCCAAAGAAAAATCGAAACAAGTGTAAGATTATTACTTCTATTCGAAAATCAATTTGGCTGCAGAGATAATTACAAAATTGAATCCGAATTTCGTCTATAGCTATTACGAAACTATGAACTAGACACTATAACTAATCAGACAGAGACAACAACTGACCGTGCACGCTTGTAAAAGATACGACGAAGCATATCGGCGACGGCAAACCGGCGGTGAATAGACGAGTTCGATTCTGAAAATTTTAAGGGTTTAAAGGAAACGATTCTGTAATAAAGGTCTTAACGAATGGGCCGTCTTGGCCCAATTATTTTACGGCCGTACCATTAAAACCATTTTACTTCCGTTTATTCGGTTAGATTCGGTATAATATAATAGACACATTGCAATGTCCAATGTTATTTCGGTTCGAGTTCTGATTTGGAATCGGTTCGGTTCGATTTCTGTGTCCTCTGTAAAAGTAAAACCCTGAAAAAATCTTCAGTGCTTTCTCTTGGTCGGAAAATCTCTTCTCAATTAGTGCTAGCTTTTTTTTTCCGGCTGCCACAAGATCAGAAAATATTTCATGCGGGTTATCCCGATTTCATTACTCTCACATGTGAGAGGACTGATTCGAAGAGGACCCTCTTCGAGATGGTACGTGGTTCCTGCACTTTCCCGGACGAACATTACAATCTCACACTCAGAGCATGTGAAAGAAGGTACCTTTGATTATAAATCATTGGAGTTAAATGAAATTGGGGTTCTTCGAGTATTGAATAGTATGAAGGATGATCCTTATCTTGCTTTATCGTTTCTGAAACGAATTGAAGGAAATGTGGCTTTGCCTAGTGTCCAAGCTTATGCAACTGTTATCAGAATTGTTTGTGGTTGGGGTTTAGATCAGAAACTGGATACTTTTCTAGTGGAACTCGTTAGAAAAGGAGATGCGGGGCGCGGTTTCAGTGTTATGGAGTTGTTAAATGCCATTGGAGAAATGGAACAGTCATTGGTGTTGTTGATACGGGTCTCCACTGCATTGGTTAAAGCCTATGCTAATCTTGAATTGTTTGAGGAAGCTATCGATATTTTTTTTCGAACTTATCATTCCTTAGGACGTGCTCCGGATATAAAGGTATTGAGTGTTTTGATGAACCGTATGATTGCTTCTGGGAGAACTGATATGGTGGTTGGTGTTTTCTGGGAAATAGAGCGGCTGGGGTTGTATGTGGATGCACATACTTATGTGCTTGTTGTTCAAGCATTGTGTAGGAATGATGATAAAGAAGGGGTAGATAAGCTTCTTATTAGACTGTTAAACTCAGAGACGAGGAATCCTTGCGTGTTTTATTTGAAATTCATTGAAGGACTATGTTTAAATCAGATGGCAAGTATGGCGTATCTTCTACTCCAACCATTGAGGGAAGTGAATATTCTGGTGGATATGAGTGATCTTGGAATTGCATATCGCAGAGTGGTCCGCGGTTTATGTAATGAGATGAGAATAGAAGATGCTGAAAAAGCTTTTCTTGACATGGAGGAGCACGGGATTGATCCGGATGTCTATGTTTACTCGGCGATAATTGAGGGACATCGCAAGACTATGAATATACCTAAAGCTTTTGATATTTTTAACAAAATGGTGGAGAAAGGAAAAAGAATAAATTGTGTGATTGGAAGTTCGATCCTTCAGTGCTGTTGTCAGATGGGAAATTTCTCAGGAGCTTATGATCTGTTTAAAGAGTTTAGAGAGTTGAACATTCCTCTTGATAGGGTTTGCTACAATGTTGCATTTGATGCTTTGGGAAAGCTTGGCAAAGTAGAAGAAGCTATTGAGCTGTTCCGAGAAATGACGGGTAAAGGAATAGCTCCTGACGTCATCAACTACACGACGTTGATAGGTGGTTGCTGTCTACAAGGTAAATGTTCTGATGCTTTTGATTTGATGATTGAAATGGACGGATCAGGTAAAACACCTGATATTGTTATATATAACGTACTTGCTGGTGGATTGGCTAGGAATGGTCTTTCCCAAGAGGCACTCGAAACTTTGAAACTGATGGAAGATCGGGGGGTAAAACCCACTTATGTTACACACAATATGGTCATTGAAGGCCTGATTGTTGCAGGTAAACTAGACAAGGCTGAAGCTTTCTATGAGAGTTTGGAACATAAGTCTCGGGAAAATGATGCAAGTATGGTTAAAGGCTATTGTGAAGCTGGCTGTCTTGATCAGGCATTTGAACGATTCATTAGACTGGAATTTCCTCTGCCCAAGAGTGTGTATTTTACTCTATTCACTAGTCTTTGCGCCGAGAAGAATTATATCAGCAAAGCTCAAGACTTACTGGATAGAATGTGGGAACTTGGAGTCAAACCTGAGAAGAGCATGTATGGAAAGTTAATTGGGGCATGGTGTCGAGTTAATAATGTGAGAAAAGCCCGGCAGTTTTTTGAAATTTTAGTTACTAAAGAGATTATCCCTGATTTGTTCACTTACACAATCATGATTAACACCTATTGCCGGTTAAACGAGCTGAAGCAAGCCTATGCTCTTTTTCAAGACATGAAGAGGAGAGATGTCAAACCTGATGTGGTAACATACACAGTTTTACTCAATAGCAATCCAGAGTTGGATATGAAGAGGGAAATGGAAGCCTTTGATGTTAAACCAGACGTTGTCTTATACACAATCATGATTAACAGATATTGCCAGTTAAACGACGTGAAGAAAGCCTATGCTCTTTTTAAAGACATGAAGAGGAGAGAAATCGTACCTGATGTGGTAACATACACAGTTTTGCTCAAAAACAATCCAGAACTGGATCTTACGAGGGAAATGAAAGCCTTTGATGTTAAACCAGACGTTTTCTACTACACAGTTTTGATTGATTGGCAGTGCAAGATTGGTGATCTTAAAGAGGCGAAAGGAATCTTTGATCAAATGATCGAAAGTGGGGTGGATCCTGATGCTGCACCTTACACAGCACTAATAGCTGGTTGTTGTAAGATGGGAAATCTTAAAGAGGCAAAAATGATCTTTGATCTAATGATTGAAAGTGGGTTAAAGCCTGATTTTGTGTCTTACACAACACTAATAGCTGGTTTTCGTAGGAATGGGTTTGTACGTAAGGCGTTCACACTTATGAAAGAGATGTTGGAAAAGGGGATTAAGCCGACTCAAGCTTCCCTGTCAGCAGTACACTATGCTAAATCAAAGGCCAAGGGACTCCGATGATGATTAAGAGCCTATATCTAAATGGTCAGGTGAGGATGTGGAACCACAGTTATTGGTCTTGAGAACAAAGTTCTTTGTCAGTTAACAAGAAATTTAGGATCTGCATCGGCGTGTATGAGGATGTGAGCTCACTATTATCCTCAGTGAACACGTATCTTCAGGGCTCCAGTTTTTGAGAACGAAACTGGTAGAATGCGGAACTTTAAAAGACAAAGGCGTACCGAAGCTTGTCTTGTGGAGCTTGAGAACAGGGGACCATAAAGGTAGAAACTTTGCTTATTACAAACCATTTCTTAGAAATTTATCCGGTTGAAGGAATAAACTCACCTAATTCACAACAATATCACTGCAGGAAAACAGGTAAAGCACAATGACCGGATTGTGGCAATAACATCAACAAGAAGGATCAGGATTCATAAGCTCTGCATTTTCTTACTATGGCGTCATCTTGACACAGCAAGTAATTAATAATCTCCAGAAAGCATCACGAGAATATAAACTAACAAGAAGCCCTATTGATTGTATTTGTAATACGTAAAGTGTAATTTAGTAACCCAAATAAGCCTTGTAAACGTGTTCTTAAGTAGCTAAACTGTAAATTGTAGAAGATCTTCAATGAAGCATATTAATATTTAACCAAACCCAAATCCTCTTCCCAAACCGAATAACCAAGTACATAAATTTGATATCTGAGTCCAAGCTCTCAGCATCAAAACTATTCTTAGTGGGGATACTCATAAAATCTCATCTAGTCTTAATAATTATCAACAATAGAGGTTTCTAGAAATGAGTTTTTTTTTCTTTCTTTTTGAATTTATTTATCTACGCTTCGGCTTTGGTTTCTTCTGTTTCCACGAGTTGAGCAGATAAACAACTCCTTCCTTGATAGTCGCTTTTCTGTTTTCTCTGAAATTCCAAAGCTCAGGCACTATGTACCTTCCACTGCCATTATACTCGTTCCTTTCTTTAAGCGCTTGTGTCACAGCTGCATACACTTCCTCACCCAACTCTTTCCTCAGCTCTTGTAGCTTCTCATCTTCTTCATTCAGTTCTTCCTGCAAAATCGTTATAGTCTCTTTCATGTTCTTATATTGCAGGAGCTAAGATATCATCTAGAAGCATTGTTTTAAGAGAAAAACGTGTATGTACTATTGTTTACCTTTGGGGTTCCATCTTTTACGACGACCTTAATCGGATGCCAAGCCGAGTCTCCCAAGTGCTCTTCCCACAAGGAACAGAGCTCTGCGGCTTTTTCATCAGCTTCTTCGGCTGGATATTTCTCTTTAGCTAATTTTTGGAACGGTTTCTCATCCAATGCTCCCATTCTCTTCACACCAATGTAAGCTCGTGAGGTCAACTCCCGCATTGACTGCACATAGGTTAAGCATGGTTAGTAGCAAATATCAGAATAAATGGCAAATCACTTCCACTATCATCTGAGATTTCTATCACGAGTTACCAGGTATGAACATGGAGTCTCACTAGATCAACACCATAAATGTTCATCAATCAGAAAATCCAAATAACAAACCCTCAAAGGAAGAAGAAATGGAGAGAGGCTGAGAATTGCTTACATGAATCAAAGCCTTGCGCGCATCCTGTAGCTCATCGTTAGTGTAGCCATGTTTTACAACAAGAGTTTGATAGAGCGACTCTTGGAATTCCCAATCCTCTTCTTTCTCCTTCAGTTCTTCCTTTGTCTTTTCTATCATCTCCTTGATTTTTGAATCTTCACCTTCACCTTCTTGCATGTGTCCCATGACCTGCAAGTCACCCCTCATACGCTCTATCTCTAGCTCCAATGCCTGCTCAGCATCAATCTTCTCCTCGAGCTCACGAACTTGCTTACGTAATTCATCTTTCTCCCTCTGTAAAACAATAGCCAATTTTATAAATACGACCAAAAATCAAACCGACAGCAACTTGAACATTAACTTTCAAAGTGTTTTTTTTTTTACAATAAAGCTTACCTGTTGCTGTTCTGCCAATCTCATCATGTCTTCATCAGCTTTGTTTTGCTCTTGAGTTGCCATTAAGTTCTGGCAGATATTATAAGATTCCACGAATCATTGCTAAGAACAAAATAGTTTAAGGGTAAAGTTGTACAAAGCATGTGAATGTTACCTTCTGCTTTTGCCATTGAAGCTTTCTCCGCTCAGTCTTATTCTTAGCTTGACACTTATCTAGATAATTCTCCCGGTCTTCATATTCTTTCCTTTGAGCTTCGAGATGCTGAGAGGCCTTTTCATGTTCTTCATAAATACTTGCCAAATAATCACGCGAGGTTTGCTGCATAATACTCATTTCTAAACATTGAAAAGCAAACTTATCAGTCTAAATACTAGACCAAGCACCTCAATCAAGCAAAAATTCATTTCATAGTAAGAAAACATACTTTCATTATGTGTGTCGATCATTTCATCCTTCTCTCTCATTCTTTTCTCAAGCACTGAACTGGTTTCTTTGTAGATGCTCTCCATTTGTTGAAGATTAGTGTTTTTGTCTTCCAGTGTGTTTTCCAAGTTTGAGACAAGTGTGAATGTCTTTCTTTGATCTTCTGCTTCTTTACCAGAAACACTCTTCAAGTCCCCTTGTTTCCTGAGGTGGTCACCAATAGCAGTTCTTGAATAGTAGTCATCTTGTTTTGCTACCCAACCATAAAGTTTATCACCTGGATCACGTGTGAGATCATGGTCTCTTTTCCCACACTGATTCACTTCAAAGTGTTTATCAAACATGGTCGCGTTTCTGAATCCTTCCCACTCTTTACCAAAGTCAACAATAGCAAAACCAGTAAAACCAAATTTTCCGTTCCACAGTGGCGTGACTTTGTGGGGATTAAACCCTTTGTTGAGCAGTTCTTCTCTTATCTTGCTTCCACTCTCACCAGCATACTTCCCTGTTTTCTCATCTAAAGCTCTTTTCATGTTCGCCAGGATACCTTTCCAGGGATGCACAAACATCTGATCCCCATTACCAGCACCCAAAGAAACTAGCTTCTGAGGATATGTTGGAGCAAACCTAGCACCATGGCTGAGACCAATCTGTTGGACAGGTTCTTCTCTCTCTTTAGCACCAGAAACTAGGCAAGGTCTTTTGACAGGGTATGATTTGTCTTCGTTGCTAAAGGAGGGGTTGGGTTTATCAGAAAACTTTGGTCTTTCCTCACCACTTCGTCCAGGATGATCTCCTGAGACAGACTTTGGTTCAGCTTTGACAATATGTGGTGAACTAAAATTTTCAATGCTTATGAATTCTCCTTCTTCAGTAGTTGACAAAGTAGATTTCCACTTTCCGGTAAACTCCTCTTTAGGAAGAGAAGAGACATCTGAAGTTGGAGAATGACCTGGTCTTTCCCGAGGGCGGAGATACTTCCTCATATACCTCTCCAGTGCAAGATGTCTAGCTTTTTCTCTCCCATCCTTAGTGCGGGAGCTACCGCCAATACCAGAAGCATGACGATACAAGTCATCAAACTGGTAATCACGCTTTCGATCTCTGTAGCAGAAGGGACACCTGAACAGAGACTCTGAGAATTTGACCTTCCTAGTACCATCTTTCATTTCACTGTAGTATCTGTACTCCAAATCTTCCAGCTCTCTTCTGGAATACATTGCAACCTACAACACAAAACATCCAAAAGAAGCTGGTTTAAAATCCAATCAGCTAAAAAAAAAACAGGACAAAAAAGAGAGAATGAGATAGTTTTCGTAGTTATGCAAACTGGCGTTGCAAAATTTGAGTTATATTTCATCAAGGTCCATGATCATCATACCATAAACCCTTAGACTTAAACCCTAAACCTGAAATTGACTAACCCAATTGCAGAAACCTACTAAAAATCACAACTTTTCACAACCTAGACGAAGAAGATGAGTAAGAACAAAACCCAGTAATTACAAAAAGACAAATTTCCATTAGAAGAAGATGAGAACAAAACCACTGAAAACCCTAACATAATCCAGCTGCATTTTGCCAACCAAAAAAGAGAAGATGAGAAGAATAAAATGGAAATTGCGTCTCTACAGAGCAAAAACCCAGCGAAGAGAGACACAAAATGAAGGACAATGTAAAGCAACTAAACGAAAAGAGAGAATTTCACGGAAACAGTTTCAAAAAAAAAAACGTAAAATGTCTGTAAATAGGAAACAAGCGAATAACGTAGAGGAGGAAGATGAAGCGAAACCTTATGAATCAGCAAAGAGAATGGCGAAGAATTGCAGGTGGGAGATAGAGAGACGCGTAAACCGTGACTGGAAAGAAACAGTGAAGAAGACGGACGATCAATGAACAACAATTGGCGTCTCCTTTAGCCTTTAGTTAATTGGTCATTCATTTTAAACCGAATTAAACCAATCACAATATTGAACTAACCGGAATTGAATTGAAATTTTGTTTATAGGATAGGGGATTATAGCTTTGATTGGTTTGCATTTTTCATAACCGAGTTAACCGAAATTTCAATTTGCTACTACAGTACGTTTCGAAATTTGGATCTTTTGATTGATTTTTGACTAGAAGGAGCAAAGAGTTTCTGACATACCCGTGCTCGTCTTATCGGTTAAGAGATGAGAAAAGATCCCCACATAGCTTTTTAGTCCAACGTATAATAATGTTCAACGTTCCTACTCATTTACCAATGTAATAATATCACTTCCTTCAGAGAATCCAATAATATCATTAAAGACCCTCCAAGAAACTGAGATTGAGATTCAGAACAAATGAAAAACAACAATTTTCTCCTTCTAAGACAACATTTTTATGGTCAAGGAATCCAACCAGAAGTAAGAAGAACAACAAAATGATCTTTAAAAAAATCCTAAAGTTTCATGAGAAAACAGGCTTTCTACACTGATAATGCTCATGGCCTCATTCCAGTTCAGCGTCGATGATAATTTGACATCTTCGAGAACGTTTTGTGACTTTATTAAGCTCCTCGTAGATATCTGATTCCGAATAATGTTGAGGACAACCCATGAAACACATAATCAGTTTCTCGAGGACTGCTGAGTTTTCAAGAAAGTAACTCGCTATTTTCATATCCTCTTCCCCCCAGTCAAACAATCCTTTTATCTCAACACGCTCCAGAGTCGATACGAAACATCCAGGCACATTTACGAGTTCGAACTCCTCCATCACATGCTCTGAATAAGCAATTTCCTGCAAACACCACAAAACAAGAGCCATGTATTCAATTATAAACATCCATAAGAAACACAATGTTGTTACGCCAAAAACATAAAAGGGTTTACCAAGATTAAGTGTTTCAGATTCGGGAAACTCTCAAGAAAGGCTGGCAAAAACTGTAACAAGGAGCTCGGGAACTCAGCCTGTAGACGGGATAAGTTATTGAATTTGGGAATCGGTCCTACTTTTGAGTAAATATCAAGGGCCTGCAACAAGAAGAAAGTAAAAAATGGATACTAATGAGAGTTTTCCACTTATTAGACAAAGACCAAGACTTGTTGTATAAAAATATATATATATACCTTCACTGTTTGATGAGAGATGATCATATGTCTTACACTAGATATCCCGGTGAGAAAATCACGGATTTCATTTCTAAACATCCGGCCAAACCCAAAAATGAATTTGATATCGAGGTCAATCATGAATAAAGAAGTCAGGTTCTTTACCACGAATCTATCGAAATGGTCTTCTTTAAGACTCATATACTCTAGTCCTGGAGCATCAATCTCAAATGTCTGTACCACTCTCCGAAAACAAGAAATACTGTGCTCAGACGGAATAGAAAACCTCTTCAAGCTTCTAGACCTCACACGCGTAACCACCGATTCATCATCATGAAGATAGATCAGTTCTTCAAGAACAGGACATCCTGAGACAAGCTTCTCCAGATTCATAGTACCACTACTATGCCAACGAACTTCTCGAAGATGCATGAATTTGAGACAAGGCATGTAAACAAAACCCGGATCCTGAAGACCCGAAAAAGATAGCTTCAAAGAAACCAATGTCGTACTCGTACAAAGATTCAGAGGCATGAACTCGATACAAGGATAGAGAAGGCCGTCATCAGCATCATGATAATAGGTATTGCTCTCAACATCTAAAACTCGAATTCCGCGGCTAACCGCATCACGGATCCGATCGGAGAACTTGATGATCTCGTCTCTACTGTAATTTACCTTGAATTTTTGCAGGCGAGACTCAGGGTTAAACTGGAGAAATCTGTCGATGAAATCAATCAACACTTTTTCGTTGTTGTTATCAAAAGGGAAATCACGGCAGTTCAAGTCAAGTCCGGGAACCTTAAGCCATAGATTCTTCCATCTAGTCGATAAAACACTCGTCTTCACCGAATCTTTAGTCGGAAGGTGTAAGAGTATATGAGTAATCAAAGATTCCGGCAATTCGCTAATTCTATCGAACCCAGCCATCACCTAAGTGCATTAACAATCAAACAATAAATTCATCGAATTCCAAAATCTAGGGTATACAAGTGTCGATTATAAACGAAAGACTCACCGTTGATTCGATTCGCCGGCGGGTTTATCGGCCGGAGTTGTGGGTAAGCGATGAACTTGATAATGAGAGAAAATAAAAAAATTGGCTCGAACCCTTTATATATACGTTCGAAGCGGTTCCGATTCCGATTTGCGTTTCGAATTGAAAAAAACGGTTGCCATTATTATTCTTTAATTTTCCATTAATAACAAACGTTACTCATGTCAAACCGACTTTCTCCGGTTAAACCGGTACGGATCGTTTTCCAAAAAAGCTTGATAATAATTTTTGTCAAAATCCGTTTTAACATTTCTACATATTGGTTTGCTTAAGCGAATAAAACACACATATAAAAGCTCAGTCGATCTTAGCAACGGAAGTGTGAGATATCCAATTTGCTCTCCAAGTAATGGAAGGCGAAAGAAGACGCTCTGTTTTCCAACCTCCTGATCTCAGCTACATAGGAAATAACAGAAAAAAAGAGTTAAAACAGTAGCTTTTTATGTCACGAAAACACGGTTTGATTGGTCCTAGTGATCTAATCTTACCTTGTGGAGAAATTCGCCGTAGTGTTTATCAATCCAAGCTTCTCCTTCTGAATAAAAAGATGTGCTTTTTTCCATAAGGTTTGCCAAAACAATGGCATGGATATATGATTTCAACACATCTGCAGCTTCTGAATCTTTGTGCAAGATCACACTAACATTTCCCTTTCTGTGAGCCAATAAGTACTTAGCTGCGGGAGTGTGCAACAGACAAGAACCGAGTTTACGTCAAATATAGACAGAGAAACTAATGTCCTTCAAAGGTTATGGAGAAAGAAATCAATCAAACCATTCTTGTATGAAGAAGCTCCAACACCATTTAGCAGCTGCATCCTGCACATAAATATGTCAACCTCAAACCGATTTTTTCCCCAAAAACTTTGTGGTGACTAAAGTATAGCACTTACATTTCTAGACGAGGGAGAGAAGAAACTCTTACACCTAAATGCACTCTCTTATGCAGTGAAATACGTGATGAAGTGGCCCACATGGGCAATACACCCTCCATCGAAGAAACCTGTTCGGGGGAGAGAACTGGTGACATGTTTAGTTAAAGAAAGTTACTGATATATGGTGCACTGACAAAAACAAAGGGAAGCCATTGAAGCGTTGTAAGAACCAATGATGCATTTTGAAATTACCTTGGCCAGTTTGCATGAAATGTGTTAGAAGAATCGAACTCCTCTCGAAGTTTAATGAATTCAATACAAGACACCGGACAGCTCTATAGTTTGCTAAATATAGAATAAAGGAAAACAGTTAGAGAAAATCTTATTTGATCTATGCTTTAACCTTCATCTCTAACTTACCATACATATGAAACACGGTGAGAGAGAGAAACGAAAACCAAATAGCCATAGGGTTTCCAGAGGTAAACCGAGCTAGCAACATTCCCAATGACATCCCCATCATAGTTGCCATAGTCTCTTGGCTTCCTTCCTTTCAATAGATAAAATAGAAATAAAGAACTACTAAAATTTCACATTTATAGTTTCTATATCATTCACAGTGAAAAGAAGTAAAGAGTACCTTAGCAGATATATCCGCTGCATTGTCTTGAAGAGCAAAGTGCTGTGTTAGAGCTGCTCTGGTTGCTCCACTTGCAACACCAGCTAATTAGAGTAGCCAAGATCGAAAAAAGTTAAAAACCAATGTATCAATCCAAACGGAAGTCTTAACTTCAATGTTGGATGCAAGTAATGAAACTCACTAAATGATCTTGATAGGCTCCCTAAGCAAACCACAAAGATAAAGGCAGATGGAAACAAAGGAGAAAGAAGGTCCATTAGCATTCCTGCAATAAAAGCAACAAAGCTTGTAGTCATTCAACTGAGAACCAAATACGGGAAATTATTTTCAAGTGTGAATGTGGCAACTAACTATTACATACCGATATCGTTCATAAGGTCAGCAACTAGGCGCCACATTTTTGCATTGCTATCCAGGTTGGAACCCTGAATAACAGAACAGTTCCCATTAAAAAAGAACGTAACCAAGCTAAAGCTTAAAGAAGAGGAAAAGGGAAGAGAATCGATGTTTATATGACTGGGAAGAATCTGCTACAAGAGGCACCTGATAAAATGTGAACAATATGCCTCCAAGCATCCCAGTAAAATCCCTCAGAAACCACTGCATATTACACAAGATATAATCACTATTCTCCATTGTGCTTTATAGTGCTTGAGAGAGCCAATGTGAAATGTTATATGTCAGCAATGGATAAACTCACTTGAAATGTAGCACCTATAACAGTTGCGGATTTCTCACCAACGCCAATTGCACTCAAAAGAGCCTGAAAATAGTCCAAATCAGAAATGCTGCAGCAGACAAATTGGAACTCAAAAGCTCAAGAACTTTAGCTTTAGCTCACCTGAGTGGAAAGCATCATCTTTGTATAAGTTGAGAGCCCCTGCAACAAACATAGCCGAGAGTCACAAATCAAATTTCACAGAAGCTATAAGGCACACAAGCATGTTCTCACATACCTGTAACGTGTCCCATAACTGAAACCCTACATAATCCGGAGTTACACTACCAGGAAAGCCCTGCACAAGACAAAGTACAATTCAGACAAAAACCCTAATCCGGAGAACAGATTCCAAAGGGAAAAAGAAAGGAAACACTTGCCTCTGGTACAAATGCTTGAAGAACTCGTCTCCATACATGATTGAAGCGATTAGCAGACCTATGAATCACTCACAGGAGAAGAAAACAGAAGAAAGTTTCTCAATTTTCACTGAAACTATCAGATTTGGATTGAATAGAAAGAGGAATAAAGGAAGAACCTTTGGATGGAGAGAGAAGAGGAGGCAGTGATGGTTGCTGTTTTGAATAGCTTAGTAGAAGAAGAACCATTCCACTCTTCAAGTGTAATGGATCCGCAATCAGAGACTTCTTCTTCTCTCATTGCGAATTTTGCTTCTTACTTTGTGAGAGTGAAAAGAAGTCACTTACTCAAATGTTTAGACTTTGTGAGTTTTTTGGACTTTGGGTTTAGGATTTCAATTGCAATTGAACAGTCGATGACCCAATTGTGATTCGACCCAATCGGTCTAGTGGCAACTGGCAAGCACTACCCTAAAACTAAAAGTTTAGCAATCACTCACTTTTCTTCTACCTTGATTCATCGTCATTCTTTTGCGTGTTGAGTGACTTCCATGGCTTCATCGTCATACCCATCTGTCTACAACCTCAACCCATCTCTAAATTCTGCAGAAGAACTTCAAATTCGTGGAATATGGAAAATGGGTTTCTACAAAAATCCAGAAACAATCGTAAAAGGTACGTCTTTGGCAACGTAGCTCAAATGTCTACATCGTAGTCTACACTCTACATGGGAAATATCTTCTGGCTACCAATTGGGTTTCTAAATTTAGTAACACTTATACCAACAAGTCACGGAAGTGTGTGGAAGAAATGTTAGATTGGTCTTTATATGCTTTGTGACTGTGTTTGTGGACTAAGATGTCTGAACCTGAAAACCTTGAAAATGGTGCTTAACAAATCCCATTTCCAACTATAAATCCACATACTAGTTTTCCCATTTCCTCACTCATCTTTTCATGTTCTTCTATTACTGCCTCTGCTGCTGATTCCCTCTTATCCTGGATACTGGTAATGTTCATTTCTATTTCGAGTCCAGTTTCTAGGTTTTGATCATCAGTCACCAACTTTATAAATGTTGCTTCATACAAGTTATGCTACATGTGGTTCTTTTGCTCTTTATTGTTCTAGTCAACATATCTACAGAAATTTGTTTCAGGATCTTCTTGTGAGAAATGGGAAAACTTGTTGCTGTCTTGATCTCTCTTGTGTTAGCACTTGGAACAATTCAAGAGGGGAAATCTCATCGAGACCAACCTTTGTCAGGAATTGCAATTCATAGGACATTGTTTGATCTGAATGAACAAGCTTATATCAAAGCCTCTCCAACAGTTCTTGGATCTGATGTAAAGCTTTCTCTTTTTTATATCAGAAACAAATGCAAACTCTTAATCACCATCTCTAACTTCAGTGCTTATTTTCAGGGTCAACATAGCCAGTGGGTGTTGGTCGAATATAGTTCTCCCCACCCATCAGATGACGATTGGATCGGAGTGTTCTCTCCAGGGGATTTCAAGTAAATATAACACACCTTCTTGTTAAAAGCTTTTTCAAATCTAAAGGTTTAGTTTTGATATGATAAACTCATAAAAGCTTTGTATTGTACCTTTTCTGTTTCTACAGTGCTTCAATTTGTCCTGCAGAAATCAAATACGTTGATCCACCTCTACTGTGTTCTGCGCCTATCAAGGTCTTTGCCTCATCATGGTTTATAACAATTTTTGTGCTTTTCTTCTCTGCAATGAGTCTTAAATTTTTCCTCTTTACAGTTTCAGTATGCTAATTATAGCAACGCAAGATACACAAGTACAGGGAGTGCTTCCTTGAAGCTACAACTCATCAATCAGCGAGCAGATTTTTCCTTTGGACTCTTTTCTGGCGGTTTGTTGAATGTAACACTCTTTCACCCACAATTTCTTTAGATTTACAGGTTTTTAGCTTCATCGTTAACAATTCCTTGGTTTGGTTTTCTCCTTTTCTGATAGCCAACGCTTGTGGCTGTCTCAAACAAGGTAGTCTTTGAGAACCCAAATGCTCCACTTTACCCACGTTTGGCACTAGGGAAAGAATGGAATGAAGTAAGATTCAGAAAACTTTTGTTTAACTTTTTTTAGTGATTCTTTCTGTAGTAACTAATTGCTTATGTAAACTTGTTGTAAACAGATTACAGTGACGTGGACTAGTGGGTATGGACTCGACATAGCAGAACCTGTAGTGGAGTGGGGCATTATGGAAGGAGAGCGTAAATTCTCGCCTGCTGGAACTTTGACCTTCGCCCGTAACAGCATGTGTGGTGCGTAGATCCGTTATAACTTCCATACTTACACACACACACACACTAGTAACATTCCCGCTTGTTCTGATTTAACAGGGGATCCTGCTAGAACTGTGGGCTGGCGTGATCCCGGTTACATACACACTGCATTTCTCAAAGAGTTGTGGCCTAACTCCAAGTATGTGCATATGTTTTTCTGTTATGAAACGATGAATCAGCTCCACAGAGTGATCTGATATGTATAAATCAATCACTAATCTTTTGTTTTGACAATTATAAAGGTACACATATAGAGTTGGGCATAAATTGTTCAGTGGTGCACACATCTGGAGTAAAGAGAATCAGTTTAAATCTTCTCCTTTCCCGGGCCAAGATTCTCTCCAGCGTGTGGTAATCTTCGGAGACATGGGAAAGGTTTGATCTTTCATCCAAATCACATTGTGCCTTTTCGTTAATATATTCTTAAAACTGTATCTATACCTCTCTCATGTGTCTTGTTGCAGGCTGAAGTTGATGGCTCAAATGAGTACAAAGATTTTCAACGCGCTTCTCTCAACACCACAAAGCAGCTTATTCGAGATCTAAAGAACACTGATGCAGTTTTCCATATCGGAGATATCTGTTATGCAAATGGATACCTTTCGCAGTGGGATCAATTCACAGCGCAAATTGAGCCAATTGCTTCCACTGTTCCATACATGGTTGCAAGGTCTGCCTTTTTCTATTTCTAAGAAAGTTACTGCCTTTCTGGTTTATTGAAAGTGACTGTGATTAATCTCATGTGCAGTGGAAACCATGAGCGTGTCTGGCCCAACTCAGGATCGTTTTACCAGGGTTTAGACTCTGGAGGGGAATGTGGTGTACCAGCTCAGACAATGTTCTACGTTCCTGCTGAAAACAGAGCTAAGTTCTGGTACTCAAGTGACTATGGCATGTTCAGGTTCTGCGTGGCGAACACAGAACTCGACTGGAGAGAAGGAACAGAGCAGTACAACTTCATTGAACACTGCTTAGCATCAGTCGACAGGCAAAAACAGCCGTGGTTAATATTCCTTGCTCATCGAGTGCTCGGTTATTCCTCAGCAGACTTGTACGCTGAGGAAGGCTCTTTCGGAGAGCCGATGGGAAGAGATAGCCTTCAAAAGCTCTGGCAGAAGTACAAAGTCGACATTGCAGTCTATGGCCATGCACATAACTACGAGAGGACATGCCCGATTTACCAGGTAAAAGAGTATCCTTTATGAGCATATAAAATCAAAGAATGAAAGATCTGATTGTTTCTGTTACCTTTTGTAGAATATATGCACCAATTTTGAGAGGAGAAACTACAAGGGTCCATTAAATGGGACGATTCACATTGTTGCTGGAGGTGGAGGAGCTGGTCGTACAAAATTCTCCTCGTGGAAACCGAATTGGTCTCTATTCAGGGATATTGAGTATGGTTTTGTTAAACTTACAGCATTTGACCACTCTACTCTCCTGTTCGAGTATAAGACGAGCATCGACGGCCGTGTCCACGATTCTTTCACCATATCAAGAGATTACAGAGATATAATGGCTTGTGCTGTTGATAGTTGCCCAGCAGTAACAACAGCTTCGTAGAATCTTGAAATATCTTCAAAAGACTATCAATGAATATAATAAAAGTGTTTTAATTTCTCAATAATCAAAGAAGTACGATTTTTACTTTTAAGTTTTGCAGTATGCATTACAGAGAAAAAATGGACCGTTGAGCTCTGAATTATATCATTTTTGTAGTTTAACATCAACAGTAGCATTCTTTTCTTTTTATAGTTAAATCACTTTTAATTCAAAACAATTCAGTATTGACTATTGATGGCATATTAGAAAGTGATTCTTATTACAAATGCGACCGGAAATAAAACATACAAATTTATTTGATGATTTATGGGATAAAATGTTGTATATATTTTAGTAAAAAAATTCAGATACCAAGCAAAAAATGGAGGGAAGAAACGTTACAAATCTTTCGAGTCATAGGTGAACCAGATTTCATATTTACTAAAAGTTCTTTTCATTGATTTATTACATTTAGTTCGTCCAATTATAGTGAAAAGTTCAAGATTCCATAGTAATGAGACGAAATTTTAATAAATATGAAAATCTGATCCATCTAAATTATTGTTTAGTCGTTTAGTCTAAAATGCTATAAATTGCGATATGGCAAACGATATTTTCAAGAGAATGATGAAGCAAGTTTCTTTCAAACTTGTATTATTGGTTTCCCTTACTGTCACTGTCTTTCGTAAGTCCTCGTTGGAATCTTATTTATGAATGTATAATTTTTGTTTTTAAATCTGTGTAATCTTTCGTTGTTTCAAAATGTTTTATGTGATAATGGAGGCACCGAGCCATGTAGAAACGTATAATGATTATAGGTCTCGATTTTGTTCCTATTCAATAGTATTTTGGTCACTAAATTATGATTTTTTAAAGTGTAAAATCATCTTTGATTTTCTTTGATCCAATACTTATTTAGACTGATAAGTATGGACCATTTGGACTAATTATTAGAAAAAAATATGTGTGTCAATCATCTAATATAAAGCATAATCCACTAAATCTGATTAAAACAAGATATAGATAGACAATTTAAATCGAAAAAATCTTTTATTTCTAATCTGGCAACTATTATCTGGCCAAAATTTATAGTACTAACTATATTTTAGATACATTTCCAAGTTTATTAAGTCTTTTTTGGGGAGTTAAACTTTCATGTTTACTAACATAATAGTAACATTTTTGTTAGTCAAAAGAATCCAATAGCAATTACACTACAATATCTCCACGCGTACAATATTAAACAAAAAGATAATGATCTAACCATCACCTAAACTGGACTATAAAAATAACAAATCGACGAAGAATACTTTCATCTTCACCATCAAAAGATTTACCAAACAATAAAAAACTTCACCAGTGAAAGGACTATCTTTAAAAATGAAGATCGCTTCCTTCAAAATGTTAGTATTGGTTTCTCTACTTTTCGCCGTCGTCCGTAAGTTAAAAAACAATAAAAAATCAAGTTCATTTTTTTCTTTTAGTATTTTTATTTACAGAGTTTTTTCAGAGATTATTGTTTTTTCTTCTCCTTATCTCTTAGTAATATATGCAGAAAATGGACTTAGCATTCAAAATAATGAAAGTTTGCTCAACCAAAACTCTTGTAAGCCTAATGAACCAAGATGCAGCGGCTGTGAAGGTGGTGGTAGTGGTGGTGATAATCCTGGACCACCACCATCATGTTGTAAGAAGGATAGTGACTGTACACCAGATTGCCCAGAGGGAGGTTATTGTAGCAAACACCAATGCAGTTGTGTTTGTCATGTGGTTAAAGTGATGAATAATGATGTTCGTTGTCAAGTAGATACTGATTGCAACATGAAATGTTCAAATCAAGGGTATTGCAAACTGGCATCATAAAGAAAACTCGTTTGTAGACGCATATGGTGAATGCTTAAATAAACATATTATATTCAATATGAAGAAATAAATTTTTCGAAATGCTCTATTTTTCTTATCTAGCCTTTTTAGGAAAAAATCGATCCAAATTTCAAAGAGGAAAAACAAACGTTATACTTTTACTGACTTGAATTATCTCTCTCTACTCGGCTTTTACTACAATTTTGGGGTCAATTCGTTTGGAACTTAAGTTGATTGATCAATTTCATATTGATGGGCTTTTAATGGATCGGCTTTCATGCAAAACCTAACAACAGCAACAACAACTATCTTTCACTTTCTCTGCCCCAAACACAAATGACTTAATCTTCTCTCATTCGATTGCCCATGGGCCCCATATGGTATCCCAAAATGCATCGACTTTAGATTAGAAATCATGTATAAAACGCCTAAAAGAAGAATTTTTACATGAATATCATATCACCATTTTGAAACTGATTATTAATAATTTTAGAGATTCAAACTTTCAAGCTGTCAAAATGATTATACCATATCACGAATCCTATGAAATGGACTATAAACTTCGATGAGGCATGAAGCATAGCTTTCCACTACATTCAAACTTTCATAATAATAATAAAATTAGATTTAATTAAGAACAAAGTGTTATTTAGCTAGGAGAATGAAGCAAGTTTCTTTAAAGCTTAATATGTTACTGGTTTCTTTTCTTGCATGTCAGTGTCTTTTGTAAGTATATGCAAACCGCATTGTGTTATATTGGAATATTAAATATAGATATCTAAATAGTATTCAGATTCATTATCTCAACTGATTAAATCTATAGAACAAATTGAAAGAGAGGTAGAGACCGGATTCTGAATTTAAGCACCAGCTATAGAAAAAAAAACAAATTTGACTTGTTTTAGTCACCTCTCAAAAGAAATTATGGACACAAAATTTCTTTCTTACTTAAGAAAAACTAATCAAAACTTAAGCAAATTTTAAGAAAAAAAAACTAGAAAAAAAATAAATTGAAATCTTATGTTTAATTGATGAGATCAAACACATAGAGACGTTGTTAAATCTTCCTCAATGTTCCAGCAGGTGAGAGTTTCATTGATTCCTATATAATGCTGAACTCTGTCTCTACAACAATTTGATATGATTTAAGACTAAAAGATCAAACCTTTCCCATGTCTCCAAAAATAACAACTTGTTGGAGAGAATTTTGTCCCGGGAAAGGAGAAGATTTAAATTGATACTGTTTACTCCAGATCAATGCACCATTGGATAATCTATGCCCTACTTTGTAGGTATACCTGTATAATGATCAAATCAAAAGCTCAGTGATTCCTCCATGTAGCTAATTCATTGGTTCAGAACAGATAATACACATGGCACATATATACTTGGAATTTGGCCATAATTCTTTGAGAAACGCTGTGTGTATGTATCCGGGATCACGCCATCCAATCGTCCTTGCAGGAGCACCGCACATGCTGTTACGCCTGAAGGTCAATGTTCCAGCAGTGAGAGTTACAGTTCTCCTCCTTTAATCCCCCACTCAACAACAGGTTCAGCAAAGTTGAGTCCATAACCACTAGTCCATGTCATTGTCATCTATTTATAAATTCATTTTCACTTCTTTGGGTCAATAGCACAAAAAATAATCACCAAAAGGATTGAGATTCTTACTTCATCATATTCTTTGCCTAGCGCCAACCGTGGGTAAACTGGTGCCTTTGGGTCCTCTAAGGTTACTTTGTTTGAGATTGCCACAAGCTTTGGCTATTACACAAGAAAAATGCAAAACCAATGGATATTGGATGGTTAAAGATGAGTATAAGAAGAGCAGCGACGGCCGTGTGCATGATTCTTTCACGATATCAAGAAATTACAGAGATTTATTGGCTTGTGCTGTTGATAGTTGCTCTGCAGTAAGTAACTATAGCTTCATAGAATCTTGATAGCTCTTCAAACGAATCTCAATGAATATAAACAAAGTGTTATCTCGGAGAATGAAGGAAGTTTCTTTAAAGCTTGAGTTACTCGTTTCTCTTCTTGCGGTGTAATTCGTAAATAAAAGAAACCTGCATTGTGTTACGAATGCAGTTTTTCTATACTTCACTATCTCAACCGATTAAATCCATGGAACGAATTGAGAGATAAGACCGGATTCTAAATTTGAACACTGGCTACAGAAAAAAATAATAACAAATTTGACTTGTTCTATTTACCTCTTGAAAGAAATCATAGACCGTAAAATCCAAAAGTTTTTTCTTTAAAGCAAAACTTAAGCAAAATTTAAGAAAAAAATCAGAAAAAAGTTAAATTGAAATTTCATATTTAGTTGATGAGTTGCATTATTATTAAGTAAAATAATCTATGTTTATTTTTTTCTGAAAACATCACACTTGCAAATATATGTTTATGAGCTTAATTATCCACAAATTTATATAGAAAATTTGCTAAAACAAAAAAAAATCGAAGATACACTTAAGAACTATATTTTCAAAATATTACTACCAAATTTGACTAACCAAGACAATTAACCACTAGTCCATGTAATTGTCATCTATTTTCAAACTATTAAAAAAATTGTAGAGACTAGAGACAATGAAGTATGACATAGCGCAAATTGATTTCTCTTGCATGCAACCCAACTGGAACTTGTTCAGCGACAAGGACTTCGGCTTCATCATCCTAACCACCGTCGATCACTCGAACCTTAAGTTCGAGTACAAGAGAAGCAGCGACGGAGTCATCCACGACGCATTCGAGATAGCGAGGGATTTACAAAGACCTACTGGCGACCTTTGCCTTCTAAGATAGAATAATAGAACTGTGTAATCTTTTGTTGTTTCAAAATGTTTTATGTTATATTGAGGGCACCGAACGTGTAGATACATATAATGATTATAGGTCTCGACTTTGTTCCTATTCAATAATATTTTGGTCACTAAATTATGATTTTTTAAAGTGTAGAATCATCTTTGGACTAATTATTAAAAAAATATATATGTGGATCAATCATCTAATATAAAGCATAGTCCACTAACTCTGATTGAAAAAGATATAGATAGACAATTTAAATAGAAAAATCTTTTATTTCCAATTTGGCAACTATTATCTGGTCAAAATATCTAGTATTAATTAAATTTAATTACATTTCCATGTTTATTAAGTCTTTTTTTTGGGGTTAAACTTTCATGTCTACTAATATAATAGTAAATGTTTTTGTTAGTCAAAGAATCCAATAGCAATTACACTACAATAAGTCCACGTGTAAATATTAAAAAAAATTATGATTTAACTATCACCTAAACTGGACTATAAAAATAACAAATTGATGAAGAATACCTTCAACTTCACCATCAAAAGATTTACCAAACAATAAAAAATCATCACCAGTGAAAGGAAAAAAACAACAAATGAAGATCGTTTCCTTTAAAATGTTGTTATTGGTTTCTCTACTTGTCGCCGTCGTCCGTAAGTAAAAAAAAAAAAAGTTTATAAGTAATTAAGCCTGTGAAAAAATTATTTTTAGAATTCATTTTTTACTCTTAGTATTTTTATTTACAAAATTTTTTCAGATATTAACGTTTGTTTCATATTTCTTATTAATATATGCAGAAAATGGACTTGGCATTCACCATAGTGAAAGTTCTGTTAACCAAAACTCTTGTATCCCAACTGAACCAAGATGCAGCGGCTGTCCAGGTGGTGGTAGTGGTGGTTGTCGTGGACCACCACCTCCATGTTGTAAGAATGATAATGATTGTAAAGAGCATTGTCCAGAGGGAGGTTATTGTAGTCACCAATGCGATTGTGTTTGTAATTTGGCTAAAGTGATGAATAATGATGTTCGTTGCCAAGTAGATACTGATTGCAACATGAAATGTTCAAACCAAGGGTATTGCAAATTGGCATCATAAAGAAAACTCGTTTGTGAATGCATATGATGAATGCTTAAAATAAACATATTCAATATGAACTAAATAAATCTTTCAAAATGCTCTTTTTTTTTTTTGGCTGAATGATTCAATATATTAACCAACAATAAAGTCACGTACAAAAAGGAAACGATTGCAATTAAACAATATAACTCATTACATAGTTGTAATGCATTTATCATTTTTGAACACCTTCTGAAGCCAAAAAAAGTATCCACTTGCTACGTATGATTGGAACCGTTCCTCCCTGTGACACTCCTAACAATCAAGAAAACACCAAGGTTAACCTCCCGATCATCATGAACAACTCTCCATTTTTGTATGCTCTGTTTTTTTCTATCTAGCCTTTTTAGGAAAAAGATGATCCAAATTTCAAAGAAGAAAAGCAAGCGTTTTACTTTTTACTGACTTGATTTATACTTTGTTTTTACTACAATCTTGGGGTCAATTCGTTCTGAGCTTAGGTTGTTGGGTTGATTTCATGCAAAACCTAACAACAACAACAACAACTATCTTTCACTTCCTCTGCCCAAAACACAAATGACTAAATCTTCTCTCATTCGGTGGCCCATAGGCCCATACGATATCCAAAAAAGCATTGACTTTAGATTAGAGATCATGTGTAGCGCTAGAAGAAGGATTTTTACACTGAAACTGATTATAATAAATTTAGAGATTCAATGTATTAATCGTATTTTATGTTAAAATCTTGAGTAATCGTTCTCATTCAGACATTAAAAATCTCGACTTCCAAATTTAAGCAATTTAAGATCCGCTAATCAAAACATGGGAATCAAATTTTGAATTTTTGATGTGGATTCTACTCCAATGTCATGTAAATTGGCCGTTGACAAGCCAAGTCTTGACTTTTCTATATCCTTGAGGGGAATCTCAAGACTGGATATTCTAATTATTAAAGACTCTTCTTATTAATCTAATCTTCTACAAAGTTTCAATCTTTCATCTTCTCCAATTGATTCAAAGCAACACGAAGTTACTGGTAATATCCTCACTCTGCTTTTTGAATCCAATTGCTAGTTTTTGATGATTTACCAAAGTGTTCAACTTTCTGCTACATGTGGTTTCATTTGTGTGTGTTTCAGTCTTAAAAGACATGAGAGAATCGTTAGTTGCAATCTTGGTGACAGTTGTATCAGTTCTTGGAGCAATTCAACAAGTGAAATCTCATAAAGACCAACCTTTATCAGGAATTGCTATCCATAAGATTACATTTGATCTCAATGAAAAAGCTTATGTCAAAGCCTCTCCAACAGTTCTTGGATCTAATGTAATTATAACCATACCCTTCTTCTATTTCTCATAGCTTTTGATGCATTGCTAAACTTCAATGCATTTTTTACAGGGTCAACATAGTGAATTGGTGTTGGTCCAATATAGCTCTCCAAAACCATCTGATGATGATTGGATTGGAGTGTTTTCCCCTGCAGATTTCAAGTAGTTTAACACATTCCTTCTTCTCATCAAATTAGTTCTGAGATTGAAAATAAGTCAACACATTTGTTATTCCTATAGTGCTTCGACTTGTCCAGGAGATAACAAAATGGTCCAACCACCTCTACTTTGTTCCGCGCCTGTCAAGGTTTTCTTGTTTTCTCATAGCCTTATTCACCATTGATTCTGCTTTTCTTCTCTGCAGCAAGTCTTTAGCCTTTTGCTACCTTTTCTTTCTTTACAGTTTCAATATGCAAACTTTAGTAATCCAAGATACACCAATACTGGAACTGGTTCCTTGAAGCTTCAACTGATCAACCAGAGATCAGATTTCTCCTTTGCGCTCTTTTCTGGCGGTTTGTTGAATGTAACACTCATTCACCTACAACTTCTCTAGCTTTACAGGTTCTTTTGTTTCATCTTTAACCATCCCTTGGTTTTGCTTTTTCTTGTGTGACAGCCAAAGCTTGTGGCAATATCAAACAAAGTAGCTTTTGAGAACCCAAATGCACCAGTTTATCCGCGATTGGCGCTAGGCAAAGAATGGGATGAAGTAAGATTCTAAAACACTTTTGGTGATCATTTTTTGTGCTACTGACCACAAAGTAGTGAAAATGAGTTTGTAAATAGATGACAGTGACATGGACTAGTGGTTATGGACTCAACTTAGCTGAACCTATTGTTGAGTGGGGGGTTAAAGGAGGAGAGCCTAAACTTTCACCTGCTGGAACATTGACCTTCGGGCGTAACAGCATGTGCGGTGCTCCTGCAAGGACAGTGGGATGGCGTGATCCCGGATACATACACACCGCTTTTCTCAAAGAGTTATGGCCAAATTCCAAGTATGTGCCATGTGTTTTCTCTGTTCTGAACCGATGAATAAACTTCCTGGAGGAATCACTGAGCTTTGATTTGATCATTATATAGGTATACCTACAGAGTTGGGCATAGATTGTCCAATGGTGCATTGATCTGGAGTAAAGAGTATCAATTCAAATCTTCTCCTTTCCCGGGCCAAAACTCTCTCCAACAAGTTGTTATCTTTGGAGACATGGGAAAGGTTTGATCTTTTAGTCTTAAAGCATATCAGATTGTTTATTGTTGTAGTCTCAAAACCTCATTTATACCTTTTCTTGTGCTATGTTGTTGCAGGCAGAGGTCGATGGCTCAAACGAGTATAATGATTTCCAACGCGCTTCTCTCAACACTACAAAGCAACTTATTAAAGATCTAAAGAAGACTGGTGCAGTTTTCCACATTGGAGATATCTGTTATGCAAATGGTTACCTTTCTCAATGGGACCAATTCATAGCACAGATTGAGCCAATTGCTTCCACGGTTCCATACATGATTGCAAGGTTTTGCTTTTGTGTTTCTTTTTCTATAGACAATGTTGTTGGCTTTCTGGTATACCGAGTCTTAAAAATTGACTCTCTGCAGCGGAAACCATGAGCGTGACTGGCCTAACTCAGGATCGTTGTACCAGGGTTTAGACTCTGGAGGAGAATGTGGTGTACCAGCTGAGACAATGTTCTATGTTCCTGCTGAAAACAGAGCTAAGTTCTGGTACTCGAGTGACTATGGGATGTTTAGGTTCTGTGTGGCTGATACAGAACATGACTGGAGAGAAGGAACAGAGCAATACAACTTCATTGAACACTGCTTAGCATCAGTCGACAGGAAAAGGCAGCCGTGGCTGATATTCCTCGCTCATCGTGTTCTCGGTTATTCTTCCACATCGTTTTATGCGGAAGAAGGCTCTTTTGCTGAACCTATGGGAAGAGACAGTCTTCAAAAGCTATGGCAGAAGTACAAAGTCGACATTGCGGTCTATGGCCACGCTCATAACTACGAGAGAACATGCCCGGTTTACCAGGTAAACATCATGCACTGTACTGGCATATCGAAGAATGGTTCTTAAAAGAGGGAATCATTCCATTGTTATTTTTCTTTTCTTGTGTGTAGAGTGTATGCACGAGTCATGAGAAGAGTAACTATAAAGGTCCATTGAATGGAACCATTCACGTTGTTGCTGGAGGTGGAGGAGCTGGTCTTGCTGAGTTCTCTGATCTTAAACCAAACTGGAGTCTATTCAGAGATTACGATTACGGATTCGTTAAACTTACAGCTTTTGATCACTCTAATCTTCTGTTTGAGTACAAGAAGAGCAGCGACGGACGAGTCCATGATTCTTTCACTATATCAAGAGATTACAGAGATATCTTGGCTTGTACGGTTGATAGTTGTCCTGCAACAACACTTGCTTCATAAAAACTTTGCTACTGCTCGAGCTCTTCTGTATTCAATTGTTCCTTGTTAAACTGTTGTAGTGTTTACACATCAATTATACGCACTTTGCAGAGAGGCCTTAAATTAAACGCGAGAGCTTGAGAAAGAATCATTTGATGATGATACTTTCATGTTCACAACTCGCAAGTATTAGACCTAAAACAAGAGAATCTTGATCTTCATCAAGACTGAGATTTGGCATTCATTCTTATAGCCAAAAACTAGAGATCCAAAAGATAAAACAACAAGAAAAATGAAACAAAGAACAAAAGACCTCCGGTTTCTTTACCGATTCTTCTATTTAAAAGGTCGAAGAAGAAGTGTTGACAACGATATGCCGTAGAGGACGATCCACATCTCCTCCGCCACCGTGTTTAACAAACTCAGCTGGTGTCAAGAAACTACCGTGGCAAATGCACATTATCCTCACTTCCTCTCCTTTTCCATACTTGTACAAAATCCCGTCAACCCGTCTTCCGTTTGGCCCGACCCCTTTCGTAAACACACAAGGCATGTCAACCAAACCAGTAGACGTAGCCATCCCTTTTCCTTTCCTATCCACCGAGTCCTCTCTTCTCACTCCTTTCTCATTCTCATTCACTTTGTTGGCTCTAGTCACACTCGGTTTCTCTGTTCCCTGGCTTCCGCTGTTCGATGAACATCCTGCCACGATCTTCGGGCTTCTTTCATCATTGCAGCTGTTAGATGATCCTGCAACACATAGATATCAGTCTTCCACAGAATCATACAAATCAAACTTTTTCAAATAGAGTTGTTTTACATTCACTCATTCTACGATTCCACAAGTTCAATGACAAATATCCAATTTTCCACTATAGTGTTACTAATCTTGAGTCTAAAAACCAACAATGTATTGAAATATACCTTGCTGATTCTTGTTGTCTAGTTCCGACAAGCTCGATGAGCTACCTCCTCCAGTTCCACCTCCTCCATCGGAATCAACACCACACACTTGTCTATTAGAAGAAACCAAATGTCTCTGCAAGAAGCCACTTTTACTCGCAGTAACCCATCTCTCATTCTCAAACGACACCGTTTGGTCATCAGAATTCCCAACTCTGAAACTCTGTTTCTCACATCTCCTTCTCTTAGCTTCCATTCTCCTCAGTGACTGCATCTCTTTCCTTTTCCTCCATTCCTCTTCCATCTCCGCCGGTAACGACGTCGTTCTCTCTAAACCCACCGTGTAATTCTCAGGCTCAGCCACCGTTAAATCGTTGAATGGTACAGTGTCCAAAACAGAAGAAGATCGTTTCAGCTTCCTCGGAGTCTTGTCTACTCCGAATCGACCTCCTAAAGACAAACCAAGATTCAGCTCAATGGCACTCTCATCATCACAGCCTGATTCTCCACCGTGAAAGGCTCTTCCACCGCCGTTTTCAGACATGAAACCTCGTAACAGATCTCTCGGGTATTTGTCTATGTCTAAAGAAAGATTTGTCGTAACCGTCATTTCTCTGTTCCATGCCCTTTGTTGTCTGCTTGCTTCACCCATAGATTCCGAAACAATAGAAAGAAAGAAAAAAAGATTTTTGTTTTGTTTCTCCTTTGTTATGAAAAACTCTGAATTTCACATCCGATCAAAAATCCAAAATTGTTATCATGAATTAAACAGTAAATCTTGCAAATTCACAACAAAGTAAAAAAAAAAAGCCTCGCCGGAGTTATTACCAGAGACGGCGAAGAAGACGAAGAGATTACAATTGAAAGTGAAGAGCAGAGACGAAGAAGAAGAAGACCCTTTTGGGACATTAGAGGAAAAGAGAGAGAAAAGAAAAGAAAGAGAGACAGGCCTTGACTGGGAGGAGGCAAGTGGCCGCCGAGAGAGCTGCCTGAACGACACGTGGCCGGTGGATTACGTCGGCGTTCCATAGTGCTGCTTCAAGAAACGTGTCGTAAAGTGACTGAGTTATCCAGTGTCACGACACGTGTCTCCCAAGTAAAAAGATCCGTTTTCTCCTTTTTCCCTTTTCTTTTTTAATTTTTTTTGCAGAAGTTTTTGTAAAAGTGAAAAAATCTCAAACTCGAAAACCTCAAAAATTAAGACATAAACGTATAGAGATCAAGAAAATGACAAGACCTGATTACTTATGGTATCGTTGATTGATAATTTCACAATGAAATTTGTCTTGTAAATTTTAATTTTTGAGAGGTAACACAACGACATAATTTGAATATGATAAATCTAGCGACTCGACAACGTCACTCACGTGGGTTAGACCAAAGGACCCACGAAGCAAGCAAGTTGCTTGTGAAAAAGTGAAAGGAGAATAAAAACACTCTCCATGTAAACGTAATTGAATACTACTACAAAAAGGCAAATTCATCAATAAACTAGTACTATAATCTAAAAGACTAACAATGATAATATAAAGTAATTAACAATTTAACATGGTAAAGTTTTGATTATTGACGACTAATCTTTTGATGGAGAAGAGTTTAGATTTAACATAATGAGCTACATAACTTAGTGAAAAAGTCTGATTATTATTGATTCAGTGATAGTTAGGTTTGAGAATGAAATCTATAAATCGAAAAGAAGATTTTTAGAATCCTTGGTGGGTCATTTTGATTTGTTGAGTCAAGTGGGGACGTGAAGATCTTTAAACCATTAAAAAACCAAAAATGCTACGTGTTCTTCACCTGTTGGTTCATGTAATAATGCAAACTTGAGAAAACTACAATACGACGTCGTTGACGACCAGCACCATTCACTTTCACATCAAGCCCATACGTTTAAGGGTTCGTTGCCTACATTTCGGTTTTGGAAATTTCAGTTTTTTGGTTTGTCCTCTTCTTCTTATTGGTCCTAAAAAAATTTCAGTTCATTTTCATTTTTGATTTTTATAAAAATTAATATAAAACTCGATTATATTGATTTTGAGAAAAATGGAGATGTCTCACTCAATTTACAACGAATTTCCGGTTTAGTTTTGGTTAAGAATGGTTTGCGAATCGGACCAGACCAAATGAAGATGAATCAGATTGTAAAGTAAAAGTAATCATCAAATTTTTGTTATCCCAAACAAAATCTCAAAGGAAAGAAGGGATAATCGCCTAAGAGATAAACCTACTCCAAGAGAACTTCTAATCTCTCTGTCTCTGTCCCTCTCACTATCTCTTCCTATAAAACTTCAGATTCTAAGTTTCAAATGAACAAAAAGAACCCATCAGAGTTTAAGAAAATGACTTCAAACTTGTTTAGCCTCTGGCTTGAGCATTTTCACGGCCAGCTTTTACAGTACCGTTCTGATGAACTTTGCCATCACCATTGTAAGCCTCACCGTTGCGTGATTCACCCCGTCTCTCGGATCCATTTCTTCCATACCCTCGACCTCCATTGGAACCGTTGCCTCTAGGCCTAACCCCATCGTTTCTGTAACCGTTCTCGTTCCTATAACCTCCATTTCGCATTGAGGGTCTTCCATTATCGTTGTTGCCTGCAGTGGAACCAAGGGTTTCAGTTTTTATATCCTGAAGTTGGGATCTTGGAGACATTATTAATCTTTATATGGACTTACCTCGTTTCTCTTCTATAGAAACTTTGCGGTTTCCGATTCTGATGGCTAAGCCTTTGTGAGCCTAGAGTTGTGTGGTAGGACATCAGAGGAAGGATCTAATTTATAACCAAAAGTTTGTAAGAAATTCGTTGATGTTGAAACATACCTGGAGGACCAATTTCACAGCTTCAGCAGATTCGAATGTCACAAACCCGAAACAGTTTCCCTTCAGCTGAAAAAGATATACTTGATGAGGATTCATAATTTTTGGCTGTGAAACAATGGAAAACAAGTTTCTTCAAAAGATCCATTCAATGACCAACTCACCCTGTAACTTCTCACTTGGATACCATCTTTCGTAATAGATCCAAAACCTTTGAAGGTTTCATTGAGTTGCTCTGGTGTCGCGTCCATGGGCAAGTTGGCAACAAATATCGTACAACCTGATGATACACGGAAATGGTAAAATCATATTAAGACATAGAAGAAGTTGAAAGGAATCGGTTTTCCTGAAAAGTTAAAACATTGAATTAAAACCTGGCTGGTCAACTGTTTCAGCAGAAGAGTGTTCAGAAACCGGCACAGGAGCTTTGGATTCAGGAGCAGCACTCGGCTTTGTAACAGGCTTAGACCTAGGCTTTGCAGGAGGAGCTTTGACATTGAATGTAGCACCGTTTTGAGCCAAAGATTGGACCTAAGTGTAAGTTGCAAAATATTTAGATTATATAAGCAAGATTGAGCCATAGCATTGGATTTCACACAAAAAGAGAACTCACAATTCCTGCATATGATTTCTTGGGAGCATCCACAGCATTGCTTTTATCGTTAACAACTTTTTCCTCCAGGGTTTTGGGATGTCCATTTGCTACAGCTCTCTCTGGTTTCTTCACTATATTTTCAGTAGTCTGTTTCGCCGCGGGTTGTTGACCAGGGATAGTAACTGGCTCTGCAACTTCATTCGCCGGCTCTGCTGATCAAAAACGAATATTCTTATGAAATAAGAAATGTAATTCTAATTTTTCTGATTGACAAAAAATCATTAGCCAATACTCACCCAAAACAGTGACTGTTGATTGGACCACTTGAGGAATCACCTCCTCAACCTCTTTCTTGTTAGCTTCTGGTTCAACAATCTCATCAGCAACATACCTAAAGACATCGTTCAGCACAAAGTAGCTTCCATTATGCGGCACAAGGAAAAACGATTGAGAAAATCTCATTCTTTCCCCTTCTTTCACGGTCAGTAAACCCGTGACTAGAGTCACAACTCCATTCTTGTAAGATGCTTGGGAATCAGCAGTCAAAATCTGAATCTTTGAGATTTTGTAATCGAAGGACATAATCTGCTCATTGATAGCCTGCAAACAAGAATAAAGAACTCTTAAAAACAAAAACTTTGAACAATGACATTAACACCAATAAATAGCTTTGATTCATCCAATTGAAAATTGTAGCTTACTTTTAAGGATTTGACAGAAACCATCTCTCCATCAGAACCAGGGCGGCCTAAAACACTATCATCAAGATAAAACTGATGCACTTCCGCTGGTGACTTATACAAGAGGTTGTAGTACTGCTCAACAAACGAATTGCCAATAGTGTTTGGATCCACCACTGGAGCATTTGATTCAAGTGCCATCTCTACCTAATTCAAGAGATTCACTAAGGGTCAGAAATATAATCAAACAAGTTGTCTCATAAGAACCACAAGTAATGAGTTTGTTTCATCTGAATCAAACAAGAGATTATAGCCTCACATTGCCATTCAAATCTACACTAGGGAATTCACAAATCTCATTAGATCTTGTAGCTTAAGAACAGTTACTTGCATAACCTAAGACTTGCAACTTGTGAATCTATAAATTGAAATTAAGACTCCATATATCTGTATTCCACGAGAAAGGAAAAGACTTTAAGGGAGAAATATAAACAATGAACAAAAGCAATACCTTGGAAGATGAGAAGAGAAGCAGAATCAACTATCAAGAATCTCAGATGAGTTCGAAGAGAAGACAGAGTAGGAGACAGGGGAGGGATGAATATATTTATATATAATGGTTAGTTCTAGGGTTTTACTTAGAAATCTCCGACGAGAAGAAATTGGGATTTTTGTAGGGCTTTTCTACTAGATTTTTTCACTATAATTTTACTATTATTATTTATGGTAAGGAGGGAAATTTTTTCCTTGAATTTTTGTTTTTGATGATTATGTATATTGTTGAGTAATGGAAATTGTGGCTAAAAAGAATTGAGAATTGTATGTATGTTATTCATGAAAAAAGAAAGAGATAAAAGGGATTTTTTTTCTTTTTTGGAAGTTTAAGGAAATTAAAAAAAAAAATTATTTATGAAAGAAGCCCCCGGCGAGGATCGAACTCGCGGCCTTTCGCTTACGAAGCGAACGCAATACCACTATGCTACGGAGGCTTTTGATAGATTGTTTCAGTGTATTGTTTATATACAAAAACAAATGTGACGGAGTAATTATGGACTGGATTTAGGTATATCTTCCATGCCTTCTTAAGTATTGGAATTATGCATCTAGAAAGTTAAAAAAAGAAAAACAATTAATATGGATTTCTAAAGATAGAGAAAAATATTATTGCTATTTTGCCTCTTTGGTATTTTTTTCCCAAAGAAACTTTGAATTTTTGTTAGATCTTTAATTTGAATTTTATAATCATCAATTTAATGAACTGAATTTGATTATTGACATTTTTTGTCCTCTTTTAAAAAAAAATCCAGCATGTCCTCTTTTAGTTACAAAAAATAAAATACTTCATTTGTATTGATTTTTCTAATATTGCTTGCTTAAATTCTATCATTTATTTCTCTACCACAATAATGTTTACACTATTTTTGTTGGAATACACTATATTTCTTTCCAACTGTGTTTGATTACACTTATGTTTCTTCCAAATGTCATTTGTAAGTTATACACATATAGGAATGTCAGATAGCTCAATTTCATAAGACTCAAACTTGTGTATATTATTTAATCGTAAAGTTAAAATCAGAATATGTTATAAAAGTATTTTTTAAAAAAAAAATTGAAATAAAACAGATTAAGCCCCACAAATACATATTTTCTCCTATGCATCTTTGATGTGCTGGTTTAAGAGTTCCTCTACGATGTATTATCGGCCCAATAAAGAACTAGAGGATAGGCTACGGTTCGTAGAGCCCATGAATCGGAGTTTTTACAAAACTGTACTGTACATATACGGTGAGCCACCAAATACACAATTAAGCATAGATAACACATTTTGCTTACATAATTTTCTAAGAAGTTACGTAATTTGAAATATATTATTTATAAAAATGTAAATTTTTAACACCAAAATGGACCCAAACCAATTAAGGTGAGAAATGTTTGAACAGTCAATACTCAATACGATCAATCATATATCAAAAAATGTTTCACGAAACTTTTCTGAGTATAATTTTATCTCTAAAATAAAGCTGTAAGATTTAAAATAAAAAATGTTAAGGTGAAAAATGTTGAACAATTTATATGAATTTCAATTTGTAGTATTTGGTTCATTTTAATGTTGTAGTCTAGATTTTTATTTTTTAAAATTTGTGTCTCTTTTTAGTGACAGATTCTTGAAAATGAATGCACATGCATGTTTTTGATTACTTGGAAAATGGAATTATATTTAAACTCCTTTGTAAGTGCATAGTAAATAGAAAGCATCAATCTTTGTGAATAAAATATTAAAAAAAAATTCTATGAAACAAAAGAAATATCATCAATAGAAACATGCATGTGCAAACATTTGAAATGTAGATCCATATCCAAATCGAATTGGAATATCAATATCCAATTTTCGTTTAAAAAATATTTGATTTAATAAAAAAAAATACCCAATCCATATCCTTAACCATATACCAATCTAGGAGAAAGGGGAACCACAAGATGATGACAAGAGAATGAGATCACTCTCGTTATGTTCGAACCAAACTAGAAGTCTTTTTGCTTGTAAAGGGTACAACTACATGAAGAGTTGTCCAGACATTGACATGATTGGTCTTTCAATTTTCACTTCATCTTTTTGTTCTTACATTTTTTTTTTGTGCAACTTTCTTCTTACATATTTATTCTTATGCTTTACCCTAAAATCCATTTTGGACCCACAAAAAAAAACAGCTGTCAAAAGTAAAAATACTCCTGATGTTATGTCATTTTCATAAAAAAAATATAGAACATGCTCTTTTTAACTGAAGCCTGGAAGTATTTGAGAGTTCCCAAAAGTCATAGTAGTTCTACACAGATATTTAATTATTGGTCAAAGTCTATCAACTACTTCAACTAGTTTCAAAAACTTTATCAACTATTTTTTATTAGTTAAAATACACATAAATTCAATGTTTATCACAATTGATGCAAAATTTTAATAAATATTTTAGAAACTATAAAAATAATAAAATATAATTCTAAGAAACCTAAAATTTGAAAATTATGTCTATTGATATTAATATATAAAATGATAAAATGTTAAAATTAGTGATCATATTTTATCATTAGGTTAATTTCAACTATTAATATTATTTTTCAATTGTGAATTTATATAACAAAGACATAATTCAAATGAAATTGTAAGACTATCAAACAAATATCACTAATAGGGTATACGAGCGATGGTTGTCAGAACATTACAAAACAAATGGTATTCATTGAGGTATACTTAAACATTTAGTATGATGGATACAAGCTAAAAAATTTGTTTCTTAATTTCTCAATCTATTTAACGAAAATGTTGGTGTGGTACAAATGACGTAAAACTGCATGTAGTATTGTAGAGATGGTTATGAAGTTACAAACAAATTCGTAATATTCTTTTGATATTGTGTATTTTCAATTAAAATACTCGAACATGATAAATATCTCATAAATTATTTCATAATGTAGTTGTATTCACATTTTATGTTACATGTATTCATTTGATTAAACTATTTACGCTCATGTTTATAAAAAAGATTCGTAACTGCATTTCTATGTATTTATCAATTTATTGATCAACTTATGTCAAATAGTTAAACTAGTTTTCAAAAGACTATAAAAAATTTGTTTTTCATTTGTTTTTTTATGTTTTGGTTTTGTTATTTCATGCAACCGTTATGAAAATACTTGATGTTGCATAAATGAATTTGTACAAACTAATTCATGATTTTGTTGTTGAGAAAGAAAGTTGTGACTACATTTTTAAGTAAGTCCAATAGTTAAAATTGATCTTTAAAATTTACAAAATATATTTTTGTGATAAAAATAAATATGAATATATATTTTTTTTTGCTACTCAATGTTATGACTTTTATCAAACTATTTCACACTATTTGTTTAAACTATTTCATGCTTTTTTGTTTTTAAAAGAGAGAGTTGTAATTGCATTTCTATGTAGGTATGTAACTGTTAGTCAAACTCTACCATATACTTCAACTAGTTTTAAAACTTTTATCAAGTATTTGTTTTTGGTGACAGATAAATATTTGAAAGGAGAGTCGTCACATTATTTCTATTTATAAATAGAAATAGGAATATTTGAAACGAGAGTCTTTTATACACAATATTCCTAAAATACGAAAATGTGAAATCATAGTAAATGGTCGTATTTTTGCAGAATTACGTTACGAAAATGTGTAAATGGTCGTATTTTTGCAGAATTAAGTTAAGGGCTTGATAAATTATACGAAATCAAATAATAAATACTAATAAAATACGAAAATGAGAAATATAGTTATATTTCTAGTTCACTTACTATCGATACAACTATAGTTGATGTGAAAAGGAATTGGGTTTCGCTATCAATGAAATACTAATAAAATACGAAAACAGTAAAATGAGCAGTAGAAACTAGCTGAACGAAGCAGGCCTAAGCCTAACACTAGACCATGTACATTCACAGAGCTTTACGTGTATACTAATGTCAGCTTTCTACTACACTTGCTCTCTGTATTTTCTTAATCATCACTGCCCTTTGTCTCCCCTCTTAACTTTTTATTATTATTTTCTTCTCTACGTAAATAAATCCTAGTACAAGTATATACTATTAATTTATTTATGTCTCTTGTACAACTTTAGATTTCAATGTAAAAAATAAAAAGAGCACAGTGATTTGCATAGCTTTACAAAGGAAAAAAAATTACAAAGACCACGCAGGCTTCTAAAGTTAAGATCACACGGCAAAGATTTTCTTCTTCAATTATGATATTGATATTGACTTCACTATTGATTTGACTCCTTCCACGTGTCTCGTAAGTTTAACTCTTTTTTCGTTTTACAATAAAGTCGAATAGTAGAATCAAATAGTGAAAAAAAGCCTCGAACATTTGAGATGCCCCTAACACTTAGCCATAAACGATCAGATTTTGTTTTGTTTCTGTTCGTCATGTGAGCACGCCTTTGAATTAAATGCCAGATGTATTAAGTGCACCGTTTGATCTAAACTTACTGTATTTTACTCATATTTATGAGTGTAAAGAAGAAAAAAAAGCATTACTATCGTTCTGTTTTACTTCTGTATTACTCATATTTATGAGTGTAAAACAAACACAAAATGGAGTTATATAGAAGAAGTCAATTCTGTTTGCCATTTTTGAGTAGATGTTCGAAATATAATTCTATTTGGTAACAGTGTGTATTTGCCTTAAAATATTTGAATGGAATAGTGAAACGAGTAAGTGAGAATAATTTGATTTTCACTACTACTTCACTACTTTTTAGTTTTTTTAGATTCTAGTCGTTGAACTTGTGGATGATGGAGTTGCAGAATATTAATCACGATTTTCACATAATTGATGATGATAAAAATTTCAATTCACGGTTTACCGATTATAGTTGGTGTTTCTTTTTTAAAAAAGTTCAGAAAAAGTTTTCAAATTAAAAATTAGTAAGCCACACTAAAATATGAATAAATCCGTACAATTAATAGCTTTGGTAATAGTGGCAACGACGGCTGCGATTCCCATTTTGATTATTCTTTAGCATTGTTTCTTTTTTTTCTTTTTTTTTTCTTATAATAACAATATTTTAAAAGTTTAGTTAATTAACTCCACCCATTTATTTTAAAACCGTATCAGGAGAGCGAATGAATCTTTTCAGATTATTATTATTAGCTATTTAATGCGAGGTTGATATTATTCTTTGGTGTTAAATGTTACAGCTATAATAATAGACTAGTAGTAGTAGAAGTTTATGGAAGTGAAGTATTCCAAAAACATTATTTATACATGAAAGAAAATATCTTGACTTTGTTGCAAATATTATATACATGACACAACTAGATCTTGCTTATTATTGCAAAAACATACCAATATTTTGGCTTTAAATTTTTCACACTTACCATATGAATCACACTCTATTGTTTGTTGATACTTTATCAAAAGTTATTTTTTCCGATTAGAAATTCTGCAAAACATTTACAAAATAAATTCACTTTTATCATTAGACCAATAAAATTTAGCTTAAATACAATATTAGGATTTTCAATTTTTTCTGATAGTTGTTTTTTACTATACTCAATATAAATGGTGATTTTCAAAAAGTTTAGTAAATAACAAAATAAACATCTACATCAAAAATCACTCCAAACTTAAAGCCATTGACTTCCCTTTGACCTACAAGGCAAATACAATTACAATGAAAATCCCTGATTAATTAGTTTAAAATACCTATGACTAAATCATATCTATTTAAACACTCTTCCATGCACAGAGACTTCATATCTCATAAACTCCGACACTTCTCTCTCACACTCACAACACTTTCTCTCCTTCCATAACTTAGCCTGAGATGTCTCCGGAAGCTTACGTTCTGTTCTTTAACAGTTTTAACCTCGTAACCTTCGAAGCCTTTGCTTCGATCGCTCTTTTCATAGCCACAGTTGCTTTCTTTCTCTCACCAGGTGGGCTCGCATGGGCCTGGACCGGTTCATCCAAGAACCGGGTTTCAATTCCGGGACCATCTGGTTCTCTTTCCGTCCTCTCCGGTTCTAATCCCCACCGTGTTCTCGCCGCTCTTGCAAAACGCTTCAAGGCCTCTCCGTTGATGGCGTTTTCAGTTGGGTTTTCGCGTTTCGTTATCTCTAGTGAACCGGAGACGGCTAAAGAGATTTTGAACAGCTCTGCTTTTGCAGACCGTCCGGTTAAGGAGTCAGCTTACGAGCTTCTGTTCCACCGTGCCATGGGATTCGCACCGTATGGTGAGTATTGGAGGAATCTGAGGAGAATCTCCTCCACTCATCTTTTTAGTCCGAGAAGAATCGCAAGTTTCGAAAGTGTTAGAGTTGGGATCGGTATGAAGATGGTGAAGAAGATTAAGAGCCTTGTTACGTCTGATGCTTGTGGTGAAGTTGAAGTGAAAAAGATCGTTCACTTTGGTTCTTTGAATAATGTAATGACGACTGTGTTTGGTGAAAGTTACGATTTTGATGAAATTAATGGAGCTGGATGTTTTCTGGAGAGGCTTGTGAGTGAAGGTTATGAGTTACTTGGGATATTTAACTGGAGTGATCACTTTTGGGTTCTTCGTTGGTTTGACTTCCAAGGAGTGAGGAAGAGGTGTAGAGCTTTGGTCACTGAAGTCAACACTTTTGTCGGCGGAATAATTGAGAAACACAAGATGAAGAAGAGCAATAATCTCAAGGGAGAGGAAAATGACTTCGTTGATGTCTTGCTTGGCTTGCAAAAGGAAGAAAAGCTGTCTGATTCTGACATGATTGCTGTTCTTTGGGTAAGCTACTTTTACTATTTTTCTTCTGAGAGGATAAAAGTTTCAATCTTTGAATGTGAGTTTTTTTAATATTTGCTAACTAAAGTTGTATTCTTTTGAACTTTATTTTTCTTTTTAGGAAATGATATTTAGAGGGACAGATACAGTTGCGATTCTAGTGGAATGGGTGCTTGCAAGAATGGTTTTGCATCAAGACATCCAAGATAAACTCTACAAAGAGATAGCTTCTGCTACAAGTAACAATACTAGATCCTTGTCTGATTCCGACATCCCAAAACTACCGTACCTTCAGGCTATTGTCAAAGAAACCCTAAGGCTCCACCCACCTGGACCACTCCTCTCTTGGGCCCGTCTCGCTATCCACGATGTCCACGTAGGTCCTAACCTTGTCCCTGCTGGAACCATAGCTATGGTCAACATGTGGTCCATCACACACAACCCTAAAATCTGGACTGACCCTGAAGCGTTTAAGCCTGAGAGGTTCATTGGTAGTGAGGATGTGAGCATCATGGGCTCGGATCTTAGGTTGGCTCCATTCGGATCGGGTCGTCGGGTTTGCCCTGGTAAGGCAATGGGTCTAGCTACTGTTCATCTCTGGATTGCTCAATTGATCCAGAATTTCGAATGGGTTAAGGGTTCTTGTGATGTTGAGCTCGCTGAGGTTCTCAAGCTGTCTATGGAGATGAAGAATCCGTTGAAGTGCAAGGCTGTTCCAAGGAATGTTTGTTTCGCTTGATGGATTATCGTGTCGGGGACTTGTTTAATGAACTATGGGTAGTACTAATTAATAAAATTAATAATAATTATGGTTGGGAAGGAAGTTAGGGTTTTGGCACGTTGGTCGAACTTCTTTAGGGTTTTGGTGTGAGTTTTCTATTTTGCTTTGTGTTGCTTCATGATGTTATCGCATCCCCTCGGTATGCTTTTCAATGTTTTTCTATCTATAAAATTGATTAGCTAAGTTTATGCAATAAGCAAATCTCTACTATATTTCTATCCAAAATATCGCGTACTTTACAATTTATAGAGATTTCTGAATTAGTGGGTAAAATTGAAAATCCGGATGCCATCTTAATTTTTGCCATTCTTTGGTTCGTATTTAAAAGTGATAAAAAATGTTTTTAGTTTTATAAGAAAGGAAACCGAATAATGGATATGACCATAGATGAAAATACTGTATCACTTGTTTATGTTAGCATGTTGAACAACGTGATCCAAATATCTAACATGTGAGTAAATCATTGGGCAAAGGACATTATACTAGCTATTATAATAGATTCTAGAACGATCAGAAACTGATTTTCTCTTGTCACACATGCTGATCCATCATTATGACATGATCAAATTGGAAGGTGGGAAAATACAAAAATATACCATCTTTTTAATGTTATGTTTAAAGCAATTTAGTTAGTAATGGATTGATTCTATGCACTCAATGTTTTTTTAAATGGTTTACTTAGTCGGAAAGAGTCAGTTAAACGCATTGCTGAGTAATTGATTAAGCGGTCTAAATGGCCGATACAGATGATTAGAATATAAGTGTTAAATATACAGTTGATTATTTCCTTTTATACATGACAAATACTACAATAAACGAATATGTGTGAAAGAGAACCATTCAAAGAGGACACATTAGGAGTTGTAGTATTGTTAGGTCTTGAACAATATTTGTTTTTTTTTGTGTGACAATTGTCAGATTATTAACCACATATAAAAGGAAAAAAAATCAATTTAAAATGTGCTTGAAAATGACGTAGACAACAATATGAGAGAGGAAAAAGTCAAGAGCAACAATCATATAATTCAATATATTCCTCTCTTTTGTTTTCTGGAAGAATATTGTTTGTCCGATAGGAACTCAACACCCTTAAAGTTATTTTACATCAAATGTTTATATTTATGAACATAAAGGTTTATTGTATATATGGATTAGACAGAATTTATATTATGCGTCATTTGCAATAATATACATTACAAGATCGTATCCTCGACGTTCCTCTTTTTTGTTTATGAATCTATCCATCGTTGATTAACTATTCATTTTCTTTATTACCGAAAAATATTCATTTAAAGTACAATTAACAACTCCAGTGCACTCCTAATTAAATTATATATCGTAGAATAAGAATATGGGGAAAGTCCATTAGGAAAACAGAAGGATACATGTATTGGGTATATTTATCTCTTTCTCGTTTTCCTACATATTGATCTCTATTTCGTAGTATATTGTACATTACTATTATGCTTTCAACAAAAAAAACTATTATGCTTTGAACAATAAAAATTAAATCTATTAAGCTCATAAATAAATGCGTTTATTTCTGTAACATATTTTAATAAATTCATGTGTTTGGTAATTCATCTATTGCAGTTTTTTTTTTTAATCGTTTTATTTGCTTGGTAACTCATCTACATAATCAGATTAGAAAATACAACTCCTATATTTAGAATCTGAATAAAATAACTGATGAATTGGAATGTTAGGAGCGGTGACGTGTTCATATTATCTTTCACATCATTACAAAGATTGAAGTTTAAGACTATTTGTTAGCGTTCAACTAACATTTAATTAGCCTTATAATACAAAAGGGTAGCTAGGGTTTTTATGCTTTTCGAAAAGAAAAAGATGTTTGCCTTTTATGATAAATAACAGCGATACATAATTAATTAGTTCAACATGCATGAAATTTATTGTTTCAGCTGAATTATATTTCAGTTTTGTCTCTCAAACTAGCGTTATATTATCGCATATGTATGATGTATATAGATAACGGCTGATATCGGTATAAAACATTTTTGATCGATAGTGCTAAACTTCTCCCAAAAAGGATATATACATTTTCGGAGTTAACTATCCAACAAATAAAATTTTTCATAACTCCAAAAATAAGTGCAAGTTGCTTTCTTAGCTTTCCCATTTATTTATTTCTTTAGATTTTCCATATGCCCCTGCATCTATTCTTCATATCTCCTTCATTGTAGATATGATCGATCCACCACAAGCGCATTGGAACCAAAAGATAGACGTTGGACACATGAGTTTAGAAAATTATATTAATTATGTGGTCACAAAATATCTATTTTCTTACAAGATTCACTAGTAATATATTATGACATTTCATAAGGAATGAAAATTTCAAAACAGACTAGTAAAAGTTAAATTCAATTTTAAATGTTGGAAAAAAAAAATTCATTTACTAGATGCTCATATATAGGGTGATTTTTGGCAGATTTCTCAATGTAAATCTAGTAAATGAAAGATTTTTCTTTTTTTCCAACGTTTAAAATTGAATTTAACTTTTAGTAGTTTGTTTTTGAAATTTTCATTCATAATGAAATGTCATAATATATTGCTATTGAATTTTTTTTTTATGGATTATGTATGGATCATGAGCCCTCTTGGATAATCTCTGCCCCTCATTGGCCGAGAGAATTGGATCCTTTGTCTTAGGGTTGTAGACACTAATTAGATCATTAATTATATTTGCTTTTGATGATCTTCAAGTGGCTCAAATAATGATTACGATTCTTTTCTAAAAGCCGAATTTAGATGCTTTTGTTAAAGCCAAATATTCACTTGCAACTTAAAACAATCGTGATTTTAACATTTTTATAAACATTAAAGCCCAAAAAGGCTATGTATTTTCTGCGCCACTCATTACTCATTAGCACTCGCAAAGAATAAAAATAAAGTTGTATTCAGTATATATATATGGCCAAGTACGTAATTAGAAATCGATCATTAAGCCTTGATTATCTTACAAACTATTTTCAAAAATAGATTTGGATGACTTATTATCAGACGAATCCCTATAGTTCAACAAAAGTGTATATTCTGGCTGTAACCTTTAACAATAAATTATATTATAATAAAAAAAGAAAAGTTATACTCAAAAAAGTCAAAAGTGTTATTTTATTGCATTATTAAATGCCTAAGTTTTGTTATTTTTCATTGTTGAACACGTCTTAACGAAGAGTCGAAGACAATAGATCATCGAAATCATGTCGTCTGTAACATTGTTGAGTTATTTGGTATAAGTTGAGAATGAATACACATAAAACAAGCATTCGCAATTTAAATATTTATTTTACAGAAAAAAATATTGAAACTTCACCTCATATTTGTACGAAACTTTGTTTTGCAGCTTACCCACAAAATTTAAAGTTTAATATCCCTGAATTTTGTGTAAACACAGAATTTATTTCTTTTTATACATTTTGAATATTTGCCTTGTATAAAATACATTACAATAAATATTCTTTGAACTATTTTTTTTTTCTGTCTACAACTAAAGTTAACGATCATACATATTCTATTGGATTTGATATGAGTGTGTATAGAGATCAGAGGCCGTTAATAATTCTTTTTCACTTTTAAAAATATTAGACAAGTTCTTCTTTAGATAAATACTACAGAAGAGCTGTCAAAAAAAGAAAAAGAAAGATAAATAATACAAGAAGTGTTTTTTTTGTTTATTTATAAAGTGAATTAGGTTCCTCTTTTGTTTCTAATTTCTTCACTTTCAATTGCAATTCCTCAGCTAGTATTTGTTATTTTTATCTTACAAGGAAAATTTGAGAAGTTGTAACATTTTCCAAATTTCACTAAATAATATCATTTCCGAAAACATATTATGGAATTTGCTAGGACGTTAATGGGCTCTCTTTTAAAAGTCTAGGCCTTATTGTATGGATCCAACCCAGCCTACACTTCGCAATTACTTTAACAAAGAAGAAAAAAAGACTAGATACAAGCATTCTTTAACACAAACATGCAATTGCTTTGGGAGATTTTAAGAGATCTGGTGCTCATGTTTGTCTCGCACTATCACCAATCATTTTTAAAAAAAAGTATTTTATGGACCTAAACTAGTGATAGCCCTCAATTAATGTGTCTATAGACCCACTAAAGAATGTGATTGATCCACCAAGATTAAATTTAAAAACTTTTCTAGAATAATAGCTCTATTTTCACCTGCTATAGCTAGAAAGCCTAGAATCATAGTATTACTAAACGTATATAATTTGTTGAATTAAAATAGCTATTAAGATCACTATCATGCCACCTCAATGGTTTAGGTGGAGAAATTGATTCCGAAGAGGTGGTTTTAATTAAGGGTAATAGGGTATGAATCAACATTCTAGTTTGATGCATACTAATAGAGCCGTTGAAAACCACACAAAAAAAAAATACTGCAATTTTTTTTTGTCCATGAATTACTTATGTTTTTTTTTTACAGTAATCATGTTGTGTCATGAATTCGATAGTTAAACATTAGGAATCATACATTACTTATTATTATCTGCAAGAAAATCATTAGTTTTTTCAATTCAATTTGGAAAGCTAATGTAAGAAGGAGTCATGTGTCCCACAACTTGGGAGATTGTCTGGTCTCTTTTCCTGTCAGGGAAGCAATGCGGTGTTGTTTCCATGTGCAAACAATTTTCTAACCATTTCTTACAATCATTGTACTTTATTTTTCTTGTTTTCTATTTTTTTTCATATTTAATTAGTAGAATAAAACGTAATGATTCATCTTCGACAATTAGTTAAACACTTAATTAAACCCATCGGTTTAGTGCAGAGATATATATCAGATACATGTTGACATGGTGACACCATGAATCATTTACGGGTGTGTGTGTATTATCACGGTGGGATGGTGACAACAAAGTATATATGTATTTTTCGCAAAGATATGATTTTGCTGGTACTAGTCTCTATCTATCTCAATATTGAGCGGCTCCTTCACATTTGTTCAAGAACCCTACACACACATATTATTGGGGTTGCTTCTCTTTTTTTTTTCAGAATGAACTAATACAGGTTCGATCTCCATGTCACTTCCTAGCAATGTTATGAATGCCAACCATCTAGCCAAATCTAGGTTGGTGATAATAGCCTTAATACATAATCGTTTCTGATCACATTTGCAACCAGCAAGAATGATTATTTTACTTTAACGAATAGTAAAACATTAATTTATGCTGGTATAAAGCTTTATTGGGCCTTCTCAATGAGTTAATGTCGCTCGTAGATTTATTATCTACGTTCATGAACTATCCATTAATTGTAATGGTTCGTTAAAAATTACTTTTAATTAGTATTGTATAAGGTTTTTTAGTTTTTACTTTGATAAATATAGCCTAATATATATAGAAGAAGTGATGGAGGTTCACAATCACAAAACAATCACAAAAGACATAAAGAAGAAAGTTGAAAGATGGAAGATAATGTAGTTTAAGAAGTATAATTGATCTGGATTAACTTTACTTTTCTCTTAAAAAATATGTTTTACAATATATCATATTTAAACTATTTAACATTAACATGTGGTTCTATTTTTGTTTCTTTACCAAATAGAAGATGGAATAGTAAAAAACAAAGGAGACATTGTGATCTTAAAATTATTGGTGAATTTGGGTCCTTCGTGATTATTTGATATATTCCTGAAATGGTCTAAAATCCAATGTGGGACTGAAAGATACTACTACCAATTTACACTTATCATATATATTTTTCGAAAAAACTCTTATCATATTATACATCAATATATTATAATGCCTAATTAAGATTCATGAAAAGTGGGGCACATTAAGAAGGTAAGTGTTGTTCATGTGTCATGTTGTGGTCATTTTTATTAAAATCATTAATTTGATAGTGGGATATTATTTCAGTAAGACTCTTATAAAATTTTAACTAAATAACAGATAAAAATGGAAAAGAAAACGAAGTTATCCACAATTCTTGCTTTTCGACAAGACATAAGAAGTGATTGGTCCATTTGTCTTTTATGAACTGACAGTTGTTTGGTTACTCGTTTTGGATTTCTTATTCTATCTTTTGTATGCACATCTATCATTTAGACTCATTAATTACTCGATGAAGCACCCCATAAAGATAAAAATCCTTTTATTAATTATCCTATCTCTGCATAACCATTTCTTCTTCTCAACCCTAAATTCTTTTAAACAAACACCCCACAGGATAGTTAAACCCTTTTCTCCTATTTTTCTTGTTATTATTACTTGATTTTATTAAGAATATTGCTGGTAATTCCTCGAATTGAATCCTTTTTGTTTTGTTTTTACTTTTGTTTGTGTGTGCTTTAATTTTATCACCACGATATGTACGTGGAAACCCAGAGGGTAACTAAAATCTCTTTCTGCTGATTCTTCTTCGCTCCCAAGAGTCATTTTAAGGAAATCCTTTCTTTACTTACACACAATATGTATGTAGATGTGACCTATGTAAGTTTTTATGTGCAATTATATAATCATTGTTATTTGGTGTTTTGTACAATCTATCATTAACCTGTTTTCACTCAAATCATCTCTCTACCTTGTCTCTGTAACAATCCTCTCTCCCCTCTTAGTTTTCTATTTGAATTTTACTTTGATCATTTGCTTAAAAAGTTTCATGTTTATGTTATCTCTGTGCTTGCTTGCTGGGTGTGGTTTTGATTTATCTTGAATTACTGTTTTCTGTATATTTTCAAATGCTGATTCTTGGATTTGTAATCAAATTGGAACACTGTTGAGGATCAGAATTAAGATCTTTATGTCCAAAATGTGAAACTTTTACTCCTCGCAGTCCATTTCTGATCTCTCTCCTCTCTTAAAGTTTAGATTCGTAAATCTCATTCTTTGTTTACATGTAGAGTTTATGAAAAATCGGTGAAACAACAGAGGAGGCAATATGGCACTTACTTGGACTCATAAAGACAGAGGAGAAATTCGGGTTCATGAGAATTTGGAGGAACTAAGCATAGACTTGGTTGATTATATAGCTGAGATATCAGAAGCATCAATTAAAGAACATGGTGCTTTCTGCATTGTGTTATCAGGAGGCTCTCTCATTAGCTTCATGGGGTAATTTTACCAAAAGGTTTTCAAAGATCCCATTTTCAGTTTCCTTGATCTATTTCCTCATGGATTACATATTCAACAGAAAATTGATCGAGCCGCCTTACGACAAGATTGTCGATTGGGCGAAATGGTATGTTTTCTGGGCGGATGAGCGTGTGGTAGCTAAGAGTCATGACGATAGCAACTACAAGCTCGCCAAGGATAATCTCCTCTCCAAGGTTAGATGTTGGATTTGGTTCTTAATAACTTTTGGATAGAAGAATCTTGTGGCTGTCTGGTTTTCTTGAATCTGCAATCTATTGACTTTTTTTTTGCACCAATCCTTGCTTGTTTGAGAAGAAAACAAATGGAGGATCTGGAAACTTATCCAATCATGGTGTTGGTCAATACAGCTTTGTGTGTTTTGTCTTGTTATAATGTTGACTTTATTCTGTTTGATTTTTTTTTCCAGGTAAATGTGTTTCCGAGACATATATGTTCCATTAACGACACAGTTTCGGTGGAGGAAGCTGCAACAGAGTATGAATTCGCCATCAGACAGATGGTGAGAACACGAACCGTGGCTGCGTCAGACAACAGTGACAGTCCCAGGTTTGATCTGATCTTGCTTGGGATGGGCTCAGATGGGCATGTAGCCTCGCTCTTCCCCAACCACCCAGCACTTGAGATGAAGGACGATTGGGTTACGTTCCTAACCGACTCTCCTAAACCGCCACCAGAGAGAATCACATTCACTTTGCCCGTCATTAACTCAGCTGCTAACGTTGTTGTCGTAGCAACCGGCGAATCCAAAGCCAATGCTATGCACTTAGCAATCGATGATTTACCCTTACCAGAAAGCTCTCTGTCTCTGCCTGCAAGGCTGGTCCACCCGAGCAAAGGGAATCTGATTTGGTTTGTGGATAAACCAGCAGGGTCAAAACTCGAGAGGTTTAAATTTTCCGAGTAGGATTTAGATTTTTCTTCTTTGATTCAAAAGCAATTGGTTATTGTTATCAGTGATGAACCTTTTTGAATGAAGAGCATCCGGTTTGGAAACATGACTCTTACTTTTCTAACCATGCAAGTTTCACCAAACTACCAAGTCTATTAACTATAACAATAACATGTTCAGCAACTTCAAGAAACGATCTAACCTCAAAAACTCTATGAGGTGATAGTGACAGTGTTACACACTCGGGCGAAAACACAATTGTTATCCTACAGCCTACAGGACAAGGTGCATGAGAGAAACCGGTAATGCTTACTTTCATTAGGCATCGCCGTGACTTAGAGCATCAGCCTCGGCTCTAGCCATAGGATCATCTTTGGTCTCTGTATCTTCCTCCATCTCGCCTTGTCGGTCTTGCGCCAATTTCTTCCTGTGAAGTTCCTCAGCAGTCTCCATGGCAGCCTTGTTCTCAGCTTGCATCTTCAGCATCTCTTTTTCCTGTTGCTGCCTCTCAAACCATGTATCTGCATCTGCCCAAACTGAAAAAAGCAACAAAACCAAGAAGACCAATGAGACAAACTCTCTGCTTAATCATATATACAGAATAACAGAAACACAAACAATCGAGAAGCAAACAGATGGATTCATTGTGAACATCATCGACTTGACCTAACTTCAAATCCAAAAATCTAAGAACCAATTCGTAATCTAATTGCAGAATCAAACACTAATTGCAAACCCTAATTTCAACAATCCCTGAATTCAAAACTCATTCATAAACTCCCAAATCAACATCATCGATAGCTCAAGTTTCACCAAATTCAAAACGAGAAGAGAAAGAGCCATCGGATACGTACGTGGATGAGCAGCCCAACCCTGTTCACCACCCTTGATTTTCTCAGGGAGAGCATAATTAACAGTGAGAACACGACCATAAAGCTCAGCACCATCCATATTATCCATGGCAGCAGAAGCGTCTTCTCTCTCAAGAAAAGTGACGAATCCGAAGGATCTGTGCTTCTGATTCGCTTGGTCCAACGGCGTCTTCACGTCTTTGATATCGCCGAAAGGTATAAACGCAGCGTGAAGGATCGATTCGTTAACCTCATCAGCTAAACCTCCTACGTATAAAGTGTTCTTCTGCATCGCTTGTTGCTGTTGAACTGCCGCCATTGTTACAATCTCTTTCTCCGAATTCCTTCTCAGAGAAAATTGGAAAGACGAGATCGATTATTTTTTTTGTGAGAGAATAATCGCTCTATAATTTAAATGGGCTTTTTGGCGGTTTGGCCCAATAAGAAATATTGTTTTTGGCGGTTCGGCCCAATTAGCTCGTGGTATATATAACATTTAAAGCCCTCGAGATAGGTCTCTTTTGATCAACTGGAGAAACAAAACAAGACAATGTTTAAAAGACATGGCTCTAGTTTAGTAATGAAAAGACATCGTTCTAGTGTGGAATTGCTACCACACGATGTTGTAGAGCTCATACTCGAGAGACTTCCTGTGAATTCTCTGCTGAGATTCAAGTCTTTATCCAAGGACTGGAAATCCACAATCGAGTCCCAGCGTTTCGAGGAACGACAGTTGATCCGTCGTAAGCAATCACGAGGTCCAGATGTACTTTACGTGTCCCTTCACGATGATGAAGCTCCGAGGAGAATTGTTTTTGGGTCGTCAGTAGTTTCTACGATCAAGTTCCCTACTAGTTGCTCCATTGTTTGCTATGGTAGTTGTGACGGCCTCGTATGTCTTTATTGTGTCTCCACACCGGGTTTTGTGATCAACCCCGTCACTAGATGGCATCAAAGTTTTCCTCTTTCCAGCTTTCAACAGCTCCGCATGGACATGCTTAATAAAAGAGATTTGCGCGCTCCAAATCATAAGCTTGGATTCGGTAAAGACAAAGTCAGGGGCACATACAAGCTGGTATGGTTATATAATTCATCTGAATATGGCCTAGACAATGTTACTACTTGTGAAGTTTTCGACTTTAGCACCAACGTTTGGAGGTACCTTGTCCCTGCTTCTCCTCTTCGGGTTCTTGTTTACCATAAACCCGTGTACTTTGATGGGTCACTTTACTGGTTCACCGCCTGTGAAGAAGAAACCAAGATATTATCTCTTGATCTTCACACCGAAACTTTCCAAGTCATCTCTAAAACTCCCTTTCCCCATATATCTAACCCACTTGATATCAACATGTGCATCCTCGATAACCGCTTGTGCGTATCTGAGAAAAAATGGCCCATCCAAGTCATATGGTTGTTTGACTCTGCAGGCACATGGAAGCAAATGTGTTCCATAGATCTCACCAAAACTTTTTCTTGGTTCGGGGAACCCAAATGCGTACTCTATCCGATAGCAATTCTTGACAAGAATAATGTATTATTTCATGCTCGTGAGGACTTTCAACCAGTGGAGAAACAACCAGTGGTGATACATGATCTCCGTACCAAATCCTATGATTTTGTCTTCAGACCTACCACCTTCGGGTTTTCTATTTATTATTTCCAAAGTTTATTTTCTGCTTTACCAATTTGAAACCATTGTAATCTAACATTACTGCATTTTGTAATTTAGAAAAAGTGGTTTTCTTCTCTTCATTGGCTTCTTGTTATATTCAGTTTTCTTGTATTTGTTGCTGGTGTTTGCGTAAGTTGGCCAGTCATACATGTCCTGTTGAGAGCCTTGTCTCTATGAGACAACCACAACCTTGGTCTCCATCTGCCTCGTGATTACAGTGGCCTCTATGTTGGTGTGCAATCTATCGTTAACCTGTTTCATTCAAATCATCTCTCTACCTTCTCTTTTACTTCTCTGTAACAATCCCATCCTCCCACGTTTCATGTTTCATGTTTCATGTTATAATCTCTGTTCCTCGACTTCTCGTATTTAATTAAAATTTATTAAAAATTTCAACTAATTAATGTCTAAATACTTTGTAAGGACTTTTGTATAAAAAAAAAGGTAATAGAAATAAAATTAACAAGCATGCACATCATCACGTCCACATAGAAGCTCTCCGTTTAGTTTATCAACCGCTTGAAATGTTCCTCCTCCATCACTCCTCTGTTTCAACCCAAGAATAATATAACATTAAAATTCATTACTACATATGTTTTTGAACCATATTAATATATATAACCTTACCTTGTAAAAGTTGACGGCGACAAAATTGGCCCATCGGTTCCCTGCGGCTACGTAACATGTCTTAATCATATCGAGAAGTTGTTCAGAGTTCTCCTCACAAGTCAATATCTTAACCGGAACTGTCTTGAAATGGTTTACCAAAACCAAAGATTTTGTTTTATCGGTTAACAGTGCAGACTCTGCTCTATTGCTACATTCATCTGGTTTAACTCCATTGTCCCCATCTAACAATTAAATACCACACTGGGATTAATCGGTTACCTCTAAACCAACTAAAATTAAACCGGAATTTTGATATTTCATCACACTCACATTGGTTTTCCACTATGTAATTCCACTGGTAAGCTATTCCTTCGGTTTCTTGCTTAGATTTAGCTGAAGTGAAAACGATTAACCGGTGGTTATTGGCAACCATATCCTTAACCAACGGCCAATCTTGGCCACCTAAAGGCATATTTTGAACCGGAAACCAAAATTTCTTCAAACCGGAATCGGTAAATACTTTGGTTAACCCGTTTGGGGATTTGACGTAATCCTCCAAGATTAATGTCACGATCTCTGATGGATTCGCTGTCAAGAACACGAATATCTCCTTGAATGTGTCTATCGCCCGATTCTAAAAAAGTGACATAACAAAACAATACAAGACAAATCATTCATACCAAAACATTGCATGTTAGGATATTTTCTCTTCCAATAAAAGACAAAACTAACGCTCCAATTGTTTCAAAAGCAAATTATGTGCCTCCCTATTTTTAATTTCACAATACTTTTTTGCAAATTGAAAACACAAACGTGTTTCACACACAAACACACACACAAACGCAAAGAAAAAAAAACTAAAAATCATCTCGTTCGAGTTTTATTTACGTGTGTTTACATGTTTCAATAAATGTTAAATAAAAAAAAAGCACTAAAAGATTATGTTTTTCTTCTAAACGTAATCATAATATTTTAAAAGGAGATTATTTTTGAAAATGCAAATGCAAAAAAATATGGTTCAGTTGTTTATATTCTAAACCAGCCTCTATTTTCAAACGTTCGCTAAATAATCGTTTTGGTTTTACTCGGTTTACTTTTGGTTAGTGAAATCTAGAGATTGAACTTACAAACTTGGTGAACTCAAAGCATTGTTCATCGAACGAATGGCACAACCATACGTCTCCTTCGTAATCGTAGGTATCCAACATCAATGCTCGAACACCACTCTGAACAAATAAATAACAAATAACATAACATTCACAAGATAGAAAAAAAATAATAGCTATTTAAGAAACATACATTATTTATTTATTGATTAGTAAAACGCACATTGAGTTGTTGCACTATAGTATCTTCTTGGGTCGCCACATGAAGCGGTTTCCCTTCAATGGCATAAGAATTGTGGGTCGTCAAAAATGCATATTTATTGAACGGCATCGAATTGTTCTGTAACAAAGTAAAACAAATCATTAAGGCTTCATTATAGTCTGCCAAAAACTAAAAGATTTGTTCTGGCCCGATTAGAAGATATATCAGTTCCCGGTAGTTAGATCGTAAACTCAAGAGTCACAGATCAAGCCTATCTTATGTCAATATCAACACATCTATATCTCAATAATGACTAATGAGAGGCTTATGTTGGAAGAATTATGTTCACCTTTAGTGCTATCACTATTCAAGAAGAACCAAACATATATACTAATTGGTCAATATACATCAACTACTTTTTGACAGTCACAAACATACATAAAATTATAAACACTAATATACATCCATGATTTAAAAAGAAAAAGAAAAAAAAAGTTTTATTAAAAAGTTGTTTCTTACTTACCACAACGGAGAACTGATCTGTGATATTTGATCTAACGCATCTTGCAACATCTATACCGCATTTAAAACAACCAAGTCCAACATTGCAGTCTTCGTCCGACGAGCATTGATCGCCGAGCTGAATTGTAACATAAATGATAATATCCCTAGAAATGTGAATACAGATTCGATTTGACCTCCTCTAAGGAAATACTAATGATAATCTCAGAATTCGCATATGGCATCTTTGGATCTCAAGATTAATCTGAATTTCGGTGGAAATCACCTTTAAGAAAATCGAAAAGTAAATAATTTTAGTTGTGGCTTACCTGAAATGAGCGATTGGAAGCAACAAAAGAGATTGCTGCGGGATGAAACATAACCAAGATTGTGACTGCGAAGGAGGATTTGAAACTGGCCATTGTTACTGCTGACTTCTTGCTTTGACCAAGGGATATATGAATTTTCTTAGTCAAACGTTATAGTATAGCTTTGAAAAAGAACTGATTCAATTTTGGAGTCTTTGTAATAAAACTTTAATTAGAATACTTTCCTTAAGGTTTAGTAAATTTCTTTCTTTGGGTAACCTCTTAAATAGTAATTAAATTTGTCACAATTGGAAGCAAAACAAAAGGAAATGATCACACGAAGAAGGAAATAATCCATATTTGACTAGTTTTGAGATTTTTAAATTCCATAATATGTAATGCAAATCTTATATGTAACAGATAAAAAAAGATAATTAGAATGAACTAATCTATAGGTTTTGGTCTTAAATTAAAATAATTTTCATTTTTAACTACAATTTTTCAAATATGTTGATATAAATTTTCACAATAAAATTGTGTATTAAATACACTAATATATATATACACACACATAGATGACCATATGTTGATTGTTGACTATATATATATTTACCAAAAAGACAGAAAAAATCATAAATAAATAGAATTGTATATATGTGTATTAATAAATGACATGTTATTTTATTTAGCCGTTATTATACATGATACCATGATATATATATGTTAAAAACAGGCAAAAAAATATCCCAATAATTTTTTTTTTGCCACAACATATATTTATTTTTGGCTAAAATATCACCCAAGACGACAATGAATAAATTCACATATTATATACCCAATCATCAACCAAATAATAAAAACCAGCCTCAATATTGTTTAGAACTTTACATAAAATAAGATTTTATTTGTCATCAACTAAACCTTAAATAAGATCTTTTTTTTTTTGAAATAATGTAGAATAAAAATTGTAGCCAAATCCTGTGATCTTCTATCTTTTTAAATAAGATTATACATTCTCTTACAAAGATTATCAAAAATCTCGTTCGTGGACACAACAGATCAATGCTTTTTATTCTTCAACGTGCTCTAGAGCAGCTTTTATATTATAACAACTGCTTTTTACAACATGCTCTGACAACTGTTATGAGTATTGTCATATATAAAAGAAACTGTTTGGAGTATTAATTGCGTAATACTTTTTGAAAAATGTATATTAATTTTCATACAGTAGAACAGTAGCAGTGGGGAATGAAGATGCATGATCTGGGGAGACCCATCAACTTAATTCAACCAAAATTGTTTTTAAGATATATAGAGAAATTAAATTGCATGATAGGTGATTATCATAGTAGGGTGAAAAGATGATTGCTAGGGTTTCAGAAAAAGGAGAGGTTGCTGACATCGAGTTAGGGTTTTTTTTGTTTTTTTTTGTTGACTATTGGTAGATTTGCAATTGACTAAATTCTGCTAGTTTCAATATAAAATATCCAAAGAGTGCTACCACCACACAAATTTACTCTAAAACATATAAATTGACGAATATAACTTTGTAAAAGGTGGAAAATAAAAGTGGTCGAGAGAGAACTGTTTCACAAAGAAACACGATTACATTACCCAAATCAAAATTTTCTATCGAGTTAATAATCAAAATATATTCAAGGCGGTTTAAATTTAATTAAATATTAGAATAAGGGGTAAAACCTCGCTTAATCATAATAATTAAGACTGAGTTTACATTAGAGGATTATTTTCCGGACCGTTCTTCATTAGGGGTTTGTTTTAGCAAACAAATCCAACTCAAAAAGATCAGATTCAGAACTTGAATCACTCTCGCATCCACCATTTACATCATTCTCATCTCCTGCACTTGGATTTTTACACTCCACCCTTTGGACCGAATAGAGACTCTCACAAAACCTTATGTTCAGCTTCTGATCACTCTTCTTCAAATCTTTCACGTCTTTCTCATCAAAGCTTCTCCTACGCGCGTTTAAACTCCACGCGCCGGCACAGGAAATTGGAGAAGACGCTTCAACGTGTGTGGTCACCACGCAGCTCTTCCTCCTCATCCTTTCTCCTCGTGGAGTCTCCACCTCCAGCGTTGACTTTGACTTCTTTAGACCCGCTGAGCGAAGAAGAGAGTTCAAGAAACTTGTTAGCTTCTTACCGCCGCCACGTGTCATCTCTTTCTTCTGCGGCTTTATGACGACGACTCTAGGTTTCGGAAGCTGCTCCTCTGTCTCAGGGTGTACTCTCTTCTGTCGATTTTCTGTAACAATGATTTGTTTCTGAATTTGGATTCTTGAGTGCTCGATCGTCGTTGGTTCGTTGAACTCAGAGAAATAACGAGTGGCTTGGAAGACGTCAAGTTCGCCAGAGACATTCCTCTCGCGGTTCGGTTTATGTGTTTTCTCTTCTGATGTCGAAGAATCTCCGGCCATCTCCGACATTGTTGTTTCTTGAGCTCCAAGATTTGAGTTGGTTAATTAGTAATTGTGGTATGAGAAGAAATACATGGTGCGTCAGATTTATAGAATGCAAGGAATCGGTTAACTGAACCGGTCTAAACCCGGTTAATATATCTAAGTTATCTTCAGCTCAGAAATTAATATCCCACTTGATGTTGAAAATAATAGTGAAATGAAAATCTTAGCAAGTTTAATTATATGTTTCTATGTGTTCATAGGAATGCCACGTTATTATCAATGAATATTCACACCTTTTTGGGCTGTCATGCAAGTTCTCAAACCCTTTTATGGTCACAAAGGCAAAAGGCGATAAAGATAAGATGACCCATTGATCATTTTGGTGGGAGAATTTTATATAATGATTAGATATATAGTATTAGTAGGTACCAAAAAAGTAGAGGTCCTAAAATCAATTTTCTTTGCATCTTGGGAAAGTTGGTTAAGAATTTTTATTTATTTATTGTTACCGGACTATATAGCATTCTACTCTAGTATAAAAGAGAACTTATGTGAGAAACTGTGCGTTGCAATAAAATCTAAACATGTGTTTATAGTACATCATATTGTCAAGTTTTGTTATTTCATAATTATTTTAAAACAGAGATATGATTATTTGAAACAGAAGCAAATATATTCACTAAAGTTGTAAACTAATATCATAATCAAATTATTCATATGTTATGATTTCCTTAAATTTTTGAGTAATTGGTTCTTTTTATATAGGTGGATTTCAACTGTTTCGACAATTACGTCACGAACAACAGACATAAAATGACCATAATTGATTGATCCAATTGTGACCAAGTTCAAAGAAGAGCAGTCAAATAATTAATGGTGTACATGAACTGGTGTTGGATCACTTACCTTTTCTTCTTTTTTTCTACTCTGACATCTTTCCAGTGTATGCAAAAGAAGGAACAAGATGGACAGTGCCGGCCCGATCAATTTGGGTGCCCTAAGCAAAATTAAAGCCCATAAATTTTTTTTTTTTTAAATTAGATTTTTACCCTTAAAAAAATGTTGTAGTTGTCTCTAAAAACCCACAATATTTTTAAAAGGCCCTACAAAAATTATTGTATATAAGAAAATTTAACAAATTTTTAGGTAAAAAGGCCCTCAAAATTTTGAGACCCTAATCGGTGGCTTCACTGGCTTGCCCTCTCCGCCGGGCCTGAAGATGGAACTTGTATGTTTGTTGATTCTTATCCACAAATGAAATTTAAGTAAGTAGAGGAAAAACATTCATCCACAAAATATTGCAATGGGTTCGTAAGTACACACTATTCATAGCAATATTTTAGTTTCCATGTATAGCACATGTACATGTGTTTCTTTAATGATTTTTTTTTAATAAAAATGAATTACGTTAAAACTTCTTGAAATATTAATAATATCTAACAAATTGACCATTCAATCGCAATACATGAAACTAAGACGAATGATTTCATAATTATAAATTCTTCCAAAAAAATATATTCCTCAAGACGTCTTGTTTTGATGCTTTATTATATGTCATGGTAACGTATAAATAAAATAGAGCTCCATATAAATTGAAACTGAAGATCTTTTTTAAGAAGAAACTAAAAACAAAAAAGGAGATAATTTCTAGGAGACAAATATATATGATTGATAAAAGATCATATATGTATGAACTGAATGCCAAAGAATGCTTTGATGGGCTCTAGATGGTCTTGACTCTTGACTCTTGAGGATGAGAGAGTCATGTCTCTAATATAAATGGGGCCGGATTGTTGTTGTCTTAACATCCATTGGGCTTGAGTATATTATATACCCATTCACCATTTTGGCCATGATTGATATTCCAATGGATGGATGGGACGATGGGTACTGTTTTTCTTTTTCTTTTCTTTTTTTTTTCGACAAGATGGGTACTGTTTTTCTTTCAATAGATATTATATCATAATGAGTCTCTTACACAGATATTATACCAGAAATTGTTACAATCTAACGGCATCTTAAATTTATAGAGAATTTCAAAGTTGGTCAATTTCAGGCTTTAAGAATAACATTGCATAACCAAAGACGGCTTTGAATAATATGTTCAACGCTCTTTCCTTCAAAAACTTAGAAGTATTATTACCCATTGCTGACATGGCATCATAATTTGGTTGTGTAAAGAGTTTTCATTGAAGAAAATTAAAAGATGACGTGACAGATTGTGAAAAACTACATTTTGCTTGAGAAACCTAAACAACCTGAACAACCTTTTTTTAATTAGTAGTAGATTTGTTTTAAAATAATTTTGGGTTTTTGAAACTTTACCTATTTAGTCCAAACCTAATAAAACTTACATTGCATATATTAGCGCGAGCACATATGAGCTCATATAACATACGAGTGTAGATTAGGAAAATCTTATCTTATTTCCATGTGTATGGTTTAAGTTGATGTGGATGATTTGAGAAGTCTGAACAACATCTTTTTATTTGTAGTAGATTTGTTTTTGAATATTTTTGGGTTTTGGAAATAACTTTACTTATTTGGGCCAAACCCAATAAAACTCACATTGCATATATTAGCTCGAGCACATATGAGTTCATAGAACATAAGTGTAGATTACGAAAATCTTATCTTCTTTCCACGTGTATGGTTTAAGCTGATGTGGATGATTTGAGAAACCTGAACAACCTCTTTTTATCTGTAGTAGATTTGTTTTTGAATATTTTTGGGTTTTTGGAAATAACTTTACTTATTTGGGCCAAACCCAATAAAACTCACATTGCATATATTAGCTCGAGCACATATGAGCTCATAGAACATAAGTGCAGATTACGAAAATCTTATCTTCTTTCCACGTGTATGGTTTAAGCAGTTGGATCATAATCGTATGGTTAAAAAGTGGATCCTAATCCTATCGGGAATCAGGATTTAAGCATTTGGCCACAATTTTCATGATGATTAGGGTTAAGAAGTCGACCCCCTTATAAATAGAGAGTGAGATATCTTGACTACTCAGACCAAAAACTCCTAGTTAAGAGATTCCGACTACCTTCAAGTTATGAATTGAGACAATCTTGTTCTCTATTTGTTAGGGTGATTAAATATCGATAAAGATTACCTTATATTTTTGATTCGTGTTTTCCAAAGATTTTTTGAACTAATTCGCTTATTTTTCCTAAAACAGGGGTGGTGTTTCAGTGGTGGTAAGAGGATAATATTTCTTGAGAATGTCTGCCTACATTTCTGAGGTTTGGTTTTTTAATTAATTGCAAAATTAAACGGCAAGAAACTGTTATTTTGTTATTATATATGCTCAAATTAATTGCACAGATTGTGGTTACAGAAATTAATTGACATTTCAACGATTTTTTTGGATTTTTGTACTATATGTTTTTGTATTGGTGAAACAGTAAAACCATGCTTTAGATTTTAGTGTGAATCATTATTAGCGTACTTTTGTTTAGATTCTAGTTGTTGTCTTTTCTGGTGAGATTTAGATTCTAGTTGTTAGAGACATTGAAATGTGACTCCATGGTTAAGTATAATATTTTTATTTTTTTACAATAAAATAATTCAGTTGTTATGAAAGAATCCAATTATTTAATGATTTTCATAGTTTAATGGAAAGCTTGTGTAACCTATGATGCAGGAGAAGTTGTTCTTCAACAAGAAAGATTCTGTCAACGTAAATTTGAAACCTTTCGGATCCAAAATCTCAGATGTCAGCGAAATTGAAGAATTTGATCAAGAGACTTTGATTGTGGCAAGTCAAGAAGTTAAGGATGATTCCAAAGTGGCACCGAGGGATGTAGTAGCTACATCAACAAATGTCTCTAAGAAGGCTTTAACCATGGGAGATATTTTATCAATGGAGGATTCCCAAATACCACCCAACAAAAACAACACTCATGGACCTGAAGAAAACATAGTCCATCATGACACACAACTGGAGATAACAGAGGAACCGGAGATAACAGAGGAACCAGAAGCAGACAACTTTTGTGATGAGAATCTCTTGTCAAGGAATCTCCCAAATGGTTTCAGGGAAATAAGTTATTGTGAGGCTGAGTCGAGTTTAGCTTATATAACTTACTGTGGACCAATCTCAGGCTCCGGAAACCTCTCCCTTCGTTCTGATGGAACCAGCGAAAGCTCTTTCGCTTTCCCAATGTAATATACATGCATATACTCACATACATTTTGCGATCTGTAAATTCTATAAACTTTAATTCTGTGAACTTTTTGTTACAGGCCGCAATCGGAGTGGAACATCAGTCCTGTAAGAATGGGTAAAGCTGAGGGGACACAACTTCGAGTGGTGAAAGCTGAGGAGACTCAACTCCAAAAGGAGAAAGCTGAGGAGACACAACTCCGAAAGGAGAAAGGTGAGGAGACACAACTCCGAAAAGAGAAAGCTGAGGAGACTCAACTTCAAAAGGAGAAAGCTGAGGAGACTCAACTTCGAATGGTGATAGCTGAGGAGAGACAACTTCGAAAGGAGAAAGCTGAGAAGAAAAAACTTCGAAAGAAGAAGAAAGGATGGAGACATTACTCTTCTCTTCTCTGTTGTAGATTCTGATGGATTATATCAGAAGATATTTTACCTTTATAGGCTTTGTATTCTATTCACAAAGACCGTTCGAATAAAAACAGAAAAAGTGGTTTTTCTGTAATGTATTATTTCGTAGGCCTCAAATACTTTATCGTGGATTTTGCGAGTTAGGTTTGTTTTTCTTTTCAGTTTAACGTAGTTGCTTCAACCACAAGGAAACACTAAAGACACTTTGTGCAGCAAACTATCACCAACTCCTTATATATTACATGGGCTTTTTTAAGTTCCAAGGCCCATTTGTTTGTCAATTAGTCACAGGCGTCCATCGTCAGTAAGTCGGTATAAGCTGCCACGTCATCACCTCTTATCGTAACGTGTACTTCTCATTAATTGCCACGTATCATCTACTAATCGGACGGCTTTGGTCTATGTGGACTCTGTATATCGGACGGCTCTCTTTTCTTTTTCTAGACCCTTCTCAGAGTCGAGGATAATGGTAAATGTTTTTTTTTTTACTTCTTTCAAATTTTACTGTATGTTTTGTAATCTTTTAATTTGTCAGCCAATAATCACTCTTTTATTGATATCGATATGTAGCTCCAAATTTCGAAACTAAAGTAAAGACTTTTGTATTTCTCATATATACGGTTTATGTAATTTTTTTTTTTTTCAAACACGATACAAAATTGTGAAGTTATAAACGTCTAAAAACAGGAAATACACTTATGTCACAATCATTCAAATATCTATAATCTCAAATGGTGAAGCCAAAACACAAAAATAGAATTACATGATTAATGAAATTGACAAAGAAAAAAAAAAGATTAAAACACAAAGCTGACGTGGCACTGGTTAAAAATGATATAGCAGGAATGGTCCCATACTTATGGTGAGAGTTAAAAAAGCGTCGTTGAGAGGTTAGAGACGAAGGACGGAGGCAAGAGATTGATAGAGAGATAGCAAGAGCGAGGCTAATGGATCAGTGACTCACTGAGTCAGATTTTACCGATTCATTGCCTCCATTGAAGCCTCTTCTCTCAGATTCTACGCTTCACTGTCTCTTCTCCATGTGCGTCTCCTCCTCCGTTTCTTCAGATCTTGGTTTCCGGTGAGTTCTTCTTCTTCCTCGTAACCTTCTCTTTCGAAATCTCCATTAAATTTCGTTTCTTTGGTTTTTATTTTTTCGTTTGGTTCTTCGATTTGTGTAAAGTTAATAAATTTCTGTAATCATGATTACTGTTAAGTTTCTTGGATCAAGATGTATCTTGTGGGAAGTGTGAAAAAAGAAGAAATTTTTAAGGATTTATGTAAAAAGCCGAGAAAAAGAAGGTTGCTTTATATATTACAACTGTATACAATAATCAAATCTTCAAGATTTCTGATCTATGTTTCATCTTTTTATGCAGGTTTTAATCTTTTTCTCTCTGGTACCACCTATAAAGCATGGCTTACCTGATGTAGTGTCAGGGTAAAGATTCTTGTTTTCACTTCTGTCTTGTTGAGCTCGTGTTGGTCTGAAAAAGATGGCAATGGCAGTGTTTAAGGCTCCTCTTAAAGGGGAATTTCATGGGGCTAGAAAGATGGAAGGGAAGCAATATAGGCATCATCTGCTTCAGCAACAGTCTTCAGGGAGGAGGCGTGTTTTCGTGCAAACCGAAACTGGCTGTGTTTTGGGAGTTGAGTTGGATCGTAATGACAATGTTCATACTGTGAAGAAAAGGCTTCAGATTGCGTTTAACTTTCCTACTGAGGAAAGCTCTTTAACCTTTGGGGATATGGTGTTGAAGAATGACTTAAGTGCTGTGAGGAATGATTCTCCGCTTCTCCTGAAGCGTAACTTAATGCACAGAAGCTCTTCTACGCCGTGTCTTTCACCTACTGGGAATGATCTGCAGAGGAAAGACCGAAGTGGTCCTATTGAGATACTTAGTCACTCGCATTGTTTTTTGTCTTTGAAGCAAACGGCGAATGACATTGTTAAGGCGATGAAGATTGGTGTTGAACCAATCCCTGTCAATGGTGGGCTTGGAGGGGCATACTATTTTAGGAATGAAATGGGTCAAAGCGTTGCTATTGTCAAGCCTACGGATGAAGAACCGTTTGCTCCTAACAATCCTAAAGGCTTCGTAGGGAAAGCGCTTGGGCAGCCTGGTTTAAAGCCTTCTGTGCGAGTTGGGGAAACCGGGTTTAGAGAAGTTGCTGCGTACCTTCTTGACTATGATCACTTTGCTAATGTTCCTCCCACGGCTCTTGTGAAGATAACTCACTCTGTTTTCAATGTTAATGATGGAATGGACGGGAACAAATCTCGTGAGAAGAAGAAGCTGGTCAGCAGCAAGATTGCTTCGTTCCAGAAGTTTGTACCTCATGATTTCGATGCCAGTGATCATGGGACTTCAAGCTTCCCCGTTGCTTCTGTGCACCGCATTGGGATATTGGACATAAGGATTCTCAACACAGACCGGCATGGTGGAAACCTTTTGGTGAAGAAGCTTGATGATGGTGGTGTTGGGAGGTTTGGTCAAGTGGAGCTTATTCCAATAGATCATGGTCTTTGCTTACCAGAAACACTTGAAGATCCTTACTTCGAATGGATTCATTGGCCTCAGGCTTCAATACCTTTCTCTGAAGAAGAACTTGACTACATACAAAGTCTTGATCCAGTGAAAGATTGTGAAATGCTTCGAAGAGAGCTTCCAATGATTCGAGAGGCTTGTCTCAGGGTTCTAGTTCTGTGTACCGTTTTCCTTAAAGAAGCTGCTGTTTTTGGACTTTGTCTTGCAGAGATTGGTGAGATGATGACTCGAGAATTTCGCGCAGGAGAAGAAGAACCAAGTGAACTAGAAATGTTGTGTATCGAAGCCAAGAGATTAACCACTGAACAAGACGTTTTATCTCCCAAGTCAGATGTAGGAGGGACAGAGTTTCAGTTTGACATCGACTACAATGACCTAGACTTGGTTTATGGCTCTGAGACAGAAACGGATGAGTTCTTCGCCAAGAACCCATTTTCAAACGGATGTTCTTCACTAGGAGAGCTCAAAGAGAGCATTGCGGAAGAAGAAGAAGACGACGAAGATGAGGCAATACTTACTATATCTCTCTCAAAGCTTTCCACATCAATGAAGAACAACAATCTAAGCAACACCATGGGATCTGGACACCTGAAACCTCCGAGAGGCAACAAAACTAACAAAGCATTGGTAAGTCACAAGAGCGCGAACGTGCAACTCCCTGTTAGCGCAAACTTTGTGAAGTTAGCGGACATGAAAGAAGTTGAATGGGTTGTGTTCTTGGAGAGGTTTCAGGAGTTGCTTCACTCGGCTTTTGCAGAGCGCAAGACCCTGACGTTGAGGAACACACAGAGACTTGGTACATCGTGCAAGTTTTGAGATCATATGAGTTCACATAGGAGAATACCAAAGATTTTACTTTCACGAGTTTTGAAGCAATTACTTGTTAGCTACGTTAAACTACGTTAAGTTTAGTTTACTTTTGTAGCATCCACGAGCATTTGCAATGTGAAGAAATGTTTTTTTGCCTGTAAATATTCTTTAACATTTTTTTCCTAACTTTCTTCTTTTGTTTCGATACATTTTACATTTGTCTTTACAAGAATAACAATAATCGCCCTACATGATTCAAAGTATTCATGTGGCAAAACTAGAATATATATTTGTATTCACGAAATTACTTTTTCAGTTTTGACTTTTGAGTTGTTCTTACGATCTTCAGAAAAAGATCTTGCTTTTACAGTTTTACTATTTGACTGCTAGATAGTTTACATGAAACTGTAACGTATCAATTATTATGATGATTATTATAAAATTGAACAGATATAACCAAAATATGTTGATGTTTTTTGCTTTTGAGTTTGATATATATTTTTATGGCAACTTGTTCATCGTTTGGTCTGAAAATATGATGTGTTTGTGATAAACTTTACCATTTTAATGGACACAATTCATCAGTGCCACATCAGTGACCATTAGCTGTCTTCTTGTCATGTCTTACATAAGCATTCACAACTTGTTGAATTATTAGAATTAATGCAAAACTTTACAAGTTTCTGAAATGCTTTTCTTCATCTTTACTTTGAAAGAAAAAAACAAAAAAAAAATTTGAAGGTTTTTTTATATATGCACATTTTGAATAACTTTGTTTCTCTTCATCTCCATGATCTAGAAAACTTAGAAGAAGAAAAAAAAAATACAACAAAACCAAACCATATAATCATGGCTTAGAGGTTATTGTTCTGTGTTCGACAAGCTTAATGATTTGACTTTTCATTTTTTTCTAACTAATGTAAGATGCAAATGGTAGTTGCAAGTTTTGGAGATTGGTAGAGACTTGGAGTTCTCGGGTTGAAAGAAAAGTTACAATATGATATAACATTGTTATATTGTTCTCCTCTCTATTTGTAAAGAAAACTGAATTTAATAACCATTTTTTTTTTTTACATCTAAACAAACTATATTCGAAACCAAACTGAACTGAAAGAGCATGAAAGATCGATTTATAAGAAATTAGTTTAAAAAATAGAAAAGTTAAATCCAAACAAAACCAAAACCTGCGACATTATCAAACTAAATCCAAAGAAAGTTTGACTCATTAGTAAAAAAAAAAAAGCACTCAAAAAACCGAAATTATATGTTTTAAAGAGAAACTGGATTAGACTCTCTCGCCAAGATCATATATGCCTCCATGGCCTCTCAGCAAGGCTCACACAATCACCATGTCTAAAACAATCGACGAGATGATCTATTGTTAACCCTGCAGCCTGCATGAACGAATGTACGATCACTGGACCGACAAATCGAAACCCTCGTTTGATCATATCTTTGCTAATTATCTCAGCCTTGGGAGATCTCAATGGTACATTTCTTGAATACTTGAATTTGTTAATGATAGGTTTGTAATCCATAAACCTCCAAATGAAGCTGCTGAATGATCCAAATTCCTTGACCACCTGTAAAATATAGTTTTCTTTGGATCCATTATGGATAATTCAAAATGAATATATAATGGAACAATATACAAAATTGGAGAGAGGTTTGAAACTTGCCTTGGTTATGCATTTGGCATTGTCGACTATACACATTACTCTACTCTCTTGTAACAGTATTGCTTTGTTTGATGCAATTTCTGTGATCTCTTTCTCTCCCATTTTGGCTACCAGATTTGGGTCAAACTCACAAAACGCCTCTCTAGTTTAACAAATTATCAAAACACCCATATATAAATGATTATTTACATGTATAATTAAGCATATTATGAATATGGCGAGAGATTTTACCTAAAGAGTTCTTTGCGTTTTAGAATCTCGGTCCAATTATAGTCCATTAACATCCCCGACATCGCAAGGAACTCAAAAAGCAGGCTGTTTTTAGTTATAAATCACCATGCAATTAATTTCCTTTTTACAGCATTAAGTTAGATATAAGCATATAGTATAAGTGTATAACAAAAGGGAATTGGCATTTGATTGTATAAATATATGAAGTTAATCTCATAGAATTGTGGAGGCTATAATCATACTTATCATCATAGACAGGGACTCCCCATTGCTGGTCATGAAACATTACGTAGACTTCATCTACAACAAAATACAAAATAAAACTTTTATGTACCTATATACTTGACTTATAATGATCATTAATGGAATTTGATTTGGTTTATCACATTATTGATTCTCTAATTGACTTGTATATATTCAGTTTAGCTATAATAAATATTAGATTAGGACATATCTTGATCTTACCACTTTTCTTGGTGATCCAATTGCACCTCTTTGGTTCATCACTATTGAAATCTTGACATAGTTGTTGTTCTAGTTGTTGCGGGATACTTTTTGGAACAAATGTTTCTCTTCTGCGGGGAGATGAGATTAAACCAAGTGCTAGAGAGATCTTTTGTTCCAACGTCGAATTTGAATCCGTGGAAACAGAATCGGTCGAGTTCTGAGAGAGTGATAGAGATATAGAAGAGAGTGAGAATGAAGAAGAAGTGCTTCGTTGAAGCGTGATTGGGTAAATTCTCTTTAAGTGTTTTGCAAAGAAATTTGAGTTTTGCTTAGTCTCCTTCTCTCTTACACTCTTGCTTTTCTCCACAATCTCTCTTCTTTGAGGACTTGCTTTGTACATCTTTAATTTTGGAGTAAGTCAAAACAAAGAATAGCATCAAGTACTTATAGGAGAGCAATGCAGCATAAAATGGAGGTTTAAGTTAAACGATAGAACTAATTACACCTAAGTTGGTGAAATGTGGATTTCATATCTGTGAAATTTTACCATATTTGAATATTTTCTTTATTGGTGTATATAGATACAAAGAAACGGCAAAAATCTAAATAATTTTTTTTTTGTAATATATAGTGAAGTTTATTTAAGTTGAAAAAGACATACTACGATTTTTGCATTTTGTTAAGTTGTTTTTAGATCTAATGCATGCATCAAGAAAGGTGACAAATAACCAAATTGGTGAAGTGATCCATCTTAGTACCTTTTCTAAATCTAATTTACTTTTAAAGTTAATCTGTTGGAGTTCTTCTTTCTGTACTTGATTTGAAATACCAATTGATAGATGTATAATTTAATTTGAGTATTATTGCATGAATGAAAGTGAAACATTCATATTCCAATAAATTTTGTAGTGTTTTGTCACGTTAAAGTAAATAAAGGCATCAGTCGAAAAGCATATTCCAAATTTGGGGTTAGGCAGTGTGGTAGTCCAACACCTAAGTGCTGGTGACGAGTCCACATGATAACAATTCAGTGTGTTCCCTCGGAGCTAACCGGATCAGCCGATTGGATATAAAAAAAAAAGTAAATAGAAGAAACAATTTCGGTCTGTGATGCCCTTAGATTAAAAAAACCACACTAGTCTAGTTCGCACTCATTACTTCTTCGTTTAGTGGAAAATATGATTACTGATATGGTTACGGTAAATTAAATAATTATAAACCAGATTATTCTTAGCTTCTACTCTTTGCTGCTGCATGCTCTCATGTTTAATAGAAATGAACGTTTCGCCTATTTTAGACAAAGAACTCTCATCTTTTTTTTTTTTTATGTAATATACACTTTTTCTTACTACGTATGTGTTACTTTGTTAAATTAGGTAATTGTGATGCATGTAAAATATTTTTAACATCATCATATATTTGATTCAATCAAATATGAAATGAAAAAATAGATCAAATTGAACAATAGTAGTACTGGCTAATTTGACTCTCACTTTCTAATTTTCGTAAACCGGAATGAAAGTTGAACCGGATATAAAATTGATTCGGTTAGTGGTTAACCGGAATTAGGTTTAAATCATAAACCCAATAATCGTAAAACCCTTTTTTCTCCTCCGTCTGTTCTTCAAACTTGCCGGGAAAAGAAAACCAAAATTCTCTCCGGCGAACCTCAAATTCGCTTAATTTTCTCTGAGAAACGACAAGGGCATCTCCAGAAATCCCCCAATTGACAAACCCTAATCCCCAAATTCCATGATCTGTAGATGGATTGCATTCAATTCAAGCAAAGTGTCTCGTACTCTCTCTCCTTTCTCTTCTCTCTTATTCACTAAATCCTCCTTCTCCGTCGCCAAACTCGAAGATGAGTCATCACCCACAACCAATTTCACTTCTGATCTCAGAGACTTCTACCAAGAGATTCTCTTTGGGATGAAGAAGATTGGGTTCCGTGAGTTTCTTCACGGGCATCACTTTCGAGGTTTGGTTTCGGAATTGAGACAGGTCCATGTCGAGGAAATCATGGCTGAATTGATGTCTGAAAGCTCAGATCTTTCGGTTTGGTTTTTCAAAGAGCTGAGAGATATTTATGGGTTTCGTCATTCGAGATTTTCCACATTATTGGTTTCACATATTTTCGCTGGTCAACGACGTTTTAAAGAGCTTCTTGTGATTCTCGAACAATTGCTGCAAGAAGAAGGCAAGTCCTCTACTTTCTTTTGTCTTCAATTTCAAATGAATTAAAGAACAATTGTGCCTATGAACTTTACAAGGAATTTTAGAGTTTGTTGTTTGGTTGGAATATGATTTGTTGTATCAATTTTCAATGTTTAGGCTCTGGTTCAGCTTCTTTGCTTTGTGAACTTCTCTCTAGTAGCTTCAGAAAGTGGGAGTCTACGGGATTAGTTTGGGATATGTTGTTGTTTCTTTCATCAAGATTGAGAATGGTTGATGATTCTCTTTATATCTTGAAAAAGATGAAGGATCGGAACTTGAATGTGTCGACACAGTCGTACAACTCCGTTTTGTATAATTTTAGAGAGACGGATAAGATGTGGGATGTGTACAAGGAAATCAAGGATAAGAACGAGCACACGTACTCAACAGTTGTAGATGGTTTGTGTAGGCAGCAAAAGCTAGAAGATGCAGTTTTGTTCCTCCGAACTTCAGAGTGGAAGGATATTGGTCCCTCTGTAGTTTCATTCAATAGTATTATGTCAAGTTACTGTAAATTGGGTTTTGTAGATATGGCGAAGTCGTTTTTCTGTACAGTTTTGAAATGTGGATTGGTTCCTAGTGTATATAGTCACAATATACTCATCAACGGACTCTGTCTAGTTGGTTCTATCGCAGAAGCTTTAGAGTTGGCTAGTGATATGAATAAGCATGGAGTGGAACCTGATTCTGTGACATACAATATTCTTGTGAAAGGGTTTCATCTTCTCGGTATGATCAGTGGGGCTGGGGAGGTTATTCAAGATATGTTGGATAAAGGTTTGAGTCCTGATGTTATTACATACACAATATTACTATGCGGGCAATGTCAGTTAGGAAATATTGACATGGGTTTAATATTGCTGAAGGATATGTTGTCGAGGGGATTTGAGTTAAACAGTATCGTCCCCTATAGTGTAATGCTCAGTGGTTTATGTAAAACAGGACGAGTAGATGAAGCTTTGTCGTTATTCTATGATTTGGAAGCCTATGGTCTGACACCTGATCTCGTGGCATATTCCATTGTGATTCATGGCCTGTGCAAGTTAGGAAAATTTGATATGGCTGTTAGGCTTTTCGACGAGATGTGTTACAAAAGAATTCTTCCGAATTCTAGAACACTTGGTGCTATTTTGCTCGGTTTATGTCAGAAAGGGATGTTACTTGAGGCAAGATCGCTTCTGGATTCTCTGATTTCAAGTGGAGACACACTGGATATTATTCTGTACAATATCGTAATTGACGGGTATGCAAAGTCTGGTTGCATTAAGGAGGCGTTAGAGTTATTCAAGGTAGCTATCGAGAGTGGGATAACTCCTAACGTTGCAACTTTTAATTCTTTGATTTACGGGTATTGCAAAACCCAGAATATAGCTGAGGCTAGAAAAATCTTGGATGTTATCAAGTTATATGGATTGGTTCCAAGTGTTGTGAGTTATACAACTCTGATGGATGCGTACGCAAATTGTGGAAGTATCAAAAGCATAGAAGAATTGCTCAGGGAAATGAAAGCAGAAGGAATCCCACCAACCAATGTCACTTACTCAGTGATTTTTAAAGGACTTTGCGTAGGCTTGAAACTTGAAAATTGCAACCAGGTACTCAGGGGAAGAATACTCGAAAAATTCAACCATGTACTCAGGGACATGGAATCTGAAGGTATAACTCCAGATCAGATCACATTCAATACAATTATTCAGTATCTATGCAGAGTTAAACATTTATCCAGAGCATTTGAGTTATTTGAAAAAATGAAATCTCAAAATCTTGATCCTACGTCTGCTACTTATAATATTCTAATCGACAGCCTTTGTGTCTACGGCTACATAAGGAAAGCTGACAGGTTTCTCTATTCGCTCCAGAGGCGGAATGTTAGTTTGTCCAAATTTGCTTATACCACACTGATCAAGGCACATTGTGTAAAGGGTGACCCTGAAATGGCAGTGATTCTATTTCATCAGCTGGTGGACAGAGGATTCGATGTTTCTATCAGGGACTATAGTGCGGTGATCAATCGTTTGTGTAGGAGACATTTAGCAAACGAGAGCAAATACTTCTTCTGTCTAATGTTATCCCGCGGTATTTCGCCTGACTTAGACATTTGCGAAGTGATGATCAAGTCAGATGAATTGCTTTCCTGGACAATCAAATGGGGTTTGTTGCCTGATCAGTAATCAGAAAAGTTTTGTCTGTTGTCCCATCTTATCTGCTAACTGCAGAAGACACACATTTTCAGCAGAGAAACTGTCTCATGAGGTAACTGTTATTATGCCGTTACTGTAAAAAGAAACAACAAGTTACTTAGGTAATTATCTGATGTTTTATTGTCTTCCTCAGTGATCCAGTTAACAGATTAATCTTAGCTACTGGATGGTGTCATCGGGCAACAATAGTATCACATTGGCTTCTTTGACGAATTGCGGTAAGTGATGTTTCTTAGTAACCTTTGAAATCGATAATGTGAACTTATGAGGCCTTTTTGGTTAGATTGGAAATATGGAACAGGGGACTTATTATGTCTTCCACTTTTTATCAAGTTTCTACTTTCCTCAACCCAAACTCAAGTGTCTTGGTCGTTTTGCTGCTTGAGTCTAAGACTGTAATTACTTTCTTCAGGTTCTTCTGAAGATAAAGTCACTTGTTCTTGTGCTTCCCCAGCTTGGTTCAAAACAGACGGAGGAATCAAAATGGTCCGGCCAGTGACAACAACCGCAATTATAACCTGCTTGGTCGTAATATAAGAGTATTTGATGCAAGTAGACAAAAGGGTTACTTCAGCTTTCTGTGAGGGACTAGGAGTCTGAGGCCATTCAACTACAAACCAAGACGGGTGAGATACACAATCCATTTTTGTAACCAAAAAGCTTTTTCCATTTTTTGACCAGATATCGCGGAAGATTCTTACTGTAACTTTTGATGTAAGATCAGCACTTAATTTAAGAGAAGGATAACATTGAGACTACACAACTTGGTTATTACATACCACTTTTTATAAAATGACAACATTGAGACAACACAATTTGGTTTTACATACTACTTTTTATATATCTATAATTAGAACGATCGATGTTACACCCATATATGTATTGTAATATCTTATACTGATAATAATAAGGAACATTTTGTTGAGTCTCTATAATAAATTTGATCAGTTGTTCTTGGGAGGATGGTGCCTTGGTTTCCAGTAATCAGCAGTGTAGGCAACGAGATCATCCTCTTCCTCAACACTTGTCTCTTTATTTGTTGTCTTCTTCATCATCATCTTTGTCTTTTCCTTACTAAACTCTTCTCCACTTCTTCCTCGTACTTTTGCCTTCTTCATTGCATCATCATCATTATCATCGAGATGCTTCATAACCTACAATCTCTTTAGATTATATACATGTCTGTCGAAACTCAAACTGAATGAAACTGCTATATATGAATTCGCAGTCGTGAATAATGTGGAAATTGCTTCCACAAGTATTCATTACTCAAGAAAACATAAGTGTAATTTTCTTAAAGAACATATATACCTTTGCATTTGAACCGGCTTCAACACTTGACACTTCACCCTTATCTCCTGATGAAAAATAGGACATAGTATATTAAGTTCATTTTAATATAAACCATGCATGCAACTATATATATTTCATGCAAATTGGAAAAACAAAAAAGAAAAAAAGAAAAGAAGAAATAGTTTTTAGTAAGTTCGATTCTCATAATGCAAGTTTTTACGTATAACTGTGAGTTCCGAATGTTCATAATATTTTGATGATTAATAATAGAGAAACGGGAAATAGAAGAGAGAGATAAACCATGAAGAGAATATCCAAAGGAGAGGCCAAACAAAAGAAGGATCAACAAACACAGAAAGCTTGAAGTGATATTGGTCATCTCTTATTTTCTTCCCTTAGCTACGAAAATGTTCTCAAAATGAGTTATGAGATCAAAGTACGCAAGAATGATGAAGATTAGAAGAAGGCTAACTAGTGTTTATATAGGAGATCTAAGAAGAAGAACCCAAGAGAATTTCAAATCTAAGATATTTTTATTTTACCATAAGCCATGTGTCTCTATTGGGAACCTGCCATGCATAGACATTGGGACATGCGTTAAAATCCCCGAACAATGTAAGAAACTGCGAATTACAACATGAGATCTAAGTTCACACCCATAATTATAACTAAATTAAGTAAATGAAGTTTCATAGTCTTAAAATCTAAATATATTTGATTTTCGCAATAAGCTTATAATACCTATCTTATTAAAATATTTGGTCGAACCTTAGAACATCAACTAAGGCACCGTTCATAACAATTTTAAAGAAAAACACAATAAAAGAATAAGATGCTTACTAAGTCAATACGATATATGTAACATTCAAGAACATCCCTTATTTTTTCTTTTAATTGCTCGGAAAGTGGAAATTAATTAAGAAAAAGGAAAATGTAGTGATATCAAATTATTATTCTCATAAATACACAAAATATGATACTGAAAAAAGCAAGAATTGAGTTGGGGTTAATATCCCAAAAAATAAACATCGAATAAGGAGAAGAAACATAACGTACAATGCAATTTACAGATGTGCGTGTTTTGTGTTTGTCTCTTACTCTATTACCACTTTTCTCATACTCGAGAACAATAAAAGTAACACTTGTTCCATCATTTATAATTTAATCTTAATCAACAAATATTTGTTTCTTCTATAAACCTAAGTAAACACACACATACAATATATATATATAAACTAGTTAATTAAATTAAATGTCTAGCAGTCGGTTATTTTTGTTCCATTAGTCTTATTTTTAGTAGTACTAGCTAAGAAAACGATATTTGGTGTTCAAAAAAAACAAAAGAAAAATATCTTCTAAATCATGAATTATTTTAAACCGTATAAGATTCACAAATTTTAGTTGACAAAAGAAATCAACAAATTTTATTTGAATCTATACAAGAAAAAAAAAATTGGCAGCCGAAGGAAGTCGGTCAAATATGAGTTATATTAGTTAGTTAATGGACGATGAATCAGTGGGTGTGGACTGAACCTATAGTCTATAGGCTATAGCTCTATATAGCTAATAGCTTCCATAATTGGAATATGTGTATTTTTGTTAGTATCAAAATTGTGTATGCTATTTCTCCCACATTGCACCAAATTTCGAGTACCTAATTGCTTTACCCGATCAAAGTTCATAACATAATATTTTGTATTAGTGCCATTACTGTATCATCTGAAGTGAATTACTTAATTCGATTAAATTATAATGTGTGAAACTGCTAAAAAAGGGATAATCCGTGCACATTTGTATAACATATTGTTTTCTTTTCCTATATACTACTACAAATTTGAAGGTCTGAAATTATCAACCATTTTTTATGTAAGACTTTTATCTGTATATTAACAAATTAGTCGTGCAAGTGATTTCATTAAACCTGATGAATTTCATAAACATTTTCTTTTTGCATGAACTATCGTGTAAATCTTATGAATACCTGATGAATTTTCATGAATTCGCATGAATTTTACATTGCTCATAATGGGCTTTACGAATGCATAGAGGCCCAATTGTAGGGACTTATCATGTCGTCAACCATGCAACTAAGCATAATTTGAATTTATATTTCGTTAACCCAAAAAGGTATTGCTAGTGTAATTGCAAAAGAAAGATTGATGTGAATTTTCCTTAAGTAATGATGAGAGTAAACTTTCTGTCCCTCCAAACGAATAGGTTACAAATTAATTTAGAGCCATTTATTCTCCACTACACATCATTGTTTCCCTTTATTAGCTTCAATTGTATATTCTTTCATTAAATAATAATTTATTTATATTTCTATAATGCAAGTAGCATCTAGAAGATTAGAACAATGATCAGTCTGTGGGCGTGTGTATCCTCCTCAGTCATCTTTGTCTTTTATACTTCTAAGTCAAAATTTGTTTCTTCTGATAATTAGATAATTAACATACTTATTCAATATTCTTACGATTTACGTTTTGAAAAATGTGATTATGTAGGTTATATATCGCTCCAAAGTAATAAGAAAAACCCGTTAAAAATGAAGGAGAAACATTTTACATAATTAAGGAAATTAATATATTATGTTAAGCCTTAATCTTAGCCATACATATTTAGATGGATACTATATATAAAGAAAGAAAGAGCATTTAAAAGGGAAATCTTAGCATCCATTTCTAACCATATTATGAATAAATAATAAACAATATCAATAGATTATAGCATCCATCATTATTGCATATAGGCCATTCTTGTCTTCTCACCTAAAAAAAAAAAAGAGAGAAAACTTTCTTGAGTGAAATGGGAATTGCGACGTCGACGATGGCGGCGAAGTTAGCATTCTTCCCACCAAATCCGCCGTCGTACACGGTGGTGACTGAGGAATCAACGGGGAAGATGAGGATTTCTACGAACATGCCGCATTACCTAAGAGATGAAAACATCGAAGTGGTGAAGATAAGGACGAGAAGAGGGAATGAGATTGTGGCCATGTATGTGAAGAATCCAACCGCTAAACTCACCGTTTTGTTTTCTCATGGCAACGCCGCCGATCTTGCTCACATTTTCTACATATTCGCTGAACTAATTCAACTCAATGTCAATCTCATGGGGTTAGTTTTTTATATATGCATGAACACCATTAAATTCACTTGTCTTTTTTTTTTTTTTTTGGATACTATAGTTTATACATATTAAATGTTTTTAGTTATACTGTGACCTTCTTGAGGGATAGCTTTTGTTTCTGTAGTCTTCTTTTGAGAATAAGACAAGATTAGGTTAGGATCGAGCATAGGATTCCAAATTCATTTTTAATCCCAAAACTCAGATCATTTCGTCAAATTTCTTAGCTCGCTGTTTTTTTTTAAATGTAAGACACATAACTTCTTTTAAATATATTAACTATATAAAAAGTTGTAAAAATAATAATAACAATTGGGTTCTCTTTAAATAAATAATACAGTATATGGTTTTATGTGATGATAATTGCAGATATGATTACTCAGGATATGGGCAATCTTCTGGTAAGGTAAGTCATTTATTTCGATTATTTCTAATCACGCTTGTCTTTTTTTTTTTTTGGGGACTAATTAGTGCGTATACGAATATTTAAACCTCAAAAAGCAAATTTAAAACTATTGTCAGCCCCATATAATGAATACTCCTATAAAGAAGATCACATTGATTGTTGAGTATATGATTTTTTGTGTGATTTGGATCGTAATTTTGAAAGCCAAGCGAGCAAGAGACGTACGCAGACATCGAAGCAGCTCACAATTGGCTAAGAGAGACGTACGGTACAAAAGATGAACGTATCATTTTGTATGGACAATCCGTTGGAAGTGGACCGTCGCTTGAACTTGCTTCTCGTCTTCCACGTCTCCGAGCACTTGTTCTTCATAGTCCTTTCTTGTCCGGTCTACGTGTCATGTACCCTTTAAAGCACTCCTTCCCGTTCGACATTTACAAGGTTCGATCGTTCTTATATATCTTCCTTGATTTTACTAAACGCCCCAAACTAAGGATAACTACATTATTGTTTAATTAGGCAAACTTATAAGAGTTCTCTTTTTGCAGAATATCGACAAAATTCATCTCGTGAACTGTCCTGTTCTTGTAATTCATGTAAGTGTGTTTTCATTGCAATAGAGATATATTCATTCTTATTAATTATATTTATACGAGATTATAGTAACAACTAGGTATAATTCTCTTTGCGTGCAATGCAGGGAACAGATGACGATGTGGTGAATATTTCACATGGAAAACATTTATGGGGACTATGCAAAGAAAAATACGAACCCTTATGGCTTAAAGGAAGAGGCCATTGTGATATTGAGACGTCTCCTGAGTACTTACCTCACTTAAGAAAGTTCATTTCAGCCATTGAGAAGCTTCCAGTTCCAAAATTCCGTCGCCAATCATTGGCTGATGACCACAAGAAAGAGAAATCAACAAAGAGTAGTAATTGGATTGGATCTAGACATAGCATAGAATGTGTTACTACTGCAAGAGACAAATCAAGAAAGATTAGTATCGATCATCGGTTTGGGAAGGCGAGAAACAGCGTGGATAGCTCTGATCGGGCTAGGAATAGCTTCGACAGGTTAGTACTTAAACAATTGATGACCGAATAATTCAATTATAGAATTTACTTTTTTGTTATTTGAAGTCGATATGTATCATATGTTGTACATGGGATCTTACTATCTAAATCTTTGGTTCTAGGTTGGGTGAAATGGTGAGATCAGTTCGGTTGTGTAATGTTGATTGTGTGAAGAATGCAGTTGCAGAGGTTTGATGATTGTTGTCACAAATACTCACAATATTGTTTCTTTTTCTGATTCGTTTGTTAGATTCTTTGGAAAAGGGAAACATCTTTTGTATGAACATATCTTCATTTTTATTTTTAGGAAGTCAATTATAAACATATATATGTTCATATTTGATACGATTTAGTTTCCCAATCATTTTTTTTTGACATCGAATGATTAATTCTCATCATTAAAAATCTATATGATAATTAATTTAGTGTGAATTTCTAGTTTTTTTTTGTGGCTGGAATTTGAGATGTCAATCTTAACACACGTTTCATTCCATATGTAATCATATAACAAATGATTGATATTGATACATAGTTTTCATTGTTATATCAATTGAACTTTGCGCTTTATTTTCTTTCACATTATAAAAAGAAAAAGAGAACATTTAGGAGAAATATGAGTTAATTAAACGGTTGGCTTATTGGTTTCTGCTGTGAAACCATGGCATTTACAAGTTCCACTATCGCATCGACAATCGACACAAGCCTCACACGCAATGTTCTTTAAGCATTCTGTTTTCGTGTTGCATTTAAGTGAGATTGTGACATCCCCTTTTCCCATTTCCTCCGCAGACTCTGAAACTGCAAGAAGAAGAAAGAAAACAATTCAATTATAAAAGACTGTAAAAGTGTTTAGAGTGGTCGATCATTGCGTGATAGGTAAAGAAAGTAATTACCAGTCGCGGTGAAGACAAGAACGGCCAATAACACAGCCATAATTACGCGAAGATTGTTCATTTTTCTCTCTGAGTTTTGAAATCGATTCCTTCTGTTGAATATGAAAGGAACGATGTATATTATTTTAGTTTGGTTTGTAATGAAATTAGTGTAGTATACACAGAACAACACACATATATATGTAGGAGCATGATGGGCTCAAGATGGTTAATTAGAGAGCGTTTTTATCTGGTTTTTGAATATTTGGAAATAGAAATCTATATATATTAATTAGTAAACATAAATGAAAATATCATATCTTTTTGTTGACTAATAATATCTTCTTCTTTTTACTAATAATATCTTTTTTTGTTGACTAATAATATCTTCTTCTTTTTTTGTGCAAAATAGTTATGGAGGTGCTAAAATTTACATGAAATGTCATTAATAAGCTGTATATTTAAAAACACTTCTTAAGGGAAAAAATATCTCATACTTTTTCCTATTATTCATATAACCAAACTAAAATTTAATTATTAAATCGTTTTAAAAATATATTCTGAAAATGAAAGAAAAATATTTTTAAATACCAAATCATCTTCCGAAAACTTGTATAGCTAATCAAATTTAATAAAAAGATTTTATATCAAATTATATCCTATTAATTATGTTAAATCATTATATTTTACCCCTCATCTCTGTTTGATCCTTTTACATAAAAAAATAATAATAATCACAGCATCCATATATCAAAAAAAAAATTATATTTTTTCTGCATTTGTGATGTGTTAAAAACTGCCACTATTGATTAAATCTGGAAGTTTAATTTCAGGCAAAGTTAATTTAGTTTTTTTTTTCACCAAATTGTCAATCAGGAAAAAAATTTCATCAATTGAAAATTTTAACTTTTTAATTATTCATTTGCATTTCAAGAAACAAAAGAGGATTTAAAAAAAAAAAGAAATGGACAAATCAAGGAGTTAATGGCGCAGCCGTTGGATTTCCCTTTTCTCCACCAAAACCATGGCATTTACATAATCCTTTATCACATCGGCAATCAACACAAGCTTCACAAGCAATGTTTGTGAAACAGTCCGATTTCTTTTTGCATGTGAATGTGATTATGATCTCTTTCTTATTGGCTTCCACCACAAAGTTTGAAACTGCCAAAAAAAAAAAATCTATATTCAAAACACGGTTCTTGGTATATAAGATAGTAAGAAACACTAATTGAAAATTGAATTTTAGATTTAAAAACAAAAACTAAATACAAGTCGCAGTGAAGACAAGAGCGGCCAAAAACACTGCAATGGTTACGCGAAGGTTGGTCATATTTTCTCCTAGCTCTGAACCGATTTCGTTTGTAGAATTTGAAGTGTGGATAACTTTGGTTTTAGTTTGTGATGGAATGATGGAAAACTTCAACAATAGGTATATATAGAGCATGATGGGGTCCAAAAAGTTGCTTCGTTGCCTAAAATGTTTTACTTTTGTCAATGTTTTCATTAAATAACGCATATGGAATATATGGAATGTTTGTAATGTCCAAATTAGTATTACATATTCATTAAATAAGGTGTCCTAAGAATCTATGGCTTTGAAAGAAATTAAATGTACCCCAAAAGAAAATGTCGGTTACGTGGTTACAAAAATCTTTGGCTTTTGTCGTTTGTCCAATTAAACTTTGGTGGCTCCGGAAAGCTATTTTAGCCGTTTTGAAGGTGTCCTAAGAAAAAAAAAAAAGGTATCCTAAGAATCTATGGCTTTTCTTTTTCCATATTGCTGATTTAGTCAGGGCCATCCCAAAAAATGTAAGTCCTGTATTTTTAAGTTCGACCTGGCTTTAGATATACAAGTGTTTTCAATAGTATATTCTAAATTGATAATTACATTATTTGTTGTTTTAATAGTACTATTTTATATATTATATCATAAAATATGGTCATACCGAACCGACACGGTGATTATATATCTCATTCCTTCTAACGTTGTCGACCATAAGTTATGCTATCTAAACTCTATAGTAACTATGATCTCAAAATTTTGTATTTAGTTTTATGTAACGATCTGCACGATAAATCGGCGGTTGAAGAAAACTAGTATCGGGTTATGGATTTTGCAAAGCATAACACATACATAATAGAACCAGATTGATTTAGCCAGCCACACCATATCTCCAAGCAAAATCATGTTATAATCTCGGTCACAAAACCTTTCATTCGATATATAGTTTTATATACTAATTAATTGTTGATATATAATAATCTTCATTAATTACCAGTTTTATCAATTGAACATAATGTTTTCTTTTCTTATGCATAATTTACAAACAAAGGAGTATATAGGAGAAAGATAAGTTCAAGATGCAGTTGGATCAAGGGCTTGGGGGTTTAGAGCCATGGCATTTACAAGTTCCATTATCGCATTTGCAATTGCGATAGGAACAATGCTTACATGCAATGTGGTTTAAACAACCCTGGTCCAATTTACAGTTGTTTTCTATGAATCCGGATATAGTGTCCACCTTAGATTCATCCAAAGAATTTGTAACTGCCAAAAAAAATATTAAAAAGAATTAATCCAAACGTTGTTTATATCAAAGCGGCCAACAAACAAAGTGTTACAATAATGTATATTGAAACTAAATACCAGTTGTGGTGAAGACAAGAACGGCCAGGAACGCAACAATGGTTATTCGAAGATTCTTCATATTTGTCTCCGAGTTTTGAAACTGACTGTCTAATGAATTTAATTTGTAACTGATTTGTTGGTTTGTGATGATGGGCTCTAGATATTTATACACGTTAAAGAATTCATTGTGCTTAATTATTTTAATGTTTTTATTAAAGATCATTTGAAAATTAGCAAAAAAAAGTTATTTGGATTGGATTTACTAAAAACTTTGTGTGTGTGTTTTTAGTATATTCATAATTATGCAATTAAATTTTACTGGCCTAAACTTAAAATTGATTAATTTTGACTCAAAGATAAATAAGAAATTAATATCAAATTTTGAATGTTAATTGGGTTGAATAATTCTCAAAATAGTAAATACAAGAATATGATAGATTTAATTGGCAATACTAAAATAATAATTTTAAGAAATTAATTTTGTATCTAAAGTTGACCTTTTTCAATATTGAAAATTTGAAATGGGTTTATATTTATATTTTATAGTATATAAAAAATTAACTAATGAACATCCATATAGAACATTAAGTTATAAAAATCTTTACAAAGTAATCAAAGAAAAGAAGCATTTGAAATTATGTATACAATAAAGTTTTAGATTTGCATCAAAGTATATGAATATTACAACAAAAAATATATTTTTATTTACTGTACTTCATTTTTTGTTTATATAGATATCGTACTTCATTTAATAGTAATAGAAACAATACGCATTTGTGGTAAATATATGATTTAATTAATTAATATTAAAAATCAGAAATATGTAAAACTAGAAAAGATGAAAATTAATAAAAGTATATGGATAAAAAAGTATGAGACTTTTTAAATAATAATTTATGTAAAGTTTTTTTTATATAAATTATTTCTGTTTGGTAATGTATGGTGGATTGGATGGGGATATTTAAATAGGGGAGACTCACAAAAATGCCCCTTTTTTAATACCCCTTTTCAAAAATGCCCCCTTTGGCTGTCCATTTTTAAAAATACCCCTTTTTATGTACAAAATGACTAAATTACCCTTCTTTTAATAAAAGATATCACAAATATATAAGGAAAATAACAAAATTAGGTCCACAAAATACAAAATATTTTTTGGCGGGAAAAGTGATCCCGCAATTTTTCCCGCCAAAACACTTGTAAAAACTTGTAAAAAACCTTGTAAAATTTTCCCGTAAAATTTTTTCCCGCCAAAAAATTTTCCCGCCAAAAAATTTTTTTTGCGGGAAAAGTGATTCCGCAATTTTTTTGGCGTTAAATTTTTGGCGGGAAAATTTTTCCCGCCAAAAAATTACAAGGTATTTTAAAGGTTTTTTACAAGGTATTTATAAGGTTTTACAATGTATTTTAAAAGGTTTTACAACGTATTTACAAGGTATTTATAAGATATTATAAGATTTTACAAGCTATTTTATAAGGTTTTTACAAGTTATAAGGTTTTACAAGTTTTTTATAAGGTTTTACAAGTTATAAATACCTTATAAAACCTTATAAGTACCTTGTAAAACCTTTTAAAATACATTGTAAAACCTTACAAAACACTTGTAAATACTCTGTAAAACATTTAAAATACCTTGTAAATTTTTCCCGCCAAAAAAAAAAAATTGCGGAATCACTTTTCCCGCAAAAAAAATTTTTTGGCGGGAAAAAATTTTACGGGAAAATTTTACAAGGTATTTTAAAGGTTTTTTACAAGTGTTTTGGCGGGAAAATTGCGGGATCACTTTTCCCGCCAAAAAATATTTTGTATTTTGTGGACCTAATTTTGTTTCAAATAAGGGTAAAATGGTCATTAAAAATTAAAAGAGGGCAAACTTAAAAATGGACTCTCAAAGGGGGTATTTTTGAAAAGGGGTATTGAAAAAGGGGCATTTTTAACAATTTCTCTTTAAATAGTGTGTGCGTGTGTGTTGAAGTATGAAAATGGCAACTAATTAAATAAGTTTGACTACATAGAAGTTTAAAATAATCAAAATAAGTTTAATAAAATACTTAATTATTTTAAACTTCTATGTAGTCAAAAGAGTTGGTAATTAGCTTCTATTGTTCTCGACTATATACCTCTATGGACAAAAGAGTTATCTTTTTCCAATTTTTTCTTTTAATGTCTTTCACATTTCTTACCTATGTGGCTATGTCAAACAAAAGTCTTTTGGCTTTCTCATAATAATGAGAATTTAAAACACACACCACCCCATCGAATATGTGACATATACTTAGCAAAATTAATATAATGAGAAATATTCATTTCCATATATTTGTAAACAACCATGTACGCTCGACATTTCTTCTTTAGCTATTTATACGTTCACCGAAGTTGCATCAATCAACATATATAACAATAACATGTAGGGAAATCACATGTTCGATTGTATATACAGACTTTGTATTTGCACGTTGCCGGACAAACTTTGTTACATTGAGAGTTTCCATGGCAACGCGCACACTGTTCGATTTTAGGGCTAGGAGCAATCACTGAAGTAGTAGGAACTTGAAGATCATCGCCACATTTGCAGAAAGGATTTGTGGAAGGACAAAAGCATGGTTCTTCCCATTCTCTTACTTTCGCATCAGATACCGACGATAAATCTGCATCCCAAGAGATTAAATTTTTTACTAAATATTGCCATAAGTGTAAAATGGATGTTTCACATTCAAAAAGATATTCTTAAAATTAAAACCAAAAATTTTTTTTAAAAAAAAAAAAAAAAAAAAGCTATGGCATGTGTAACGTATTCTTACAAGATGCAAGAATAAGAACGAATACAAATTGAAAGATAAGTCTCGCCATAGCTTTTAAGTCTTTGCAATGAGAATAAAATTTTTTGATGTGAATAAATTGATTCCTCTCTCTATATATAGAGAGGAGAGCTTATTGCAAAAACTTTGACTGTTTGTAGTAAAATTAAGAAATGTTTTACTAATTTTGGTAAGAACAAACGAATCAAGTAATTTTATTTTAATTGTTAATTGACTTCATAAGTTTAAAAACTATGTTGGACCGTCATTATGGTAATACGGTGTGATTTGAAATTAAAGGTTGACTTACTTGTTAGTATGTAAGGGAGTCAAAGTAGGAGTAACCTACCATTTAATTTTTCCAACAGTATGTTAAGATCTTGTGGGTTTTGGTGGGTTGATCCGTCAAAGACCGTGGTTTTAAAAGCATCAACACTAGTCATCTCGTCATATAACTATGGCTTCTACGGATGGATCACTGATTTTACAGGTCGGCCCAAAGGTTTTTCAAAATTTAATATATATATATATATATATATATATATCCATTGTTATTATGTGGTGGATATGAATTCTTACCAGCCTAAGGGAAATGTTAAACAACATAAAAGGATCAGTCACATATCTCATTGATTAAATAAGGAGAAATCTAGAATTAGATTGCATGTGTAAAGAACAATAAAAAAGGTAATTTTTAACCCACAAAAAGTTCATTTCCTGCCGAAAAAGAACATTATAAAGTTTTTTTTATTTATTTATATACAGAATCCAAAATATATAATAAATCAAGATATGTTCGTACATATGTGTAAACATAGAATATGAATGGATATGTATGTCTTGATCTAAAAATAGAGAAGCATGATTTGACCTAAGCATAATATTATCTAGAAATGATTCGGGCTCTTACCGTGGTGAAGTTGGTTTGCCTCGCAAAGGGAATAATATAATAGAGCATATATATTTTTAAAGTATTTTTTATTGTTAGATCATTCTTTGGATGCCACTGCCCACTAAAGCTCTTATTTCGAAAGGTGGTGTGTTCAAAAATTCAAGGTGTTAATATGGACCACAATATGTAAACCAATCCAGCTTGGTTATATGTAATCTACTAATTAAAGTTAGAACTTTTAATCTATGATATTAAATATATTTTGGGGACTAATGCTTATGATGGGTTCACGATCGAGTTAGATGGATCAACAAACAACTTACGGGTCACAAGTTACTATTGGGAAATTTTTTAAATTTTTGTAAATAAACTAGTCCACAAGTTTTTTTTTTTAAAATATTGAATCAACCGTTCTATAAAGATGGAATATTTATATCGAAAATTGAGTTAAAAAAAGAGAGTTAAATGCACATATAAAAAAGTGCGAGCATTACAAAAGAATTATCTAGTAGCTCTCTAGAGGTTTGAGTATTTTTTTCAGTTGGTATATCATCTTTTTTTCTAAACATATCTGGGCATATGTCTATGCATTAACTCCTATTACAAAGAGACAGTAAGGATTAAACCCCTAGAAATAGTGGGATGATTAAAGCATTTTGGAGCTAATCCACTTCTCCCAAATTGTTATCATTTAGAACCTGTCTTTTAACCATATATATAGCCTTACATGATATATATAAATGATAATCAAATCTTCCAATTCAAAATGGAGTTTCCAACGTTTTGATGTTGACATCTGCTGACGCCAGTTCGCAGCAGTTAGGTTCAAAGGTGCCAATGATTTGTTTATCTTATTTAAATAAACACAAATCCTTGTCTCGATTTGTTTTTCCTCCAAGATCACTTATTTTTCTATTACTGTTTTTACATTTTCTTGTCGCTTACCAATTGGCTTCTTTCGTGCGTGGGGGCTCATCAGAGAATATGTGGCTCTCCTTCGTTGAAATTTTGTAGTATTAAATTCTGTTTTTCACCTTTTTTTTTTTCCAATGCTGTTTTAATTTAATATATTAAATTTGTGGTTTGAAGTGTAATGGTTTGGATAATTTGCCTCTTCAAGTCAAATTCAATCACTCTATATACTGCCTCTTCTCGCTAAACACCGACTACAATTAGCGATCAAATCTTAAAGTATAAAACAATGTGATAATATGCTATTAAATAACAATAAGAAAAATCTAGTAAGTAGACTAAAGATGTTTTCTGTCAATAATTTTCTACAAACTCTTTTTCAGATATCATATCGAGTTGAAATTAAAATTAAGTAAGTTAGACTATATTCTTTTATGCACAAAAAAATCGCTACTTAAATTTTTATAAGCATGGTCGAATCTCATAAATGCTTCTAACTGCAGTTGTATTTTTAAAAGCTGAAGAAATTTGTGG